CCAAACCCAACCCCAACCCCAAACCCAACCCTGTGTAGAGAATTCAACATAATGTGACTGCTGAATTAAACCTACTTGTGGGCCAACCCCAACCCCATGATTTTAGATAAGATTTTTAAAATATCAACTATAATTTTTAAACAATCAAAAATAAAGATTTTATTAAAATGACATTGGCTATGATTATGAAAAGACATTATGAATCTTAAAATGAAATTTGCGCTTTGATTACCAGAATGACATTAGCTTTTACAAATAAAGACATTACCTATGTATGATCAATGATTATTTAAATGATATTAAATTTGCATTAAAATATGGAGTAAAAATACTTTTTGAGAAAAATAAATACATTAAATCCCCTTTCGCCATTCCATAAAGTGATGGTGTAATGCAACTCTTCAAAATTCAGTTTTTCCATCACCCAACTTTAGTTTTAACGACAGTTCTTGACCAACTCGTCTCCGAAAATTTCTTACCTTAAAAAAATTTTTTATTCGTTTTTTTGCTAATTAAATCCGACATTAAAGCCTTAAAGGAGGTTTTGTTAATTTTTTACAAAAGTAACAGACGGAAGCAGAACAAGGACTACCTCTCGAACATAGGCCATCAGAAAAAAATAGGACAATTAAACTACAGAGATTATTACTTTTAGTATCTTTTATTGAAATTTTAATTAAATATATATCAATTAATCATGAAGTATGTTCAAATGTTTGATCTTTTTGGAGTGACATACAAATAAAATATTCATCCAGAAGTTCAGCTTTAAAAATCAGTTTTTGGAGGGTTGTTATCAATTATTGTTAGCGTAGTGAGTTTTGTGTATTTTATATATGTAATAGATCAATGGAGAACTTCTAATCTCCTTCCAAAATATTCAAACTCTCTAAAGGCTGAAAAATATTCGTCAATTTAGTTTAGTAATGAGAATCTTTTTGAAATATGTTACTGGAAGTACTCTAATGAAGCTATTGATCCTTTTAGATCAACTGATAATATTTTAATGCCAATAGGATTTTATATACTATCAGGTATTCCTTAAGAGCCTTTTTCATTGTTAAGTAATGCACAAGAATTGTCAACTTATTAAAGCAAGTTAGTTTATGTAGAAAACTTAAATATAATTTAAAACAGCGAATTTAATCCTAGATTAAATGAAACATAAGAATTGCTCATTATTATTACTAAATGCTAGAAATAATTGCTAAAAGAAAATTAAACTTGTGCAAGTGATATGGAAATAAACAATTTTTTCACTTAATAAACTAATATATTAAGCTTTTTTATAAATATAAAGTAATTTAATCCAAAAACAAAAATTTTTGATATTATAAAGAAGCAATTTTATATACCATTTGAAGCAGTAAGAGCATAATAAATATAATTAATTCTGAAATAAGAAAAAGCAACAGTTGATACAGGAATATTATTCGAAAATTTTGAGGAATAAAAATTCATTTTTGATGCTTAATTTATCATGAGTACCATATCTCTTAACTTTTTCACATAATTTACAAAAATGGACGCTTTTTTAATATTTACAATACGTTTAGATCAATTCTCATATGAAACATTAATTGTATATCCTAAATTGGGAGAAATTCTAGCTCAAGTTGGATCAGTTGTTAGTATGATAATGTTGGTAAAATATGTAGCATTTTTTTATAATGAACACTTATTATAAAATTGTGTTGTAGAAGCAGTTTTAAAAAATTTGATTTTAAATTATGATTCCCTCAAAAAATCTTAAGAGCATAAAAATAAAAACACCTTAAAGAAATTATAATCATTTGCTAAACAAAAATTAGTTTTTACAAATGTGATAAATGAGCTTTCACGTATAGAATTATATTTATTGAGTCTTTCAAATAGTACCTAGATTAATAAAATTGCATAAACAAAATTTCTAATAAAAAATGAATATAAACAGGAATCATTAGATGGTATTTTCTCTTTGAATTCAAATACTGTTCGAGAAAATATTCTGAATGATGAAGAATTTTAAGATTTGTTCAAAGCTTTTTTCATAAATCCTCCAGATGAAAAAAAAATAATGAATATTGAATTCATTCAATGAATTTAAAAATTAGAAAAAAATTATTATTAATTATTTTGTTAGTAAATTTATATAGAGTTCTTTTATACTATCTCTAAAATATTTTCATTTTCTTCTATTTTTTAAAGTAATCTCATAATTAAATATTATTCATTAATTACTCAAATTGAAAATATACTTTTAATATTAGAAAATTAAAAAAATCCTAGTTGATTTTATTTTTGGTAACTGCAGGTTTTAGAAAAAGAAAACATTATAAAATTAAATGCTTTTAAGAATACTATAGATTTGCGGTAATTAATTAATTGATTTTTTCTAATTTGAATAAATTTTACAAGAATTTAGAAATTAAGAAAAAAGTGGAATTACAAAACATGTAAAAAAATATCAATAATTTGAAATTGTTCATCCATCGAATTTAAACAAATGAAGAAATAATTAGCTAAGAATTTTGGTTTTTATTTTTGATATTTTCTAAATTTAGAAAATATAATTAGTTGTATTTTTTCCTCTTTCAACTAAAATACACATTCTTCTAAATTCATCTCCAAGTGAAAAATTCATTGAAGGTTAATTATCATCATCATTATATTACAATAGTTAGAGACTATATAAATTCTTGTTTTGATTTACTAAATTCGATAAATAATATCCAATTTTACAATTTCCGTTTTTAGGGGAGGGGGAAAGGTTGGTCTGGTATTCAGTATTAATTTAAATTTCAAGATACACATTAATAAAGCTTAATCTGTCTTTGCCTCAACAGTTAAAAATGGGAATCATTAGTGATTTCTGCTTCTGATTAATAACTGATTTAGTATTGGTTGTTTTATGAGAAGAAACTAAATAATTTTTAGATATCTAAGCTCAAGATTATTCAAATTTTTCAAATAAATTAATTCCAGAATATCTTTCGCTTGATCTGTATTATGTTCTTCAAGTGTTCTAGTTCCATTACTATTACTAACATTACTATTTTCAGCAACATTAGGGAAGATATGTATATTATTAGAAACCAAAAGTTAAAGATTTTGATTTGGAATTTCAGAGGGTATAGAAATCTGTTGGGCAGCTCCAGAATTCATGTTATTAATGGTATTTTTTATTTAGCTTCCTCATTTATTTAACAAAATTCCTTTATAAAATTCTGAATGATTTTTTATCATTTCATTATATTCTTAACTTCCAACTTATACAGCTCATTTTTCTCTATTACATCATCTGCTTCCCTTTTTCCAATTTATATATATTTGAAAAATATTTTAATTTTTTTGTTTGATTTTTTTTATTTGCATAATCATTAGTAAATTGAAAAAAATTATTTTAGCTTACCTGATTTTTTTTTCTTGAATATAATAATTTTTTATAATCAGCAAATAAAGAGATATTTTTGTGTGTAAATTCATAAAACTTTTAAAAATAAAAGAGAGACTTTCTACCAAAATATTTCAGTCAACACTTCCTAAATAATTACAACTAAACATTTACAAAAAGATAATTCTTTTTAATAAATAAACTTAGAAATATTAGAACTTTATTGAAAAACAATTAAAAAAATAATGTAAATAATAGAGTTCTCCTATATCTTTTACGATATTTTAGTATATTTATGAATGTCTTAAAAAATTGAATATCATTTAAACAAAATTAATTATTTTTGGTTATGTATTTTTTAGTACCCTATTAGCTAATTATTTAATCATTAGTTTTTTTTTTTAATAGATTATTAATTATAGAAATGAAATTTAATAATATTTTTTCTAATAATTATTAACCATTTATATTTAGCATTGTTTATATTGAAATAAATTTTTTTTTGATCTAATTATTAATGTCTTGCGGTAATATTGTGTAATAATTCTATCATGGATTGATCCAAATAATTAACAGGTTTAAATAAAAGAAAAGTTCAAACTATTATAAAATCAAAAAATTGATTGAATTGCAAACCTTGAGAATATCACAAAATATATCAGATTTTGTTTAATTATTCTGTTTTATTTTATAGGCTAGCTTTCAAAGTTTATTGAAAGTTGGTTTTATCTTTCTGAACCAATTATTTGTAGTTATCATGACCACCATTAATTAGTGAATAATAATTTGAGTTATTAATCTTATTTTCCTTCTTGATATTCGCTATAAAAATAATCTTGTTTAGGTAAGTTTGAATTTTTGATATTGCATAAAATCAAGAATAATAATTATTATTTGATTTTTGATAACAATTTTTGGTTTGCCTCATTTGGGTTTTTCTTGTATTTATAAATTTGGGTAGATCAATTTAAACTACTCTAAATGTAGAAAACTAGACTGTAAAAAAATGAAAATTAATTTGATATAAAAATTATCTCAGTTATTTTTGATAATTTTTTAGTGAAAACTGAACATAAAACTTATTCTGTAGGAGAAAATAAATTAAGGAATAATAAATGTTTTTTGCTTTTATTTTATCTTTCGTATAAGCATTTTAGATGAAAATAGATGATGATTCAGCTGGTGTAATTACAAAATACACTTTTGATGTCGAATTATAAGTAGATTCATATAATTAAATTTTGGTAATTTTTCCTATTAGTTTTGAATTTATCAAGTAGATATAAATATAATGTTGGTGTAATGGGGAATAATATTAAGTAAAAAGTTAAGAAAACTAAATTCAAATTTTGGGAGATTTTCTTCCATCAAAATCGCTTAAAATTACTTTAGAGAATATCGAGAATGGCTATGTTTCATATAATAATAATAATACAAATATGGAATTCTCCTTGGAATTTTATTCTCATTATAACTTAGTAGAAAAATAATCTTGTTTTTATAGATTGTCTATTTAACAGTAACTGCGTTTAGATGGAAGATATGAAAACTATACAACTTTTGTTAAAACTACCTTGCATATTGATATTAATTTTCTATTTAGAGTTCGATCTGGAACAGTTCTTAATATCATTTTTCCAATTATTAATAATGGAGCAAATACATTAGTGTCTTAATTAAGTGATACTACATATCCATTTGATTCAAATAAAATATTAGATTATAACATAAATCTCAATGAAAGAAAACTAACAATTTTTAATCTCTTTGAAAAGCAATATCTTCCTGGAGATACTATAAATTTATCAATCGCAAATATCTTTACAAATAATTAATAATTGGATAGGGATTCATTTGTTATTCTTTTTCAAACTTCGTACAAAGGATTATATATTGCAGAGTTAGAATACTTTTAAAGTGGTATTAAAAGTGTTAGCAATTCTAGAGAATTTATATTAAATAGTTCAAATTAAATTGTTTCTTAAAAAACATAATTATATTTTTCATTTCTACCTAGATTAGCTTATATTGAAGGAAGTTAAATTTATATTCATTTTTTAAATCTTTAGTCATCAAATTAAAGTAATATTTTTATTTTATTTTATTATTAGTAGCCAAAGCAATTTTTTTGCCAAAATCGAACATTAACCCTAATTATGAATTTTCGATTGAAAATGAAGGCTTAGCCATCAAAAATTTCAATTAATATTATGAATCAATGAAATTTGAATTTTGTGTATCAGAAATAGTAAATCCAACAGGACTTTCAAATTTTAATATTGGATTGTATGTTCTTACTCCTGACAGAAATTTAATTGAATATTAATAACATGAAATTGAAATAATTCCAGAAATTATATCTTCTATAATAGTGGAGGCTTTAAATACTACAGTTTTTGCAACTACAAAAATTACAATTAAATTTGTATTATCAAATCAATAAACTAAAACAACTATTCTAACAATATAAATTCCTTAACAAATTGAAATTGTTAAAGATTCAGTGATAATTAATCCAGGATCATCTTAAGAAATAATAATATTAGGATAATATATTTAATTCAAAAACTATTTTAGTAATAATTATATCAATAATCAAATTGAAATAATTTTTTTTGGTAAATTGATTGGGTTAGTTGGTCAAACTGATAATTTTTAAATTTCTACTAATGATTATTAAGATGCTTTAATAAGTATTTCAAGAAAACCAGTCTTTTTAACAATTAAACCATCAGAATATATATTACTTTCTTTAAGGCCCTAAATCTAAATTACAGATTTTATAACAAATTTTGTTATTCAATTCCAAATACCCCAAATTTATGAATAGAGTATTATGACTTTAAAATTGCCATAAGAACTTTAATAATAACTCAGTTTTTGTTCTGCTTCAATTCAAACAATATAATAAATTTGTCAAATAAATGATTAAAATATCAATGTAAAATTGTTTTTTGGAGGAATTTTAGAAATAATCATATATAACATCAAAACAGAGAGAAGTTTATAAGAATATAGTTATTTAATAGAAGGAGAAATCACTTACAAGGAAGAAATTTAGTCAATTCAATAAAATCAAAAAGTTTCTTATACTCTTTTATATGCATAAACTTTTTCTAATTATTCCTTAATTTATTCTAATTTATTTTATGGGGAATTGAACATAATTTAATTTTCATTCAATTTATTAAGTACAATCCATTAGGATGATCTTTTAGAAATTACATTTCCTCTAAACATAGAAACAATTTTAAGCTGTTCAAATATTATTGAGAAACAGATGGGGAATAAAATCTTTTTAAGATAATTATAAAATAATTTTAATACTATCAGTTGTGAGCTGATAAATCCTAAGGAAGACATTCCATTATACCCATTTAATTTCAATATTGCTACGAATACTGGAAAGCTTATTGCTTAATTTTAAGATATTTTTGGTATTAGAGATGGATTAAGAAGTAACAATATTGATTTTTCAATTCAGTAATCAAAATAATATTTGAATGAAGAAACTACTATTACTTTGAATTTTTTTACGAATTTAGGAATGGAAGAAAATGGTAAAATAAAAGCTGTCATAACAAATTCTCCCTTATATCTTTCAAATTTTAATTGTGAATTCTAATCAAACAGTACTAGAATTATTGAATAAGAAGAGGCATTCTGTGATTCTTATTTAGATAATGAAAATTTAATAATAATTGTAAATTTTTTAAATTCTTAATCATCGAATACATATAAAATAATTTTTAATGGGTTAATTTTACAAGGAAAAATTGGAGATCATGCAATAAATATTACTCTTAAAAATATTAACAAATTTGGTAAAACTGTTGAAGAATCTTCAAAATAAGAAAAGTTAGTAATTACTTGTCATGAAAATTGTGAGAATTGCAATATTAGCTATAATTAGTGTTCTTAATGTAAAGTTGGATTTGTAATGTTTTAAAATTAATGTATTACAAAATGTCCTGCAAATATGATATCTACATCATAAGGATGTGAAAGTTGTCTTACTAATGCCAATTGTTTATTGTGTGATCCATAGAGTCTAAATAAATGTATTTAATGCAAGGATGGATTTAATTTAAAGAATGGATATTGCATAAAAGTTAACAACATTTCAAATTAAAATTCAAGCAATACTTTAAATTAAAGTAATACTAACAATAATAATTTTGACGATAATGATTATCATATTCCTAAAGATAATACCTTGAGAAAAAATTAGATTTATGATGGATCTCCTATTTTTGTAATTTTAATGAGCGGAATGCTATTAGTTTCAATATTAAATAAATTGATATTTAAATAAAAAGCTATGATAGGAAAAACATTTTATGTATTAACAAGTTTGCTTGAAATGCCAATTGCTATAATAAGATTTATAAGGTATTTCTATAATTAATTTTAGATTTGCTTTGCTTCAATATCCAGGATATTTTTTATTATCTTTATCATGTTTGGCTGTGACTATTTTGGTCTAAATAATTAATAGTTCTTAACTATAATTATTAAAGAAAACTAATCTAAGTTATTAGAAAATTATTTTTAATTGTAAAGTATAGTAATAATTGGCGACTTTGCTTTAATGGAGAATTTTTTTGTTAATTTTACCTAAATAATGTTAGGAAGGCTTGTTAAATGAAATTAAAAAACTATTTGCTATTTAGGCAATTTCATAAACCCTACCAACAATAGTTCAGATTTCATTTATTTGCAACTAAAATTAGTTCTCTATGTTTTCTATTGATGATATTTTATATAATAGCATTATTTTTGTTTTATCAATTTTGAAAGATATCTGGTTAACAGAGAAAATGAATTCAGAATGTAGAATTCATCCTGAATTTAAATAATAAAGTTTATAAGTTTAAGAACAAATACTAAGGATAGAAAATGAGTTAAATCAAGAAGGAAATTTGTATTACTCAAACTAATCTAATATTAATGAAATAAGATAATGAAAAGTGTAATAAATAAGATATATTGAAACTCTATAAATATTATATTATTATATATATTTCATTGCTATTTTGAATATAATTCAAAACTATTTTCGTCAAAAATCACTCTAATTTACAATGAACAACTTGGACATTATGCGATATCAAATCTATTTTTAATTTATTCCTAATAAATATATATTTCATACTAAAGTAATTTAAAACCTATCTCCACAAGGACAAGGATAATAAAATATCTTTGTAGTTGAATCAAAATCCATATCCTCGATTTCAACTTCATCATAAACACTCATAATTCTTTTATAAATTATTTATATTTTAATATATTCATATTAAGTTATGGATTTCGATTTAACGAAGTTTGAATTTTTATCTTCAGAGCCCTATATCAAGCAAAATAATCGTACATTTTTTAGGTTGAGAGAGAAAAAAAATTAATCAAAGGTAGGAATTTTGTTTTAAATAATTAGATATTTACGTTCTTAATAATTGACGGAATATGTGAAGATAATCTAATGAAAAGTCATTTACATTGTTAAGGTCGAACCGAAGGTATAGTAAAAATAAAAGGGCATAAAAATATGGATTTTTAAGATTAATTTGGGATCAAAATTTGCAGACAAGGTTATTTACTTGAGGAAATATCAGCAAGTTTAAGTCAAGTAGCTTTGGTTGAGTAAATTAATAATAAACTCCTTTAATAATTATTGCTAGATGTTTTAAAAATTTTAGCAGATTTGTAAGAAGAAGAGATAGCATTACCATACCTAACACCTGATTAAATAATGAGAATGAAAGATGGAAAATTTAAATTATTTGATGTTAATAATGCAATTAGTGTAATAGGAATGGATAACAGTGTTTAAAGAGAAATTAAGAGTGATATTAATTATATGGATCCTGATACATTTGCTGCATCAATATCAGGTTAAATTTCAACTCTTCAAAACTATTTTAAATCAGTTATTTATTCTTTTGGATTAATTGTTTTAGAATTTTGTTGTTAATAGTAAAATATTTTTAAATCCTTTTAGGTTTTCAAATCATCGAAAAACTGAAGAATAAATTACATTTATGTTGGAACACTTAAAAAAACTTAATCCCAATCTTTAAGAATTAGTTAATTAAATGGTTTCATAATAAAAAAATAAAAGACCTAATTGCAAAGAAGCTTATGATTAATTATAAGAAATCAATAACATAAATAAAAATAATATGGATGATTAAATTTGTTAAGAAGTTATTTTACATCAAGATAACACTTTTAATTGGACTGGATAATTTACTGTATCTCAACCAATCCATGAAAACTTATTATAATAAGAGTAATTTGGGGAGACAAATAAATAAATATAAGTTTAATAGAAGTTTTAAGATAGCTTAGCTTATAGTGATAATTGTTAAACTATATAATTTGTTTAAAGTGGTATAAAACTACCTGAAAATTTGAGAAACTAAATAAAAGAGTGGTAATAAAGATAATAATAAGTTTAATCTTAATAAGATTTTACTTTACATTAAGAGGAGTAAAACAATCATTTTGAAAGTTCTGATGAAATAGAATAAAATTATTATAGCTAAATGACATTTGTTTAGCTTTTGGAAATACTCTTAAGATTTCCATTAATAAAATAAATTAATGAGTCTGATTTATACATAACTGAGTAATTATTATTTAATATTTAGTTAATACAATATTGATGAAAAATAAAATATTTACAGATGTACATATTAAAATTAAGAAAAGGTGGTTAAAATTTATAGGGATAAGCCTGCTTCTCAAATTTTTCAACTACTTAATAATATAAATCATATTTAAAAGTTAAAGATTTATGGTTTATGTATTTATGAAGGATATTATTTGTAAGAGTCAGAAAATGAAGCATATTCAGGAACTCTCTATCTTCTTACATAATAAATGAACTGTGATTTAGAAAGAGCCTTGGTAATTCAATAATTATAACAAAAAAAATTAAAAGAATAAGTAATTTTAAATATATCTTAATTCCTGAAAGCTTACAATGAGCATTTTATTCATGGAAATCTTAAACCCTCAAACATTTTGTTAGGTATTATATTAATTATTAAATAGATAATTCATTAAATATATATGTAACCGATTATGGTTTAAGTGAAGTTAAAGGAGAAATAGATGATTTGTTATATAGTAGCAAACCATCATGTGTTTATTCACCTCCAGAAAAAACATTAAGAAATACATTATCTAATACTTCAGATGTTTGGAGTTTTGGGATTATAATCAGTGAAATTGTAACAGGATAAAAAATAAACCAAGCTTTTATTTAAAAATTAGGAATGAAAGATGATTAGATTCAAGGATATTTGTAAATAGATAAATTAGATTATTTTTCTTAACCAGAATTAAATAATAAATTGAAAACTCTTCTTAAATAAATGACTTAATATAAAAGTGAAAATAGAATCTCGAGTGCATAAGTACATAATGAAATTAAAATCATATTCCAATAGTCAGAATAATCTAATTATAAAAGTAACAATATAAATAATTTTTAAAATGGAAACAAAGGCTAACCATAAAATATACAAAAAAATAATTACATTCAACCTTAAGCATAATAATATTCTGTAAATCCTATTCAATAAAGCCCATCATTTGCTACAATTAAACAAACTATCTAAACCAACTAAAGTAAAATACATAGAAATACTGGTTTATCGCATAAAGTTCCACCGCCCTCAGCTCGCTAATAATAAAGATATGAAAAAACTGGTGGTGAATTTTACATTTAAGGAAAAACTGTAAATTTATAACCATAAGATGCTGCAAAACAAAAAAAACCATAATGATATATTACTACATAATGTTTAAATTATTAGATATCAATATACTGTTTAAAGCATTTTATTTATACCTTAAATCTTAATATTAAATCATCCTTTTGTTTTTTAAATTTTTTTTCTCATTTTGCTCATCATCAAATATTATTTCCTTTTATTTAAATCAATCGTTATAATAAATTTTTCATGGCTTATTATAAATTATCAATTACATCATAATGCCATTTGATTATTTCATTAGTAGATATGGAATAATAATCTTTATTTACTTGAATTATAAATGATGCTATAACTTTTCTTTAATACAGTAAATTATTATTCATCAAGATTCTCTTTCTAAATTAAAACAGATTAATTAAAATAAATTATCTTTTATTCTTATGAACTTTTAGAAAAGAAATAATTAATACATATCTCTCCAAAATAGTAAGTTAGATAACATGATTTTTTTATAAAATTCAGATGAATTATCTTTGAAAAAAAATTCTTTAACTACTTTCGAAGCATATTGGATATTTTTATAAGATAATACTAATCAATTTTTCCTAATTTATTAATTATTATCAAAATATGTTCTTAATTATAAACTAAACTCATGTTTTCATAAATTATAACTATTTAAAAAATTTATTTTTTATTTCTTCTCACAATCTAAGTTATTTTTAGAAATAATGAAAAGCTTGCAAATTTAAATATTATGTACTCAGATATTCAGATATTGCTTTATTATTTATGATTGATTTTCTTTAAATTTCCTTTTAATTACAACCTATCGTTTTTTGGAATAAAATTAAAGTTAATTTTTCTAGATGAGAAACCATAAAATATTCTTCTACATATTGAGAATAAATTAATGTCTTAATTTTCCCACTTAATCAATAAAAATTTAAAGGTATTTTTTCAATTTTAGTGATATCATCTCTTTAAAAAGTTTAATAAAATAAGATTTAGTTATGTGATTCTTTTATAGGGAAATTTGATATAAGATAAAGAAATCAGATTTTTAATTAATGTTTATTTAATATATAAGAGAAAAAATTTTATTTATTAAATTTCTGTATAATAAAATATAACATTTCTTTGAAAATTTTCTTAAAGCTTTATAATTCTGCTAGTATTGTGTATTGAGAATGGATTTAATGTTTTTTAAATTAAGTCTATTATTTCAATATAACATATTAAAATTAAGATATAGATTAAAGGTTTTTGAAATTTATAATTTTTATGATACTTATGTTAAGGGTTTTTCAACGATAAAAAAGCTTAGATAGATTTCTTAAAAGAATATACACCTTAAAATTAATAAGGTAATAATAAAATACTCAGATGACGTAAAATAACCAATATTAATTAAAGCAATAAATAAAATATATACGAACTAAGAGTAAAATTTATTTAATAAGATTTGAATAATAAATATGATAAATAAAATATTTGTTAGAGCTTACTTTTAGACAGTTAAAGCCGTGAGATTTACTTTTGATGAGATATAAGATTGTAGCATAAATTTAAATTCAAAAATTGAAGAAGCTTATGGAGATCATGGATTAGGATTAGCAATAGTTAGTGGAATTCCAAATTATAAGAAGATGAGACTATAATTATTGCCCTTGGCATAAAGATTGGCAATATAACCATAAGAATATCTAAGAACTCTTGAGAGACCTGAACATTTTTATTCGAAGGGTTGGAGTTGTGGTGTTGAATAAGTAAATGCAAAAAATGATAAATTTAGTTTAAAGGAAAATTTGATAAATCAAAAGGGTCATTTTACAATAACCCAAATTATGATAGACATCATGAAGTAGGAAAGGAATATTAAGATTAAAAATAGGGCAATTTGATTGCATTAGAGAATGTATGGCCAGAGAGAATTCCAGAATTAGAAGGAGCTTTTAAGAACTTAGGAAGGTTGATGGTAGATACAGGTGCTTTATTATCATATCATATTGATAAATACATACATTCAAAATGTAATACATATGAATTAGGGAAATTGTACAGATTTATAAGAACAGGTGATTCACATGTTGGAAGATTATTACATTATTTTGACGGTCCAAATACAGATGAATGGTGTGGATGGCATAATGATCATAGTGCACTTACAGCATTAACATGTCCAATTTATATGCATAATGATCAAATTGTAGATTATACAGATAAAGAAGGAGGTTTACTAGCTAAAAATAGATATGCAGAAATAATGAAAGTAGGAATGGATCCAGATTGTTTAGCATTTTAGATAGGAGAGACAGCATAGATTGTTTCAGGTGGAATAATTGAAGCTACACCTCATTGTGTAAAATAGATTATTTATAAAATAGGTTGTTAAAAGTGATGAGACTGTAAGAAGGTAGTTGAATAGAAATACTTTTGCTGTATTTATGGGACCATTATCTAAAGAAATTTTAAATGTTCCAAAAGGAATAGATAAAAATAATGCATTGAATAAACCTGCATATAATGTACCATCACTTTTAGGAAGATGGAAAGAAAATATGACTTTTTAAGAATATAGCGCAAATAGCTTAAAAGCTTATTCTTGAAATTAGAATATGCATTTTAGAATTGATTAACATAAATAATTTATAAAATAATTAATTTACGTGTGATTATGATTTAATTATTATGCCTTTCGTTCCTATTTCTAAGTTTGACTTAATCAGCTTATATAATTGATTCTGCTGTTGATCAAGTATTTTGGTGTGGAGGTTCAATTATTGTAACACCTGATGATGATGTGGTCGAATAAAAAAATGAAGCTTAATAACATAGAAAAATATTATTTGTTCTTTCAAATAAGGGATTTGCTTATAGATCGACTGACTATGGGTAAAAATGGGAAAATGTTACATAAATATTAATAGAATAATAGAAATTAGATAGCAATTATAAATTTAAAGATGTAATGTAATCTCCTGCAGATTCTTTTACTATGTATTTTATTGGATATAATCAATCTTTTATCAGTTAAGATTGTGGAAGAACTTACAAAACCTTTAATGATAATAGATTATATGGTTTTAGATTTAATAAACTAAATAAAGATTAAATACTTGCATTTTAAGAAAAGAAATGTAATAAGACAGATAAAAGCTGCAAAGAACAATATAAGAGAGAACTTTGGGTAACAAAAAATGGTGGTTAAATATGGTAGCCAGTATTTGACCATGTTAGAGATGCAGCATGGGATAAATTAATTCATTATGAAATGGTACCAGATATGCGAATAATTGTATCTCATGTTGATACTTAAGGTGAATTAAAGGTATCTTATTCAGATGACTTTTTTAAAACAATTAAATAAATAGAAAAGGATTGTTTTGGATTTTATTAAACACCTACTTATCTATTTTTATTAGTTAGACCAGATTAGTATAGTGTTGGATATGATTTAAAAATGTCACCTCATTTAGGGGAAACTTATTTCCCATAAGAGATTGTGTTACCAATTGATGATCAAAGCAAACATACTTTTACTGTATTAGATGTTACTGATAGTATTGTATATATGTCAGTTGCACATGGTGAAGAATTATCAAAGGTAACTAATATTTATATGAGTGATGGCAATGAATTCACAGTATCACTTTTGGGAAATGTTAGAAGTCAAGATACTGGACATTGTGATTTTGAAAAAATTAAAAGTATGAAAGGAGTTTATATTGCTAATATTTTTGATTATGATGAAATTGAGAAAACTAAATAAAGAAGAAAAAGAATTAATTCTGAAAGAGAAATGAAACTTTAAAATTCTGATAGGTTAGACTAATATAAGAAATCTGTAATTACTTTTGATTTAGGAGCAGAATGGCATTCATTAAAAGCACCAAAATATTCTTATTAAGGATAACCTTTAAATTGTAATGGAGATTGTAGTCTTCATTTAAAAGGAAGAACTGAAACTACATCATTAATTTATAGTAGTGAATAAGCTGTAGGAATTATTATTGGAACTGGAAATACAGGATTATATCTTGATAGTTAAGAAACTAATACTTATTTATCAAGAGATGGAGGTCATAATTGGTATGAAATATTGAATGGAACACATATTTATGAAATTGGTGATCATGGTGGACTCATTGTTTTCGCAGAATCAGAATCCTATACTAATGTTGCTAAATTTACATAAGATGAAGGTCTAACCTTTCAAGATATTAAATTAAATATCACTTTAGACATTGATAATATAGTAACTGAACCATCAAATGAAGAATAGAAATTCTTAATTTATGGTAGAATCAAATAAACAGATAATCCTTAAGAAGATTTCTGGAATAAATATGATTCTATTATAGGTGTCTTAATTCCTATTGATCTTTCAAATGTCTATTAAAGAGTGTGTAAAGGAAGTGATAATCCTGATGATCCAAATTCTGATTATGAATATTGGTCTCCATAAAATTATTAGTAATAAAAATGTTTATTTGGCTAAAAAGTCAAATATTAAAGAAAAAAAAGAGAAGCAAAATGTAAGAATCCTGAAATCGTCAAAAAATTATTAGTTGAGAAATGTCCTTGTACTGCAGAGGATTGGGAATGTGATTTAGGATTCATGAGAAAAATAGATGGTGGTGAATGTATTCCAATGACATATGGATTTTCATCTTCTCCACCTCCTATTAAATGTACAGGCACTTATATGAAATCACAAGGCTATAGAAAAATACCAGGAGATGAATGTGAAGGAGGGTAATAAATTATTATAATTAATAGAGTGTATTTAGGACCTATTGAATAAGAATGTCCTACTGAAAAAACTAATATTTAAATTAATCAAATTATAACGGACAAACCTATAATTAAAAATGATTAGAAAAATTAAGATAAATTTGATTCATAAACTCCTATCTTTTAAACATAACCAATATCATCAAATAAATCTTTTTAGATTTTAGATTATGCTGATTACATAATTATTTCTATTATAGTTTTAATCCTCTTTTATTTCAGAAACTCAATATTTTATATTGTCAAATAAATTTTTGCAGCTTCATAAGTAAATACCAACCGAAGTACATTTATAAATTTTATATTATTTTAGAAAAAAGAAGTTATTATCCACCAACTGAAGAAGAAATGTAAGAGAAAAAATAAAAAGCAGCTAAGAAACGATTATTTGGTATCTAATCAACTAAGGATGAAGATGAAGAAGCAGGATTGTGAAATAATTTTAATAATATATTTCTTTTATAAATAATAAAATTAATTATTTATTTACTTTCTATTATTTTTTAAAATTATGTAATAATTAATTTCTTAAGGGGCAGAGGCAAAGATTTATAAAATTTAGTTTTTAGGGGATTTAGCCATTTTAAAAGAAAGATTATCAAAATAATACCGATTAAAAGTATTAGATGATAGAATTACTACAGAAAGAGTTAAAACTGTATAAATTATTATCTATTTAGGAATCAAGATTATTAAGTAAGGCTAGATAATTAGGAGTAAATGTTCCACATTTATATTATGTAGACAATAATTCAATAATAATGATGTTTATTGATGGAATCAAACTGAAAGATTATTTGAATAATTTAGAAAAAGAGGGCAAACAAGTTGAATTACAGCAAATTTTAATTTTAGTTGCTTAAGATATTGCTAAATTACATAATGGTGGAATAATTCATGGGGATTTAACAACTTCCAATATTTTAGTTTAGAATTAAAAACCATACTTTATTGATTTCGGATTAAGTTATACAAAAGTGGGATTTGTAGAAGATTTTGCTGTTGATTTATATGTATTGGAAAAAGCTTTTTTAAGTACTCATCCTACTCTTGAAAATGAATTTTAATTATTATTAGAGGAATATAAAAAATAATAAAATAAAGGAAAAGATGTAATTGAGAAATTAAGGCAAGTCAGATAAAGAGGAAGAAAAAAGGTAGCATTTGGATGAAATGATTTGTGTTCAATATAAATTATTAATAAATTGTTACAAACAATAACTATATTTTTTTATTTTATTTCAATATATGGTGGATTTGCTACCAGATACCTTGAATCTTAATATAAATGATTATTAAAATTACTTTTAATCTATTTATGTAAAAGATTATGAAATTTTATAATAATGAAGAATGTGATGAAATTTTTTTCAAAAAAGCAATTTCTACAACAGTTGGAAGAATGAAATAACTTAAGTAATGATTTCATTTTAAATAATTTAGCAAATATTTAGATCCAAAATTTTCTGAAAGTATCAAACCTAAAGAATATTTAAAATAAATTTAGTAAATGTTAAAAACGATTTTTCATATGGTTCAGAATAAGTGTTATTAGATAAAATGAATAATTAATAATTCCAATATTGTCTATAAAATAACGAGAGGGGATCCCAATATTAGTGTAACAAAGAGAAAAGGGATAGAATTCTATAATAATTGTTATAATTAGAATAGGAATAATATCCTATAAATTATTTTATTAGACAAAAGAAATAAGTATGAAATTTATAAAACAATAATTGTAATTATTTATTTATTGAATGATTTCTGAAACTATTTTAGAAAAACTTAAACCCAGCAATTCCCATATAGTCAAACCAACAGAAAGAACTCTAACAAAATTAACTAAAAGCTAAAATAGTTTAAAGAGAAATGATAAAGATGAAAAAAGCTCAGATGATATAGTAAAATTTAAGGAAACTTTATTATCAATAAATACATCTTAGAAATCAGAAATTAATTCAAGTAGAGAACCTAAATATGGCAAAAGAGTCTTATTAAAATCACTAAAAGGAGGTCCTTTGATTCCATTAACAAAAAATGGAACAAGTAGACATGAAACACCTCCTTTAATTAGCTAATCCTTACCTTAGCTTAAATTAAAAACATTAGGAAATCTTTAACAAAGATATACTTCAAATTTAACAGAGAAAAACCAAAATCTGTCTAAATCATTACTCAATAACCCATAAATGATACTAGAAACAGAATAATCTCTTTAGTCAGAAAATAGATCACTTCTTTAGAAAAAAGAGCAATAACAAGTTGTTTAGACGAAATAGCCATTAGAAAATAAAAATGAAGAATGTATTGATAAGCAAGAATAATAATGTGAAATATCTTAAAATAAAACTAAAGTGATTTAAGGAATTTAAGAAGAATAGAATGAAGAAGAATAATAATCATAAAATATAAGCGAATAAGAACATATTTAATGTTTAGTAGAATAACATCTATCGGAATAAGAAGAATTTGTAAAACATTTAGCAGGTAATTATATATTGAAAAATTATTAGGAAAATGTATATGTGTCTAATGTCCATGTGGTCGATGCAAATGTAAATTTTAATATAAACCATTTGCTACGAATTTATGTTGGAATTCAAATTACAGATCAAGTTATAAAGAAAATCCAATAAAAGAACAAGATCTTAAGGTTGATTTAGAATAATTCAAAAAGTTCAAATCAGTTGAATCATGTGAATATAAAACTACTATGGGATCTGATTTTAAATCTTATTAAATCAATCCTCCAGAATAAAAAGTAACTAAATAATATAAACCATCACTTGGTACAACACCAATGACATCATATAAGGTATGATATATTTAAATTAAGAATTTCTATATGAACTATGGTGACCTTCATTATGAATAATTTAAATAAAGTCATTATAAAACAGTTATACCAGAATTACCTTTTAATCCAAATACAACATATAAATAGAGTTTTAAAATATAGTAATTATAAGATAATGCTGTAATTATTTATTTAGAATATTAGTACACAAAACCTCCCAATGGCAAACCATTTCCAACAATTGATTTATTTTTAGGATAATCATAAAATAAATAATCCTATTAACCTAAATAAGTTGATAAAATAAAAGCTATTGATTAACAAGGTGAAATAATGTAAGTTCCAGCTTATTAAGGATAATACACTAGCGTAACTCATAATGATTTTGTAAAAAAAGAAATCTTATGTGAAAAATATAAATGAAGATAATTATCATTAAAATTAATATTTATTATCAAAATAGATAAATGAAAAAAGCACCAAAATTAATTAAATGTGTTATCAACAATGTAGATAGAGGAAAAGCAAAAAATTGTTAAATCTGTAATCAATCTTTTTCTGCCCTTTCTGTAAAAGAGCATTAATGTAAAAGGTAATATATGATTTTATATATCATTAAGATGTAAAAGGGCAGTATGTGAAAAATGTTCACCTCACAAAGCATTCACAATTATAGATGGTGTTCCATCAAAAGCTACACATAGATAATGCAGTTATTGCAAAGAAGAAAGTGAATAATTAAGAAAGTTTATTAATCAATACAAAATTATATTCATGGAAGATACATTTTCAAAATAATGGTTGAAATCATTTGGAAGTAGTGTTGAATAAGCTAATTTAGTATTTAATATTTAATTTTCAGGATTTTGATTAATCTTAAAGAGAATAGAACAACCAAAACAATAAAGAAGAAAGTTCGAAAATGAAAATTGAATTACCATAAGTATTTTAGGAGATTGTTCACTTTAAAAATTATTCACTATCAGAATTCTTTTATTTAGTAATAAAAGATTTTGATATTACTTTAATTTTAGATTCAATTAATCGAGTTCTTGGAACATTTTTGAAAATATACCCAGAAGTTGGTTATGTACCTGATTAAGTTTTTTTAACTTTATTTTTACTGTGTTTTTGTAGTGAAGCCTCAGCTTATCAAATTTTGGTATTTATTTATTCACATATTATTCCACAATATTCTTATCCTTTGAGTTTAAGAAAGGAAAAATGTGAATACTTTACAGAAATAGATAAGACAATGTTAGTATTAACTTAGTCATTCAAAATAAGTTCTTAAGATTCACCTTATGTGAAAACATTTCTAAGATATAGATTGGCTCGTTACATATAATCGTTTACAATTAATTTCTTTTTATTTGAAACAACTTTCTTTATCATTAACTAGCTATTTTTGTAACCATAAAGTGCTTATGATGATTTGACTAAATATTTAGCATCTGCATATAATATATAGATATAAATCTTTCGATAGTAATCATAAGATGATATTGAATTAATATTATTAAGAAATGTACGTTCTGCAAAAATTTAGGATGGATATTTCTTAACTAAATAAGTTGATTTTTCCAAAATTATTCCAGCAATCTAAAAATCTAATAGCAGTATATCAGCAAGACAACAATCATTTATACAAGAGAAAGATTAAGAAGCAGGTATTAAATATTAAGAATAAATTATTATATTGAAAAATGAAATTGAGAGGCTATAAAAAGTTAACCAAGAATAATCAAACAAAATTGAGAAACAAAAATTAGAGATAGAAAATTTAGAATTAAAGTTAGAATAAACATCATAATTTATATCTTTATATAAGTCTCCAGAAAAAGATATTAATTTGGATTAATATATTTCTTATCAAGATGAAGAATTATAAAGCCTTAGAAGAGCTACATAATAATAAAAATAAAATAACTAGGATTTTGAAAAACAATAATTGTAGGCCTATATTAAAAAATTAGAGTCTTAAGTATTTATTGAGTATAAAGCAAATATACAACTTAAAGAATAATTAGAATAATAGTAATTATCGAAAAGTTATGCATCTACAGCTAGTTAAGATTAGTATGAATAGGAGATTTTAGAAAAAAACTTCTAAAAATACAAAAGAAAGTATGAAAAATTAAAAGCCAAATAATAAAATTTAGATTAAAATTAAAAATCTAAAAAAGATTAAGGCCTTATTACGGATCTAGAAGCTAAATTACAATTAAAAGATAAATAAATTTCTGAATTAGAGTTAAAATTAAATAAAAACAAATTTGATACAACTGCTTAAATTGTTGAATTAGAAAGTTCGATTGAACAATTAGAAAAGTAAAATAAGTTGTATAAAAAATCAATTTAAGATCTTGAAAATAAATAATCAAGTTTATATAAATAAGATAATAGTTTGGTTTTAACATTATAAAGATAAATCTCAGATACATAAAATGAATCAAATTTATAGCTTAGATAAACATAAGATAGATTTAATCAGCAAATACAATCACTTAAATAACAGTTATAAAAAGAATAAAAAGACAGATTTTTAGCGGAATAACAATTAAAAGATTTGACATTAAAATTAGAAACATAAGAAAAATAATAAAAAAATACAATTACGCAAAATATAAATAATAATTAAGATATTTTTAAAGACAAAGAGTAATCGAAAGATTTTTAGTAAATTTAAACATAATTAAAAGAGTAGGAAGAAAAATATTAATAATTAAAATAAAAACATTATGCTCATTTATAAATGATGATTCAAGTAGAAAAGGATAAATTAGTAAATCCAGAAATTTAAATAAGTCTTCTAAATAGTTAAGAAAAAGAAATTAATGCATTATAAGAAAAATTGGAGAAAAAGAAGAGTAAAATTAGATAATTTAAATAAAAAGAAAAAGCTTGGATGAAAATAAATTAAGATAATGTTGTTAAAATTAATGAAACAATAGATAGTAAATAGATTGAAGAATTAATAACTAAAATAATTATATTATTGAATTTAGATGATAAAATTTAAAAAAACAATATAAATGATTAAGCAATATCTTTATTAATAGAGAAAATTAGTCATTTAATTGAGAAATAAACAGAATTTTCAGAGGATTTCTCAAATATTTTTGAGGATAGTTAATTTGTAAAAAAGTTAAATGAATTGATTGAGTAAGTTGAAGATTCCTTTGTTTTTGATTACAATTCATTAAATTTATTGATTGAAAAAATAAATAGTGTTTTTTAACGAATTAATTCTACTAAAAAAAAAATACTCTAGATATTTAAACAGACATTCGATTAAAATGATTTAAATTAAAACCCAAATTTAGACATTGTAATATTATAATTATAATAAAAACTATAATAATTTTAAATCGGCAAAGAAGAATTAGAATCAAGAATTTAATAATTATAATTATCAAAGAATAAATACTTAGAAGTATAGGAGGAATCTAAAAGAGAAAAGAAGATTTTATAAGGAGTAAGAGATATAATTATAGATTTACCTATTTTTTCTCCTTCTGAAGTATTTTCTTTTTCAGAATAGAAGTTTAAAAACAAATAAATTGATTAAGAAGATGCCAAATTAATTCTTGAAGTAAGAAATCAATAAATAACCACATTAAAAATGATTTTAATTGAAAAATAAAATCAATTGGAAACTCTTAATAATGGAATGATTAAATTAAAGGATTTGATGAGCAATTATTTTGTTCAAATAATGAAGTGATTGAATTCATAATAAATTTATACAAATATATATATTATTCCATATTTTACATTTTGAGATGATGTATGATTAATAGTTAGAATGAATCAAAATTTAAGTGATGATATTAATCAAATTCTTTAAATATATTTTATTTTCATATCTAAATGTCAAAGAAATCAACTTAAAATTTGATAAAAGGGGTAATATTGGGTGAAGCAAGAGGTAAATTTAAAAAGTGTCAAATCTGTTAGAAAGAATTTGGAATTTTTCATAAAGAACACTAATGCAAAAGGTTTGTGTAATAATCTAAATTTAAGGTGTCGAAGAGCTGTATGTTAGAATTGTGCAAATCATCATGGACCTGTTTTAACTGATACAGGATTTTCAAAATAAACCCACAGAATTTGTAATGTATGTAAAGATGAAAGTGATTCAATTAAGAAGTTTATAGAATCATAAAAAATAGGTTTAGGAAAAGATACATATGCAATAGAATGGTTAAAATAATCAGGTCTTACTATTGATTTAGCTAAAAAGGTAATATCTTATTAATGTTATAGGAATATGATTTGGCATAAAAAGAAAATGATCGACAAAAAGATAAAGCAGAGTTTTTAAGGATGAAATAAGAGTTATAAATGGTAATGATTGAATTCTGGATGAATCTAACCTTTTCTTATAGGGAATTTTTATTTTACTTAATGAAAGATATCGAATAAGATTAATTATAATAACAGATATGCAGAGTTTTAGGAGCAATATTATTATAATATCCAGAAATAGGATACAGTTCAGATTAAGTAATAATAACAACATTTCTGTTGTGTTTCTGTTCTGAATCATCTGCATATGCAATTTTAACAATATTATATTCAGAAATAATTCCTTCTTATTTGTATCCATTAAATTTAAAAAAAATGCCATATGATTATTAAAATGAGAATGATTAACTTTTTTAAGTCTTAGAATAGGGATTTAAAATTAAATCATCAGATTTATAAATAATTAAACCATTTATAAAATAAAGAGCTCAAAGATATATTCTATCATTGGGAATCAACTTTTTTTAGTTTTAGACATCATTCTATATTATTAATCAAATGCTTGTTAATCCTAAAACTGGATATGATAATTTTATCAAAAGCTTAGCAGTTTGCTTTTATTAATAATTTGAAGATATCAAGGTCTTTATAAATTCTTTAGAAGATATTGAAGCTTAAATTTTAAGAAATGTTAAATCTACTTAATGTGAGAAAGATTTTCTTTTAACAAAAAATATAATGTTTATTCCTCACAAAAGAGTGACTTAAAGTGTTGTTATATCAAGATCAACTGATAAAAAACAATCAAATTAAATTTAACCTGAACATAATAGAGATCTTAAAATTGAAGTTTAAATAAAACCTGAATAAAGTGTATCAGAGTTTGCTGCTGTCTAAGATAAAGCATTGTAAGAACCAAAAAGAAAATCTGTGGAAGTTAAAGCTACTATAGAAGTAGATGAAGAAAAAACAAATTTAAAGTAATATATTATAAAGGTTGAAGAAACCTTAATGTTAAAACATAAATTAGTTACTGAATTATAAAATAGGATTAAAGAATTATAAAATTAATAACCTTAAATTAATAATAATAATTCAAATGTAGATAAATAATTAATAGAAACTAATGAATAATTAAGAAAAAGAATTTAGGAATATGAGATACAGATTTCTTAATTAGAAGAGTAAAATAAATATTCTAATAAACTTTAAGAAGATGCTTAGGATATGGTTGTTACAATTCAGAAATCAAATAAAGAATTAGAATAATAGCTTGAAACTTCATTAAGAACAAATAAGGATTTGTATATTTAGATAAAAGATTTGAAGAATCAAAGTTCTTAAATATAACCACCTTCACCAATGACACCTTCAAGGGAAAAAAATTATTAAATAAATATTGCTTTGATTTAAAAAAAGAACGAGGAATAATTATAATAGAAAATAGATTAAGAGCAATAAAGGATTGTATTATTGGAATAATAAATTAATTAATCGAATAAAGAATTATTGGGTTTATAATAATTAAATTAAGATAAACTTAAGATTATAGGAAATTTAGAAGTAAGATTGATTGAATTAGATTCAACAAAAAGAGAAAATGAAAAACTAACTCTTGAGATAGCAGCTTTGTTTAAAAAAATAGAACATCATGAATTAGTAATAATTTAATAACAAGAAGATCTTGAAGATTTGAAGGCTAAATATGAATAATTATCTAAATAATATGAAATTTAAGGAGAAGAATTAGATTAAATAAGAATAGAAAAAAGATAGAATTTGGAAGAATATAATAGAAAAGAGAATGAATTACTTTTAATAATAGAAGATTTGAAAAATAGATTATAAGATATGACAAAATAATATTAAACAATATCAGATTAATTAAATTAGTCATTAGATACCAATAACTAATTATAAAATTTAATTCAAGAGAAGGATGAAACAATTAAATTACTTGAAGCAGGTATAGCTAAAGGTGTTAAAAAAATAGCAGAAATAGAAGCTAATCATCATAAATAGAAAGAAGATGATAGAAAGACAATTGAAGAATTAAAATAAATTATTGAGTAAAATAATCAAAAGATTAATAAACTCGAAAAAGATATAGCAGAGAAAGATAATAAACTTGAAGAGCATAGAAAGGAATTCAAAGCACTTAAGGTTATATTTGTTACTTTAGAGGAGAAATGGACAAAATTAGACAATGATCACAAAGATTTAAATAATAGACATGAGAAATTAATAGCTGAATGTGATGAATGGAAGAAAAGATTTAATTAGCTTGACGGAGAACATAAAGATTTATAAGAGAAACATAGATTAATTATTATAGAGTATGAAAAAGTAAAAGAAAATACAAATGAGAAAATGAATGAATTAAAATCTCAAAATGAAGATCTTCTTAGAAAACTTAAAGTATTAGAAGATAAATATTAATTATTATATAATTAGCATTAAGCAGTTTTAGAAAGGTTGGAAAAAGAAACCTAAAATCATATTAAGAAAGTAGGAGAATTAGATTTAATAATTATTGGATTGGAAAAGAAAGCTCATGAATATAAAACATTGAGTGAGAATTAAAAATTAGAAATAGATAATTTAAAGTCTTTAATAAAAGAATTGGAAGGTAAAATGGCTTAAGCTGAAAAAGATCAATAATAGAGACATTAATAATTGCTTATTTAAATATAAGCACATTTAGAGAAATTAACAAAATTAGAAAATAAAAATAGCAAATTAGAATTAGATGTACTAGATATGGAAAAAAGAATATAAGAACTTATTTTGTATAATCAAGATTATAAAAATGAAATTATTAAATAAGATGAAAAAATTGCAATTTTAATAAAAGAAGCATAAACTAAAGAATCAGAAATAATTAAATTAATTGAGGTTATTGAAAAATAAAAATTAGAATTAGTTGAACATGATAAGATAATAATTATCTTAAGATAAGAGAATGAGAAGTACAAATTGGATTTGATTGATTATGAAAAAATTATTAGAGAGTTAAGATAAAAAATAAAAGAGCTTGAACTCATTATTATAGAAAAGGAAAAGAAAATTATAGAATCAGAAAAGCAAATTAAAAAGCTATAGACATTGTTAGTACAATTTAAGACATTATCAGAAGAAATGGCATCAATAAGTTGATATTATTTACAATATAAAATAAAATTATTATTCATATATTTAATGAAGAAACCTTAATCTCTATTTAAAAGAGTAATGATTTCAGCTGAAAGAGGTAAATATAAAGCTTGTTAAATTTGTTAAAAAAAATTTGGAACAGAGCATTAATGTAAAAGGTAATAATTATTATATATTTTATAGATGTAAAAGAGCTGTTTGCGAAAAATGTTCAAATTTTAAAGGAAGAATATTTACAGATTCAGGATAAGAAGATAAAACTTTACATAGATAATGTAAGATTTGTAAAGAAGAGAGTGATTCAATAAAAAGGTTTGTAGAAACTAATCACATATTATTTCTTTAGGATACAAAAGCATTAGAGTGGTTAAATTAGTTTGGAGTTACAAAAGAATAAGCTAAAGCAGTATATGTATATACTTAATTAGGAATATTTGTAAGCATAAAATAAAATTTCACAGAGTGAATAATCCGAAATAAAAAAACTCAAAAATAATTTAAATAATGCATTTTCAGAGATTCCTGGAGTCTTTAATTATTCATTAAGAGAGTTCATATACTATGTTATTAAGGAAAATGAGTTTGAAACATTAAAATAAGCAACAGGAAGAATCTTAGAGACATTTCTATCTAATTATAATGAAGTTGGGTATTCACCAGACTTAATTATGTTGACAATATTTTTTCTTTGTTTTGGAACAGAGTCATCTGCATTCTCTTTACTCAACATTTTTTTTGCTGAAATGGTTTAAGCTAATTTATATCCTTCCAATATTATGTAATATGATAATGGAGAAGATATTGAAAGAGTTTTATTAGTTCTTACTTCTTCATTCAAAATGTAATAGTAAGACAAACCATTAATAACAAATTTTCTAAAATCAAGATTAATCAAATATTAACAATGTTTTACTATAAATATGTTACAAATTGAATCAACATATTATATTATTGATTCATTATATTCATTACATAAATAAGCATAGGATGAATTTATTAAATTTATAGCATCTGCTTTATCATAAAATATATCTGATGTAAAAGTGAATTAATAATATATTGAAGAATTTGAAGTTATATTGTTAAGATAGGTGAAATCTTCTATTATTAAAGATGAATATTTTAAAACTAAAAGTTTATAATTTACACCATATACAACAAGAATGATGTCAAGATCTTAAATTACTAGGAGATTTTCTTCTGTTATTTAAGACTCTAATCAAAGTAATATTGATTTTGATAAATTAAATAATTTAAACAAAGTTGTAGAAAGTTAAAAAGAAGAAATAGCAAAATTAAATTTTTAGTTGACTAGTACAACAGAACTTGTTAGAAAAAAGACTGTTCAATTGAAATAGAAAGATTAAACCAATATATAAAATGACTTAAAATAGGTTGAAGATGAAGATTAAATATTTTCTAATTTAAGAAGAAAAACTTTGAATATACTTAATTAAGAAGAAGTTGATGAAGATGTTGCTGTTTTAACAGATTATATTAATAAATTAGAAGAGGTATTAATATTAAAGCATAGAGTAGTCAAAGATTAAAATATTAAAATATTAGAAGTGCAAGAAAATAATTAAATACTATTTGAAGAGATATTAAAATTAAAAAAAGAAGTTTAATAGTCTGAAATTAAATTTATTGATTAAACTAATATTACTCATTAAATTGAAAAAGAGATAAATGAAAAATAAAGAATAATTGATGAATATAAGCAAAAAAATAAAGAATTACAAGACAATTTAGAATCTGTTTAAACAGAAAATAACTAATATAAAATATAATTACTTGAATTTAAAGCTTTATCAGGAGTAAAGACTGTTGATGATGGAGTCAAATAAAATTAATATCAAAGAGAATTATAAAGATTATAAGAAGAAAATAATAATCTATAAAAAAAAATTACAGAATTAGACAGTTTAATTTAAGATAAATCAATCCTTGGAACAGAATAAGAAAATCTTAAGAAATAATTAAACATGAAAGAAGAATAAATTAATAGTCTAAATGAATAAATTAGAAATCTAAATGAAAAAGTATCTAATTTAGAATAATAAAGAACACTTCAACTAAAATAAATGAAACATTTAGAAGATTAAATAAGTTCTAAAGAGAGAGAATATATGACAGAAATGTAAAAAATAACTTATGATAGAGATTTATCTAAATAAAGAATTAATGAAGGTGAGGCGTAAATATTAAAACTACAATAAAATGATTAGAAATTAAAAAACGAAATTTCCAATTTAAATGAAGAATTGCAACAATAATTATTAAAATTGGAATAATTAAACAAACAAATTAAAGATTATGAAATATAATAAAATTAATCAAGAGAAACATCTTTAGATATTAACAAAGGCTAATAGATAAGATTAGAGAAATTGGAATAGTAAAACTAAAATATGAATTTAAAGATTGAAGCTTAAAATTAAGAAATTAAATCATATATTGCAAAAATAGAAGAGTAATTAACAACAATAACTGAATTGAAATAAAAAGTTTAAGAAGAAGAAAGTTTAAGAAAGGCAAAGGAAAAGCAAGTCAATGATAAAGTTTAATAAATTGGTTAGTTAGAGAATTAATTAATAAAAATATAAGAAAAGTATAATTTAAGTAATAGATAATAATAAGAAATGCAGAATTAATATGAAGATCTTAAAAAGAGATATGATGTTGAATCAAATAATATATAATCTCTATAAAGCAAATCAATTGAATACAATTCTTTGTAATAAAAATATATTGATTAAAGTCAAAAGTTAAGTTCTTTAGAAAAGTAATTATTAGATTATAATGAAATTGCAGATCAAAATTAAAAATCAAAGAAAGAACTTTAAAGTCTTACTGATTTGCTTGATTCAAAATTAACAACAATTGTTGCTCATGAAACTAAAATTATTGATTTAACAAATCAATTAAAAGAATCAAATTCATAGTTATAACAAGTTAGAAAAGAAAATCATGAAATCATGCAAAAAAAAGCTTAAGATATGTAAGTTATGGATTAATTGAAATAAATAGATGTAGAAAATGGAGAATTAAAATAAAAAGTTTATTCTTAAGAAGCAACTATTTAAAATTAAGAAACATTATTATCAGTTTTAAAAGGAAATTAATTAAATTTAGAATAAAGCTAAATGAAATTAAAAATTGATTATTAACATTTGGAAGAAAAGTATAGTGAAAAATTGTTAGATTTAGATGAGAAATCTAGGACTCTTTTCAATTTATAAAATAAATTTGATTCATTAAATTATAGAGTTTAATAATTAGAAGAAAATTTAAGACAATTGGAAGAATTGAGAGATGATTATTAAAGTAAATATGATTTGGCATTGTAGGAATTAGATATTTATAAGGGAAAGGATAAAGAGATTAATTAAATGGCAGCTAATAAAATAGAATTATAAGAATAAATGGATTCAATCTAAAAAAAAAATAAAATCTTAGAGAGAGAACTTTAGGTTACTTAAAATGCTTTACAATCTAAAGAATCAGATATTTTATAACTTTAGCATACTATATAAAAAAAGGAATAATAAATAACTACATTAGAAGGAGTAATTGTTAAACTTAAATCTGATTTAACTAATTCTAAAAATTCTTACGAATAATTATAATTAGAATTGACTGAAATGAATTCAGAATAAAAATCATCAGGTGAACTTTTTTCATAGGTTAAAAACTTAACTAGTGATAATCTTAATAAAAACACTCATATAGATTAATTAAAATTATAAATTAATGAACTGTAAGATAAAAATAGAAATCTTGAAAACTAATACAACAAATTAAGAGGTGATGCTCTTATAGGTAATTCGCTAAATTCTGAGTCTTTTGAATTAAGACAAAAATTAGAAGAATTAGAAGGTTAATTTTAATAATCTTAATTTACAATCAAACAAAAAGATTAAGAAATTTAAGAATTAAAATATTAAATTGAAAAATAAAATTAATAATAATAATCTTAAAAAGAAATATAGAATAATAATTAACTAAAAAATTAAAGCAATGATAATGAAAATATTAAAATTTAAGAATATTAATTTATTATTTAATAATAAACAGAAGAAATAGAAAATATGAAAAGAAATTCATAAGGATTAGGTGAAGAATTAACAGAATTACTAACACAAATTGTAAGTGTGTTTTTGAAAAAAAAAATAAAAAAAGATTAATTAAATATAGCAAGTGTTCTTGATTAAATTAAATTATTTTAAAAGGAAAATATAAGTTTAACAATTAGAGAAGAGGATGATGAATAATTAGTGCTACAAAAGCTCTAATAATATAGAGGTGATTATATTAATTTTAGATTTAGAGTTGAATAAATTATAACAAAGATAACTGTTTTAAAGTAATAAATGCTTTAAGTTATATCTGAAGCAACAATCTAAGGAAAGAAAAAAGATGTGGATAAAAATATGGATGTAGAAAATTTAGTGATGTATTTCAAGTTGCTATTGGATTCGTAAGCTGTATAATATAGCAATCAATTGTAATTATTTTAGTAATGTGAAGCCGAATTAAAATCATATTAAAATAATACAAGTCCTCAAGGGTAAATTATTTAATAAGTAAAAGAATTATTGTCTAAGACTCCATTTTTAACATAATCATAAATATATTAATTTACAGAACCTAAAGTTTCGATTAAATTAAGAAAAGATTAAGATTAAGAAGATGCCAGATTAATAGTAGAAGCAAAAAATCAATAAATTTAATGGCTCAAAAATCTGATTAATGAAAAATAAGATTAATTAGCTGTAATGAACACTTATTTAGCTAATTTAAAATAGCTGATGGATAAATATCATTTAAAATGAAATTACATTTATTTAAATAAAAAAGTTATTAAAATAAATAAAATTTATCAACGAAATATTCTTGATTCTGCAAGATTGGTCTCAAAATCGTTAAATTTATTTTCAGATACTCCTCTTGGTCTATATTATGATTTGATCATGTTTTCTTTATTCAGAGGTTTGGATAACCTATTATTATTATTAATTTTTTATAATTCAGATAATTAGACATATAATTTTTATATTTCTTAATCCTTCTATTAACTATCTTATTCATTTTTATTTTGATATCTTTATCTTAAAACTTATAATTGTTAAATGTAGTTATTATTTATATTTAGATTATTTTAAAGATTACACTAATTAATATTAGAACACCCATCGATTTATGTTTCATTGATATTTTATTGCAAATTGATAATAGTTTTACTTAATTTTATATTAAGTTCTTATTAATCCATCAATTTTAGTGTGATTACCTATTTTTACTATTCTGATAACTAAAGTTTTTAATGTAGTTACAATATCTCTTATCTTAAGCAACTATTTTCTTCAATTAGTTTTTAATCTGTAGATTTTCTAATTTTATATAATTTTAATACTAATCAAGTTCCTCATATAAGGATTGTAATTCAGAACGTAATAAGACATTTTCATTTTCTAATTCCAAGACTTTATTAATATCCATTTACTTAAAGAAAATATATGAAATAAATATTTCAGTTAATTGTTTATAAATAAAGAAAATTTCATTTACTTTTTAATTTATTTTTGTAAATATTTTTGAAAACAGTGAGTAATTTTATAATATATTCTTTATCTCCTTTAAGTAGCTTTTCTTATTCTATGACAAGTTCCAAAGGCATATCTAATTTATCCTTTAAAACACTAAAAGCTTTCCTTATATTTACTAAGCAACCAGCATTGGTGTTAGGTTTTTATTATAATCCTTTAAATTAGATATTTTCGAGCTTTTATACTAAAGTGCAAATAATAATACTATTGCATTATTTATAATTTATTACCCATCTTTGAATTCTTCCAAAACTTCATTATTCCAATTAATTTTAAATCCGAAGTAATTTAGCCAATCAAATTAAGGAGGATCATCAAAAATTAACTTTTTATTTACTTATTATGGCTAATTAAAACTACTTTCTTTTTAAATTAGAGAATAAGGTTCTTATTAATTTAAATATCCAATATTAGAATTAGGTTTCATTTAAACAATAGATTTTTTAAGATAAGGACCATCTTCAAAATATGCATCTCCTAATCTTTAAGGTAATCCATCAAAATATCTCCTTAAATCTTCGAATAAACCCAAAATAATAAGTTAATCACCCTCATATATTAATTTTTCAGACCATACAAATCTTTATCCTACAGGTTTTCCTTTTAAATAATCTAAAGCTTTTCTAATATTGGCAAGACATTACTTTTCTCCTATTGGTTTAGTATAAATAGGATTTATTTTTTATTAAAATATTTCAGATTCAATTTAACATAACAATAAACCAGTTTAACATTAAAAAATGAGATCATTAAAATTTTGTATTGTAGATGTATATTCTCTTGCAAAATGAAGAGTTATAAGTTTTAACTAATCTATTTCTTCTTATTTATAAGGAAGTGTAAATGAGTTAGTAATAGGTTCAATCTTTTTAGTTTATTATTTTAATAACCACCAATATAAACCCATTGCAGATTTATCTAATTGCATAATACTAGATTTATTTATTTTTCCTATCCAAGCTGGTAAATTTCCAGCATCTACTATAGCCTTTATAGCTTATAAAGCAGTATCTACATTAAACTCAACTTCTAAAATAGACTTAAAATTGTTATTATTAATTGACTATTCTAATAATTATAATATATAGTTTCCATTACGAATTGGATCTGTAAACAAACTAAATTAATTTAATATACATACTTATCATTATTATAAAGTCCTTTTTATTTAAAGTAAGTTTGAACGTATAACTCCATCTCTCGAGTTACACAATTTTTACTTATTGATGATGATCTTGCTTTTTTTTATTATTTTTAACTACTAAAATTTCTAGAATGTTATAATGATTAATTAACAGGAGTTCCATTTTATGAACCAATATTAGATTTTTTCATTAATGAATTCAAAGATCTATTAACACTATCATATTCTTATTTCATATTATGTATTCTTGAATAAGGACCAACTGGTGATCTATTTGCTGTGCTTGGTTTTACAGATTTTGATTATTAAGGTTAATCAATAGTTATTTCTAATTAAGCATCTCCAAAGGATTATTGTTTATTCTATTACTTTTTTTAAGAATATGTTATTTGTTGTTATAATTTAGATTAAGAGTTTTATTAAAAAGACTATGTATTTTATTAAACTTATTCTTATTATTTCTAAGTTTATCTTAATGATATATCAACAGATTAAGAACAATTAGCTATTGCTACATTTCCACAATTTGTATAATAAACTTTTATGTCATGCATCAAACCCCAAAATGTACCTTCATCACCATCTACTAACTATTATTCTTAATTTAAATATTTATAACTCATTCTTTCAAGTTATTTTAAATACTCAAGTACTCTTCTATAATTATGTCTTATTTCTCTAAGACTTTTTGGATTTCTTAAGGCTCCTTTTAAAACTTCATCTCTTCCACTAAGTCTGTTAATTAAATCAAAAAAAATAACTCCATTTTTACAAATTTTTGGTAATTTATTTTCCAATCCTTATGCATTTGATTTAATTAAACGAATTGATTTAAGCCATTCAATTAATTATACTTTTTATTCGTTAGTAATAGAATTTTATTATTGTTATTATTATTACTAATTAAAATTTTAATCTTAAATTAATTCTTCATGCTAGTTTTATCTTTCTTAACTATGTTTTGATTTGTTTTCTCTAATGTTTTTTTATTAGAGATGCTATTATTCTTTTGCTATTTAATTCTCTAAGATTTAAAGTTCATTCTTTAATTTTTAATTATAGGACTCTTTAGATTTAATTGGAGTTAAATTGCTAATTGAATCATTAGATTAATTTTAAGGTTTTGATCGATTCGAATTTTCAGCATATTCAGTTTAATGAGTTTGCGATCTCTATTGATGATTATTAGTTTCTTAATAAGGGCTATTTGGTTTAATCATTTTATATTTATTTGCAATAATTTCTTCATTTGATGTAATCTAGATTGATTGATTTGGTTAAACTAAATTTTCATCAACATAGAATAACGGTTCATCTTATTTTTATGGTGCTTTTGGAGGTTTTGATGATGCTGATGACACAGATTTAGATCTATAAAATTATTGTAGAATCTAAAAAATCTTTAATGGATTTTAATAAAGCATTTAACCTGTCAAATGTTTCACAGAAATTTATTGACTATCTTCTAATAATGACAATGCAAATGTTAAATTTCTTATACAACTTTAATAGTCTTATTTTGAGCAATTTATTACTCTTATCTTTAATTCACATTATCTTTTGTCTTAAAATAATTCTTTCGAAATTATCTAACATAATGCAACACCTTAGATTTTTTTTATAAGATACCTGTTTTAAGATCATCAATACTCTTTGTGTTTTCAAATGTATTAGCCCAATCTATTATTTCTTATTCCATTCAAATTTAATATAACAGTTAATAATAATTTATTTATCATTTTGATATTTGCAATTTATTATATTAATCCTCTAACTATGCTAAGAGTCTTTCAAAATCATTAACTCTGAATGAGGTAAAAAATCTAGATTTATTTGTTATGATAGGAACTCCTCTTGAAATTGATTATCTCTCTTCATCTAACGACTTTAGATTCATTTTAGTAGCTAAAATACTAATAAATTTTTAATACTCTCTAATTTTTATGTATATTTTGAATAATAAGCTCTTTCCAATTCATCAAGTTAAATAGACTATTTTTTTTACTATTATATATGATTTGCTTGGTGACTAGGATTTATTTAATATTATGATTGATTCTCTTAAACTAATTGCACCTACACATGCAAAGGGCCTTATGATTTATTTTATTAAAGCTGTTATTATTATAGTATTTATTATTATTATAATTATTATTATTAGTAATTGTATTGTTAATCTTATCCCTTCTATTCAAATCTTCTAGATGGAGATTTATTATTAATTTAGGCTTTGGGACTTTAAGGAATATCCTCATTTCCATCAAATTCTGGATCATCTAAAGGATTTCCAGCATTCCAACAATTTTTAACTTTTGATTTAACTGTTTTAGGATCTACTTTTGGATTTTTTAAAGGAATTTATTTAGATTTTCTTTTTAAAAAGTTTTTTGGTTTTTGATCAGATGCATCATCTTTAGGAGAACATTCTCCTATTTATTCTTTTGTTGGAGTTTATCTTTCAGGTGTAGCACTTAAATTAATTTTACTTGATTTAGGAGATAATTATTATTATTATTATTACTTTTCTTGAAGATTTTTTTATGATAAAACCTACTTTTTCTAGGGTATTTATTATTATACTTATGGTTAGACTTCTTTTTCTTCTTATTCAACTATTTCTTCTATATCAGCTTATTCAATCTGTTATTATTCTTCCTGTTTTTTTTTAGCATCTTGGATTGCTTTTCTTGGATCATATTTTGTTCTTTTTTTAAGATTTTCTAAAAGTTTAGGATCTTTCTTTTTTTTTTTTGGTTTTTCTTAATTATTCTCATCTTCATTTGATATTTTTCCAAAAGGAGGTTCATTTTCATTTTAATTATCATATATATTTTATTATGGATCATCTAATTATTTATTTTCCTTTTTTTATTCATTTTTTTTTTTTTGAGGTTACTTTTATTTTTTCGGAGGAGCTTCTTCTTCAAAATTTCCATAAGTGCCTTTTCCATTAATAGGTATATCATCAACAGGTATATTGTATTAACCTTTACCTCCTAATGGTCTTTCATCTTCAAATTATTAATATTATCCAGTGCTAGCTATAGGTTTATCATTATGTTAATATTCTTAATTTAATTGAAAGTTATCTTTCCCTTTTCTTATTGGTCTTTCATCTTCTTAATTATTCCATGCATTATTAGTATTTTTTGCATTTATAGGTCTATCATCATCATAATAATTATTCATATTTTTTGTTGTTATGGGTCTATCATCTTCATAATAGTTTTGAGTATTTTCATTTTATCCATTAATTGGCCTATCATCTTCTACATAATTGTATTTTCCCTTTCCACAAATAGGTCTGTCATCATCATATGAATTTTTTTCAGGTGTTAATCTGTCAACAAAATTTTATTAGTTTTTAGATCTAATAGATCTTTCATCTTATTAATACTCAAATTTTTAATTTTGATTATATTATTCTGATAAATTTGCGCTTGAATGACTTTTATTATGTATTTATGATTATTATTATATATATTCTTAATAATATGGTTAAGGTTATTCTGAATATTCATTTTGAATTAACTGATCATAATATTATTAGTCAACATAGTTTTATGATAGAGGTTATTTTTAAGGTTTTTTGTAATAATTTTATTAGAATTTTTAGTCTTAATTAACGAATTCATTATCTAAATATTGATTAGAAAGGAATTATTTTTAAGAACTTTTGACTCTTTTAAGTTTTTTATAGAATTGACCATTCTGAAGATAGTTTTCAATCATTCTTATTAACCTTATCTTTTTTTATCTTATTTATGGATTTCCATATGCTTAATATAATTCTTTAGATATTTACTTCCATCATCAGTTTCTATAATATTTGATCTTAACTTAGCTACATCAGGAACTTTCATAATTTATCTTGTTCTATATCCTTAAAAAATATAGAAGATAAACAACCTTGAATAAATCCATTTAAAATAGCTTTGAATCTTCTGATATGCATCATGATAATTTTATGTCTCTGTCTCTAAATGTATCCCTTCACATTCTTTTGAATTAAGGTAGCACAAAAGTTTAAGAATTTAACTATCATTTCCTGATTCTTTAATGAGTCTTATCGTTACATTATAATTTTTAATAAAATTTGATTTAATAAAATGTTAAATCATTCACTAGCTTCTATTATATTAATTTGTGGGGTTCCAAATCTATTTAATCTCAAATCTAATCCTATTTCATCTAAAGTATTTTGTGCCTTTTATCTAGCAGATTCAATTCTTTTATCAATTTCTCTGAAATCAACTGGATCAGTCAGTAAAATATTAGATTTCGAAGCTGAATGATGAGTGTGGAAAGAACGAAATTATGATTCGAGTCTTTCTATTATAATAAGTTTTAATACCTATTGAATTGTCTATAGGATAAATAAAGTTTGCAAAATTATCTTTTTATTGATTTAGAATTTTTAAAAGGCTTTCATAATTTGGTCTACCTTCATTATTTAATTTAAGCATTGATTAAACAATAAATTTAAAATAATCACTAAATTAGTATCTTAGACAATATTTATTTATTAATTAGTTTACATAATCCTTTTTAAATTATAATTTCTCTTGATCAAAAAATTCAACACATCTTTATCCACTCATTAGACTTACCATCATAAGGCCTAAACAAAATATATTTACTAATTCTTAATCTGTATTATCTTTTTTATCTTTTTCAGCTAAGAGAATTAATTGTTCTGGTGCTAAATACTCTAAATCTCTTTATCCAAAATAAACCTAATAATAATTACTTAGTTTTGAATTATCAAGAAACTAATCAACATATTTTATTTATCTATTATTATCAATCAGGATTCTTTATGGATAAATATCAACAATTTCATCATTTAGTGTTTTCATGTAATGACATAGATTAACAATCTCATAAAGAATATAACAAAGTTCTTGTTCTGAATATCCTTTTTTATGAATCTTTCTTTAATGAATGTCATTTTATAAGGTTTCATTTAAATATTCAACAATAATTGATAATTTTATCAATGAACTGCAAAAATCATCTGTTTTTCCACTATCAAATGAAATAATTTTCACTAAACATTTATGATTCAATTGTAATCTTACTTTACTTCATATAATACCTTTTTGCTAAACTTGCTTTTATTTCTTCTACTTTGGCATCATTTGAGAAAACTTATTTTATTTCTATGAAAATGAGATTGTTTGATTTATTTTTATATATACTAATTTCTCCATAATTAGGATCTAATCTCTTATGTAGAAATTCATTTTAAGATTCACTTGATTATTAATTGCCCATTTTTTTATTTTATTTTTAAATTAAATTTATTTTCTGCATTATACTAATGTAAGAAGTCATATTAACTAATGATGCAAAATCAAAAATACTCCATGATTATTTATCTTAAACATATATTCGCTAACTGAGTGATCATCTTTTTAAAACTGATGAATATTTAAAATAAGAAGCTTAAGATTTCGAAAAGTAAGTTTCTAAGCTATTTTAGGATTATTAATGAAAGTGATTTCTTAACAGAAAATTTAGTTGAAAAAAAGACCACAATTAGTAAAACTGTTAAATAACTTATTGATAAAATATAATCTGAGGAAGTAAATTTATATATTTATATAAAGGATAAACTCAAAAAAAGTGAAACCTATAAAAAAGGTAAGAAAGATGAATTAGCTGCTATTTAAAAAGCTATTGATTCTATTTCAAGTGCTATGAAAGAAACTTGTTCTAAAGTAATTAATATAATAGATAAATTAAGATTGATTCTAAGGAACTAAATAAGATTGGACAATTGCCATAAGGAATGGATTAATTTATGTCTAAATTATTTCATATCATTTATAATGAAGATCAAAGCAAATTTAATTGGGTTGATTTCAAAAAGAAAGTGTATTTATTATTCATTAATTATCTTTAGTTTTGATTAAGATAAAGGTGCTGATTTTTAAAGTAGATTAGCCAATTTTTAATTTAAGTAAGTAAGTTAAGAAAAGGAAAACTTATTATTAGAAATGAAGGCTGATCCATAATTCTAAAAAGTGTTTTAAGATCCTTAATATACAAAAGCATTTTTAGACATAGCTGATTGGGTATATATATATAGATTTTATAAAAAGATTCACTTTGCTGTATCAGGAATTGAAAACTAAAGAAAAAAGGATTAATCAGCAGTAGAATTTGAAAGAATTGATAAAGAATTTGCAGGAAGAAAATTAGAATTAGAAAGTTATTAAAGAACTCATGTATAATAAAATATCATTTAAATAGGATTTTTGGCTTTCTTAATTGAAATATATAGAAGATTAATAAGTTTTATTGCACCAATTATAACCAAATATTAAACAAGTCGCTTATGATATTTAAGGTAGCAAAAATCTATTAGAATAACATATTGTTAAATTCATCTAAGGAGCTGAATAAGTGAATGAATTGATGATTCCAAATATTTGACAATATAATAAAAATATACATTTAGAAGTCATAATTTTACAAAAATTGTTTTCATTTATCTGTTCTAGATGATAATTTTTATTTATTCCAATATTTACCATATTTTGATTTATGCAAATCAGTCATAGTTTATTTTAGTCTTTCCTTTTATAGATTTTAATATTCAAGTAAACTTAATTCTGCTTTATGTTATTATCTTATTTCTTATAGAGATTCAACTCTTGTTTCTTGACCTGCATCCATTCTTTATAATAATTATTTCATAAAATCTTCTCCTTTTTTATCATCTTTCTTATATTCGGGTATTAATTTAGCTTTTTCATTAAATTTTTCATACTTAGTTATCATTCTCTCTATCTTTCCTTCCTAAAATAACATAAAATTTATTTTTTTTGTTAATCCTTCCTCAACTTTATGTTCTATCATTTAAATTAAGTTTTACTTGATTATCGAGATGATATATTCTCACTAAAATTAGCATATTTGTTTTTCATATATTACTTTTATCTAAAATCTAACTAAGGCAACACAACCTAAGACTGTATATCTTTATTGCCATAATGGTATATTCTTTATCCAACCTTTTACATCTCCTTTTAAACAAATAAAGGTTATTTCTAAAATTTTGTTTCAAGAAATTCAATTATCTATTCTGGAGACTTCAATCTATTTTAAACTAAAGAAGCATAACTATCAAGTTAATCTTATGCTTTTAGTTCTTTATCAAAAAAATGAGCTATACTATCTATCTATTTGTGCTATCCGTTTACCTTAATTTTCTTTAATCTATGATGGCTTTTATGGTTATCTATTTTGGTCTCTCAATTATTCTTGAAGTTCTCTTCCTTTTTATGTCACTGTTATTCTTTAAGATAATGACATAATATTTTTAATACTTTAATATTTTTAATTATATTATTGATCACTATGAAAAATTATAATGTATTATTAGATTCATATAAAGTTAATTAAGCAAGTGAGAATTTATCATTTTCTCAAATATTTTAGAACGTACATTTTAGGATTATCTTTTAAACAAAAAATATGAAAGATTCTATGAAAAAATTTACAAAAGAATGTTAAAGATCTGAAAACAACTTTAAAATGTCATTTAATAATAATAAAGATGATTTTAAATTATATATTTATGTTACACATAATCTTACTTCACAATGCATAAATTCTTTGCCTTTAAATTAGTTAATAAAATGATCATTTTCCAAAATTACTTGATAGATTCTTGTAATTGTGCAGATATTTTTAAATTATATATATGAATAATAATATTGTTGGTTCGAAAATGAGAAAATTTTAAACATATCATAGCATTGATATTTTTAATTATATAATAGATTTATATTTTCATAAAAAAATAAAGAGATCTCATTTTATTTTTTTCATTTTTGGATTCAAATAAAATTAGAAACAGGAGTAATTTTTCTCTTAGACTCAATACCAAAAAAAATTAACAAATAACAATTAATAATAAGTATAAACATTATAAGTTTTTATTCTTTGTTTTTATAATTTAATAAGAATAGAAAAAATAAATAGACTCTTTGGTTATTCAAATATAAAATAAGAAAACTAAATTACATTGATATTACGATAAAAAATGATCAATAAAAAAATAAACTGATTTATTAGGCCTATTTAAATGGCAATGGCTAAAATATATTCTAATTGGTATGAATATTGATACTGAATGTTATAATTTATATTAGAATATATTATTATTATGAAATTTGATAAATTGCATTCTCATAATTCAACTCCAAAAACAGTCGAATTCGTTTCAACAACAAAATCAAGATTTGTACCTCCACCACTTGGTTTAGAAATTGTTACTATGCCCAATAATAAAATTTTTGATCTTTTCTTAAGAGGATCTATTAGTGCAAAATAAATGTTATTAATGGATCATAATGATATTGATAAATCTGCTAGAATTCCTCCAAGACGTTAATAAACAAGACATAAATCAATTAAAAAAAATTAAGCTGATTAAATTTTTAACCTTGTCGAAAGATTTTAACAATAAAGAAAATAATCTATTCTCATAACATAAAATCCAAAACCTGCTAATCCACCAAAATTATCAAGGAAAGAAACATTAATGTAATTAACATCTAGTACAAAAGAATTAATCTAACCAATTTCATAATCTAAATTCAGAATACCAGTTAGAAAATTTTCTTAAAGAAGTACTTCTAGTGGTAAAGAGGAATAATTAATAAAGAGATGTGAAAAATTAAGTGGAGAACGTCTAAATGAAGAGGAAAAAGAACTACTATTAAAAAAAGATATAACTGATGAAGATGCATGGAGAATTATGAATGTATTTTAGAAGAAAAAATGGTTTTTTGATTATGTTCACAGAAATTTAGAATAGTAAAAGTAACAGACAAGTTAATAAGAAATCAAACAATAGATCTAGCCTATCTCACTTTTCTAAAAATTAAGAAATACTGTGCTTAAACAAGCAGAAGTCAAAAGAAAACCTGAAAAATAATGTTAGGAATATTATAATCACATTTAAAAGTATATTTATTAATTATATAGTATTGAAGATTAAATTAAATACCATGTTTTTAATAGAAATCTACCTGAACAAATAAGAAATTAATAAAAACCTAATGTAAAAATGTATAGATCTGAATCAGAAGTTTCTAAATTAAATATTAGAAATAAGTTTATTGAAGCAGCAGACAAGTTTAGCATAAATTAATCTAATCCATAAATATTAAAAGATTTTTTTGAAAATGGAAGCCAAACTTGCAGATCCTAACATAAAATCTCAAAAAATAAACTTACTTCTAGAAAAGTTCAAAGACCCCAATTATCTCAAGAAAATGATATTTCCCATGAAAGCCAGGGAGATTCTTATAAGAGTATAACAGAATTTAGGCTCAATGAATTGTATCATGAAAGTAAATAAAGATAAAAATAATATAAATAAAAATATGACACTCCTTTCATTGATAATGGGGATTAATTATAAAGAAAAGTAAAAAATTTGGTCAAGTTAGGTAATTTATAGAATACTATTTTAAATGTAGTTTCATTTAAACTACAGTAATGAACTTTTTTTGTTATAAACATAAAAATGAAATTTTATTTAATAATTGATATATGCTTTAAAACAAAATTTATCAACTAAATACACCAAAGAGAGGAGTTTCTCATTCTGAATCAATAAAGAAAAAATTATTAAAACTAAATCTTGATTCATTGAAAACTCATGAAACCGAAACTCAAATGAATAGCGATTTGTTAACCACTAGTAGAGCTCATCATTATAAATCAATTAGTTCAACTTTGTTTTAAAGAAGAAATAGTAAATTCCCAGCGATTTTGTAACAGTTATAATAATAATACTCGACAGCATTTAAAAATAAAGAACTTGATAAGGCAATCGATGCAGTTGTAGATGTGATGATTTTACATGTTGTAAGAGACAATATTATGGGATTGCTAAATTCATATGTATTGATTGCAGAAACATACTTAAAATTTACATATTATTCATCAGCAATCTAAACATTTACATAATTAGTAATTAAAATGATTATTTTAGCTATATTTATGTGATATTTGTAATGATGTTGAAGAAGTTTAAAAATCATTTAGGCAAAAGGTTTTACTCAAACTCAGTAATTTAGCTCATAATTTAAAAATGCATGAGACTGCTGTCAAAATTTTAAAAAAGTTACTATAATATTCTTGGCATTTTAAAGATAAATATTTAGAAGTAGTATGTTTTGATAAACTTGGATAAGAAGCTTATTTATAGGCAAATTTAGAAAAGGCTCAATTTTATCATTGCAGAGCCATTTGGGGAAGATCAGAACCTGAAAATTCTAATCATTATTAGATATCTACATAAAATATTGGATAATATTTAAAAAAACTACCAAAAGGAATTTAACATATAGATTAGAATTTACTAAGTAAAGCCACTTTTTTACCTTTTACATTTATTAATTCAACATTAAATTAATAAAATAATAATAATAGTTCTTAATATTATTGTGGTATTGAAGTCACTAATTATTATTTAAAAAATATGAATGTGATCAAACAACCTCATCGATTTATATCTCATGTTACTCCTGAAGCAAGTTTTTAAAAGTTATTTATTACTTCTTAATTTGAATTTGAAATTTCAACACCTAGATAGGCAAAATAAGATTCTCATTCAAATGATCTATTAAGGATAAACCCATAAGATTTATTTATTTCTGTTTTATAAAATTCAAATGACAGGGAAGAATTATTATATATGAATAAAGTAAAATAATAAAATAAAATGGGTGGATTTGTATATTACTATTAATAATTTAGATACCCCCTACATCCTATCGAATTTAAAGGAAGGATTAACCAAAAATCGATAAAAAATTATTGAAATAACCATTAATTAAAATGATAAATGAAAGACTAACTAGTCAACCGAATTTCACTGAAATCATAGAAGAAAGATATCGTGCTGCTAGAATGAATCATAGTAGAGTTCCTCTAAAGGATCATGTGAGAATATCACATTTAAGTCCTAATAGAGATTTACTTAACTATGGAGAATGCTAATAGGCGACAGCCGACCCAGACTAAATGTTTAGTACTAATATACTATTTTGAAATTAAGTTTATTTCTTTAAATTTTATGTAATTCTTTTTTAACTTATAACATAAGTATGATATTTAAACTATTTCTATTGATTTGATAGAATTGAATTATTATTAAATAAATCTTGGAAATTTGAAAACATAATTTCGACACTGTTTAAAATTATTATCAAAAATATTTGTTTTAAATCATTCTTTATGAAAATGCTTAAGAAAATTAAAAAAAAACTTATTGAGCAATTACAAATATTTGCTACTGGGACTCATGTAGAACTTTTAATTGAGTTTTACAAAAGTAATTATTTTGTTTTAGTCTTTATAAACTAAAGTTTGCATTTATATTTTTTAGATGAATGAAAAAATTTCTAAATTATCATAAATTCATAGAATTTACATTAAAAATAGTCTTTTCCTCAATCTAGCTCCAGATATAATGACATCTGTTCATATTTATTAATAAAATGAATTAGTTTCAAAAATTTTTGTAATTAATAAAATTATATCAAATAATTCTATTACCTATAATTATATTATTTTGAATTATGTAATCCTCTAGAATTTAATTTATTATCAATTTATCAGAGTAATAATTCAAGTCTTCTAATACTAATTTCCATTTTTTGATTGTAACTTTTAATTTATAGTCATCATTTTCAGATTTGCTGAAAATCGTATCCATTTGAAATAATGTAGAAAAAATCTTTATATTACAATTATCAAAAAGAATTTCACAAGGTTAATAATATGCCTTGATAATTGATATATTTCATATATTATTATAATTATAATTATTGAAAGTCAATTAGACTATATTAATATTATTAATATATTCTAAAATGTTAGAATTAAAAATGTAAACATTTTTTTCCTTGTATTGTAATAATTATATACATTTTTTATTTTCTCTATCCGATGCTTCTAAATAAAATAATTCGAATACTAAATGTATTTTCTATAATCAAAATAAAACAAATTATAAAAGAATGAAAGTATTTTTGTAAGATGAATCTGTTCAATGAAATAAGAACCTAATTTCTTTTAAGCTGGATAATTTTATAAAAAAGTAAGCAAGATTAAAACTTAGAAATTGAATGCAAATAATCCACCAATCTATAGATAAGATTGATCAATTAAATCGAATAATAATTAAAGGAAAATTAAGAGATTTTTTGATGTTACAAATAAGGTAGGTAATAACAGATTAAAATTGGGATACAATATTTCTCATTATTCATTATTAAATAATATTCCCGTTTTAATATCGAAAGTAAAATTATTTCATCCAGTTTGATATTTCAGATTAAGTTATCATATATATTTAATAATATAGATAATTGTTGACAAAAGAGAAGTGAAAAGCAAAAAGTAGAAGCAAATCCAGAAGTAAATTCAGAAATAGACGTAGATTCTTTCTCAAATAAGGACTAAACTGATTATTATGAAAATTAAAGGCACAAATGGAAAGAGTAATAGAAAAAAAAATTGAATTAAAAAATTGTATTATGTTAAATTTGTGTAATATTTTATTGAATAAATAAAGTTTAGTTAATGTAATTAGAAGAAGATAGTGAAAAAATGAATTTCATAGATTATGTGAAATGGGCATTTATTGAAAATGAAAAATCTAGAAAATAAGTAGAAGACGATGAAAATTTAGCAATATCATCATCTAGTTTTAAATTATTGGATGGAGATGAGATGGGTAAAATTCATTGGATGTTTAGAAGATGCCAATCATAAACAAAGTTAAAAGAATAGGGTAATTTTTATACGCAAAATTACTTCATACTTAATCATATTTTTTATTTTCTATTAACAATTATAAATGATGGGAAATCAACTTATGAATAAATTTTAAGATTAATGAAATCAATAGGAATTAATTATGAGGAAGAGATGTTACAACTAGTTCATATTGAAGATGATGAACTATTAAAATTAAAATATGAAAAGCAAAAAGTACAAAAAAAAGAAAACATAAATTAATAAGATTTTAGGACACTATTAAAAATTATTCTTGAAATAAAAGAAATATCTATAGAATAATCAAATGAAATAATAGATCTAAGAAATATATTTGATTTAAAGACAAATTTGGAATTAGCGTCAATATTTGAATAACTTCCTTTTATTATGCTTTAAATTAATGCATTTTAAGGCAAAGAATTTAAGGAAAAAGAAGCTAAATTAAAAAAAGAAAAAGAAAATGAAAAAGAAAAAGAAAAGTTAAAAAAATAATAATAATAACAATAACATGAATATTAATTTAAACAGGTTTAATTAATTTAATAAGAGAAAATTAAGTTTGGTAAAGTATTACATAGATTAAAACATAAAGAACAACAAAATTAAATCTTATTGTTTGATGGAACTATGTAAATAAATAATAATTTATTTATAGAGTAACTGGTAAATTTTGGATATCCCATCATGAACCGTCTTATATTCCACTTCCAATTAATTTTAATATGAATGCATTTTATTGTAATGCCCGCATTTCACATTATAATGAAGAAATAAAATAGAAAATAAATTCTAGTTTGTTATATTAAGGTTCAGTTAATGATTAATTTGATCCACATGTTAATAAATTATAATATTAGGAAGAAATAGATGGGATATTAAAATTTCTTGATGATAATGATGTTTTTTAGTATAAAGGATGTTTTTAAGATGGATTATTTGATGGTATAGGAAGAATGTATAGACATGGTTATTTATAGTATATAGGAGAATTCAAAGGAGGAGTAAGACATGGATTAGGAAAAGAATTATTTGCATAAGATGGAACCTATTTGTGTGGAAAATTTGAAAATGATAAAAAAGATGGAATTTTTACATTGGAAAAATGTATAGATTATTCAACTAGAGATAAAAAATGGTTGAAATACAATTAAGGATAAAAATTATTTCAAAATGGGAAAGAATTAATACTTAAACGTGAACCTTAGCAATTGTTGTTGAGAAGACTATAATCAACGGCTCCAGTTCGTACAATCCTAAATTATGGAGAATCTGGAATTACTAATTATTAGCTTAAATCTTTATAAGCAGGTAAATGGCTTAATTCAAATATTATTGATATTGTCATTTAATCAGTTTTAACATAAAGATTTTTAATCAGTCCAAATCTAAAAAATAATAACACAATCTTTATTAATTGTGCCAAATTTTAAGATATATTTGGCAGTCTGATTTCAAAAGATCAACCAATAGAAAATCAGTAAATATCATATAATATAATATACTAGAGTTTTTAAGGATATTATAGATAATCATAATAATAATTAGAAATAGCTTAGATTTGTTTTTTTTTTTAATTTAGATCGAGGGCATTTTTTATCAGTTGTTTATGAAAATGAAAAACTATATTTGATTGACTCACTAAAAGATAAAAAAGCAGATTTATTGCACTAAATAAAAAAATTATTAAAAGATTTTAATTTTAATGTGATAGATGGTTGGTAAGACATTCCTGTAAGTTAATAAAAAAATTCATATGATTGTGGTATATATACTATCAATTATATATGTTAAATCATCAAAAACATTGAATTAAGTATTCCTGAGATGATTAAAAAAAATTGTTTCATAATTGAACAAATCAAAATTAACATGATACGGTATCTAATTGGAACATATTTCTTACAATTAGGAATTGAGCTTTTATAATTGTGATTTCTGATATTTAATAACATTTAACATTTATTTTAGTTCATCAAAATCATATTATTACTTAGGTTAGATATAAGAATATATTTTACATAAATATCAATTATATAAATATTTATATTATCTATGAATTAAGTGAAAGAAACGATATAGGAGTATATGAATAAAATGGTAAAACCAGTCTTTGATTAACTTTTAACTTAATTATTGTAAGCTAGACCAGATGATGTTATTAATTGGAGTATTAATTGGCTTGAAAAATTATGTAATATATTGTTGATTTATAAGAATCATTAAATTAAAAAGGAAAACAGCAAGAAACTCATCATCATTATCAAAGTGAAGAAGAAGAAGATGAAGATGATGAAGTTTTACCTATTTAAAAAGAAACAAAAAAAACTACTAGAACAGGAGTTTCAGCTGAAGTTTATGGAGAATTTAATAAAAAAGAAAACTTCAAACCAAGAGTTATAGAAAAAACGAAAGATTAAATTGATAGAATAAGAAAAAAAGTTTTAAATTCATTTCTTTTTTAAGCATTAGATGAATAAAACTTACATACTGTAATAGGTGCAATGGAAGAAAAAAAGTTTTAGTAATTATTGAAATTTATAACTTAATTATAGACCTGGTGATTTTGTTATTCGTTAAGGAGATGATGGAAATGAATTATATGTAATAGATGAAGGTGAATTAGAATGTACCAAGAAATTCCCAAATTAACCTTAAGAAAGATTCTTAAAAAAATATTTACCTGGTGAATCATTTGGTGAACTTGCTTTATTATATAATGTTCCTCGTGCTGCTACTATTAAAGCAATTTAACCTGTTATAGCTTTTGCTTTAGATAGAGCAACTTTTAACAATATTGTAAAAGATGCTGCTATTAGAAAAAGAGAATAAATGGAACAAATTTTGAATAAGATAGAACTTTTATAATCTATGGATACTTATGAAAGATTATAATTTTGTGATGTTTTGAAAGAAGCCAAATATTGTAGAGGAGACAAAGTTATATAATAAGTTTAATAATATTTCAATTTTATAGGGAGAATAAGGAGACACTATTTACTTAATAGCGGAAGGAGAATTAGAAGCTTATAAAGAAGGATAACTAGAAAGGGTTTATGCTTATAAATCTGGTGATTATTTTGGAGAATTAGCTTTATTGAAAAATACTCCTAGATAGGCAACCATTATAGCAACAGTACTTATGCTCTTCATCATTTTCTTAGACAGATTGTACTTTATATTATTGTGATTTTAAATCATTTACAAGAATGATGGGTCCTTTAGAGTAAATTCTTAGGAGAAATGTCGGAAGATACGAACAGTATCTATAATGAATGTTATTTTTATAAAAGAAGATTCAATTATTTATTTTAACTATTAATATCATCAAAAATTAGCATAATAATAAATATAAAATTAACTTGCAAATCTTTATTAAAAAGAATTAATGAATAAATTGAACATTTATATTATAATTATTATTTCATCCTTATTCTTGTAATTGATCTTATTTAATTTTCTTCAATAATTCTGCTCTCTTCTTTAATTCTTATTTCTTCAATTCTAATTCTTAAGCTCTCTTTTAATCCACTATAAATTCTGTCTATTATATAATATTAATTATTTTACCATATCTACTACTAAAGGGCCTTTTTCCTATTATTCTGGCTTTTACTCTTGTTATTCCCCTCCCTAGATTTATAATTAATTAGAATACTTCTTAATATTTCTTCAATTCATCTTATCTCTCCTTAATCTTTTTTTATTTAATTAATTCTCTCTATTATTATAATCTTTATTTTCTTTATTCTAAAGTTTCTTAATCTTACTAATTTTTGATGTTTTATTTATAAGATTCTTCCTAACCCATAAATTTTTAAAATTACAAATTCTTTCAAATTTTACTTTAATTCATTCCCTTAAGCTAACAAGGCTTCTCTTTCTTGAGCTAAAGACATAACTTCAACTTTTTATTAAACTATTTATGGTAGAGGATCTTTTTATCTAATTTATTCTGGTTATGTCTTTTCATTTTTATTTTATTTATTTTATTATTAAGGAATAGATTATGGTTGTTCTTTTTCATTTTGTACTTCATCATCAAAAATTAAAACTGATTCAGCCTTTTAATCAGGTTAAGACTATGGTTATTAATTTTAAATTGGAGCTTAATGATTCACAACCTATGACTATTATTATTTTTAACTTTATAAAATTTCTTCTAATTAAAATAAAATAAAAATATATACACTATTATTTTTCGTATAATATCTAACTTTATTTTATGGCTTCAATAAACTCCTCTTCTTCTTAAATTTAAATTTTAGCTTTTTCATTTTCAACAGCAATTGACATTGCTACAGCATGTTCAATTTCCATTCTTTCTTTCTCAAGTTCAGCTTATTTTACTTTGATTTCCATATCAGGATTTTTTCCACCCTTTTATTAATGATATATTTACATCTATTTTCTATAATTCCTTCAGTGCTTCATATTCTAATTCTTTATTTCTTTTCAACATCAACTTTTTAAATACTAAGAAATTCTCAACAATCAGCAATTATTCAAAATACTTTTTATGTTTTTTATTTTTCAATCCCATTTCTATAACTTTTCTTAATTGTTCTTCATCTTCAACCCCTATATCAACCATCAATTATTCAATCATAGCTTCTATCATACTTTTAAATTTCTAGTCTATTAATACTATATAACCTTGTGAATTTCTTGATAAACGATTTTGTTTTCTTCTTCATCATCAAATATGATGCAATTTTCATCTAAAAAATCTGATATTGGATTTCTCCATATAGGCGAGGCCAAATATTATAAAATCAAATCATACATCCATATCTATTATAAATACTACTCTATTACATCTTCATCCATTTAACTTGGTTTTTTTTTCATATTTTATTATTTCATTTGAGCTTATTTTGGTTGTTTTTTTTAAGGTTCTTATGGTTTATCTTTGGAAGACTTAGGACCCATTAATAAGTTTAATTGTATTTATTATTTAATTTTAGAAATGAAATAATTACAAATTAAAAGATTATTGTCTTTGATACCAGATAGACAACAATCTCCTAGTCATAATTAATTATTTGATATTGATTTAACTGTTCAATAACCCAAGATTAAACCAAAATAACTTATTATTTAAGAATTACCTTTGTTCTTAAATCAATAACATATTTCAATATTACCTCTTGTTCCTTAAAGAATGAAAACTGAAGTTTACAAAAAAATTTAATAAAATGGTAGCAAACCTTCAAAAAGCGAAGATGAAAGATTTAATACAATTGATGTAGTTAGATCCAAATCTCGTAAACCAACTGAAATTAGAAAAATTTCCTTCTCCAACTCTTATTAAGCTTAATTATAATAAAATAAAGTCAGAAAACTAAGATACTCTTATGAAATTAGAAAAAGAAAAAATAGTCTCAATAAATTTAATTTTGAAGCTCATTTTTATCAATTTGTTGATGCAAGTCATAGTTTAAATATTAGCAAAATTAGAATTAATAAATAAATAATATTCTAAAGGTTAATAAATAAATATGGAACAGCTATAAGTTAAAAAATAATTAATTTTTTTGAAATTCCTTAATATATTGATTTTTAATCTTGGAAATCTTTAACATAGAAACTACTATCCATCAATTAAGAATAAATTATTGTTTTTATATATCGATTAATTCATAATCATCGCCATTTATCATCAACCGATTTATTTTAACTAGGATTAAATACATAAAGTGAAGCAATATAAAAAGATATTAAAACGATCTTAAATTATATATAATAATCTCTAAATACAGAAATTATTGATAATGAAGAAAAAGAGTATTTATAAAAATCTTCAATTTTCAAGGATAATCTCAATTTGAGTAGTCTTTTAACTTGGACTGAAATATATTAAATTGATGTAAATAGTAAGTTAATTATTTTAAGCAATCAAAAAGTATTAAATAAACAAAAGGATTAAATTATAGAAAATCTGTACCAATAGAATAATTTATTAGTATTTATATGACAGAAGAAAAAGAATAGACCATAAATTTTAATTCAATAATAACCAAATATCCAAATAAATATGAATAAAATGAACCTTTTTCTATAAATTTTCCAATATTTAGACGCATATTTTAAAATTAGTAAATTCACTTATGGAATGAAATTTACTCTTTTTTTACAATGTAAACTTGCTGAAATTATTACAAAATAATAAAATAGCAAGTTCAAAATTATCATATAGGATTAATATGAATTATAATTTTTATAATCTCAAATCAATAACTTAAATTTTTAATCATCATCATCATTAATTGTTTTTTAGATTAAGTAAATTAAATTTAGTTAGTTTTGATATAAAAATCAACATAGAAATTGTGATTAACAATTAAATAAAGAAAAAATAAATAAAAATTTTGTTTTACATACATTTAATTAATATAATTAAATAAAAGATATTAAATTATGGGTGTTAGAGTGACATATAGAAGAAGAACATCATACAACACTAGATCCAATAAAATAAGAAAGGTTAAGACACCAGGTATATTGATATGAGTATCATTTAGGAGGTAATGTTGTTGTTCAATATCCAAATAAAAAGACAAGTGCTTCAACATGTGCTGACTCAAATTTGAATGTTGTTCTTAATGGACTTAAAAGAATTAGACCAACTAAGCTTAAGCAACTTTCAAGAAGATAAAGAACAGTTTCAAGACCATATGGTGGTGTTTTAAGTGCTGGTGCTTTAAAAAACAGAATTATTAGAGCATTTTTGGTTGAAGAAGTCAAAATTGTCAAATAAATCAAAAAATGATACATATTAATTCTATGTTTTAGTACATTAAACAAACAATACATGGTCTTTCAAAAATTATGGTTTTAATTTTCAATATTTTGAATAAATAAATTATTCAGAATTATTATAAATAAAAGTGAAGTAGATAAAAATTTTTAATCATTAAAATCTATCTGTCTATGATTTTTCAAGAAAACTGACGCGATTTTCCTTCATTTATTATTAACATTATTATTCTAATCTTTATTTCAATAATTTTTCATTTTTTTTTCTTAACCATTCTTCTTATTTTGAATGAAAATCTTAAGATCTTTATCTAGTTATTTTTTATTCATTTTTTGAAATTCTAATTTCTTTTATAGGTTATTAGGATATTTTCCTCTAAAATATTTGATGAAAACAGTTACAGCAAATTTAGTAAAATTAATGTACTCAACATTTTCTATTTCTTTATTTGACTTTAGTATTTCTAATTATTCTAAAGGTTATCTGAAAATTTCAGGTTCTTTATTGGGTTTTGGTATTTATTTCTGTGCTTATTCTAAAAGTATTGGTTTTGGAGAATTCTAACGAACTCTACAATTAGGAGTTAAAGCTTTAGTTAAACTTTCTACAAGCTCTTTTGAAATTCTCTAAAGGCCAATCATAGTACCTTTATTAGAATGTTGGCTATCTTAAATAGTAAAGAAAATGTTACTTCTTGGGCTATGAATATTAGATTAATGGTCTTTGCACTTTGTATTTCCAGATAAAACTAGTTTTATTAATAATCTTACTTCTTTTTGTTCTATGTTCAGAGAAAGCATAAACTTGTTTCCAATTCATTTATAGAAAGAGAGTTTATTAATTAGTATTAGATATAAATTATTAATAAATGAAAAAAGACTTTCGCTTTCTTCTATTTTCATTAATTGATTGTGATTTTCTCATCTTTCTGATTATCTTCTCTCTTATCCTCATCAATAAAAACTTGTTGCTTGCTTTCTTCTTCACACTTAAAATTCTTTTCCCTTGGTCTTCCCCTACTACCATAATGTTTATCACTTGGTATCTATGTCCCAGCTGGAGGTTAACCTTCATGCTTTATCCTATTTAAACATATGTATAGAATTACTTCAAATGAGTATACAATGCTGGATAGCTGTAATAACCACGTCCACAACCACATTTATAGGGACGAGGGGTTTCATCATGTTTAGTGCATCTTCTAATTCTTTTCTTTGCACTTGGTTGGTCTTGTTACTACGACATCTCTTGAAATTATTATTAATTTATTTATATTAATTCATTTATTATTTTATATATTTTTTAACTTTTTTAATTTACAAACATAATTAATCACTTTCTTATTATATTTATATTTAAACATCTTGTAATTTTAAATATTCTATCGTTTTATTATTATTGATTTCCATCCAATTTCAAAACGTATAATTTATATAAATATTGTATTAAATGTTTTATAATTTTACTAATAAAAATAAGTTTGATATCTACTTCTCAAACTTTGTTTGATTTATATCCATCTATTTAAAAATTATAAAAATAAATTCATTAGTTTAAAAGCATATATTATCATTTAGCAACATTTAATTGAACTATTATTATTTATTAATTTATTAGAGAATAATATTTAAAAGACCTTGTTTTATAATTTTCGGATTTTATATAGAGCTAGAATTCTACAAATAGATTAAGCTATCATTCTTAAAACCAATGATAAGAATTTTAATATAGAAGCTTTTATATAATATGAAATTCTTATTATAATAATAAAACAAAATAATAATATTTTACAAGTTTTCATAATTTTGTCATTAATTTATATATAAATAATGCATCATGTTTGTGATTAAATTTACAACATCTATCCACATTATTTAATTTAATACGCACTTAGTTGTGTTTAAGCTGCAATTTTATAATGATTAAATGGTTAAATAATATGTCTGAAACAACTTAATGGATTTGTAAGGGCAAAGAAATATTAAAACCAATATTCGAGACACAAATAATAGGAGTGTCAAGAGCAGTATTAGGATTGCCAATGGATCATTTTTTCGATCGCTTTAAGACATTAATCTAGGCTTCTTAAAATAACAATTTCAAACAAGTAATAATTTAGAGCAACAATAGTTATTTTTTGAAAGTTACTAACGAAATGGAATATTTCGTGGAATATTTGCAGGGTTCTCATCATAAATAAGCATTTAATTATTTAAATAATACTATAGGTAAATATGAAGTATATTTAGATGGCCTATGATGATTTTTATTCCTAAATTTTATATGGAAATTTTACCTTTAAAGATTAAAGAGGCTGCTCCTGCACTTCATAAAGGATTGGCAGGAATAACAATTGCTTTATTTGAATCAATTGTAACTTGTCCATTTGAAAGAGTTAAATGCCAATTAATGACTTAATAATAATCTAAATCAGGTAGATTATAGTGATATTTGTAGTTGTAAAATATATGTGGCAACATGATGGAGGAATAAAAGGATTTACTAGAGATTTGTTTACTGGAATGGAAGTTATGGTGTTAAAATAAGTAGTTTCTTGGACAAATTATTTATATTGGGATCATAGAGTTAGATATTATTTCAAAGAACGTCCATCTTAAAAATTAACAGTTTAAGAGATTGTCCTATGCTCTATTTTGACAGCTATTCCCAATATCATAATTGTTTAACCGTTTGATATGATTAAAACATAATTTTAAATGGAAAATAATCATTAAATAAAACATCTATCAATTTGGAATGCATTTAAAAAAGTGTATTTAGAAAAAGGAATACCAAGTTTTTATGCTGGTTGGTAGATGAGATTTTTTTAATTCTTGTTCTAAGCTTTACTAACAACTCCAGTCATGGATTATTTAGAGAGACAACATGGAATTCCATTAGAAGTTTTGTGATCAATTATTTTTGTAATCAATTTATACTGAATTTTAAATTAAAAAAAATCTACCTGAGTAAAATTTTTAATGGAATGGAAAGTGAGTAATGTTTATTTATATAAATTAATTTAATAAAAAGAATTAAATGAATATTCATAAGCATATGTATTAAAAGTTGTTGATAATTCAACTATAAAATTATATCAAATAAAGAAATGGTGTAATGGGTATTTAAACAATAGAATTGAGAGAAAAAGGAGCTTATTTTATTAATATAAAAAATGTATAAATAGGAGATGCTATGATCAATTTAAATGAGAAAACAAGTTTAAAAGACTTATAATTAAGTGGATTAGAAATAGAAATAATAAAAAAAGAGTTTGAAAATAAAATGGAAGTAGAAAAAATAAAGTAATGGTAAAATGAGAATACAATAGATGAATTAGCAGGATTGTATTGATATTGAATTGCCATAATTGTAAATCATTAATCATCTGGATCTGCTTATTAGTCTTGGCCATCTTATCCATCTTATCCTTCAACTTTTTCTGGCTCAGGAGGTTTAGGTGGATTTTTAGGATTTGGTTCAGGAAATTCTTATTTATCTTCTGGTTCTAATTATAAATCGTTATTTTGTATAGGAACATAAGCTGCTTAAGTATCTTTGAATCCATAACCAACATAAAAAAATGCCCATTAATTTTACTAATGGAAATAGGAATATAAATTACATTAGCAACAGTAACAGCACCACTCCAAGTATAATTTTTAAGAATAACAGTTGCATAAACATTATTTCCAGAATTATCATCTTTAGGATTATAAATCATTTAATCTCCAACAGTTTTAATTAACCAATTACTTTAATAGAATGGTTCAAGTGGACGATCTTCAGCTATACCTTTTAATCTAGTAGTTTCACTATCAATATCAGGATTAGCTTCAAGTAAAGCATTTTTAGCTTCTTCAGATAATCCATCTGTATATAATGTAATTCTTCCTTATTTTAAAATTTATGCAGGAACATGAACCCAACTATCTGGATTTTGTAATTCAGCAAATTCAGGTATTTTGAATTCTTCTACAAATTCCAATTCCTTAGCTAAATATATATGAAATAAGTTTACGATTATCTTCTTTTTATTAATATAATCCTTTAGGTGCAATTAAATTAGAATGTAAAATTCTAACTAATTAAGCCTTCAAATAATGTTTTTCTTTTCCAGGAAAAGGGGGATATGTTTTTAGTTCTTAATTTAAATTTCCTGTACAAACATATTTAACTTCTCTCGCTACTTTAATTTATTCTGGAGTTACTAGTGGTAATTCATTCCAATCAGTCAAGACTATTGATAAATTGAAAATAATTACTATCGTTGGTAACCCAGAAAGTATAATAATTAACTCCATCTCCTCTAGGTTCAGCATTAGGTGCTAAATAATCAGTTGGTAGTTTAGGCACTACTCCTCTGGCAACATAATAATCTGAATTTCTACATAATATTTTTCCAAAGAATGTCATTTCAGTTGCATTAGTTTCAATCTGAAAATAGATATTAATAATTACACTTAATTACTTTATGCTTAATTAAATCTAATATGTTTCTTCTTCACCAAATCCATATCCTGCTGCTTCTAATAATCTAGCAGAAGCTACAAAGTCTTATAGTATAGTAGGCATTTATGCAACTGCTTATCCCTACAATTCAATAGCTATTATACTTTTAGTAATTGTGAAACTCTTTTTACCCAATCAGCAAATTCAGGTATTTTATCTCTAAGATTATTTACTTCACTTTCAGATGACAAATTTTTGAATAGAAATCTATTTTTTTTAGTGAAATCTGATAACAGTTCAATTGAATTCATATCCTTATGATTACTTTACAAAACTTCATTAATGAAGGTATTAATGTGATCGAAAAGTGTGACACCATTAACATCTGTATGAGATTTCAAAACCTATGATAATTTACTCATTAATATATTTATAATTAAATTTGATATCAGTTATTTAAATCATCAAAATAAGAATGTTTTAAAGCTTCTTCTGCTGTAATTCTTGCATAAGGATCATAAACAATCATTTTTGAAAGTAAATCTAATCCTAATGGACATAAATTAGTAATATCTCTTCCTAATGTTGTTGCAGGATTAGTAGGAGTAGGCCATCTAGGAAAAGTACTTTTAAAATCAGGTAAAGTACTAACTCCTGGCCAAGTTGATTCTTTAGGAGTTCCCATTATCTTAAATATTTTAAATAACTAATCTATTTCTGAATCTCCACAAAATAATGGTCTTTTCTAAGCCATTTCTGCAAATATACAACCTAAAGACCATACATCAACTGGAGTTGAATATTATTTCTATCCAAGTAATATCTCTGGTGCTCTATACCATAATGTTATAACTTCATGAGTATATGTTTTTAAAGGTAAACCAAATGCTCTTGCCAATCCAAAATCTGCAATTTATGTATTTTATTGTTTTATATCTACCAAAATATTCTAAGGCTTTAAATCTCTATGAATAACTCTATTCTAATGACAATAATTCAAAGCTTATAACATTTAGTGAATAAATCTCTTCACTTATACTCTATCTAACTAAGGTACACTTTCCATATATTTTTTTAAGTCTAAATCCACAAAGTCAAAAATTAAATATAATCTTGACTCATCATATACTACATCTTTCAATGGTACTATATTTGGATGTTAAACCTATATTTTATTAAATTGCTTTTTACTTCTTTCAATAATGAAATTTCTCTTATGGCAGTTGATGGAACTCCTTCATCTTCATGATCCATTCTTATTTTCTTTAATGCTACTATTTCACCTGTTTGATTATCTTTGGCCTTATAAACTAATCCATAGGTTCCTTCTCCTATTTTCTCTAACTTTTAATATCTCTCTTCATTTTATCCAAAATCCATTAATAATAACTGCAAATCGTTAATTTTAAATATTATTTTTCCACTATATGTTTTTTTGTTTAATTATTATTATTTCTCTCCTCCTTTATATACTCCCAATCCTCAGAATATTTTAGTATTATTATAATATTATTAAATTACAAAAATCATAAAACATGAATCTAATTTTTAGTGGAAGTTGTTGTTACTATACTCTTTCTTGTTTACATCTTTTTTATTGCTTCAATCTCTGCTTCTAACATAACAATTTTCTCATTAATATCACTATTTAATCCGTTTAACTTCTTAAACTTCTATTTCATCTCCTCTAATTAATGTTCTTAATCATAACTAGTAGATTCAATTCTTGTTTCCTATTCCTACAATTACTATAATAATTTCATCTTATCATTGTAATCCTCATCCAATTATCTTTTATAACTTAATATATACTTCAATTATTATTCTAGTTTTATTATTTCATTCTCTAATTCATCGCATTATTAATTTACCTCTATCTATGTAACTTAACAATTTTCAGTCTTTTGATATCCATTTAATTTTCTATTCTGCAACTGCAAAGTTAAGGCTACATATTTTCTCTCCAAATCTAAAGCTAATTAACGCCAAGGTTCTTCTATTGATTCTATATAAACAATTTATATTGGCCTTGGTATTATGTGCTTTTCCATTATATTTGGAACTTATTCATATTTTCTTATCAAGGTGTTTCCATTTAAAGTTGTCCCTGTTTTAATTACTATTCCGTATTTCTCATCAGGCATCATTTAATTTAACAAATAAAATTTATATATTTTATTAATAAAATTTTTAAATTAATACTTTTAATCACATCAATGAATATTAAATTGAAATAATTATATTTTATTATATGAGAAAATATAAGGTTGTATACAAAAGAATAATTTTTTATATTGTGATTCATCATTCAATATTATTTATTTTCTAAAACAGGAAAATGAATTTTGAATTTTAATTAATATTAATATTACAATTGATATTCAACTTGCATATAGTATTTTTTTTTGTACTAAGAATCATACAACAATTAAGTTGATTAAAAATTTTTAAAAATTTTTAAATATGTATGATATTTGACAAATAAAAAGCTTTCTTCATAATAAAATATTAGTATTTATTTATTTTGTTTATATAAAATCAGTTTCAGTTCGCTAACACTCATTATTATCTTGCTTATGCTTTTTCTGGATTATTCTAGAGCAAAAAGTTAGCAATGAATTCAATTGGATTAGGAGGTCTTTATACTTAAGAAAAACTAACCTCACTTTGGCTACTTCAGTCATTGCCTATAGGAGAAGTGGTACAACAGTTTAATCCAGGTAATTTCTGATTGGAAGGGCTTATAATTATTTCATTTTCTAAAAATTAAACTTGATAAACATACATCTTCTTCACTTGACATATATTTTTATTTGAAATTTTATTAATATCATTTATTAATTAGAACATAATAAAAGTATATATAGAAGACTTTTTGAATATTTGGATTTAAACAGAATATAAATTTTCAAACCATGAACCAAATTTCAATTACAAATATAGAGTTGAATAAAATTATTTTCCCTGCTCTCCATCAATTCAATTATAATAAATAAATGCCATAAAAAATTTGCATTATAATAAAATTAATATAATTATCTTAATATTTAATTATTCATTATATATGATTTAATATCTTTAAGAGAATCACTTTTAAATTTCATTTATAAATTCTAAGTTATTCAAATTTGCATTTTAATAGATCTTTGAATGATTAAATAAATAATTAGCTATACGAAAATAAAAGCATTCCTAATACGATTAAGATCAATCCCTAATTAAAAAATTGAAATCACTTAATCCTTTGATTCCATCTTTAAACTATAAAATTTAGACATCGTCATTTACTACTAAGAAGTTTTATTTAATAGTTGAATATTATGTTTATTTTTGGATTTAAAGTTGTATTTATACAAAATTGAGTGATTGTCTTTGAATCATTTTTTTATCTTTCATTTTTATTTTTTCATCATCAACTATTTACATAGAAAAGTCTCATTTAGTTTAAATAAAATGCAAACCTAATGACAACAGCATTACATTAGAATAAATATTTAATCATAATTAATTAAAGAACTTCATTCAATTTCTTAATGGGTATTTCGCTTATCTATTTGATCAAATAGTTCTTCAAATCCTGATGATTAAGACTCAGATATTGCTTATATTGAAGATAGTTATTCTTCTACCTCAACAGGATCTTTTAGTTAGGTTTCAATTATTTATTATTCAACTTACCTCTTAGCTTTATGTTTGGTACTTTTTTTTCTTAATCCTTTTTCAGAGTGATTTTGGATATATTTTTCACCAATATCACTCACTATTACTTTACGAATTTTATTGCATAATTTCTCTATAGAATTAGATGATTCCTCTTGATTTTAAGATGAAACCTTCCTTTTAGACAGCATTTTCTCTTATTATAATTATAAATTTAATAAATTGTTAGATTATTAACTTAATCTAGCAGAATCATATTAAAAAAAAAACTAATTTATAATTAATTTAATCACAGAAGATCAAAGCTCAATACAATTTTAGCACTCTTGAATAAGAATTTAAAATATCAACAATAATTTATGAAAATTGAACATCTTCCCTACATATCTTGATTCCCTAACTTTCTGGGAATTGTATGAGTGCTTCATTTAATTCTTTGATTATTTTACTAAGATTATAAATAATTTTACATAAATTGAGATTTTTCATGGCATTTTTTTTATTCGATTAATTAAATTATCTACCAAAATACCATTTTTATTAAGTGAACCTATTTATATTCAACTAAATTTTTAGTTAATTCTCTGATATTAATATTAAATAGAATTTGATTAATCTCATTTAGGTTTACTTATTCTTATCTCATTGACAAATAGGCTTATTAAAATATTTCAATCAATTAAAATCGATGAATATATTTAAATTATCGAGAATCTTTTGCACAATTTTTAATTCTAGAATGTAAATTTTCAAGATTTCTCGCTTATAATTATCTTTTTTCAATTTAGGCTCCTAATTTAATAACACAATATTAATTTATAATTACAGTACTAAGTATAAATACAAATTGAGTTTCAAAATATAAATAGATTGCAGTTTCAATTAATGTTTCAGAATTAGAATTTAGTAATTACTTTAAATAAATGCTAATTTCATCTAATTTTAAAATTAAGATTGTTTGACAATCATTAATTTAATTCATAGTAAATGATTTTTCTAGTTGTTATTAAAATTCTTTAAGAGAATTGTGTAAATTTTTTTCAAAGAATATATTCATCATTTCATTTGTTATGTTAAGTAGTTCTTCTTTTCCAAAAATAATTTCTAGATTTTCTCTTGTAGTTTTTTCATTCAAAACTAATGTAACATGATTATTTTTTTATAATAAATTAGCTATAGCTTCAATATTATAGGAACAAACACTCATTATCAAACAAGATATAAGAGGATGCTTATTTTATGTGTAATTTACTAGATTATCTACTACAGATTTTTTTTATTTTTCAGCATTATTATTTTTCTATGTTTTCATATCCAATGCTGTAAGAACTGTGTCTAATATAAAATATTCTACCTATGATAAACATTGATTTTAATATTTATATAGCTCACTTAAAATGTAATCATATCTTTATAATATTATATTGATTCTCATACTAGCTGCGGATTAAGGAATATTTTCATGTAAATCGATAAGTTTCCAATGAAAAAAAGCTTTCTTTGATTCATGATCAGCTTTTTCATAAACAACAAATTCATCAGAACAATGAGTAGTTTTTAGAGTTAGCCATATGTAAAAGTCTCTATCTTTAGGAAAAGTAGTTGATTCAAAAACATCATAAGCATCACTAACATCTAATAATAACCAATAACATTATTGCAATAATATATCACAACATTATTATCTTGATTTTTCTTCAACATCATTTTGATTAAGAGTTTCCAATTTTATTAAATCAAAAAAACTTAAAAATTATTAAGTTATTCTTTAATCACTTGAAATTAATTAATTAAGAATTTTTGGAGCTTCATTGAGCCTTCCACATCTCATTAACATAAATAGAATTCCACTAGGAAAGAATTATCCTATTTAATATAATTCAGTTGTAGGTAATTTACATATATAAAATTCTTTGAATTTTCGATTTAAATTTAATAACTCTAAATGGCCAATTTATTTGAGCATGTCATTTTCTAAATATGTAACTGTGTTGCGAATAATTTTTTCACTATTTTAAATTTGAAATTGTGTACCATTTTTATTATTAACTTAATGTATTTGAAATATTTTTAAACTAATCAGCTAACAATTTCATTTCAACATTGTGAGTTGTTTCAAAAACCTCTAAAGTTCTAAAGAGTTTTTCACAAATTGATATATCATTTTTATTTTTGACAAAATTTAAAAGCTCTTTTTCTAAGTGATGGTCAATAAATAATTTTTCCAAAATTACTTCATTATATTAATTTAGTTAAATTTCATGTGACACTAATTTTTCAGTTCTATTTGAAGAAGTGATGATATCTATCAACTTTTCCTTTTATCTTATGACTGTCTTTAGTTCTGTCTTATAAAACGAATTATAAACCTTATCAGTTTAATTTAAGTATATACTTATTTATTATATTAGAACTCTTGTTAAATTGAAAAATAATTCCTAAAATTATCAATTTTTATGCTAGAATGATATTACTCTTATTTTTTTTTCATTTCTTAATTTATTCTATCTCCTAACCTTTTAATATGATCGCTTAGATAATCAACATTACTTTAATTAAGATGAGATTTTTTGAAGAGGGAATCCACCTTAAATCCAATATCTTCAATCATAAAGTCTATATTAGGTATTACTCATTACTTTAGGTTTTCTTAAGTTTAATAGGCAAATCAAAAAACTTTTAAATTCTTTTTCTTAGATGATCTGTCTATTATGAAATCATAAATAATTCTTGATCCTACGCTTATTTTTTTTACTATGTCTATTCTTTATTTTGTGAAATTTATTTCAAAACTTAAGAAGTCGATGTATTGGTATTTTTAATAGCACCAACTTCTACGTTAAGCCCAAGACCACTTTAATGCATTTTTTTTATTTTAAAATTAATCAAAAAATTTGTTCATTCATTATTTTCCATACTAAAAAATCCTTTATTCCAATAGTCTTATAGTTACCATTAAAAACATCATTTTAAATTAACATTTAGTGAAAATTTATGGAAACATTGCTATAATTGAGGATCTAATATTTAATCTTTCTTCATAAATAAAAGCTTATATTATTTGAAATATGAAAAATTTCTTAATTTTAAGGGGTCTATTATTAAAAAGATTATTTAGTCTAAATTTAGCAAAAGAATAAATTTAGATAATTTTGAATTATTTTTGATTTTGTATTTATGACTTTTTGAATATTTAGTTTAGTGTGTTGATAGGTTAAAGAAACATGGAGAAAATTACAATCTGAAATTATTCATTTGAAATGATGGAAAGTTGCTAATGAATAGTGCAAATACTTATGATTTTTATAAGGGTAAATCTTAGAGTAATAATATTTAATATAGTGTTCACTATGAAATATATATTTAAAGGGTATGTTTAATGAATTTATATAATCAGCATCAAATATATGCAATGATTCCATTAATTTCTTTACAATTTTTCACTTTTACATTGATTCGCAATCTAAAAGATAAGAAAATAAATTGAAATTTACTTTTCAGAAGATTTGACCTCTTATCCTTAAACAGTAACTTTACAATTTTCTCCATCCTCAGTAATTTTTTGAGTGTTGGAACCAACATTAGGAATTTTGAATTATTTAGAGTCAAGATAATCAGCATTAATTATAGGATCATTCTATTAAACAAAATATCTGACTCTTGAAAATTAGAAAGCTTATCTAATTGCCTTAACAATATTCATAATTAAATTTATAGAAATAATGTAATGGTTAATTTGTTGAGATAATAAATTTATTAACAAGAATGATTGCAATAGTGTAAACTCCAAGTACTGTACCATCAACAAGATAAAGTAAAACAGTAACAGATTGATTTGACTTTGATTTAGCCTGGAGAATATGATCACTTCAGAAGAATATTAAAAACAAGATAGAGATTTCCATCAAGTTCGGATTGTAAGTTTAGGAAATCTGTAAGCAGTCCATTAAAAAAATAAAGTGCTAATTAACCAATAGACAAGAGAGTTCTTCTTACTTTATAAGATAGACCTAAAACATAAGCAGATTTACCAGACAGACCTCCAGAATATTACAACTTATTCAATTTACCTTATAAGAACTATAAATATTAAAAGCCTCCTGGATAAATTAATGTTGCGGAGTATCTAGAAGGAACTTATAAATTGGGTAAAACTATAGGTTTATGGGATAAAAATATACTACATAAGAAACTAAATGTGAATAAGTATTTTTTGATATTTAAGGATTTAGTCTATAGATAAAGAGGAGTAATTACACTTCAGATCATTTAATAAAAGCAAGAAAGCCATAAGGTCCATCAAGTTGTTTAGAGACTATTTATATTGCAAAATTATAATTAGATAATGAACAATCTTAAGAAGCATTAATTAAAATGAAGGCTATGGAAGATACTTTAAAATAAGATATTCAAAGATATTTAGTTGACGGTTCGACAACTTAGATTTAAATAAAATTTCCATCATAATCATACATTTTAAATAGATGGACTAGATAATCAATAGGACAAGAAGCACCCCATTGCTAAAAATGTGAATTAATTCCTTAATTTGCTTTTCAAAAAAATTAAGTTAATAATAGTGTAGAATCATTGAGAAGATCCATGATTTAATTTTAAACATAAGAAAACTCTTCATAAATTACAGAATTACCTTAACCAATGAAATTTTACAAATTTGAGTAATATATTAATATTTATAGTGCAGTCCTAAAATAAATTCATTTTGGCATCTCTATAAAACCAAAGGAATGACAATTGAATCACTAAAAGAAGGTTTCAAAATGTTAAGGAAACCAATAATAGGTGATAGATTATTATTAAGTTTTAATTTGAGTCCTTAAAATAATGAAGAAAAGGTTTCATACAAATAATTTTGTCACTTTATAAGAGTGTTCGTCTACAAAAAAGCACTTTTAAAGGAAATGATAGACAGTTTATTAAGTGTAAGTAAATTGATTAAATTTTAGTTTTATGATCCTGAAAAGCAAGAGAGAGTGACAAATAGAGAGTTTATAAATATAAATAGGATACTTTGTGAGTAATTTATGGAATAACATCCAACAGTGAAGCCAATATTTTAAGAATTGATATAAAATTTTAGATTGTCGAAAGTAATAAATGATGAAAATGATACTTATTTTGATTAATAAGCATTTAAACATGTTTTCATATCAAATTAGATGAATATATAGGATATAATAGAATTGATTGGCGATGAGTGATTAATTAAAAATAAATAATTTTTTTTACAAACATAATGAAAGTCTATAAATGAGTTTAAAAGTAAAATAGATGAATTGAAAGTTACAAAAAAAACTTAGTTGATATCTCATTATAAATATATAAATAGCATTAGTTAATGGAATTAGTATATAAAGAGAATATATATTAAGAGAAATGATTAAAGAAAGAAATTAGATGAAATGACAGTGTTAATTATAAGTTAGTAAATATATATAAATTAAATTTAATATTTTTATTTAAGTAATCATTTATTTTTGTATACTTATATTTATTATCTAACTTAAATATATAATAAATAAATTATTATTCTTTTAATGGATAGTGCCAAATTTCAGAATCGAAGTTTATCCCAATCTAAAATGAAAAGCACCAATAGAATTATTAATGGTTAATTCAGTGAACCTAATTAATTAAGCTCTAGCATTTTATTGTAAACTCATGAATAACATTCTTTTCCAAAAGCCAAAAGGTTTCCATCTGTTTCCAAAGAGTCAACACCCAAATTGTTATTGCTAAGTGATACAAAAACTAAAAGAACAACTTCCTTTGGATTTGGTAATAAACTAATCAAACCTTTGGATTTAGAAAGAAGAGATAAATTAAATCCTGCTCCTGGGGATTATGAATTGAAGACTTTCTCAAGTACAAAATCATTTACTTTTGGAAATAAATTAACTAAAATTGATCGATAATAAGTTCCTGGTCCAGGATAATATTAATATAAATTATAATCAAAAACTCCTTAATTTAGCATCTATGGAAAAATATTGTATTATTATTTATATGATTATAGAGACAAATAGATTCTATCCTAATAATCGGCTTCATTTGTTACATATAACCCTAAAGAAGCTTTAACATTGAATTAAAGATTTAATAAGATAAGTTTTGGTATTGGAGATAGACCAAAACAAACTTTTAATGAATAAATTCCTGGACCAGGATCCTATCAAAGTAAGTCTCTTTTTGATTTGATTTGTGAAAGGAAAAAATTAAAAGTCTCATCATGAAAAAACTCAATAACTATTTTTGATTTTTTATAATTTTCCCTTAAAAATTTTCTTATCAAACATGTAAAAATAATTCACAAATATTTATTTAACCCGTTCTATTCAATTAGGTTCAAGTATTCATTTTTAATGTTAACTCCAATTTATCCTATGGCACTTTAAATTCCATTATATAATCCACAATTTTCAAATACTAATATCATGTCTCCATGAAATTCTCTAAAGTTTTTATAAGCATTCACATTTAATTTATTCTACTTATTTTAATTATTTTTACTTTTATTGTTCCAAAATCCATTGGTTTTTTAACAATATCAAAATAATCTGTAATATGAAATTCTTTTTAATCAACCGGCTTGTGAAAAAAATAAGCACCTTTTGCTTTCCATATTAATGCTTTTATTTAATATAAATAAAATTATACCTATTATTTTTTTGGCCTACTTTTCCCAAGTTTCATCTTCTTTAGATTAGTTTATCATATTTTCATCAATAAAATCATCTGCATTTAATATAAGTGATGCAATTTCAGGATATTAAATTTAAAATTATTAAAAATCTTCATTTGTTAACTCTCTTTGTTATCCCTTATCATCTGTATGTAAAATTTTATATTGCTATTTTGGAACATCTTTTGGCTTTTTTTTATTCTATTTTTACTCTCCTCCTTTAACACTTTCCTCCTTTTTTTAATGAACATCTTCTTTTTATTTTTGCATACTAGCAGTAATCAAATCAATAACTTCTTTTTTCTAAGATTACTTTGCAAAATACAAAGCTGTTTTCTTTTTATTATCTTAATGATTAACAGGACATCCCGCCTAATTTTATTCATATTTATACATCTATCAATAATTTACAAGCTTCGTAATGTCCTTTACTTGCTGCATAAAATAATGCTGTTTAACATGATAATGTATCTAAATGTGCTACATCTGAGCCTAATTTAATAAATCTAAAGAATTAAAATTGAGAATCACCTAGCTATAATATCTACTCTATTTTCTCTAGAAGAATAAAACAAAGGAGTTTGTCCATATGAATCTGTATCAGATATATTGATTCCTTATGATACTAAATAATCAAATAATTTTGTTCTTCCATCTCGACAAACATAAAAAAGGATGGATTATTTTAGATTATCTTTATAATTAATATTTGCTCCTAATTCACATAAGTATTTTAATAATTGCAATGAAACATCTTCATCTTAACCTTATATTGCTATAAATGTTGAGATTTATCGAGTCTATGGATCAATTCGATTCACCAAATCAATATCCTTTTAATAAGTAGCTAAATAAAATAAAATTATTTTGCATACTTAATATTTATTTCACTTTTTCTATGTTCTAAAAATGCAAGGCTTATCGAAATTCTGCATATATTGCATAGATTTATTCGGATGTAAGCTTTTAAATTGGAATTTCTTATTCTATAGGTTAGAGCAATTATTAAAACTAATTAATGTCTATTTAGATAACCCTGATACCTATTTCTGATTTGATTTACGAAACAATTGAATTAATCTATGACTGATTATAATTTAAACTTTGTAAAATCGTAACAACTTAATCTGAATTTACTCTTTCATTTATAGCAGCCATTTTGAATCTAGTAATTGCTGTCTGAAGGAAATTTTAAGAATTCATATTCAATAAATTTAATAATGAATGAAATTCCTCCAATAATTAACTTATATTATTGAATTATTATTTGTTTATAATATTATATAAATTAATTAATTTTGATTATGTTCAATTTAATTAAAGAATATCAAATATATATTTATATTCCAATAAATCATACTTATCAATGTTTTTTTGCATATTTTAATGTATATTCTCTTGCTTTCATGAGTGCTACACCTTCATTTGTTTTCCATTAATTGGCTGCTTCATTATTTAATGGATCATCCTTGACTTATAAATAATTATCATACAGGATTTGGTGAGCTTAATAACACCTATATTGAGAGTAAGATTGATCTTATTTATAATGCAGGAGACCACTTATCTTTTAAAACATCTAAACAAATTCTTCCTAAATTATCAATATTTGGATGATAAATTTTTGTATTGAATACACATTTTGGTGGTGACTATAATATACTGTTTTATTAATTACCATTGGATAATCATCTGGTAAAAGTAATTCTACTTCAAACACTCCACCTTCATAAGGAGTATTAGGAGGACCAATTATGATCACAAAAAAATGTTTAAAGTTTCCAGGATCAGGTGTTACTTCAATTCCTTAAACCTTATCTTTTGCTAAATTTTATGTCTCTTTTATGATTCTTGGAGTTGGTTAAGCCATTTCTTTTAGAAATTAGATATAAAATTTAATTTTTAGTGATAAATATAATCATTTTCTACATTTATATAAACACAACCTAAAATTTTTTGAGAAAAATTTTCTTTATTTATATAAATTTTCAATCATCGTCAACTGTTTTATTCAATTCTAACCTATTACCAAAATGTTTTCTATCTTTAATATTTTTTATTTGCTCCTCAACTATTTCTTTGAAAACATTACTATTATTACCAAAATCTTTATTTCAAATTAATCTTACTATTTTATGCCATATTATTCTTATTGAAGATTCAAAAAATTAATTTCAACTCTTTTTTTAAGAAGAATTATATATTATATAATTTATATCGATAAAATGAACAATATTTAATATAAATCTATGTAAATGTGAAATAAAAAATTGTTTTTTAAAGAAGCTAATCCTAAAAAATGGTTTGGTTTCGTTTAAATGCATTTCAATATTGAAGTTATTTCATAGTATTTATATATATGATATCTACTTTGTCTAGTTTTTAGTTTTTGAATTTTTAAAATATCAATACAATTTTGCATCTAAGCATATTATTTATTATATTTACAATTCAAGTTCATTCTGAAATTTGGATATAAAAGGCTATTATTTTAAAGTTAAAAAATGAAAAATCCGCATGGTTTCTTTTTTTACTCCAATTTTGAGTAAAAATGAATAAAAAATGGTAAAATTAATTTAATTTTTACTAAAAATTATGAGTTATCTTCTGCGATATCATATCAAAACAACACTTTATAGACAAATTATATATTCATACCACCTTTTTTATAGAAATATTTTAAATTATTTGGTACAAAATAATGTATATTTTAGAAAACCTTATTTTTTTAATAAACAATAAAACTCTTAATCATTAATAACTTTGGCTTATATATTATTAATTATCAATATTTAACTTATAAGAAAATTTAAGTTTCCTTATTTATTTGAAGCATTAAATAAGTTATAATTTTTAGTTCTTATTTTTTTTTAAATTAGGAAAATTTCTTAAAATGTAAATGCCAGAATTTCGACTATTTGGATTTTTTTCTTATTAAAAAATCCTAATATTTAAACAAAAATCAAATGATATTGTAGATGGTCCAATTTTTGAGCATATTTTACCATTTTTAATTGAGATTTATATTGTTAATGTATAATAAAGTTAACTTGAAAAAACTGAATGTTTATTTATAAATTAGAGGGGAGATGAAGTTTAAATAATAAATAAATTTTATTTAACCACATCCATGTTTAACTAATCCCCATTAAAATAAAAAGGGTCATACATTGTTGGATAATCTAGAATGTCCCAAGATGTGAAGCAAAATACTTAATAGCTAACTTAATTTTCAAATTAATAGCAATTAAGCTCTACTTATCAATAGGTACAGTAATTAAATTATTAGTAAAATTAGTCTTAAACCTTATAAGTATAGAGCACAATTCAATAATAAAACACAGTTACTTAGTAGTCATTTCAACAAGTTAGATCAGTGGCAGCTAATTAAGTATCAACTAGATCAATTAATTAATAAGTACAAATAATATGAAATTTAAGGCTGAAACCCAAGTGTCAGTTGGAAATATTATTATACCACCTTAGTAATAGCCTGTCCAATAATCTTAGTAAATAAGAATAGAGGCTCCAAGATCATTAAGAAATTATATGAATACATCTCCACAAGGACCATTATCTCATAAATCTAACAAAAGTTTTTCAAGTACAAAACCTGCTTTCGTTGAATACTACCCTCCAGTTTATATGCAACACGTAGAACCAGTTTATTAATAAACTATTATTGAAAATCCAATAAAAGTAGTTGACCTTATAAAGTTCGAAGAAATGTGGAGTAAAAGATTGAAAGGAATTGAACAAATCCTTGAATCTAAAAATTAAGTCATTGTAGAACCAGAAAACTATGAATTAAGGGCTTCAAACAACAATGATACTTAAACTATTATAGACTTATAAACTGAACTCTTTAGAGTAAAAACTCTTTTAGAAGAAAGAGAAAGAGAAATTATAATATTGAAATAGTAATTGTTAAATTCAAAAGAACAAATAGAATTTGAAAGCAGTAATATTTTATTATTAATTTTAGAACAAAATAATAATGCTTCTAACCTTTTAATATCAGAGTTGCAAATAAAAATTACAACTCTTCAATAAACTATATCTAATTTATAATTCGATTTGAAATCAACTTAAGAAATCATGGAGTAATATAAGTTTGAAAACTTAGAATTAAAATCAGAAATTCAAAATAATTTAACTATTTTAAATAGTAAAGAAGAAATCATAATACAATTAAAATAATAATTGTAATCTTCACTTGAATAATATAACTTTGAAGCTTGTAATTATTATATTTATAATTAGAATCTGGTAAAAATGCTTCATAATAAACAATATCTGAGTTATAAATTAAACTGAATTCTTTTTAGTAAACAATAAACAGCTAATAATTAAATTTGAATTAAAGAGATGATTTGATAGAAAAATTGAGAATTGAAATCAATCAACTCAATATTGAATAATAAAATATCCATAATTTATGTAATGAAAAAGATGACATTATTTCAAAATTATAAATGGAATTAAATGAACTCTACTAATAAGTTGATTAATTAAGCGAAGAAATTACAACAACTCAATCAGTTTAAACCTTTGAGGAAGAAGCAAAAATTTGGAAACAAAAGTTTAAGGAATTGAATGATATTTATCATGCTTGTTAAGAGAAATTAATGGTTAAAGAAGCAGAATATGAATCATTAATTAAACAGTCAAGTTAATAAAAAATAATAACTTAAACAACAGTCATTAAGTAAAATAGTTCACGCTCTATACAAAATGTAAATATTATCTTTTATAAAAGAATTCTGAATACACATCCAACAGTTTGATTTAAAGTGATATTGAAAAAATGTAAAACATTTAAAAACCCCTTATGATGTGATATTTATATATATTAGAGTTAACATATATGTTATATTTATAAATTGTATAGAAAAATTCATTTTTTATTCTTCTTTGTTGATGCAAAATCTATATGAAATAATACAATTAAATACTTTAACCATCAACTTCTTTTAGAGCTTATTTAGCCATTTCATGAAATTCATTATAATTTAGAAACTTTTAGAAGTCTTAACCTTCTTCATTTCCCTATGATGGTAAAACAGATGATTAATTTAACTATTTAGATTTAAATTCTTTAGTTGGTATTTCTTCTAATAATAAACCAGTAATAAATTTTTTTTATTTGTCTTCTATTGTATTTTTATTTGATTTAAATAATACTAACATATTTATATAGCCTTCCAATTCGGCTATAAATAAATTGATAAAATATTTACCTAAATATTGATCAATATTAGATTCATTTAATTGAAATCCACCTTAGAATGTATAAGCTCTAGTTGGATCCAAGTTAAACTTAGTTTTAATCATTTTTTGTAATATATTTTCTATAATTGGTTAAATTTAAGATAATTTATTAGTAAATTGATCAATCTCATTTTACCTTTGATAGTTTACAATTTTTACTTTTAATCAATTATCTTTTATATTTATTTTCTCTTTCTTTCACCATCTGGAGTTGCTTATAAAATTCTCTACCTCTCTATATTTTCTTTTTCTTATAATTCACATTTTTCTTTCAATTCTTCATTAGCATCTTCTAAAGCATCTGTTTCTTAATTTAGAACATCTACATATGTCCACAAAGAATAATTCTACTCTTCACTCTTTATAAAGTTATTTTTTATTTCTTCTATATCAGTTAATCCAGTAGCTTCTTTAATTTAGTTAAATGCTTCATCTATAATTCTCATATTTCTTTGATAAGTATCTATCATTTTAACTTTTTCTTTATTATTTGCAATAATCCTTTATAATCTTCTTTTTAATAAAGTTCCTGTATCAAATGTAGAATAATTTACTGTTTTGAGTCTATTGGTTTTTGATATTTTATCTTTTTCATTTTATTTATCCTATTTCTCTTTTAATTCAGCTTTTAGTTTATCAAACTTTTCTTAAAATTCACTTTTGTCAATTTCATTCTTTGTTTTCAAATCAAACATTTATTATTAGGTAATTTCTATTTATATTTCTATATATTACAAGCATCTTGAACCTTTTCTTTAGCCTCTTTTTGTGTGGATTTTAATTTATTATGAATTTATTCATGAGACTATTCAATTTCTTTCATTGCTTATAATAGTTAATTGCGTTCTTTTCTTATTATATCAATATTTTATTTCATAATTTCAATATTTGCAACAGATTTACATAATTTTTTATCAAACTAAATTAATATAACTTTTTTACTTAATCAATTTAAAATTATAGACTTTTTGATTCTGCCTGATCTTTGTTTAAAACTTTTTTTATGGAATCCATTTTCAATTTTTTCACTGATTATATTTTATTTTTAACTTCTTCTTAGAGTTATCTGTGTTATTGTTCTAAATTAAAAAGTTTTCTAAAATAATAAATCTGTTAAATGAAACCTTCTTTCAATTTCTACTTTCCTAGTGTAATTATCAATCTCCTTTTGTAATGTAATAATAATAGGTTCATTTAATTATCCTTGTTTTCCATGTGAAAAGGATCTGTTTGACACTTTACTTGAACGAGGCATATGTTTTAATAAAATATTGAATTTTATATATTATAATTATTTGAACTTTTGATAGTTATAAAATAATTAATATCTCCATCAGATGTAATCATGAAATAATAACTATATTAATTAAATAGCATGCTTCTTACCTATGTTATCAAATTAAATTTAGATTATGATAATTTTCACATATTTGAATATTGTTTCAAAAATAAAACTAAATGATTATCAAAAATACTGAAACAGATTAAACCTGTTATTAATAATATATATTAAATTAGGATGAACTCTTTATTAAAATCAGAATAACCATATTTAAATCAATAACGCAAATCAACAATCAGTCCAGAGATACAAAAACAGATATAAAGCACTCTCCATAGAAGGATTAATTATTCTTAAGCAGATTTAATTACTCCTATTACAGTTAAATAAAATCACAAAAAACAGATTATAACTTAAGGTTTACAATAATTGTTAAAATCAAGTCCTTATTTAAAGTTAGTTCAATAGAAATCTTAACAATAACTTCAAATTTAAGATAGTTTTTCTTAACAATATTTGAATGGATATACTCCTACTCCTAATTAATTATCTACATAAATACTTTTTAAACCAGATATACGTACTCCTTCATTAAATTCAACTACATCAAGCAGTATTAAGCCAAGGATGAGAAACAACACTAAAGACCAAATACAAAAAAAATCTTTTGACTCTATAAATGTTACTTCTAACAGAGAAAAAGAGAGATAAACAATATCGCAACTATAAAGCATAATTTAAAGATCTTCAATATTATTGAAATCTTATAGAGATGAATTGTAAAAACAGATAAATGAGAAATAAGACCTAATCAAATAAATTTAAATATTAGAAGAAATTAGAATTAAATAATGATTATAATATTTTATACTAATATATTTATAATGGCTATTTTAATGATGGAAATCAGATTTTGTAACCCCGCATAATTCTTTGATTTATGAATAATAAAAATCTAAGTAATGAATGAAAAATTATTTAAATTTTGAGATAAAATTGATTTAATATTTTATAAAGAGTTTATATGAATCTAAAATAATAATGAGTTACCAATTGGTATTAAGAAATATAAAATAAAATTAAGGTAAATAAAAATTAATAATTTAATATCTAATGTTAAATTAATAAAGGCTTGATCAATAAGAAACATTGCGAAATGAATATTAATAAACTAGACCTATTTCTTAACAATTTGTTTATACAAGTGGAGTGTAATAAGTAAAATAAAATAATTAAAAATGATAGGTTCCTTTTGTAAATCAATAAGTATAATAAGATGAATTTGTATTTGATGGTAGAAATTAAGCATTTAATCAATAAGGAGTTTAATTTCCTAATAATTTTGTAACCGCTCAAGTGACAAATTATCCTACAATAAATGTAAAGATAATTAATTTAATGTTAGCCATGTAATCCTTGTTAAGCATCACCATTACATATGCAAATAGTAGTTGTAAATAGAGAAGAAATAGAAGCACCTTGGAGATTAGAATGTGAATATCTATAATCAGTTATAACAGAACTTGAAGCTAGATAATTAGAAACAAAAATAGTTGAGAAAGTGATTGAAAAGGAAAAGATAGTAAAGGATACTGAATCTATTTCATAATTAGAAAATGAATTGAATAGATTAAGATTAAGTAATTAATAAGAAGTAAGTGTTTTAAGAAGATAATTATCTGAATTGTAGATGCAAAATGGAAATTTGAATTCTTAATTAAAATAAAAAGATTAAGAACTTTTACTCCTTAAAACAAGTTCAAGTTCAAGTGAAACTAGATATAGATAATTAGAAACAGAACTTACTAATTGGAAGAATCAATGCAGAAGCAAAGACTAAGAATTAGCTATATTAAGAAATTAGATTTAAGATATGTAGGATGCAAATAGTCAATTAGAAATGGAACTAAGTTCATTAAGATTGATTATTTAATAAAGAGATAATGAATTAGAAAAATATAGAGTTACTTCCATAGAATTAAGATCTGCAGCTAATGAGAGTAGAGATGCATAAACTAGAATTAGAGAGTTGGAATTAGAAGTTGATAATTTGAAGAATCTATTATATTAAAGAACTGCAGAATGTGAAGATTTAAGAAGTTAAATAGCACTTAGCGATAAAGAATATAGTGCAAAAATTAATTAATATAGATTCTAAATTAGTGATTTAGAGTAAGAAATTTTGAGATTAAAAACTGAAATTGAAAAGTATAGATAATTGTTGGCCAATAAGGATCATGAAATTGATGAATTACATTTAAGAATTCAATATTTGGAAGAATAAGGAACTACTGTGGTTTAAGAAAAGGTTACTTTCTTAAGTTCTGAAATTGAAGTTTGGAAATAGAAATTCATTAAGATTAATCATGATTATAATGAATGTTAGGAATAATTGATGATGGCATAAGCAGAATTAGAAGCACTTTAGAAATAATAAAAGAAAGTATTCATTTTAATATTTAATATTTTTAGGAAGTAGTTGTTGAAAAGAGAACTGTAACAAGATCAACTGTTGGAAGTAGCAGTATTCAAAAATAATATTGAGAATGAATCATTAAATATAAAATACATTAATAGTAACAATATTTTAAATTATTATTATTATTATATTTAAATCTAATACTCTACATTTTATAGATATATTATTTATAAAAAATTATATTCTAAAGATTATTTTTATTATATTTAAATATTATAAATATTTTAGATATTCTAAATATTCTATTTATTTTAGATATAATATTTAGATTCTCTAAAAATCAGAATTATTTATTTGTTATTTCATAAATATATTAATCATTATAAAATTCATAATGACTCTAATGCACTTTTTGCTTAGTATTTAACCTCTGGATCCTAATCATCACAAAGAGATTATAAGACTTTTTTTAATGGATCAAATATATTTCCACCTTTCTCTTTCGCTAATAAGATTGATGTCTTGCAAACATTGCTTCTAATATTTGCAACAGAGTCCTTTGACATTTGTTATAAAAGAGGAAGGATAGTTTTCAATATATAATCATTGTTTAATGAGGATGCTATTTGCTAATAATTATAAAATCACTCATACATTTATTGTAAATAGAACTGTCAATCTATGAAGATAATTTTGAATAGATTAAAAACTCCAAATTTTAGTTAACAAATTTCTATCAGCCCAAGCAATTCCAAGAATTTATATCAATTAAGCAGTTTATTAAATAGCTGTTTATCTCACAGAATACACTTTATCACCTAACCAATCTAAGAGTAATTTCAACACTTTATCTGATAAGAATTCTGGACCTATTGCTCTGGCAAAGAAACTTAACACTTCTATTGTTGATGCTCTTATCCTCCAATTCTTATCTTAAGCTAATTCTGTCAATGCTGGAATAACACTTTATGATAACGAATCAACACCTAATACATTAGTGATAAGACTTAATTTTTTGAATAAAGTAATCCTAACTTCCGAATCTTAATCTTTAAGTAAATTTAAGAAAATAGGTAAAATTTATTCACTTGTATTTTTTTTACCAATTATTGGTGATAATGCTAAGACAGAAGAAGCTAAGGAATCTAATAAATAGTATTAAAAAATTATACTTCTTACAAATGAATTTTAATCCTATTAAATTGTTTTTAGAAGTGGAACTAATTTATTCATAATTTCTTCTGCTTCCATAAAAGAACTTACTCTTTCAATCTTCAAAGCTGCAATAGATTTCATTTCAGGTTCATTATCTTACAAAAACTTTAAATGGTAATTTTAAAAATTCTTGCGATAACCTTCTTTTCCTACTGAATCTCCAATCTAATAAAAATAATAATAATAAAATACATCAGCTAATTTTTCACAAAAATAATATCTTACTCTCCATGATTAATCTTCAGCCAATTATTTAAACATATTCATAACAAAGTTTTATTGTTTTAAAAAAAATGGAGTTTTGCTTAAAGAAATCAATGCATCAACAATATACATTCTAATAAAATCTTATTCATCTTTAATAAATGAATTTAAAGTATTTTAAATAAAGGCATCATTTACTATAGGATAATGTTTAACTAAATCCTTTAATTATGTAACAAAATACTTAAAAATACATTGATGAAAATTTTCTAACTTATGGAATTTGATCTTAAGATATTTTGACTATGATATTAATCAAATCATTCTAATTGTTTTATGAAACTTAATTAATAACTGCTGGAATCAATATAACAACTGCATTCTTAGCCAAATAATAATCGCTATCATTCAATCTCTTAATTATTCCCATTGATAATTCTTCAATCTTCTTTTAATCTGGTAACAATGTAAAGCATTTCTTTAATTAATTAGCAGCCTTATATTATGCATTTAATACTTTCTCCCGAACTGAAGCATCTTCAACTCTACACAATGCTTCAAATGTAGGTAATAAAACTTAAACTTATCCACCAACAAGCTCAATAAAATTTTTAGATAAAGATTCTACTAATTCAATCAAAACTTCATCATCATCATCCAACAATTCTAAAATATATTTCAATTTACCTTAAATGAAAGGAATTAATTCATTTTTTGTTCTTTCTGGACCTATAGTACTAGCAATCAAATCTAAATGTTTCACTGAATGAATTCTTTTTCTGATATCATCACTTTTTAATTCATCTATTATCAAATTAATTGGCATCCCTGTAGTATTTTCAATTTTTGGCATTTTTAATAATTAAAATATATTTATTTTTCTTTAAAAAATTTATTTTTAATATTATCTTAGCCTTTGTAATATATCTCACTTCATAATTACACCTCTTTTATATATAACTATTATAGCAATCTAGTAATATAATTAAAACTTATATTAATCAAGAAATATTTTATAATAGAAATTTTATCAACCTAAATTTTCACAAATATCAATAAAACAATTTGAAATTAAGAATATTGTAATTTGAATTAAATATAAAGTTCAAAAATAATTAGAAATAGATTAATCCAAAGAAATCTATTTGAGATAAAAAGTAGATTTTAAATGACCAAAATAGAATAGAATAATCATAAAAAATTTAATAATTCTTAGAAGTAAAAAATCGTATTGCAATTTTAAATAATTAAAACAAAAAACTGTAATTTTAAGGGAGTATATTTAATTCATTTTTCACAATTTCACCTTTTATCAATTTTTTTAACCAAGATAATTTTTACAACTTAAGATAAGTTATGGAGTCAAATATTTTTTGAATATCAAAATTTTAATTCTTTTCAAATATATTACAAACTAAAATATTTAGAAAATCGAAAATCGATAATTTTTTGTAGTTTTAAATATCATTAATCAAAAAAATTTTTAAATCAAATTAATATTTTTTATCTCCTTAAATTAAGACTCTTATGAAACAAATTTAAAAAATATTAACATGAACTTGAACAAAAAAACAATTAAATTCTTTGAAAAAATTATTTTTATAAATAAATTAAACAGATCATAAAATATGTAATATATTATTTCATTAATAGTTTAAAGAAAGTCAATCAATTCTTAATAAGTTCAAAGTTAATTATTAGATAAAGAGTGGATAGTGTCACAATTAAGTTTTAATTAAAGAATTCTAGTTAATTAATAAGATATTGCACCAACGAAAATTAATTAACGAATAAGGTTTTACATTGAATAAATTAACTTACAATTATTAATTTAAACATTGAATTTCTATACAATAATTAATTTAAACATAGTGGTAATTTCAAGGTCAAACCAAATCATGTTCTCATTTGAAACAATTTTTTTAATTTATGATTAAGATTTAAGAAATATTTTAAAAACTACTATAATTTTATATTATTAATTATTTACAATTAAAAGATAAAAAAGAATAATTATTTTGAGTAAATGGATTTGTTACTCTAAAAATATGAATTTCAGATCTCAAATAAATATCAATAGAACAAAGGCTGATAAGATTTAATTAAAATTTAGAGGAATATTCATGAATAGTTTTAAAAATATCAATAAATTATTAATATTAACAAATCATAAATGGGAAACAATTGCTCATATAAATAATAAATAAGCAATAAGATGCAATCTCTATAAGTAAATTCTGCAAGCAATCCCTAAGGAATGTCGAAACCTAAACTAGATAGTTTGATAAACACTAGTTAATTAACTTAGATGGAAATACCTAATGCTATGCTTCAGTCACCTACTAAACCTTTTATTCCAAAACACAATGAAATTAAATCATTAGTAAGAGTTCCTTCAGAAGAAAGCTTGTTTTTATCATAATTCAATAATGTTAAGGTTGATGAATAAAAAAATAATTCAATCTACTAAAAAAAGAACATATAAAAACCTCTTATGACGTTGAAATCATCTTTAAAACGTAATAATCAATAGATTATGGTTTAAAGTCCTAAATTTTAATCATCAAGTCCATAAGTAAAATAATAAATAAAATGTCGTTCACATTCCCCTATTTATAATTGTGCAAATGGTGAATTAAAAACAAAAAAAAGTAGGGAAAATTCAAAAAAAGTAAATAAATAATCTTAAGAATATAAACCAAAGAGAAAATATTCAGATGCCCCTGTATAAAAAGAAAAACATAATTTAATGAGAAGGAAAATAAGTGATATATGTGATGATCACAATTATATAATAGGAGTTGAGAGTTATAGTCCAACAAAATTAAGAACCTACACTCCTACTTCAATTTTAAAAAGAAAAGATTCTGATGCAGAAACGAATTCCCCTTTAAAAAAACAAGTTAGATTCAAAGAACAAGGGATTAATCGTAAGTTAAATTATAACTGATTTGACTACAATATTATAATCATTTTATGAATATTGGAAGTGTATTGATCGTATTTTCTATTTAATTGCAATGTTATTCAATTTCATCAATATTTTACATTTTTCTGTATTTCTTAAGAGTTACTTCTTTAAAAAGATTAGATTCACAAGTATATAGTTCTAATTCCATTATTAAAATTGAATACAAACTCAATAATCTAGTTTACATCCATTCTAATTCTGAGAATGTATTATTAGCTAAAGTTTTTGCTCTAAGTTTTCCAATAGCAGTTTTTACTCTAGGGTAAAGTTAAGTAAATAAATATTTTTCAGCCTATTCCTTGATTGATTTTTTTATATCCAAATTTAAAAGGGCTGACATTTTTTACTAAGAATTTGCATCTAATCTTGAAATATTTTTTTAAGCAACTTCTAACATTTCTGAAAATTCTTTTTCCATCATTTTATTTTATTATACAATTGTCTGCTATAATAATTAATATTAAGTTGATGATTTGAATTTTAAAAATTCTTTGAGTTCAAAAATATTCTTTTATTTTTCTATATCTTTTTCTGTTATTTTTCTTATTTCATAAGCTCTCTAAAATATTGCACATCAAAAAATTACTTTAAAAACAATACATAATGGTACTATCCAAATTTATCCTTGAAAACTAAGTTTTTCACTTAAATCTGCCACAGCAAATGTTATATTTTAAATAATTGCTAAATATGAATAATACCTATATTAAAAAGAACATTTTACTTCTGCTGATATTCATTAAAGGTTTTTTCTAAATCTTCTTAATTCACTTTGGTATTCTATGTGTTTTCAACTGTAGGTTTTTATTTTTAAATATCTTATTAGAGTGATTTATTAGGTCTTATAATTGGAGGCTCCTCAATATCATTAATAGACTAAGGTTTTTCATTTGTTTTATGATTTGTTATATAATTATCAACATTCTATTTATCTTCTTTTTTGGAAAAAGTTGAGTTTGAAGTTAATTTATTATCTTACTAGGGTTTTTTCAAAATTTCTTGCTTTTTTTCTTTATCAGCAGGTTAGGTTTACTCTTAACTATAATTCTGATTATTCATTTAGTGTAATTTAATATCATCCAAATCATTTTCATTTATATTCTAAGCTAATTAAAAGGGAGTTTTCAATTTTGCCTATTATTTTTCATCTTTATACAATTTTTAATTTTAATTAGAGGTCTCTGATGGTAGTGATTTAAAATGAAAGCTTGAATTATCTTCTGTAACTTAATTTTATTATTGCTTTGGAAGAATTATTGGAATTGATTATTATTATTATTATTATTATTATTATTATTTTTAATATTACTATTATAATGTATTTTCATTTTAATGGATATTCTATTAAGAAGATGTATAATTTGTTTAATTTGAATAATTATTACTGAAAAAATTAGCCTCATAATTCTAATTTTTATTTTAATCAGTGGTAGGCTATGAATTTAATGGTTTTGTAACACCAATAATAGGTGGTTAAGATCCATCAAATAAAAAGGGGGATTTTTTTTCAATTCTTTATTACTGTTAATTATGATTAAATTCTTTAAAGCTCTTTTAAGCTGTCTATTAAAGTAAATCAGGTTATTTTGAAAAAAAATGATTTTAAGTTTTTGGATATTAACTTTGATTCATTTCTGACACTTATTAAGGGAAACCGGTTTATTAAAAATAGGATTATTGAGTAGATATTAGATTAGTAAAATTTGATGAGAGCTTTTTATTTTTAATATTATTAGAAATAATTTGAGATGCAAATACATATGAGGAGCATACTTTATTTGTTGATGGAACTTATCTTCTTTATTTTTAAATTGCAGCTTTAACTGATTAATTATGTGCTGTATTTAAAACTTTTTAATCATAAGATTAAGGTCTTGCTGATCTCTAAGTTTAATTTTAGCGACTTGTTTATGTACCAATTTTCTTATTAGAAAAATCAAGAATGCTAGTTGTCACTTTAGAAATGTCTTTTTTAGAATAGAACAATTTCCATTATCCAACTTCTTCAAATGTTGGTCTTTAATTAGGGTCTAATTTGAGCATTTTAAATAAACATTCCAAAATTTCAATATTGATTTTGTAGTTTTCAGCTGCTTAATGAATAATAACATCTATTTAATATTATTCAGAACACTATAACAATTTCTCACTAATATCTCGATTACATAACAGATTAAAAATTAGTTAACCAAATAAATATGTCTTAGTTTTTGTAGTATATTCATAATCTTTATGTTTTTTCGTTATATGTTGATTAATTCCATAATCGATTATAAAAACTTCATCTTCATTCACAAAAACATAATCCTAATCAAAGTCTATTATTCCTTTAAGTTTTGAATATTATTAGTACAATTTAACATAAAAAGATTTTAGTGTCTCTGTTTTAATTTTTTATTCTAAATTTATCCAAAGAGTGCTATCCTAATAGGATATTAAAATAAAATCTTCAAAATCCATTTTTTCAAATATAAAACGGAGTTCTTCAGCTCTTTGAAGAATCTGATCTTAGATTTAATTATTTAATGTTTGCTTTGGAAAGATGTGTAACATATAAATTTAATTATTGTCATGTCTTCCTCTATAAAGTTATTGATAAGGTGATTCTTTATTAACAGGTAAATCAATCTCATAAGAACTGAGACTCATTCAAATTAATATATGCTTACTTTATTAATAAAAATTAAATGAATAATTATGAAGTTCCTAATTCAGAAATTAAGTATATTTAAGTTAATAATTAATTAATTCTTATCTGAAAAAGTTCTTAAGTATCATACCAGCTCTTGAAACTTAATATAAAATGAACTGAATTTCTAAATTTAGTATTTCATTAAATTTTTTACTATTAAATGTTTGATAATGGTGATTCATTTTAGTTTTATATTAAAAATATTATTGTAAAAAACTAATTCTAATTTATTTTTTGAGTTTGAATATAATTTAATCAAAACTTAAGTATTTTTACAAATAATAATAGTAGGACTACCACAATTATGTTTATTAAAAAGTATTAAATATTATATATATGTTAATTTTGTAGAACATATAATTTATGGTGAGGTTAAAAAAATAAATACACAAAGGTGTGCAAAATATAATGAATGGATTAAGGTTAGTTAACCATTTTCAAAGAAAAATGATTAGAATAAACTGTATTAAATGAAAAAAGAAAAAATAGATTGAATAAGTTAAAAATTGTTGGAATAGTCATTTAAAAAAAGAAAAAAGAGAGCATTTTTAAAGAATTCATTCAATTCAAAGATTTAGTTTTTTAATGAGTAAGTCAATGGATTAAGGGATAAATGGATGAAATCAATAATTTCAAATAGAATAAATGAAGTTTTAAATCTTGTTATTAAAATCAGATCAGGAAAAATATTATATTTCATTAATTATTATTTATAAAAATGCTAATATTATTCTTAGCATAGTTGTTATATGCTCAGCATATAATTTTTGAAGAGGATTTTAAAGATGGTTAATTAAATTCAGACTTGTGGAAAAAATCTGATGTTGCTACTATTGTTCCTTGTCCTGGAACAACAAATGATTATTGTGCAAATATAGTAAAGTAAAGTTATGCAAATGGAATGATATCTGCACCTTTTAAAATTGAAATGGAATAGGATGTAACAGTAGAATTTAAATATTTAACAAAATCTACCACTAATAGAGGAGTTCAATCTGGACTATTTGTGGGATATACTGATGAGTAATAAAGCGGATATTGTTGGTTCGCTTCAGGATATTCATATTCAAGTACTTTTTATAAGCAAAATACTCAAAATACGGATCCTGCTTATTTATGTCCAAATGATGAATCTGTTTTAATATAAGATCTTCTTAATGACTGGAAAACTGTAATTTTTATTTTATTTATTTTTAGATTAAATATACAATCCCATCAGCTACTTTGAAAGCTAAGAATTAATCTTAATTATCCTTAATATTTTAGGATTTCATAAATGAAAACATAGGAGGAGCATATTATATAACCAAAATACTTGTATATTATAATAAGAATTGCACAGCTAGATGTAGTGAATGCACAACTTTTTATGATTGTACTAATTGTACAGAACCATATAGATGGTTAGAAGGTGTTTGTTATAATGTTGATTGTGGAAATAGTTTAGAATAATCAATCCCATATGGTACAGATTCTTTGGTAGAGAGTATAACTGCTACTACATATTCGGCTACTATTAAAATACCGAATTATGATTTTAAAGGATGTTGGCCAGCTTAGTGGGTAACAATAGATAAGAATGATGGTAAATTTACAGAATTAAAGTTTTGGTATGATTCACCATCTACAGCTAAATTGCTTATAGATTAATATAATATGACAGGTGCTAATTGTTAATAAACTGATAATCCATAAATTTATGATTGTTCATTCCATTTTAACGTACATTTTAATGAATAAATTATGTATGAAAGAAATTGGACAGCTACTATTGATTATTCTAAATCTTCTATTTTAAGTTTGTAAGTACCTCCTAAAACTTTGAATCCTCCATCATTGGTTATTGCTATTTAATCAGAACTTGATTATTGTGACAATATAAATGATTGCAAATTTACTAAAGATAAAATAACTTTAGTTCTTAATTAAAGATTCAAAGTTAGATTAACAATTATTGATTCAAATCTTAAGAGTTGGAAATTAGAAAAAGGAGCTGTTAAATTATAGGGATAAGGAACTCTAGTTAATTTACCTATTTTAGAAACTGTTATTGGAGAAGGTTAAATCATTTATACTGTCAGATTGGCTATCAAAGGAGAAAAAGGTAATGGATTTGCTGTGACTGCTAAAATTACAAATCCAAATGTAGCCAGTAGTAGAAGGAGAAGAGTTCTTAATGAAGATTCTACTGGTAGATTAGCAGTAGGGAATTTGAATGGTAATTAGATCACATTCAAATCGAGAACACTTTAAATAGAAGATGATCCTGAGTTTTCTTAATTAATATTGGCACCTCTATTACTTTTTGCAATATTTGGATTTTGATATTGGAAAGAAGACATTCAAACAATTAAAATATTTTAATATATTTATTATATGATTATTCTTAACAAATCATTTTCTTAGGGCTTAGAAAATCTTTAATTTTTCCAATGGACCATGTTATTTCAATTTGTGGACGTGAGTACCATAGTATTATAATTCATCCTAAATAATTAATTTATGGTAATACATTAGCCTTATATTTAAGATAGTCGGATCTGAAATAGTTGGTGAATCCCCATTTAGCTGAGACAACAATCTTTTATCTTCCTGGGAACTTATTCTTTCCTCTTCTTAATGCTTCCATAGCATGATTAATTGAAGCATCTTTGCATCTCAAAGAGTAAAGAATGCTACCAATTTTAACTCTGGCACATAAACCATTGGGTTTACCAAAGGCACCTCTCATACCAGTTTAAAGTCTATCTGCACCAGCACATGAAAGCATTTTATTGATTCTGAGTACGTGCCATGGGTGCACTCTACATCTAAGATGGAATGCATCTTTTCCGACTTTCTTAATCATATATTTATTGATGGCAACTCTGCATGCTTCTAAGGCTTCTGATGAAATTTATTCCTTTTCATCTGATACAATGTGAATTGTAGCCTAATTCATATTAATTATTAAGTACTGGGAATTCATCTACATTAGCCTTCTTTCTTCCAACATCATAAATCTTAATTTTAGCATCTGGGACACCTCTGTTATATCTTGACTTGGGGAATGGTTTTCCATTACTCACTCTATAGCATCTTGCTGGTCTTCTACCCATTTTTATTTAAAAAAATATAAAAGATTAAAAATTTTTTTGAAATCAATCATTCACACATTTTATTATCAATTTTTTAATCCTTTTCTTTTTCAATAATTTTTACCTCTTTTTTAATAATCTATTAATTTATATGAATTCTCATATTTGTATACTTTTATATCTCATATATGTGATATATTGTTTTATTAATATTAATTCAATTATTCAATTTAAATAGAAAAATGTGATAAATTTAGATGATTTTTTTATTCATATATATATTTTGAGTTTGAAGGAATATAGATACAAATTTTATTACCTAAAGATATAATCTATTAAATTATATAACTAAAAATTGGTTATATTGAATTTTCTTATTCAAATGCTTCTAACAAATATTCAAATAGATATTTTAGTTTGGAATCATCTTAATTATCAATTCTATTTTCAACTTATAACCAAAATGAATGAACAAGGTTATCTAAAATTAAAGTTTTTTAAGTCTAAATCTTTCACAATTTTTAAATCTTTCTGAAAAACCCATTTTTTGTTTCCATACAATTAAATCTATTTAAGATTCTACTGATATATTCTTTGAGAGGATCAAGATAATTGACAATAGTTATAAGCATAATATCAGTATAAGCTGTATAAATATAGAATGAATAATATTAAGCTAATTATTATAAAAAGTCGGGAAACATATGGCTGAATATTTATTCCAATCTACTATCATTAATAAAAGATACCTCAATTTCAGATCTATTTTCATTTTTTATTTTAACTTAATTGACAATTTATCTCTTTGAATTAGAAGCATGATCTAGATCAAAATAAATTTTATTTGGATTTATTTTATTCAAAGTAAGTTTTTTCTTTTCAGTAAATTGATCTCTTTTGTGACATTTTCTTGAATAAGATTGATTTTTATTTTCTCCTCTATTTTTTTTGAGTTGTACTTCTAAAGTTTTTTGTTTGTTCATCAGGTATTTATGGTATAATATTTGAATTGAACTTCTTTATCAATAAGTTCTGATTCTTTAGGAACAAAAATTTAATCTTAATTCTAATGAAATTTTTTAAGGATAGATTCTCTTTTTTAACTGCTTTTATCACTATTTTTATTATCAAATTCAAGATGACATATCCCTATTATCTTCACTTTAGAATGATTATTTTGAACATGAAATAATCGGAATACTGACTACTCTACACTATGCTTTAATACTAATAATACATAATGATTTTGATTATTAAATTGAATAATTTCATAATATTAAAAAATCTGTTTAAATATATTATTAAATAGATAATAGTAAATTGCAATAAGTTTATCAATATTAAAATAATAAATTTCATTATTTAATCTCAGGCAAATAAACTGAATATGAAATAAAATATATTTTGCTAAAATTACTCAATTTGAAAAAAATTAAAATTAAAAAATATTACAATAAAATTTCTAAGATAATAAAAATAATTATTATAAAAGAAACATTCTTAGTAGATTAAATTTATTGTAAACTTCAAATTACTCAAATTTAAGTAGCCTCAAAATCACATTAATAATAAGATGCTTAAAGGGGATCAAACAAATCGACATCCTCAGGTTTTGTATTAGAAATAAATGAATTAAACTCAGACTACGTTTCTAAGTTCATCATTTGTGTTACCATACCTTAACTATATTTATTAATATGAATTAATACCCATATAATTGTAAACTTAATTTCGATTTATTATTGATGAATGAATTTCTATAAAATTCAATTAATTAATTTTTTGATATTTTTCTTATTTCTTCAATTGCAACTTATCTATCTTCAAATTCAATGGTGCCAGCACTAATATATTTCCATAAACGATCTCCTTCTTCACTTAAACTTTATGGTTTTTCTTTTAATTCAGTAATAACACCATGTTTAAGATGCTAAAATTCTCTATTATTCATTTATTCTAAATAAACTTAAAATTAATCTAAGAAATCATCAATTATTAAATTGACTTTCATTGGTATCTCTGTACTTCCTTAGACTAAAATCAAAGCTCCATCAACACAGGCTGTTGTTTTAAGTTCAACTGCCACAACATATCCTAATTATAAATCAGTACGTAAATAATTATATGCTTATTAATTAAGAATAGGTTCTAATAATTTCATTAATGCCTTATTCATTTACTTTCTTTATCCTATTTAATAATAATTTAATGTGACTCCATTGATATCATCATTATCTCCTGACTCTATCAATTTAGAATCTATTAAATTTTTTCCTTTTAAATTAATAATTTAAATCTTATCTTTAATTTCATTATCATTTAATGTAGATTCTTTACTTCTAGCACACTATTGAACTTCATCTGATAATTAAGTTGCTTCAGTTTAATCAATATTACCAATAAATAAACTTGAATATTATACATTATTCATTATATCTCTAACATCTTAAAACATTTCTTGTTAAGAAATCTAATTAATCTATTCAATCACCTTTTTTGGATTATGGGAATCCTTTTATAAAAGTTAAGGTAAATATATCTCTATTGCTTATTCAAATAAATTATCTTAATACATATTCTTGATTGATAATAACAAAGATTATTTAGCTATTTCAAATCTTTTTTATTAATTAAGTTCAAGAAAACTCTTAGATTTTTCTCTAAATGGATTTAAACATGAACATATTTTCTTAAAAAAGTTTCTCACATGTTCACTAAATCCATAAACCTTTATTTAAGTTTTTTTGTTCATATCCAATTCATAAGAATATCCAGATGATAATGGTAATTTTAATTCTTTTGATAATATTTCATCTGCCATAAAATTATACAGTCTTAATGAAGTGAATTATCGTAAAGTTAAGGTTTTTTGATATTTCATTTATAATGCTCCAAAAATAAATGGGATTTTATAAGATGTCTAACTCTTCCACCATTCTTATTGTTCTTTGTTTAGTAAAATTGGATAATGATTTTACTTTTAATATTTATGTTCTTCTAAAGTGCATTATTCATCACTATATTAATTAAGATCTTAACCAGCCATTAAAAACAAATTCAATTTACTCTATTGATCTAATGTTTTTAATTTATCAGAATGTACAATTTTTGGTAACTGAGATTATTATGATTCACATAGTGAGACTAATTCAACATTATTTGGAATAAATTCATTTTATTATGGTTTTTCAAACATATTTTGTAATATCTCATCTTATTTAGTAATGAAATTTATAAAATGTTCATCAAATTTTAGTTTAGAATATACAATTCTATATAAATTATTTTTTTCATTAAGTACTTTATCTTATAAAAACTACTTATTACTCTAGTTATCATCTACTTTTTCATTTTAATATGAATATTAATTGCTACCTATTAAAATTATTAAGTTTTGAGTATTCATTAATTGTTGAATGTAATCTAATATTAAATCTTTATCAAGATTGTCAATTATAAATTCTGATGAAAGTACTTCTTAAGGTTTCTACCTATTCAAAATTCTAGCCATAGTTGAAGTATCTAATTGTTCAGTTAAATAATTGAAATTCAATTTAGAAATCTTGCTTTATTCTTTAAATGTTTAATTGATATATTCATCATCTTAAAGCCATTCTTCTAATTTTTAAATATAATTAAATATTATTTTTGTAATTTCAGCTACTGCTTCTTCTTTCTGCTAAGATTTTTCAGTTAAAATAATCTCCATCATATAATTTGTAAATGAAGATTCTTCCATGAAAACTTCTGAAGAAATTGAAATTATAAAGTTTTATTCTTTTAAATAATCAATAAGATTTCCATTCTATATAATATAATCTAAGAATTCAATTGGTTTTTGATGAGAAAATTTCTCTCTTCCTTTCAATTACCAATTTAGTGTTAATTATTCTTTTTCTGTTTTATATTTACATAGATAACCAAATTAATATGGAAATCCTGTGAATTGAGGTGGTTATAAATTTGAATTCTTAACATGATTAAATGGTTTAATTAATCGTTCCATATCTTATAAATTTATTCTACTCTAAATAACCAAACTCATCAAATTTGAGGAATAATTTTATTAAAAAAAAGATTTCAAAGCATCTTCAATTCCCTTTTTTTTAAAAACCTCATTATTACCTAGACTGAATCTACTTGCAGGATGTTAAGGATCAGCAAATAATGTAAATAAGTTTTGTATTTTCCAATCTTCTGAAGATACATCTATTTCATATTCTGAATTTACAGCATTTTTCTCTCTTCCTACTAATTCTTGACTAAAGAGAGGATCAATGAAAAAGTGAGCAAAAGTATCTAATGCTTTGTCTAGATGCAATGATGTGATTTCAAAATAATAATTAGTATTGGTAGCATCAGTGTATGCATTAGAATGTCCAGATCCTTTGGCCAATAACTCATCAAAATAATCAGGTCTTGGATATTTAGTAGAGCCAACAAATAACATATGTTCACAAAAATGTGCTAAGCCAGGATATTCATTTGGTTCATTCCAAGATCCTGCTTATACATCAAGAGCAACAGAAGCAATTTCTGAATTTGGATCATGTATAAGCAATACTTTAAGTTAGTTTTCTAATTCAACATATTTATATGATTTTGGATCTATTAAAGGTTTAATTATAGTTTCATGGTTCTTTTCATTTTCTAATTCAAGGAAACTCTAATGAATAGATGGTATATTTGCTTAGTCATTTAATATTGTATTGTGTAATTAAGCAAATGTAGGAAGGCTGGCAAATATTATCAATATGATAAACTATAGCTTGATCTTATAAAAGAGCTAAGACATTGTTATTATATGCAAAAACGATTAATATTATAACAATATAAAATATATATTAAGAAATAAATAAATGAACGAAAGGAAAAAATGGTGTGAAGTTTGCAAAATGTTAATTCCATATACTAGAGCTGCTATATAGGATCATGAGAATACAGCAAAACATAAAAAAAATAAAGAATAACATCTAAAAGAATTAAACAAAAAGGCAAGAATTGAAAATAAATAATAACATAAAGCTTATGATTCAATAGCTGAAACTTCAAAAAGCTTTAAAAATAAAAAATAAAAAAAAGAAGAACATAATTATCATCAAGTGGTAGAAAATGAATATACGGGAGAAAATTAATAAGAATAATAAAAAGTAGCTGATTAGTTAGGATTTTATGCAGAAGGCAGAGTATGGATTTTAGAAAGAGAAGATGATACTGGAAAATTAAGATTTAGAAACACTATAACAGGAATAATAAATTATGAAAAACCTATTGGATTAATGTTAGAAGATTATGAAGAAGAAGCTTGGGATGAATATTAAAAGAATCCTATTCCAAATGTAGATAAAGATTTAGTTGTAAAAGTTGGTTAATGGGAAGTTGTTAAAACTGAAGATACTTTTTTAAATAAATTTAAGGTAGAAACTTCTGAATCAGAAGAGGGAGAAGCAGAACTTAATCATGAAGAATAATTAGCATAAAAGATAGAAAAAGATATATAGGAAGGCACTATAAAGAATTAATAAGAATTAGTTAAAGAAGTCTTAGTATTTGGATAGATTGGGAAAGATAAAAATAGGATCTTATAATAAAAATTAATTGAATTAGCAGACAAAGATGTAGAATTGAAAGATATCTTACCTTAGATGGAATAGAAAAATGTAAAAAAGGAAGAAATAAATACTTCAGGATTATTTAATAAAAAGTCATTTAAGAAAACTAAAGTTGATTACTTCTGATTTAATTTTGACTTAAAAAATATTTCTGTTTAGAATTGACATTTAAATTTAGATGGTATTTTTTATAATCATTAAATCGATTATATTTATTTAGAAAATCGTTAATAAGGAAATTTAATTATTTTCAAATAATGTTCTAAACCCGCACTCATCTACCATCTTATGCCACTTCCTAGTCTGCTTATAGGACCTAATGTAATTATAATTATAATTAAATCAGTTCATAGTAAAGCTGGAAGTGAAACTAGAAAAGCCATCGATCATTACTCATATGCCATTAATGAGGAAATAGGAAGAGGATTTAGTAGTAGAGTATATAAAGGTAGAGATGAGAATACAACTGAAAATGTAGCTGTTAAAGTAACTTAATAATTTAATGTTCAGGTGATTGATATGAAGATGGTCAAGTAATCTATTCATTCTCAACTCTTGAAAAATGAGATCAATGCACTCAAAGCATTTAATCACAAAAATATTATGAAACTCTATGATGTATTTTAAACCTAAAATAATACATATATCATCACAGAATTTTGTGATTCGGTAATTCCTCATTTATTATTCAGGGTGATCTCAACAATTACATTAGGAAGAAAGGTAGAATAGAGGAATCTGAAGCTATAAGAATATTACAAGCTGTTGTTAGTGCATTAAATGAAATGAATAAGAAAGGCTACATTCATAGAGATATTAAACCAGCAAACATTTTACTCAATGACAATCAACCTAAATTAGCTGATTTTGGATTTGCTGTTCCTGCTTATGAAGCTAGAATATAAGGAAGAAACTTTAATGTTGGAACTCCTTTATATATGTCTCCTTAAGCTTTGAGATAGTAAGGACATACTGAAAAAGGAGATGTTTGGGCTATTGGTATTGTATTTTTTGAAATGCTTTATGGTAATACTTAGTCTTATTGGAATAGGTAGAACACCTTATAATGCATCCTCGGAAGCTGCTCTTATTTCTAACATTTAACATTAATAATTAGTTTTACCTTCTTCACCTATGGTGTCTGATGAGTCTAAAGATTTCATTCGCAAATGTTTATAAATAGATGAATTTAAAAGATGGAGAGTTAAGGATATGACAGAACATACTATAATGCAATCTAGAAATTTAAGTCCTTAAGAAAAAAGGAAACCTTTAAAACAAATTCAAAATATCACATTACCAACTGAAAACTCTTAAGTAAAGAAAATCAAAAGAAGTTAAAGTTAAAACATGAAAGATAATACTGTCAGAGATTTTAAACCTTAATAAATAGAAGACAAGCGTAAATTACATGAAGAAAATTAGAAAAAACTTGAAGAATAAATATAACGATCTGCAAGTTAAAAATAATTATTATTACCTCAAAAAATAGTTAAAACCAATGCTTTTGAAGAATAAATTTAACCTACTCCTCCTTTATAAAAATAAAAATCTATTACTCTAGAATTCAAATAAAATAATGAAATTTTATTCTGTTAAATCAATTTCTGTCGTTTCCTTTATAAATTTTCATAACATTTGGCAAGTTCAAAAGTATTTCCAACTGAAATAAGAGATAGATTACTATTTTTAATGGGCAAAAATATTGCTATTAAAATAAATAAGTTATCTACTATCCTAGATAAAGAAAATAAATCAGAAAATCTATTTTATTTAGTTGATTTTGAAAATTATAGAAAGAGTGAATCTTATAAAAGATTCTGTTAAGCAATATAAGAATATCAAGATAAATACTTAAGGCATTTTGAAAAAATTCTAAAATTAGCTAATAAAAATAGTAAAAATTTTATTCATTTAAAAATAGATTTCTAAAAAGATTAAATTATTGGTGTTTTGTGTAATAACCATTTAGTTGAATAAGATTCCTTTTACAAAACTGCTTTATAGTATTTGAAATTAAGTATTACAGAAATAAAATAGAATTTTTAATTTATTAAATTTGATAAACATGATTAAGCTTTACCAGAAGATGTATAATTTAGATTTATTTTTAGTTATAAATGCATGCATTTATTTTGTAAGGACTAATTGGTTATTAAGATTTGATGCAAAAAGTATTAGATTATCCTACAGACTACAAATAATTTTAAAAGGTTTCTCAACCAGAACTCCATATTGAAAGAAAACCAGGATCTGTTAGTTATAGTTAATTAGAATAATTAATGTGATATCACTAAGTAGATATGAAAATGATATATATCAATCAAATTTTTAATGGCAGCATAACTATCAAAAGATTCACACCTTTAATAGTGATTCTCAAATTGCAATCCTCTACCAGTTTAATAGCTTTATCTTTTGGCAAATAAAAGAAACAATTTGATCTTTTAAAATGGCAATCTCTTATATAGTATTATTTAAAAGTGATAAGAATGTCTTCTTTACTTATTATATCTGGAACTTATTATAGTCCTACTTCTATTAATTTATCATGTCTCTATATTCTTTCAATCATTCTTTTCTGAAAATTTGTTAATTATTTTCCCGCTAATTGATTTGATTCATTTTTATTCATAGTTTAATTTAAAAATTAAACTTAATTTTATAATTCTTCCAAATACTCATCTTCTTCTTCAGCTAATTCTGCCCATGTTTTTTCTCTTCTTGTAATATTTTATGTAACTGTGTCAGTCATTAAATTTATTAATTATATTAAATTAATATCCCTGATCAGGGATGTTAGCTTTAAATTCTGATAAATTATGTTTATTTAATTAATGCACTCATAAATCATCCTTTTTTTCATTTAATTTTTTAGACCTGTTAAATTTTTCAATATAAAAGCTCATTCTATTTACTCCTTAAACAATATAAGCATTAAATAATAAGAAACCATTAGATTATATTAAATTTAAAAGAAAAAGCTTTCATAATATTACTTTTTGAACAGAAAAAAAGGAACTTATAGAAATAATAAGAACATACATTCAATAAAACAAAATTCCAAAACATCCATTGAAGTTATATGATGATGAATTCATATAAATTATAATATATTATATTAAACTTAGTATAATTATTTTAAATTCTTAGTTCATATTAAATGTGCTTTTAGAATATTAGGATTCTAAATTATTTATTGTATTGTTAAAAGTAATCTATTGTCAATTAAATGATTTAATGCATATTTCAATTATTTCAATTGTAAAAAATAAATCTGCTAATATTATTTTTTACTTTTATAAAATAAAAGCAAATTTTTTTGTAAAAATAAGAATATACTTAAAAAAATCAACCTTTTATAAGTAGAATTTTAAGAAGAAGAAATGATTTATCTGTAATGAACTAAAATTTCAATTGAATGAGATATTTTTGTGAGTGCATTTAATGAAAAAAAAAATGAATCAAACAAAATGAGTTTTTTAGATTTATCATTAATTGGTATTATTTATAATAAATAAGAATTAATTTCATGTGTTAAGAATAATAATATGTACATAAAAGAATATGACAACTAAAATTTGTTTAAAATAATGTTTTGAAAAAAAGTACTTATATATTTATTTTATTAAATAAATTAGAAGTTATAGCATTCATTATACCATAATTAGTCCATTTATTATTTTTAATGTACTTAATAAATTATTAATCACTTCTTCTTTCTTTCAACTCCTAGAGTTTATCCTCCTCTACCAGTGGTTTTTGTATGTTATCCTCTAACTCTTAATCCCCAATGATGTCTCAAACCACGATTACACCTTAATTTAATTTAATTGAAATACTTGATTTTCTTCATTCTTTCTAAATCTTCTCTTAATTTAGTTTCTAATTCGTTTGTTGTCACTTAATAATTTTTGCCATCTTTGAAATCTCTTTGTCTATTCAAAAACCATCTTGGAATGTTATAAGCTTCTGGTGATTTAATGACTTCTGTGATTTTATGAGCCTCATCGTCAGTTAATTCACCAGCTCTTTTTGAAAGATCAAGACGAAGAACCTATTTATTTATCTATTACATTAAATACCTTGCAAATTTAGATAGCAAATCTTCTTCCAATACCTTTAATACTTCTAATACCATAAGCAAGTCTTTATTTTCCATCAACGTTTGTATTCAATATACGAATAATGTGTCTGAATGAATCAGCCTTTTCTAACACCAATGACATTTATTTGTATAAAAGATTTAATTTAATTTAAAATTTTTAATGACTCCTCGTCACACCATTATTTGATATTAGAATTTTTATTTAAAGATAATAGTTTACAAATAATCCATATCAAACTGAGACTCTCTAATTATCTATGTAAAACAAATATTATTAATCAAACAAAATTTTAATTCCATATATGACTTTATTTCTCATTTAATAAATAATATCAATGAACAATTATCTCTAGAACAAGAAATTTATTTTTTTAATAAATTTTAAAATTTCTAATCTTGATAAATGATCATATTAAAANTAATGAACTAAAATTTCAATTGAATGAGATATTTTTGTGAGTGCATTTAATGAAAAAAAAAATGAATCAAACAAAATGAGTTTTTTAGATTTATCATTAATTGGTATTATTTATAATAAATAAGAATTAATTTCATGTGTTAAGAATAATAATATGTACATAAAAGAATATGACAACTAAAATTTGTTTAAAATAATGTTTTGAAAAAAAGTACTTATATATTTATTTTATTAAATAAATTAGAAGTTATAGCATTCATTATACCATAATTAGTCCATTTATTATTTTTAATGTACTTAATAAATTATTAATCACTTCTTCTTTCTTTCAACTCCTAGAGTTTATCCTCCTCTACCAGTGGTTTTTGTATGTTATCCTCTAACTCTTAATCCCCAATGATGTCTCAAACCACGATTACACCTTAATTTAATTTAATTGAAATACTTGATTTTCTTCATTCTTTCTAAATCTTCTCTTAATTTAGTTTCTAATTCGTTTGTTGTCACTTAATAATTTTTGCCATCTTTGAAATCTCTTTGTCTATTCAAAAACCATCTTGGAATGTTATAAGCTTCTGGTGATTTAATGACTTCTGTGATTTTATGAGCCTCATCGTCAGTTAATTCACCAGCTCTTTTTGAAAGATCAAGACGAAGAACCTATTTATTTATCTATTACATTAAATACCTTGCAAATTTAGATAGCAAATCTTCTTCCAATACCTTTAATACTTCTAATACCATAAGCAAGTCTTTATTTTCCATCAACGTTTGTATTCAATATACGAATAATGTGTCTGAATGAATCAGCCTTTTCTAACACCAATGACATTTATTTGTATAAAAGATTTAATTTAATTTAAAATTTTTAATGACTCCTCGTCACACCATTATTTGATATTAGAATTTTTATTTAAAGATAATAGTTTACAAATAATCCATATCAAACTGAGACTCTCTAATTATCTATGTAAAACAAATATTATTAATCAAACAAAATTTTAATTCCATATATGACTTTATTTCTCATTTAATAAATAATATCAATGAACAATTATCTCTAGAACAAGAAATTTATTTTTTTAATAAATTTTAAAATTTCTAATCTTGATAAATGATCATATTAAAATATTTGAATGCATTTAACCAAAATTTTAATTCATTTTATCATTAAACTTTATTCTCTAAAGTAAGTAGTCACATGAAGTAATAGGAATTCTAGATTTGACTTCTTCTAAATTAGTCCATCTAAAATATTGTTCTTCTTTTAACATTATAAAAAATTCTATTTATCCAGAGATTTTTCGAGCTTCTTTTACAACTCCATTTTCTTCAATTCTTTCTTTATGTGGTATTATTTATTTTGATTAAATTTAGATCTTTTCCAATTGAATTTCATTTTTTATTATAAACAACTAATTTTTAATGTTTTCATATCTCTTTTTTCATTTAATTTCTCTTTCTTTTTTTAATTTTGTGTTAATTCCCATTAATTTATTAAATTAAGTAATTCAGGTCTAAGTTCTGTCATTGACTCATAAGTAATAGATCCAGTATTCCACTTTATTTTATCTTCTATTCTATCCAAAATCTTTTTTTTTATCACTTAATAGGTTTTCTTATTTACATATTTATAATATTGAGAAAGTTGAGATTAGTATTTTTGAATTATTTACAAACCTAAATTTTATATAGCAGAATCTGTATAATTAATATCTATAAAGAATCTACAAATTGAATTTAAATTAATTTCCGAAAGGATTCAGATTTTTAATTAATTTTGTATGTTTAGTCAGTGAAAATTTGATATATTTAATTATATAATAAATCATTTTTATTTATTTTTTTTTTCAAAAAATCTTTACAATTTTTCTTCAATATCTTTATCTAACATAAGATTATTTTTAATTTAAGTAATTTCTATCATTTATTATTATTATTAAGGTTATTCTTCATCTTTTTCAGTCTCTAATCTGATATCGTCAACTAATTAAACATTTTCTGTGAATATAATCATATCATCTTATTACTCTCTTCTTATCCATGGAGCTTCTGGTTTATTCTCTACAGATAATGGCTAAAATAAATAAATGATTATTTAATACTCCAATATCTTAAACTAATTATTTATCAAAGGTTATAGCTAAAGATGGAGGAGATAATTTTGGTAAACTGAATGATAAACGTATTTTTAATCCATCTACAAATACTATAGGTACTTAAAAGCAAATAATATTCTCTTTAGGTTCATCATATAAACAAATAACTCTTTAATAATCAATATTTTATTATTCTCTCATTAGAATTTATTCAATATGCATTAATAAAATTTATAAACCTTCTTATTTAGCTTCATTAATATTCTCAATTAATTATTTGCATTTTTCTTTTGCTTTTTTAAATTACTTAAGAATAACTAAACATATTAATTCGTTAAACTTAATTTCTAATATTTCTAATAAATCAGCATCTTCTTCATCTTCAGTTAATTCATGAAATTCATCCTCATTAAAGATTTCTGATTAACTTCCCCTTTATTTTAATCTTTTTTCTGTTATAGAAAGCTCTTTTTAAGTTTTTGCCATTTAAAAGTCCCTTAAAGCATCTTCATATTTTTCTAAATGAAATAAGAATACTCCTCTGAATATATAAACATGAAATTATTGAAACAATTTACCATTACCTTTAAATAATAAAGACAAACTATTTATTGCTTTATTAAGATTATTTTTAAACTCTATTTATTCATTTTCACTCTCTTCATTAAAATAAATTTATTAATCATCTTTAAAAACTAATCTCAAAGCTTGTAACATATCCTTATCAAATTCAGCAGTTTTATCCTTTGTTAACTTAAATAATCTATTAATATCATCTTGACATAAATTTAAATCACCTAAAACCATATAACATTCAGAACGTAATTATAATAATTTAGGATTGTTTTTAAAATCTTTATTATTTGAATAGGCTTTAATAGCATCTTCTATTGCAGCATTTGCAAATAAAAAATTACCAGCCCAAACATGCATTCTTGGATCATCTTGTAGAATTTAAATACATTATTATAAATCTTAGAATGCAGAGTTTGAATCTCCACTTAAGAAATGACATTTTGCTCTATTTAAATAAGCATCTGCAAAAGTTTCATCTAGTGTTAAGCAAATACTAAAATCATTTAGAGAATGTTTGTATTATTTAAGTATACCAAAAACTATTCCTCTAAAATAAAAATACTTTGCTACGTTATCTTCTGATTTCTAAATTGCAGATTCTATATCTTATAATGCTTCATTTACTTAACCTAAAAAACATTTTACAATAGACCGTATATAATATAAATTAGCATTTTAATCATTCTAACTATTAGCCTTATCTAACAATTCTAATCCTTTTATAATATCTTTGTATTAATCACTTTTTTTTTTAAATGATTAATTGATATAAGTAACACCTAGATAAAATGTTGGTTCCATCTTCTTTTAAAATATTTTTTATGCTCTTTAAAATAATTCCATCCCAGCAGTGTATAATCCAGATTAAACCTTTAATATTCCTTCACATAAAAATTTATTATAATGAACACTTGATTCTGCTTATTAAATTTCTAATAAATATTTATAATCATCAAGTGCTTTTTAATGTTTAGATAAGCAAAAATGTCCATAAGCTCTATATGCATAGAATAAAGGTTTTAAAAAATCATTTAATTAATGATTATTTTATATTTCCTGAAAATTGAGCATGCTTTCTTAAAATTTTCTTTTCATTAAAAATATTACAGCCTATATTCAAATTAATTAATTTACTTCAGTAAACAATCTAAATTTTTCTAAATAAGTTTTCTCTGTGTCTAGCATAGAAGATCTATTCAAAGTATGATAAGCTGCATAAAAATCTCTTTATTCAATTTTCATTTTAGCAATTTCATATAATGATTTAGTAACTGCTTTTTTTGAATTATTATGTTTGATAGCTTATTCAAAACATAACAAAGCCTCAGTTGGATTCTCTAAAATTCATATAAAAATTACTTATTTTTAATTTGCTTAATCCTTTGAAATAATAAGCTTCTGAATTAGTTGGATCAGTTTCTAAAAGTGAAGTTAATTCTTTTGAACATTCATCATATTATTAACTTTCATATAAAGTAATGGCTTTTTTTAACATGGCTGCATTTCCGACAGCTTATTCACAATTAATAGCTTTTTAATAACATTTAATAGCTTCTTTATATTAAAATTACATTCTTAAACAATCTGCTTTACCTAAATAACCCAAACCTTTTTATGGACTTAATTGTATTGCAATATTAAAATCTTATTCTGCTTTATCAATTTAATTAAGTTTTGTATATAGTTTACCTCTGTATATATATGCATCATAATATCGAGGAAACATTCCGATCACTTTATTGAGAATTTAAATTGCTTAATCTAATTCATTCAACTTTTTATGAGATATTGCTAATAGGAGGTAAATATTTTTGCGATGAAGAGCATCCTATTGAATTACGAATTAGAATTCTGCAATAGCTTTTTAATACATTTGAGTTCCTAAGAATCCAATTCCTAAAAAATAATGACCCTCTAATAATCTTGTATCAAATTCTATACACTTTTTTAATAAACTTTGATTAAAAATAAATAGTTTACTCAATTGCTTCATCAATTTACTTTTCCCTTAAAAGTTATTTGCCCTTTTCAAATAGTTTAATAGCTCTAGGATTATATTCTTCAGAAGGTTTGGCTGTATCACTTTAAAAACCACTATGATCTTAATAACCTTTAATTAAATTGTTTTCGAAACTAATATCCACAGTCTATTATCCATCCATACTGTTATTAATTTTTGATTACTTTTTCTACATAGTTTAGGATAACTTTTGTTTACTTGGAAGATACCAGTTTTAAACTTAATTATTAAATGAGTTTTATCTATTTTGTTTTTTCCTAATTATTTATTATTATATTATACATGGTGTCTTTACAAAAACTATCATTACGCTTTGTATTATTGAATAAAATGTTAAATAGTTAATTTTTTGCTTTCTTTTCTTAACTAAAATTAGAATTTTAACGCTTTCTATGAAATTATTCTAAGCTTTCCCCACTAGACATATTAAACGAATTTTATCGAGGAGGATAAGCTTATTATTATTTTCGATAATGTGGTGTAGGATTTTCAGATACAAAATGTTCTATATGTGACTTTGCTGGTGAATAAGGTTGCTTTGGAAAGAATGACCCCGGTTAGTTCTTCACCGATTAAGGAGGTTTATTCGATCTATATTACATTAATTTTGAATTTTAATATATTTCAATATTAATATTATTATTTATTAACTGATTATCATAGTAAGCGCAATCGAAATTAAAACTATAACAAACTAATTGTAATAATGATGAACAAAGATGAATATTTATATATATCAAATTAGAAATATTATGTTTATTATTTATATAATTAGAGGATATACTATGATTCTTATATAAATTTTTAAATTAACTTTGTTTGCTATTGTTTAGAGTATAAATAAAGTTGTATGAATGTTTAGCTTCTTATTCTTTATTACAATTAATATTTTTAGATAGCTATCTTTTTTAGTTGTTAAGGGTATAAAGGACTCAATCATTAAATAATCATGTTTTAGTAAATATATTGTAAAGGGAGGAAAGCAATATTTTATAAAAAAATGATAAAATTATATTTATGATATCGAGAACACTTAAAATATACAAATTCTCAAGTAAAATTCCAACAGGTGTTTTTGATTTTGGGAATGTTTATTAAGGAATCAGTGCTCCTTCTAGTATTATGGTAGAAGACATCATAAGTAGATTTTCTGCATACACTCCTACGAATATGTATAATTCATTAGATGAATACTCAAGAGAAATATTACTTTATTTAGCTAATGATTTAGTAAATATTGTCTATTAATAAAAAGAGTTGGGGAATGGGATGGGGAATCTTAGCAATATCAATGGGTATAAAGATTGCTTTTACACCTTTAATGTTTTCTGCATAATTAAATGCATGTCGTATGAAATTAATAGAGCCAGAAACTAAGAATTTTTAAAATATGATTTAAAGAGCTATGAGAGCATAAGATTTTAAAGCTAGTAGAGCAGCATAAAAATAATTTAAACTTTTTAAAAGAAAACACAATATAAATATGTTAATTCCAGGATTATCAATATTACAAATGCCATTTCTATTCACATGGTTTTTATCATTAAGATATGTATGTTCTTTACCAGATAAATATGAAGGATTAAAAAGTCAAGGATTTTTATGGTAATAAATATATTAAATAATAGGTTTTAAGATTTAAGTGAATATGATCCTTATGGTATATTACCAATAATGAGTTCCTTTTTTACATTTTGGAACATCTCTTTAAATCCTAATATGTAATCATAATCTACAGTTCCTTTTGCAAAGTATTATAGATATGTTAGATTTTTACCTTTTTTTTCTATTCCTGTTGTTATCTTTTTCCCAGCTGGTGTAAATCTTTATTGGTGTTCCTCTGCATTTTGTCATTTATTAATTACAGCTTTAGCTAGATAAGAGAAAATTAGAAAGTAAATTACAATTTAAAATCTAGGATGTTTGGAATCCCAAAATATTTACCTGGTACTATTTTAGAAAGATAAAATAATATGAATATACAAACAATTGTTAAAGCTGTTGTTTAAGATAGAGCTGATTTAAATAATGATATAACAACTACAACAACAACAACAGCTCCTCCATAAAAAGAAGTTTAAACAGATGCTTAACATATTATTCATGAAGCTAAATCTGGAGAATAAAAAGTTAAGATCTTTTCAAATAAACCAAAAAAATAAAAATGAGGATTATATATAAACCATTATATAAATTATTGACAAATCAGACCAATTAATTAAAATTTGGTTTAGCTACTTTCCTTTTCTCTTTTAATCCACTCTCTACACATAACATTTCATCCCAAGATAAAGGAATCATTAATTTCTGTGTCTCTTAATTTTTTGCAAATAATACTCCTAATTCATCTTCTGCTGTACTTAAATACAATTTTAATGAATCTCCATAAGATATCATTCTTGCTTTTATTATATCTCCTGGTAAATAACATTTATTCATTTCAAGTAAATCAATTTCATGTAATCTAATATTTTATTTTCTAATAATTATTTCATTCAATTACCTCAATACTCCTTCAATATAATTGTTAACTTTTACTCCGTTTATCTTTAAAATTCTAACAAAAACTCTATCTTCTCTTATGCTATTGACCTAACCTATGATTATTGCTCCTATCTTCAATTCAGGATCTTATTAGTGAGATGGAAATATTGATATAAGCTATTCATTCATTGTTAAATTTCCCTTCATTGATGCAAATATTTTATCATCTTTAACGTATGTTCCTATTCCACTTTGCAACTCATTCTTATGCCTTATTAATTCACCAGGAAAATATACTTTTTACATTATTAAATAAATATTAATTAAATCAATTTAAAATTATCATCACTTTCATTAAAATCAAATATTGTCAATGCTTATTACAAATTAAACAATTCCAGTTTAAATGTCTTCACTTTTTGTTTTAATGTAGATTTTCAAAAGAAAGACTTTCAAATTTTATCCTATCATTATTTAGTTTGAAATTTTTTATTCGAATACTTTCACTCTAAATTTGGTTATTTCATCAAACTAGTTGAATTAAAAGTCCTAATTTTAGAATAATCATTTTAATTATCCTATAAATTCTATCCAAAACATTTTTCTGAATTAAAATCAATTTCTTCTATTCATTTATTTTCAAATTTCTTGTAAACACATATAAAATTAAGCTTCCTCATAAAATATCATGTCTATGTAGATTTTAATTATTAAATTATAATTAATTATCAATTTATTTCTTCCGGATCTATATTTTATTTTAGCAACTAGAGCAGCTATTTAAATTTTATTCTTTTGGTTGAATTACCTTCTAAGAAAATAATATATGTTTAAAATTTCGCAAGGGAAAATTAAAAATTATTATTGGATCATTTATTAAGATTATCAATAATTAATCTTTTAATTATAATAATTTTAATTTTGATAATAAATTATGTCAATAATTTAATCTTTTTGTTAAAAGTTAAATTGTTTATTAAAACTTGACATAAAACATTAAAATTTTCTTTCTTAAAATACTATATTAAATAGTAGAGAAATTTTATTTTTATTTTATTAACCATCATTTAAATGTTAGAATTCTCTTAATTAATATAATTATTATCATTCAAATTTTCAGATAGGCTAACTATAATGGAGAATAAAGGTTTAATTATTTTACGATTAAAGGTTTATTTTGGAATATAAATAAGTGGTAAGGTCATTTCATTCACTTCATAAATTCTATTTTATTTTAATCTATTAATATTAAAAATATTTCTATATTTTGTTGTTATTCTTTGTAAATTGAATTAATTATTAAATAGTTTAAGTACCTTATTATATTTACAGTTCTTTCTCTTTTAGTTTCTTAATCTTTTTTCTTAATTGCATAAATTATTTTAGAGTTTTGTATTATTTATTTTATATATGTTTAATTTTGATTTTTTATCATGTTATTTATATTATTATTTTCTTTATTTTAATAGAAGAGAAGAATCCTAGAATTAATTTTACTTTGGCTACTTTTCACTTTTTCATTTTTTTTAGTTAGGTCTATTTGAAATTAAAAGTCATTTAAACAGAGATTATATTCTTCCCTTTTTAAAATTACTCTAAAAGAGCTTTGAGATAGTGCATTGTAGAAATTATAATCTTTTTTAAGAGAAAGACATCATTCGTTTTGATTAGCTCTAGATTTTGCTAAGAATATAATAAGTATTTGTTATTGTAGTATATTTATCCATTATGTTAAATTATTTAAAATTTAATATGCTTAACGAAAAAGTAATTGGAGAATATGCTTATCTTTAATCTGATAAATATAAAATTGGTTCAGGATAATTTGGACATGTTTTTAAGGGATATCACGAAATAACAAAGAAAATAGTGGCAATAAAACAAATTGATAAGAAATTAATGAAAGGAGTCTTCGAGTAAATGCTAAGGAACGAAATAGATATTCTAAAACAATTAAATCATTAACATATTCTTAAAATGTATGCACATTATGAAACTTTAAACAACTTTTATATTGTATTTGAATATTGTGAAACGGGTATCTAGATTTAAATTTTAGTTAGATATTTTATAAATTTTAAAGCAACAAGGATAAATACCTGAAGATTAAGTAATAGTGTATATCTTATAAATAGCAGAGGCACTTTTATATTTAAAATAGAGATGTATATTTAAATAAATTAATATAGAAATAATACATAGAGATATTAAACCATCAAATATTTTAATTCATAATGGAGAAGTAAGATTAGCTGATTTTGGATTTGCTATATAATAAGATAAATTAAAATTTGAGGAAAGGAAATTATAAGTTGGTTCTCCTTTATATATGTCTCCTGAAACTCTTTTAAAATAAGATTATAATCATAAAACTGATATATGGTCATTGGGAGTCTTATATTTTGAGATGATATTTGGTATTCTTTTTTAATTATATATAGGTGTTGTACCTTTTTTCTCTATGGAGTTAGAAGATTTAATTAAAAAACTCAAATAATACTAGTAAGATTAGGTGTTATTTTTTAAACATCCAATTTCTAATGGTAGTACTGAAGCAATTAGAAATTTATTAGCTTATGATCCTAAATATAGATGCGAAATTATATAATTAGCTGAAATACTTCAGAAACATCTCAGAAATAGAAAAGCGATGACTAATAGTGCACATTCTGAGAAAAGATATAAATCACCAACAATAAAAAGAAGAATTACTCCAGATCCTAGTCCTTAAAGTAATTGTAAAAATATTACTGTGAGTAAAGATCCAGTTAACATTAATACTAGCTCTGCTTAAAAAACATATAAATAAGCTACATATTTTAATTAAAACTATTCTTTAGAATTAAAAAAAATTTAAGATAAAAATGACTCATATTTGAAACAGAACTTTAGAAATATTAATCAAAATTAGAATCATATAGAGAATATGAGTAATGAAGATTTCTTAAGTCTTTATATTGATAAACTAGAAAAATTAAAGGAATAACACCAATAAGAAGGATTTATAAAAAATCTCAGTGAATGCTAACTTTTAATTGTATGATATATATTTAATTATAGTACTAATACTATGGTAAGGATGAAAAAAAACTTAATCTTATGAAAGAAAGGTTGACTAGACTATGAAAAATATTATTTTTTTTAAAATTAATTATGTAAATTACGGATGTGCAAAAGAAAATAATGGCTATTTTAGGAATTGTTATATCAATACTAGGAATCTTATATCTTATAGATTGGTTGATTATAATGCAATTTGGATGCCTAGGTCACTTTGTAATTAAAAATTTATTCATTTAATTTTAGATTTTTTTTGTGGGATTGTATGTTTTCATAAAAAATACTATCAGATTATTTGTATTTCCCGGGTCATATTGGTTATGGAGAAGAAATGTAGAGAATAGATATGCAAAAGCTTTAGCTAAAAGGGCAAATAAAAGAATGGAAGGTTTATAAAATTTGATTAGAAAATTATTAATGATACCTGAGTAATGTATTTTAGGTAAATTAGAACCAAAGAAGTAAATGCAGAAGATTTATTACCATTTAAAAAAACCTTGTAGTCATTTTTAAATATTTTTTCTTCATTAAACTATAGAAAAGAATTAAATGAGCAATAAAAACATCTATTTGGTTTATTTCAGTTAATAGAATAGAATCTGAAGGATATTTAAATAGAATCTAATTCTTTATATGGTCATTTAGATAATCCTTAGGAAATCATTAATAATTGTAAACAAAATATTAAAGTGGACACAGAACAATGTTCAAATTTACTAATAATTTTGGATAACTTAATTGATTAATTATAAGAAATTTATATGCCTAAAAACATTTTTTTAGAAGCAGAAAGATGGATCTTTAATAGAACTCTTGGGACAGTTGATTAAATGAGAGTTGAATTAGAAAATACTTTTAAAACAAAAAGATTTAAGGTATAAGGTTATGATGGAAAATTAATTGATTGGTAATAAAAATTTAGATATTTAAAGTTTTTATATATTTGCAAATGAAGATGACCCTGAGAATAATGATCGTACAGTAATATTTTGTTAACCAAATGCTGGATATTATGAATATATGTATTATGAATCAGAATGGATTGATTATTATTTAAAACGTGGAATAAATATGTTTTTATGGAATTATAGAGGATATTGTGAAAGTTAAGGATTACCAAATACAAAAGACATTATGAAAGATGCAGAAGTAATATGTGATTATGTTACATCATAATTGAAAGTAAACTAACTGATATTTCATGGTGAATCTCTAGGAGGAATGGTTGCATGTCATTTGGGTAGAGTTAGATAATGCAATTTATTATTTGCAGATAGAACATTTTCAAGTATTAGTAAGATTGCATAAGTGGGATTTTCTAAATATGCTAGTTTCTTATTTAAATTATTAACCTCATGGGATTATAATTCTGCTAAATCTTATGTTGAATGTTAAAGTTATAAGATTTTAGCTGTAGATTAAAAAGATGAAGTTATACCATTTCTGTCATCATTAAAAGTTGATGTTACTAAAGAAATATTTATAAAAGAGTTTGGAGGCTCAATTTAAAATGATGAAAATGTATTTAATTAACATTATTATTAGTTTAAACAAAGTGATTAAAAGTATACATTTTGCTAAAGAATTTTAAAATTTATACCATGGATCCCAAAATCAGAGAGTACTACTTTCTTTGATATTTGGTATTCTTAGTTATTAAACAAATAAGAAATGCTTACATTTTTTGAAGCAAATAAAAGGTAAGTTAAATATCATATTTATACAATAGAATTCAATATATTATGAAAGACTTATAAACTGAAAGAAATAAAAAAACATTAGATGATTCCTACTCTACTTATATAAATGAATCTCAAGAAATAGAAAAACAATTTTCATAGAATTAAAATTCTACTCTTGATATTGATGAGGTATGAATCACTTTAAATACTATAATTAAGGGTATGTCATAATTAAAGGGACCATATACACTATCTGAAAAAGATAAATTAAATGAAAATCTACTCAAATTTGTGAATAAAGTTTATGAATGTTTTGAATCATTTGAAACGGCTTCTATGACTTTGAATGATGTATTTTCATCTTTCAATGAATCATAATAATATGAGATCTTCCTTGATTATTTACTTAGTATATTTTTCTGGGGATCTTATCTTCCTCTTAAAAATATTTCAAAAAAAAAAATGAACACTGTTGTTTGTCAAAAATTAGCATTTGCAAGATTTACATCTAATATCAACAAAATAGAAACTTTAATTAAAAATGAAAAAAATAATTTAGATTCTCCTAATGGAACTAGAGTATTTATAAATTAATATTCTAGTTAATCTAAGATTTGGAAATAATTATTTAAAGACTTAAGTTGATAAGAGAAAACTTTAAAAAAACTATGAGAAATTAGCATCAACATCCATCACACTAATCAATTTAAATTGATGTAAAAGAATCTGAAGAAAGAAAACCAAGTAATTTTTATAATTAAAAAAGCTTCTAAAATTAACGAATCATTAAAAATTTAATTAGGATCCTTTATTCCTTTAGGTTGTGGTCATAATGGCAATTTAAATCAAACAGAAGTAGAAGTCTTAGACTTTCATATGTCTTAAGCTGGAATTGTTAAATATTGAATTTATTGAATAAATAAAAATCGATATTTTAATGNAAGAAATATTTATAAAAGAGTTTGGAGGCTCAATTTAAAATGATGAAAATGTATTTAATTAACATTATTATTAGTTTAAACAAAGTGATTAAAAGTATACATTTTGCTAAAGAATTTTAAAATTTATACCATGGATCCCAAAATCAGAGAGTACTACTTTCTTTGATATTTGGTATTCTTAGTTATTAAACAAATAAGAAATGCTTACATTTTTTGAAGCAAATAAAAGGTAAGTTAAATATCATATTTATACAATAGAATTCAATATATTATGAAAGACTTATAAACTGAAAGAAATAAAAAAACATTAGATGATTCCTACTCTACTTATATAAATGAATCTCAAGAAATAGAAAAACAATTTTCATAGAATTAAAATTCTACTCTTGATATTGATGAGGTATGAATCACTTTAAATACTATAATTAAGGGTATGTCATAATTAAAGGGACCATATACACTATCTGAAAAAGATAAATTAAATGAAAATCTACTCAAATTTGTGAATAAAGTTTATGAATGTTTTGAATCATTTGAAACGGCTTCTATGACTTTGAATGATGTATTTTCATCTTTCAATGAATCATAATAATATGAGATCTTCCTTGATTATTTACTTAGTATATTTTTCTGGGGATCTTATCTTCCTCTTAAAAATATTTCAAAAAAAAAAATGAACACTGTTGTTTGTCAAAAATTAGCATTTGCAAGATTTACATCTAATATCAACAAAATAGAAACTTTAATTAAAAATGAAAAAAATAATTTAGATTCTCCTAATGGAACTAGAGTATTTATAAATTAATATTCTAGTTAATCTAAGATTTGGAAATAATTATTTAAAGACTTAAGTTGATAAGAGAAAACTTTAAAAAAACTATGAGAAATTAGCATCAACATCCATCACACTAATCAATTTAAATTGATGTAAAAGAATCTGAAGAAAGAAAACCAAGTAATTTTTATAATTAAAAAAGCTTCTAAAATTAACGAATCATTAAAAATTTAATTAGGATCCTTTATTCCTTTAGGTTGTGGTCATAATGGCAATTTAAATCAAACAGAAGTAGAAGTCTTAGACTTTCATATGTCTTAAGCTGGAATTGTTAAATATTGAATTTATTGAATAAATAAAAATCGATATTTTAATGTTATTATAATTTTATGATTTACTTAAACTTTTTAATTTTTATCAAATATAATAAAAATATTTTTTGTAAAAATAAGTTTTATCTAAAAAAAGAAAATAATCATTAATTATCTTATTCTTTTTTAAAATAATAATTTTATCACTCAAATAATATCAATTTTTTCCTCTATTTTTATTTCTATTTTGATTGAATTGATATTAATAATTTCCATTAGCACTTTTTTAGTAATCTTATACATTTTTAACATTCTAAAGTTGATATAGAAATTATTTTTTAAAATTACCTATCAACTCTTTAGCCCTCAAAAAGTGTGATTATATTCGATGACATTTGTTTTTAATATTTTTACTTGGATCACTTTTGGGATCAATAGGATCTATGATTTTTAGTGTCGCTTTATAATTATCTTTATTTTATCTTTCTTAAGAATGAAGAGAGACACAAATTTTTTTTTTTTCGAATTCACCATAGGGTTCATAATATTAAAAGTACTCAAATAATAATTGTTATAATGTGGTGTTATCAAGTTTATTTAAGTTAGGTTTAGATCCTAATTGAAAAAATGGTTAAACACTAAAATATTCTAAAGATGAAAGTTAATCTCTAGTTAATTCAACATCTGATAAAAATGGTACATCATATTTGCACTGTAAAAAATGAATTAGTGTTAATAATATTGCATATGATGTAAGTTATCCGGTCACAATTAAACGTTAATTCTTTCCCCATAATTTTAATAATTTTCCTAATTATTATATTTTTGGATGCATTTGAGAATATTCATTTAAAAGTTTAGAATTCAATACTCCATTTATATTATTGATACTTAAATCTATAGCTACATTATTAGTAATATCGTAAATCTTTATCAATGGAATCTAACTTAAATAATTTATAATACTTTTGCATATAAAATCAATTAATCGAACCTTAGCAAGGGTGTTTAATTTGATTTTTTGTATTCTTTAACACCTTAACGAATTTTTCTTAATATAGATTATACATCAAGTTATGAATCTGTAATAAATACACAATCTAAATCACTATCTGCTCCATGAAATCCATTACAAAATGATCCAAATGGATATAAATTCCCTTTTAAATTAACTAAAGATATTGCTGAACCTATTGCTTTTAAGGTATCTAAAAGGGAATAATGTTCATTTATTGCAATTGCATTTTCTAAAAATACATCAAAATGTTGCTTTTCTTCATACATCATTTTTATATCTATTTTAATTCTTTAATTATCAATCAAAGAAACTACTAAAAATTTTTAACAATTTTTTCTCGTATTTGAAATAGTTTAAAAATTACATTTAGTTTCATAATAAAATTAGAATCATACCCTTAGATTTTTTGATATTGACTTTAAAATTAGTAAAACAATATATTAATTTTAACAGAAAAATAAATAAAGTTATTTAACAGCATATAATGAAAAGTGTATAAAAGCCAACCCAAATTTAAGCATTAAATAGACAATACTCTGTATCTAAAGATATGGGAAATTTTTCTATGTAATCTCCTGATAAATAAATCTATTATCCAAAAACATAATCCCAAGCTAAGATTTAATAATATGGTCCTTCACCATATATATAATCACCTTAATTTGATGCTAAGTAAGTTAATTAGAATAACATTATTATTTAACCTTCCCCTCCTTAAAAATTAGACAATTCCTATCAATACAAACATAATGTAAAAAATGGATCATAGAACAATGATATTTTTAAACCTCATAATCAATAAGAAGTAATTAAATCTTAAAATGAATTTAAACCATAATATGAAACTTATAAATATGAATACAACAAAACATTTGCCGGAACTTTTTAAAGTGATGCAAATAAAGAATTAATAACAGAAAGAAAAAGTAACACAACCAAAAAAGATGGAACAAGTCTTATTGATTCTAAAGAAAACTATTAATAATTTTAAGCAAAATCTCCATTTACAGATAATCATCCAACTGTAGGCAATAGTAGATTATCTTCATAAAATATTAATTTAATTTAATCAAAACCAAAGTTATAAACTGAAATTTTTAAAATTTCTGGTGCTTTAAGAGATTTAATGTAATCAATATAAAAAATTATGGGAAATGGTAAATTACCAGATCAAATTAATGATAAAATGATAGAAATTTTAGCAAATTTTAGAAAAATAGAAGAAATATCAAATAATGATCCTATTTCTGGATCTGATAATGATTCAAAAATATCTACTATGGCAGAGGATTATAATAAATTAAAAAATATACTAGAATAATTGTAAACAAAAATGACAGCATTAGTTTAAGAGAATTAAAAAGTAATTATTTACATAATTTTTAGTTAAATAAAAATTTAATCGAATAAGAATAAAAAGTAACAGAAGAGATTAAAAAAAAATAAATGGCTGAAGAAAAGGCTAACCAAGCAAATAAAGAATTTAATCGAGTTTTTGAATGTCTTCAAATAAATCAAAAAGAAAATGAAGAACTTAAAAATAAAATCATTTAATTTGAAGGTTATAAGAATTTACCATGCTAAACTAATAATAGAGTATAAGTTGATGAAATGAATCACTATAAATTGAAAAATTAATAACTTTAAAACGAACTAGAATAGTTAGAATAGAAATATAAATAATTATTAGCAGAGAAGAACAATTAAAAAGAGATTCCTAAATCACCTTAAATTCTTAAATCAATTCATTCTAGTAGTTCAAAATAATCAGAACAATTAGAATTGAAATTACTTTAATTATAAATAGAGAATGATAATTTAAAAGCTGAGATGGCTCATAATTAAGTTGACTCAAAAGTGATAGACAATAAGAATGATATGATTTAAAAATTAGAAGATAAAATAAAATCAATTTTAAAAGAAAAGAGTATTTCAGAAGAATAGTCTATATAGATATGTCATAATCTAGAAATAATGAATGAATAATTAAAGAATGGACTATAAAATAAAGAAATTGAAGTATCTAACCTATTAAAATAAAAAAATGAATTAGATAGAGAGTCTAGAAATTAGATTCTCAATTATAATTAGATGTTAAAAGGATTAGAAGATAAAGTATAGATAGCAAAACAAGATTATTAAAAATTGTTAGATGAGTTTAAGCAAATTGATCTTAAAAAAGGGAAATTGTAAGAAGAGTTAAGAAATGCAGAAAAGAAATTAGATTAATAAAATTAAGAATTAGCATTTGCAAAAAGTGAATTAAAGAAAAATACAGATAAAAATTAATAGCTTCAAACATAGCATGATTAAATGAATTAATAATTATAGCAATAAATTTCATTGCAATAATAATTACTATAATAAATAGATGGATTGAAATAAAATGAATAAAGGATGAGAATTGAATATGAGAAACTTGATAAATAAATGTTGGCTATAAAATCTGAAATGAAATACTAGGTAACAGAATTGAATGAGATGATATAATTGTAAGCAAGGAAAACATAAGAAAAAGAAAGATAATTAAATGAAATGATTGAAGAAATGGGTGGTATGAAAGATTAATATGAAGTATAAAAGAAATTGTGTTAAGAAAATGTAAATGATTTAGAAAGAAGATTAAAAAATTTTAGATTATAATAAGAAGAACTTTTATAAGTCAAAGAATAAGAGATTATGGATTTAAAATAAACAATGGAATAATAAATAAAAATGTTAGATAAAAGAAATGCATTATCTTCATTTGATTTTGATTAAAGAGAGTAATAACTTTAAGTAGAACTCTAAAGTAGAAATGATTAAATAGAAGCCTTAAAATCAGAAGTAGAAAAGGTTAGAAGCAATAATTTTAATACTTAAGAAGAATTATTAAGATAAGGAATGGTATTAAATTAACATTAAGCTACCATTGCCAGTTATAAAAATGAATTAACATAATCTAGATAAGAATAATAACATTTAACTGAGATGTTAAAAAAAAGAAAAGAAGAAACAGAATTATTACATTAAAATTTAGAAGAGATGAGAAGGGAAGTTTAAAGCAAAAAGATGTCAGATGATAGTAGGAGTACTAATTTCAATTTATTATAATTTTAGGATCAGTACTAAGATAATAAGATCTTTAGATTGCTTTAGAAAATTTATCTAGAGAAAACTTGAGTTTATAATAAAAAATTAATGGTCTATCAAATGAAATTAATAGAAAATCTAGAGAATTATCAGAAAGAAACGAAGAATATTAGATTTTAAAAAGAAAGTACGATGAAACTGTAGCAAATTTGGATAGATTAGAAAAGAGATGGGGTGAGAAAATAGATTTACATAGAAAAAATTGAATTATAATTATTTATTACTACATTAATCCGATCTTTTGATTGTTTCATTAAAGAGAGGCTTTAGCATCTTATTTCTAATTAAAATAATTGAATGATTCTTTTTTTTCTTTAATTTAATTTTCTAAATATTTGTGAAATGAACTCATAATAATCATTTATTTGAAAGATTATATCTCAAGGTAATTTATAAATTAATTTAGGAATAACTGATAAATGACAATTTAAGTAAAGGAATTTAATTTAATTTATTTATAATCCTCTTATTTTATCTTCTATCATCTATTTAATTGTTTTTAGATTAAAAATGAATTTGCTATGATTTGATTGCAATGTTCTCAATAGTTACATCTATTCAGCAGGCTCTTAAATGTAATAAAAAGACAGTTTCCAACTTTTTTTGTTTTTAAATAGTTTAGACACAGTATTAATTAATAATTATAATTTTATTATCAATTTTAATGGCTGAAGCCAGATTTTCAGAAATCGATAATCAATTTACTGGAGGTTTAGATATTCAAAAAATAGCTAAATTGGATAAATTGTTATCAAAGGTGGATCATGATTTTAAATAAAAATAATCTAAAGATTTGACAAAACCAAAATTAATGGAATTAATGAAGACAATGCATGAAATATATTAAATTGTTTTATATGAAATAAGTGAGATGTTAGAAGTTGCACATTTTAGTGAATTAAGATAAGCTTTAAATAAAATTTATAATGGTTAAAATTTGATTGTTCATTATATATTAAAGTAAAGAATTCATAATAAGTTAGAATAAATACAAATTTTGAAGTTCAGCCTGATAAAATGCTTGAAACCTTATAGAAAAATATGATATAACAAAGGAGAAAATCTGTTGATTAATCAGAAGAAAGAGAAACAAATAAAATGGCTCATTAAATAGTGTAATTGTAACCTGTAGTAAAGAAAATGGTAAAGAAAGTATTTGCAGAAAAAGGAACTGATACAGGAGAAGACATGAAAAATGCAAGAAATTAAGATCATTTAGTTAAGAAGTAGAAAGAATTAATGGATATATAGGATGATTTAGATGAGGAAAGTTAGAAGATAACTGAATTCTTGAAAAATAGAAATCTTGATTTGATGGCTGTTAGTGAATCAAAGGCATAAGCAAATTTAAAAGAAGTATTAAAAGATTTAGGAAAAAAAAGAAGAATAACACATGAAATTGATGATGAGGCTGCAGAAATAGAAGAATAATAACATAAAGAGAGAGAATAGATGTTTTCTTTAGAAAATACTTTAATGGAAAGTATTAGAGGAGTATAAAAATAAGCTTAAGAAAAAGCATTATAAGATATTAAAGCAGGTAAAGCGTTAATGAAAAATGGATAATTAGTTTATATGGAAGGAGTAGGAAGTTAAACAGATAAAATGAAAATAGAGATTGAATTCTAAGAAAAGATGTAATAAAATAGAAAAGAAGGAGCAGAAAGAGAAGCTAAAATTTTATAATTAGAGAGGAAGGTGAAAGATTTAGGAATTGAAAAAGATGCATACATTTAATAATTGAGCAATATTAATAATTAATTAACAAAAGCTAATTTAGAAACTAGGAAATTGTAAGAATAATTAAAGTCTAAAGAAAAAGCGAATAATGAATAATAAGCAGTTATTAATAAAACAGATTCAGAAAAAATAAGGAAATTAGTAGAAGATAATATAAAAATGAAATTTAGAATAAAAAATCTAATAGATAATGTTGCAAGTTTAGAAAAGGAGTATAACAGAAGTTTAGAAAGATTTAGATTATTTGTACAAAATTCTAATATAAGTGAAGATTAAAAGAAATTAATTTTGAATTAATTAGATAATCTATTAAGATTTGATTTTACTGAGAGATTAAATTTATAAGAAATGAAAGAATTAATGGTAGTAGATGATTTATTAAAAGATCCTTTATTTAAATAGATTATTGGATCAGATATTTCTGCAATAACAAGGTAAGTTAAAAAGGATGAATTGACAAGAAAATAAAAATTAGCTAAAGTACCCTTTTATGATCCATTATTTGATCCTGAATTTTTGAATCCAGGTGAAAAAATAATAACAAGAAAAGTTATGAAATTAGTGAAAAGATAGAATACATAAGGAGAATGGATAGAAGAGGAAATGGAAGTTGAAGAAGAAGTAGTAGTAAATGCTTAAGGAGAAGAATTGAGAGTAAGAGATAAACCAATAATGATTTAATAATCAAAATAAACATAATAATTTTTAGAATAATTTGGTGGATTTGCAATTGGAGGAGCTAAAATTAAAATACCTTAAAAACCTATTACTAAAGATGGACGTTAAGTATAATTAAATGAATGGTTTGAAGATAGTACTGGAAAAAAAGTTAGAAAAGTTTAAGGAAAAGATGGAGAAGAAACTTATGAGGTATAAGACGAATATATAGATGAAAATGGGAAAAAACAAATTAGAATTAAATAAATGAAAGTTAAGAAAGATAAAAATGGAAATGATTATGTAGAAGAAGAATTTGTTGATGAAAGAGGGAGAAAATAAAAAATAGCTAAAGTATTATAATATTTTTATAAATTAGAGAGTAACTAAAGACAAAGATGGAAATGATATTATTGAAGAAATCACTGTTGATGAATAAGGTAATAAAACAACCAAAAAATAAAAAGTATATAAAGATAAAGATGGTAATGAAGTTATAGAAGAAGAAATAATTGATTAATTCGGAAATGTTACAACTCTTAAAAGAAAAATTGTGAAAGATGCTAATGGTAATTAAGTTATAATAGAAGAAAAAACTGATGCTTATGGAAACAAATCTATTGCTACTATCAAAAAGAATTAATTTGGTTAAGATATTATTTAAGAATAAATTATTGATAAAAATGGCAAAATTCAATAAGTAGAAAAAAAAATTATAATTGAAAATGGAATAGCAATTACTGAAGAAATCATGCTAGATGAAAATGGTAATAAAATTATTAAAAGAACAAAAGTAAGAAAAGATGAAAATGGAAATGATATCATTGAAGAAGAAACCATCAATCCTGATGGTTCAATTACTATCAAAAAATCAAAATAAAAAAAGAATCCAGATGGTTCTATCACTATAGAAACAGAAATTATGGATTAAAATGGTAATGTTAGCATTATTAAGTAAAGATAATATAAAGATAAAAATGGAAATGTTATCGTTGAAGAATAATCTATTGACCCTTTAACAGGAGCTAAAATTATTACAAAAACAATTAAAGATTAAAATGGAAAATAAACTGTATCATAATAAATCATTGGAGTTGATGGTAAAATCCTTAACACATAAAAATAAGTCTAAATTGATAAAGATGGAAATCCTATTGAAGTGGAAATTATTTAAGGAGATAATGGATAATAATAAACTATACAAAAGAAAGTTTACAAAGATAGAAATGGAAATGAAATTAAAGAAGAAATTATTACAGATGAATAAGGAAATAAAAGATTAATTAAAACTAGGGTTATTAAAGATAAAGATGGAAATAATATTATTGAAGAAGTAACAACTAATGCTGATGGAAGTAAGTTAACTGTTAAAAAAAAATAATACAAAGATAAAGATGGATTTGAAATTACTGAAATTGAAACTGTTGATGTCAATGGAAATAAAGTTGTTATTAGAACTAAAAAAGGTTTAAATGGAGAATAAATTATTGAAGAAACCAGAATCGGAAAAGATGGAAAAGTTGAAAAAATAATTAAAAAATTTCATAAAGACAAAAATGGTAATATTGTTGTAGAAGAAACTAAAGTATCTTCAGATGGAACTAAAACCGTAAAGATTATTAAATTAGGAACAGAAGATAAAGAAATTTAAACTGAGGGAATCTTTGATTTTAGTGATAAATCATAGTCTTTACTAGATTAAATTCTAGAGTAATTAGGTAATTTAGGATTAGAAAAAAGTAAGTTAGAATAAATTAGAAATTGGGTAATGATTAAATAACAAATTTAAATTAAAAGGACAACAAAATAACAATAACAAGCTTAGTAGAATGAATCTGATGAAGAAATATTATAACCAAGACCTTAATCAGCCTAATCGAACAAATCTTTAGATTCTTTGGATGAAGATTAATCAGAAGAAGATTAATCAGATAAACTTTATTAAAAATTAATGCAATCTAAAAATGGATAAATGGGAGAAATTCTGAGATAGATTAGAAATTAGTTAGGAAAACAAGGTATTTTAATATTTTTTAACTTTAATTTAGGCAATGAATAAATCTCTCTTGAAGAATTTAGAGAATACATGAAAAAAATGAGACAAATTCATGCTAGATGTGGTGATAATTGTCCACATTTAAGAAGGTTTTATGAGAAAATTGGTTTTGCAACAAAAAAATATAAGAGAAGATTTTTAAAAATGAATTTAACTAAAATTGATGCAAAAACAAAATTACCATAACTTCAAAACTTTAGTACAATTAAATGACATTAAAATTATTATTATATAATTTCAATTCACTACTATATAAAAATCTAGCTTTAAAATAGAATCAATAAAAAATTAGGGAAATAATTTCTTTACTTATATATTTATTTATATTGACTATTTGATATATCATTAATTATGTTTTTAAATCAAGAACTACCTTTTATAATTATCAGATTTAACAATTTAATATAATTCTTTTTATTTATTTTTTTATTCTTAAATTAGGTTTTCCCTTAAATGATTTAAACAACAAAGACATAAATAAATTAATATTTTATATCAAAACAAAATTTTTTTTTGATCTTATAAGGAAGGAAATTTAAGAATAAAATACAAAATATAACAACTACCTATAAATTTTAATAATCATTAATGTAAAAATCCTAACTGATTAGAGTTTTAAGCGATTCTAACAAATGCCCTACACCATTTTAGATGTCAAGATAGTTAAGTTAAGAAACTCCAACTGGATTAATACAATGTTTATCTAATGATAGAGATAATGTGAGAATGACTAGATAAATAAATTAGTTAAAAAAAGAAAATGAAATACTTTAAATAAAAATAAAACAATTAGAATAATAGGATTATAAAACAAAAATAGCAAGTCTTGAACAAAAGAACAAATAATTAGAACAATAATTAGATGCTTACAAAAAATTGCCAATTGATCAAATAACATCTTTAATAGATGATAATGAACGATTGACAAATATGGTAGAGAATCAATCTAATAAAATAAAGCAATTATTAACATAGATAGATGAGTTAAAAGAAACTTCGTTTTAAAATGAAGGAAAGAATGATCTAATCATAGCTATGATTTAAGTATAAATTGAATGTATAAAAAAAGGAATTAGAAAATTAAAGACTATACGTATCGGATGAATATAAAAGATAGAAAGCTTTAAATAGAGAGAAATAAATAATGTATACAGAATTATAAATGGCAAAATAATAGATAAAAGAACTTAATCAAGTGATAGAAAAGATTAAATTATAAAACTTAGAAGGTAGTGAACCTTGTGATGTATTACACTAAGATTACTTAAAAAGTCATGACGCAGTATTAAATTTCTTAAAACAATAATATTGATTAATAAAAAAAGATATAAATCCAAACATAAATTAAATTTAAATAAATTTATGAATAACTAAGAAAGAACTTTCATCATGGTCAAACCAGACGGAGTCTAAAGAAGACTTGTTGGAAAAATCATTTAAAGATTTGAAGACAGAGGATTCAAACTCGTTGCCCTTAAATTTGTAGCCCCAGACTAAGGACTTTTGACTTAACATTATGCTGATTTAAAAGAGAGACCCTTCTTCCCAAGTCTTTTGAAATATGTCAGTTCAGGTCCAGTTGCTGCTATGGTTTGGGAAGGAAAGGATGGTATAAAATTATATTAATTTACATAGCTGTTAAGACAGGCAGAGTCATGTTAGGTGAAACAAACCCACTTGCTTCAAAACCAGGCACAATCAGAGGAGATTTTGCTATTGATGTTGGAAGAAATGTTATTCATGGATCTGACTCAGTTGAATCAGCTAACAGAGAAATCGGTTTATGGTTCTAACCTTAAGAATTGGTAAACTGGAATACCAATGACCATGGATGGGTTTATGAATGATAAATGTGTACAAAATAATATAAATAACAACTTTAAATATTAATGTATTCATTTTTTAATATTCTATCCTATATTCTATACATTTTTTAATTCTAAAAATTAATAATTAAATATTTATTAGATGATTTAAGTATATTGGATATTAATCAAATTCTTCTTAATATCTCATTTTATAACACTATTACATCACTAAGGATTTGTTCCATCTTAGACATTTAATCACTGAGATTTGAATCTTCATTTACGCTTTCTGGAAACCAAGTTATATCATCTGATTCTAATTTAGCATGTATCCAATACTCTAAACCAGTATATTCTGTCCATTCTTTTAATTTTAAGCATTTCACATAAAAAATATAATTCCACATATAATGTAATTGATGAGTATGTTCATCAAAAGATATATTCATCTTTTCTAAATCTGTTCTAGATGCTGCACAAATAAAACATTTATTTTTTATATCTTCTTCTATTTTTTATCTTTAATCTCTTAATTCTGCAAAAGTGTCAATCATAATACCCTATATTATGTTTGTAAACAACAATCCAAAGAAAACAGTAAAAAGCATATCAAAAAAAAATTTTAATGGATCCCAATTTATCATACTATTACCAATTACCCCAGAAGTAATTAATGTGATCATACATGTTATTAATGAGTTGCATGTTTCAGTTTGTTCTCCTTGATATATATCATCAAAATAAACATTAAAACTTATTACTGAAAAGGCAAATACAAAAAGTATTCCTAACAATCCAACTACAAATAATTATTTAGCATTATATGATATTGCCTAAAATACATTTTTTAAAAGTGAATTTCTACTAAATATTTCAACTAAATGAATAACATAAAAATTTGAATTGCAAAATACTCCATAAAAAGATATTATAACCAAAAATAATAAAATAAGACATGTATCCTCTTTAAAAAATACAATATAAGATAATAAACTATCCTTTTTTTTATGATTCTTTTCTATTGCAATTGGAACTCTTTGTAAGCTTACCATTATAAATAATGCTATTTATGAAAATAATTAGCCCAATGATAAAAGATTGATTATTAGCTGATTAATTTGATTAGAGTATAAAAAAAAAGTGTTCTCCTTAACCACAACAGTGTAAAAAAATATCTATAAAATAATAACATAATTTTACCATAGCTAAATTAATCAATACAGCAAAAGTCGATGCTAAATTTTATAATAAATCTAAATTTTATTAAGTAATAGGAATTCGATAGTGATTTAACTTATAATTATGCTCTAATTCATAAAATAAGATCTCAGATTATGATAACATTCCAACTAATTTATCTCTTTATGTTTCTCTATTTACTGTAAATAATAACTCTTATTTTGTTTGTTCTGATAATAAATTAAAATAAGGATGAAAAGGGAAAAAAACTTTCATCTTTTTTCCTTAATAAATAATTTCTATTTTATGAATTAAATTCTACAACTTTTCAAATATTTTAGGAAGCTCTGGAAATTATTCCATTTTCTCTTAAAATTAAACTAACCATTTGTTGTCGGAATGTTATGTCATTTATTATTGAATTATACAAACATTTAAAATTTTTTACATATCAGAGTCAAAAACTTTGTCCTAAAGTTGAAGAATTTACTCTAAATCAGTAGAATTTTAAATATTTAATGATTCTAAATTATTTTAAAGAAAATTAATTAAAAACTATGCTTCCAATTTATTTGATAAATCCTTATATATTTTTTCTTCATTTCCTTCTAACACTGATAGCACTGCTTATAAAATTTTATTTTAAAGTTCTTACAATTCTTATAAATCTTCAGAATTTTCAAATAATCTATTAATTTAATTACTTTTATCATTAAAAAATTATGCCATGTGACTTGCATCTTCAAAAAATGTTGTGTTGCATAATGTAATTTAATTGTCAATACAAGGTAATTAAATAACTTCATTTACAAAATCCAACATAGATTATGGTATTACAATGATAGCTTTAGATAAAATTTTAAAATAAACCCTTAATTAAACGCTTGCAAATTCAATAAAATTAGTAGACATTATTTTTGGGTTATTTTTTTAATCTGTTTATTATCTTATATATTTTTTCATTTCTACATTATTATTTTCACAAAATAATTGCATAACTCTAAAAAATCTACAAATAACATCTAAACATAATTTTTTAAATGCTGTCTCTTTAGCATCATCTGGATCAATTACATTCAATCTAATCATAGTTTATGTGTCAATATCGAAAAAGTCATAATTATCAACAGTTTATATTAATTCTGTACTTTCAGATAATTCTTAAGTAATTATGGAAAAATTATTATTAATAACTTGAGTTAATTTACTAATTAAAACTCGAAAATTAGTTAAAACTGTATTTTATTCATCTTTTTTAAGTTTTTCCAAAATAGCATTTTGTGCTTTTGTATTCCCTCCTAATAAAAATGCAATTAAGAATAATAAGCATTCACTTAACAAATCTAATCTAATTTCTAATTTCTATTCAGAAAATAGTGCAATCACAAGATCAGCAGCTCCACAATCAACTAAAAAATTTTAAGCATTTTCAATTTCTTATTTATAATCAATCCAATAATCACTAGGCCATTAATCAACAGATATTAATTAAATACTATTAGCTTAATTCTTTTCAGTTATTAATTTACTTATCATTTTTAAAAAGAATATTCTTAAATCATCTGTAAATTAAGTCTCATTTGAAATGCTCATATGGATTATATTTTAAATGTAATGCTTTAATGATGTTACTTCAAATTTCGTTTGATAAGCTAACATTGATTCTTATCCAATTGATAACATTTTTTTACAAGCTTCAAGAAATTCTTCTTCCAAAAATATTTAAAATGTAGATGATAAACTCAATATATTTATAACTCTCTTAAGTTTATGATTTATTTTTTCATTAATATCTTCTGGTTATAAAGTTGATCGTCTTGTGTTTTTCCAAATTTTAACTAAATTACCTAAAACTTATTTGCCTTAAGTAAATTTATCTACTGAAAAAATAGAATCTATTAAAATTTTTTTGTATTCTTCCTCATTATGTTAAAATCTACTTGTATTTTCTAGAGAATTTCTAATCTCTGAGTCTATTGCTTCTGAAGATAACATAAGATTTGAAGAGTTTAATTGAAGTGCTTTTTCGTAGGCATTAATTTATTTCAAAACCTATAAAAATAGTGAATCTCTAATTTTTAATATATCAAGATCAAATGTTGATACAATGCTATGAAGTATGTTCAAAATAATTTTTGATATATGTCCTATATTTTATTTCTAATAAAATCTTTCAATCAAAATAAGCTTCTATACTAAATCAAATATTTATAAATGAATTATTAATTTATTTTTACTTCTATTTAATTATAATTACTCTTCTAAATCTTCTAAGAATTCAATATTATTAAAAACATAATGTAATGTTATTAATATTTCTTCTAAGTACAAATAAATATAAGAGATTAAATATTTATATCTAATTGGATTAACTATTGTAATTTAATTAAAGAATGAAAGATTTTAGCTAGATTTTAATTCTATAATATTTTCTAAATCATCTAGTATTGTAATGAAGTCTATTGAAATAAACTAAGTTACTACATCTCTTCCCTAACAATAATAAAGTCTATTTATATATGCTCTTAAATATCTTTTTAATGGCCATACTTATTAAGATAAAGATAATAATTTAATTAAATCTGGAAATGAATGAATTTTTCTGCATTTTTTTTGATTTACTTTATGTTATTCTTCAACTAATTAACTAAACAGACCAAAGAATGTATACATATATGAAAGTTCTGGACTGATATCAATTTAAATTTAATCTTTATTTAACTTTTAATATTCTAATTAGTATTGATTAATATAATATGATATCTGATCTTCTGTTAGTATTAGATTTTCAATGATTGGTTCAGATGTTTATGATGTGACATCACTAAAACTTTGATCAGAATTTTGAGTTGCCATAATATCTGAAGCAACCAAATTTAAACTTATAATAAGGTTTCCATATGTATGTTCTTAAAGATTTTATAATGTAAGAGCTTAATTTTATGGAATGTAAGAAGAATTGAAAATTAAAATTATTCTTAAAAAATCTAGTAATTTTGATTTATAGTAATTACCCAAAGATTAACCATCACATTATTTTAGTATTATTTATAAAATATTAGGAATCTCTCTTTAACTGTAAATTAAAGGTTTATTATTTGCAAATAATGCTTTTAAAAAATCAATTATTCCAACATTATATTATAAATGAGGATACATAGATTCTTTATATTTAGACAAGGCTATTTTATTCTCCATATGATTCCAAATTATTAAAGTAAGATAATCATAGCAAGCATGCAAAAGTTTCCAATAAATTTCTGATAAAGTAGGAACAAACATTTAAATGAAATTTAAAATTGGAATATGTAATTCTTAGGCTATTAATAAAGACTAATGAAGTCGATAGTTAAGTTCTCTTTCATTATATATAATTCTAGATTTATTATCAGGATAATAATCTTCATAATTTAAAGCTACCATTTACTTTGTCTTATCAAAATCTTTTTTTAAGTATTTATTCAACCTTTATAAATTTTAAATAAGACCTGTTTTCTATGCTTCTTAACAATTAACATTCCAAATTATATTTTATTTTTGATATGTTGGACTATTTTCATTATACATTTCTATAAAATAAGAATCAGTTAAAATATCAAATTTATTAAAAATTAAAGAACTTAATTCTGATAATTCTAATGTTTTTCCTGAAGCCACAATAATAATTTTTTCAAAATTAGATATTAATTCTTTTCTTTACCCATATGCTCTTTTTAGTATATCAAGAGAATACTTTGGCAATAATGGATTTTCATAAAATGATAATTCAGCAAAAATCAATTCAAAATATTCAACATCAGATAATGATCTTTTTTATAGTAATTATTTAAATTTTAAAATCCAATTTTGTGGATCATAAAATATTTTTTCTTCTTCAGTAGACTTCTTTTTTAATTTATCAGCAATAGATTTTGCATTTGGTTTAATACTTTCACTTGTAAATAGTGTTTTTATCTTTTAAGCTGCTTTTATATTTTTACTACTTCCTTATTATTTTTATTCAATATTTTCAATAATCTTTAATTCAATCAAAAGATTTTTTAAAAGTTTAGCAGCTTCAAATACTCTCAGATTTGCTTCAAAATCAAATATTTTTTAAATTATTTCACATGCTAATTATTTACAAGAAATTTTAACACTATTTGATTCAGATAATCTTGTGGCTTTAAGTTTATGATCAATAAAATTTTAAACATATGTACCTTATTAACTAGATAACATTGAATTCTCTTTCTCATTACCAAAAGAGAATTCATTAATACTACTACAAATTTAATACATATAATTTAAAATCTGTTCAATTTGATTTAAATTTACATAAAAACCTAAATCTAATTAACATCCAATTATTTTCAATATTTCTTAAATTGTTTTCTAAAACTCAATATTTTTCCAACAATTTTTATTCTTCTCTAATTATATTAAAATAAAAAGATTAAACTCTTATAATGTATGATTTGACTCTATTCTATCAATATATTGAGGGTACTCATCATCTAAATCAGAAAACAATTGTACCCTTTTAATTCTTTTTACTTTTTCAAATGGAACATTATCAATATAAGCATACCTTATTAATTTTAATAATGGTCTCATGATACTAAATCTTTAATTTTTTTCTGCTTCAATTAGAATCTTTAATAAAATTTATAAGGGGAAGTTATCATCCACATATTTTTTTGCCTATTTATTTCTCTTCATACATATATCCCCCAATAAATCAAAATAACTTTGAAAATAATTCCATTATTAGAAAGAATCAATTTTTTAGCTTTCTCTATAAAATTCTTCGAATGTTCTAAATTTGTTAATTTTTTAGATTGGACATAAAACTTACAACTATGATTGTTCATCAATTTTAAATTGAAAACAAAAATCTAAAATTAGATATATAAAAATACCAAATCCAGTTTTAAGAAAAAATTATTAAAGTACTAATGATTGATTTTCTTTGACAGGTTAACCGTTAGAGACACAAATGGAACTTAAAATTTTTAAATATTTTTCATGAGGAACTTGAGATCCAATAATTTCAATTATCCTGATAACAAGGTTTTAATTTAAAAATTTTTTAATGGCTAAGACATTATTATCTAAAATTTCTGCTAAAAATCTTTGAATATAAGGTTCACTCACCATAATATATTAATGAAGATACATTTCCATCCATTATGATGCATAAGTTTTATTTGTATTATTATTTTATATTAATTTAGTAAGTAATGAATAAGTTTCTGAGAAAAGTGTTTTAATTAATTATTTTTAATGTTTCCAAAATAAAAGCTTTTTGGTTCCAGACTTATAACATAATGAATATAAGATTTCAATTAAAATTTCTATATAATACAATTCTTTCATAATAATTTATCTTCTAGAATTAACAAAAGCATCAATTTCTTCATCTTATTCTTCATCATTTTCTAAATTAATAATAAATTTGCTTAGACCAGCTAACAATTTTTCTATCTATTTAATTTATTCTAAATTAGCCATAGATGCAAAATATTAATGATTAATTTTAAGAGCCCCTGAAAAATTGATTAAATACTCTAAAGCTGAGAAAGCCTAAACAAGTTCAGTTTTATAATTGTTATCCACTCTTTTAATAATAAAAGCATCTGTAGTTTTTTTTCCCTTAAAAGCAGTTTTAAATAGATTTTCTACAGCTTTAGTATGTTAATTAAAAAAGCCTCCTAGAGAACTTATATCTTTAATTTAACCAAAAGATTATTAAGTTTAATGTTAATTAATTTTAATTAATGTTAAAGTGTTATCATCATGTACTAAATTAACATATGAACCATCAAGAAATTCTTAATCATGATTATTAGCTAGTTATAAATCAATAGAAGTTCCGATATCATCAATAAAAGCTTAGATACAATCATCATCATCTAATCTTTCTGCACATTTGATGAGCTTACCTGTTAAATAATGTCTAAGTAATATCGTCTTATAAATATGTTTATTTCTTTTTTATTATGTTAATTATCCTACATTTGGACCACCTGCAGCTGCATTATTTGCAGAAGTTCTACCAGAAGATTAAATAGTACCAGGTAAACCAATTAATGAAAGTGGTAATGATACTTTTGTAACTAATACAGATGGAAGTCTTGTTATTACAGGTTTAGATTACAGTTATGGAACTGTTTATTAAGACTTTTATTCATTTTTTTCTTAAACAAATGTTATTTCCCATAAACAATCAATAGGAACTTAAGCTTTTTCGTCAATTAATTTAAGTGCTAATGAATTCTTTCTTAAATCAATACAAAGATAGGAATTATTTTATGTAAAATTAAAGACACAAATATCTCTATCTTACAATAAATTTGTTGGTTAAATATATTCTTCGTATGATTAATATTAATCTATTTTCCAACTACTTGTTGAATTATGACTTATTATTAATTCATATCTATGAGATTCAGTGGAAAGTCCTTTTAATTCAGGTCTTAAATCAGATTATGGTGGTTTATGATCTAATTACACAGGAGCCTTTAAACTCTTTTCTAACCAAAATTTTGATGAATCTGATAATATTTTTACTTATTCTTTAGTTTATATTGGTCTGCCTGTTTTTTGATGACTTTTACAAGCTTCTAATTTAAAAATTATATTGCTTGATAAATACGGTTAAAGCTTTATTTTAAAAGAGTCACTTCTTTAGTCACTACATTCATCTGAGGAGACTAAATAATATCCAGATTCAATATGCTTAAAAATAGCTTCCGCTCTATTCTTACATAATCAGATACCCAAAATATAGTTCTTCATTCATTTTGTTTTCAATCATTGCTAAATATTATTCTTTTTCTGATTTTACTCTATATAATAATCCTTTATTTTTAGCCCTATATAATTTAATATTTATTACTTCATTTTATAATATTCATCATGAATTTCAAAACTCCCTCTCGGTAAAAGTTAAAATAGACCTTCTCTAAAATTATTCAAATCATTTAGATCTTCGTAAGTTTGATAATACACTGCTTTATCAAAGAATCTAATCTTTATTTCAAACTAATTACCCTTTGGCTGAAATGAATCCTTATCCTCCACTATCAGTTTTCCCTTGGATACGAACTATGGAGCCATATTTTAAATTTTATTATGGTTTCATTTAAAATTAATATTATAATAATATAATGTCAAAAAATTTAATCATACTCATCAATTTTATTAAGAATCTTTGTATAAATGATGATAAGTTCTATAAATATTGATGTTGTAATCTAAAAATAAATTGAATATTATCACTTATTACAAAAAATAAAAAAATACTTAGAATTCATATTAAAATTTAATTATGTTAGGAAATCACTAGTATTTCAAAAAAATTCATGATGCATTATTTAAATTACTTTATGGGAAGCCTAAAAAATTGATTCCAAGAACATTAGAAGGTCCTATCATTTGGCCTTTTTTTTAGAGATCTTAAGAAATTGAAAAATTAAAACATTTTATATCTTACGAAGAGAATATATACAAATAATAAGTTAACTCCAAAAATACAGTATTTGTTGTTGGAGCAAAAGGAAGTGGTAAAAGTTGGTTTTTAAGAAATGTTTGCAAAAATTCAATTATTATAGATAATACACATATAAATTTTTAGTCTTTTTTTGAATAGATGAAGAATGATATTATTAGATATATTTCAGATCAAAAATTAATCACTAATAAAGAGATATTATAAATTGCATTAAAGAAATATTTGCCTCAATACTTAGACATTTATTTTAATTAATTTATTAGAGATTAATTATCAGAAAATATTAAATCGGAGTTGAAAATCACAATAAATTAAGAAAATTAATTACCAAAATTAGATTGGGATTAAGGAGAACTTTAATTTTGGGAAGAAGATGCAAAATAAATATAAATGAATTCTTCTAATTCATTAAATGTTGAAAATAGTTTTGTTTAATTAGCAAAATTAATATATAAAGAAGAAGAGAGTTTTGGAAGTTTAAATCTTATGATGAATCTGATTCAATAAATTGAAATAGATAAAATAGATAATCCAATAAAAATTAATACTACAATTGCAGGTATAGTTTTATTTATTAAAATATAGCTCAATAATAAATCGATTTTCTCTTTGATATCTTAAATTATATTTCAGGATTCGACAAGGACAGTAATAAGAAATAGGAGATTTCTCTAGTTTTAATAAATATAGACAAGATATTTGAATATTATAAATACGATAAGGAGGCAATTGATTTTTTAGATCATTTGATTTTAAGAACATATAATCCTTATGGAATTAGAAATCATTTCCCTTTAGTAATTGAGTCAAGCAATAGCAAATTCTTTAATAGAGATATGATGGAAATGATGAATATTGAATTAAATACAGTATTGCACATAGACCTATATGATATTAATAAAGAATAGATAAAAAGTTAGATAGAAGGAATATTTACATAGTAAAGCTTAGAAACTAATTTAGAGAGGAAATCGAATAAATTTATGAACGCCTTGGAGGCTCATTATAAGTTTGGCATTAATTGACAAAATAAGCTGTAACAAATGATGAATTCGAATTAGAGAAGTGGTTTGAATAGTTCAAAAAGTTAGAATACAAAAAATTTAATTATTTAATGAATATGACATTAATAAATAATGAAATAAGCAATTAACTTGACAATAATCATGTAGATGCTAATATTTTTAGAATGATGAATGTATTAAAGCATTTTAAAGGGAAAATGTTTACAGGAAATTACTATGCAGATATATTACTGATGGAAAATTCAATAATTCATGCTTTGTAATAGGAGAATATTCTATATCATCCTAAATACATTTCTCATTTATACTTTACTTATAAATATTACAATATATTTTGTGATCAATATTTACAAAAAAGAAAAAGTATAAATTAAAATATATTTAGAATAAATATTGTTTTGGCCTGAAGAAGAGAAAGATGCTGATTATTTTGTTTCTGCATTTAAATTAGATAGAAAGAAAAGAGGTGAATATTTGAAGCAAATCACTGATGAACCAAGAAAATACTTATATGATGACATAAGAAAAGAGGAGAGACCATATCATGAGTATTATATATGAAGAATAATTGAATATATTATCTTATATAATTATTTATTTTAAGCTCTAAGATTTTGAAATAATAAATTTAATATGAAAATAATCTTATGAACCTAATCAAATTTTACCAATGATGTAAGGTGTATTTATTTAACAATCATAAAATTAATAAATAAAAATTATGTATGAAAATGATAATACAGATACAGCTGACAGTCATCATAAAGTAAATAATTATTATATAAAGAATGAGGAATTGATAGAAGAATTATAAAAGTATTGGCGATTGGTGATCTCTCATATGAGTTAAGACTACTAACATTTATTAAAATTGTCAAGTGATTCAGATGCATTAGAAATAGTTTAATCATTAATCATTTTAGAAGATATTCGATATAATGATTAGAAAGTTCCTTAGAATGATGATATTCAAAATGAAATAATGCAATTTAAATAATAAATTTCTAGTTAAAAAAGTGATCTAGAGGCTAAAACATAACTTATTCATGAACTATTAAATAAGCAAACATAATTATAAGAGTAGAATCAAGAAATGCTTTTAAAATTAATATAAAAAGAAGAAGAAAATGCCAGTAAAATAGCTTAACTTTAAAAAGAAATAAAAGATAATAACAGAATTTAGGCTCGAATACCATCATAATTATAATCAGCTCGTTAGCCAATTTTATAGTATAGTTAATCAACAAAAAGTTCTCCCTAACCCAGAGAATTTCGTCAACTTAGCAATTATTATTAAACAACATTAAGTAAATTAATAAAAGTTTCTGGTACTCATAATAATACAATTAAAAATAATAGCAATATTGTTTTTTAATGAAGAAATGCTATTGATTGCTATTAAATTTTTGTTCTGATAAATTTATCATCTCAAATGAATTAGAAAATAAATGATCAATCCAATTTAATATTTTTAAAATCTCCTTTTTTATTTGGCATTTCGATAGGTCGATATTCCATATTTTCTGTTGGAGGTCTAATACCCTAGAAATAGTATAATTAAATAATACTTTATTAGATTATTTGGTACCAATAGCAGTTTTCTTATTATTAAATTCTCTCCATTTATTAACTCTTTCATCTCTTGTTTTTTCCCATTCTTCTTCAGTCAAAATTTTATATTATTCTAACATTTTTCTTCTTTCATATTCATCTAATTTATATCTCTTTTATGATTATTCTAATCTCATAAGATGTTATTTTCTATCTTCTATTTCACTAAATAGATTCTTGCATTATTTTTAAAAATCACTTTCGAAAGTATCAGCTAAAAAATAAATAGAAATGAATACGTGGTAATTAAGCAACTCCAGTTTTTTCTCTTCTTTTATTTTCTCTTAGTCTTTCAAATTCAGTTTTTTCTCTAGCTTCTCTCATAATTCTGATATAAACTTTTCTTTTTTCAGATTCCATTAAAGTTTTATATGCTTAATCAACTATTTGCCAACAATCTTTTGCTCTTGGATCATGACATTTATCTGGATGCAATAATTTTGAAAAAGAATTAAACATTTTCTTAATATCTTCATCTGTTGCTTCCATACCCAAATACAAAACATCAAAAGGATTATAAAATGTTTCTGATGATAATCTTTCTAATTCTTCATCAACTTTTAAAACCTTTTTAAGTATAGGCTAAAATGGATTTTTGAGTGCTTGATTGATTTCTTATTATTACATAAATTATAAATAAATTATTTAACGGATGATTTCTTTTATGGTAATGTCCAACATGCTTTCAGAACAATTAAAAACTTAATATAAGAGTAAATCAGTTTATTGGAGACAAGAAAAAGAAAAACTACTACAGACTTTTCAGCCAAGATAGAATAATTCATAATCATAATAAAGATCAAGAACTAGTGAACGAAAAAGTATAATACGTAACCTAGTAGATTCACTTTATAATCAAGGAACTCCTGAAAAAAATAAATCTATTTATTATCATTTCTAATCCTAAATAGCTTAATAATAACATCATTAATAATAATCTTAAAGTTCTACAAAAAAATAATAAACTGAAGAATTAACCTTATCTACTATTATAAATAAATATTAAAGATAAGTTGAAAATTGTAATTAAAAATAAATAGTACATGATCCTATGGCTGAATAAATTATTGAATCATTTCAAGAACTTAAAAAGAGATCTATAAAAAAGTAAGATATATAAAAATGTTAATCTGAATAAAAAATTATAGAAAATAGTGCACATAAATAAAATATCTTCAGCAGAATTAATTAAATCAGAGAATTTATTGATTAATAATTAGGAAATAATGCAGATGAATCAAATAAAGAAATTAAATATGAAAGTTAATATTAATCTTATGTTGATTAAAGTTCTGGTAATTTGAGAAATAAATCAGTTGAATTTAGATAATTCTTAGATTAAAGAGTAAGTACAGGAAGAGATTCTGCAAATAATAGATTAAATCACAGAATCAATTAACTTCGTTCAATAAAAAGTTGCTCAACCTTAGATGTTGGAATATAGGTTTCATTATTAGATGAAAATTTAATTCAATTAAATTCTTAAAGATTGAAATAAGAAAATTATCAATCTTTAAATATTTAAAATGATTCATAAAATTATTTAGAAAATTAAAATCAACAAAGAACTGATAGAACTAATAATATAAAGAGAAAACAATAAGAATAATACTTAGTTGAAGATAATATATAATAAACATCTCCTTTATAATCATAAAATCCTTATTATTAAGTAGAATAATCACTTACATCAGAATATTAGTTACCTTTTTAATAAATTATGTAGTAATAATAATAATATTAAAATGAAGATTCAATTTAAAAATCTAAAAATTCAGCAAGAATGAGTAGAAGAAGTGAATTCCTATAAAAAGCAACATATTCAACTAATGTCAATGATGAAAATAAGGATCGTTTTTCTGTAAATATTGAAGAAATAAAGTAAGAAAGATTATCAGAGAATGAAAGATTTTCAGTGACTTCAAATGATATAGGGGGTAAAGATGGAATATTGGCTAACTTAGATTTTAATAAGGAAAGATTTTCAGTTAGATCGAATGAATAAAATCCTTAAAACAAAGAAAGGAATTCAATTAAATCTAATTTTGAAGAAGATCATAAAGATAGATTAATATTAAAAATGAATAAGCCTGATGTAATACCTCCAAGTTATCTTAAATGCACATTAAATAATAAGGAAAATGCTGTTGAGTCTTATAGTTGCACATAAAAAATTAATAAATAAGAATTAGAAATTAAATTTGGAGAAAGATTTGAAAGTAAATAAAACACTATTGAAATTCCAAAAATAGTTTAAGCTTTAAATTTTGATAATATAGATTTGAGTAAACCTTTTTCTGGTACTCAAATTTCAGTAGATACTAATAGATTTTAAATTGAAATTTAACAAATTATGGAAAAATAGAATGAAACATAAGATGTCTAATTGAAATAAAATGACCCAATTTATATTTAATAAGATTTTGCCTTAACTAGCAATAGATCTTAATTATCTGTTCCAATTACAGAGCCAACTTAAACTTAATAAAATAATTAGTTAAACAATAATTTTATTAGAGTAGAAGAAGAAATTGAAGCAGGACAACCTGATATTAGGATAATTGAGAATGCTACGGGTATTACTGAATGTAATTTATAATATTCAGAAGATACAGCAAATTTAAGAATTCCAACTTAAGTCAGTAATAATGAAGAAACAAAATTTAAACCAGATTCATATGTAACTTGTGAAATTTAATTTTAATAAATAAAATAAGACAATTAATAGTTAAATTAATTATAATCAACACAATCAAATTAAATGAATTAATCATCTTTTGAGTAATGGTTATCATAAACTGATTAAAACAAGAGAATTTTTAATTTTAATTGTTAATCTTAATATTTTTAAAAAGAAAAATGTGATCATAGTACTTAAATCAATAAAAGCGATTCAGATTCAGACGAGGAAATTTAATTCATTAAGAAAAAATAATAGAAATGCCTATATAATTAAGGAGTAACATTATTAGTTAGAAAAATTACTTCAATTTTAAAAATAAGACAAATCAAATCATTTTATGAAATTAAAGAGCATTCTCTACATCTATCTCAATAGTAATAATAATAATAATAATAATAATAATAATAGTAATAGTAATAATAGTTGCAATAATTTAAATCCTCATTACATAATTATCATTCTTCAATAGAATCATAATATTCATCATAGTTTTATTCGTAATAATAATCATTAACATCTCTTCCTATTGCTTCAACATAAACTTAATAATCTTAAATTGATTTAGTACCTTAAGCAGTAAAAGAATAAGCAGCCTAAGAAAAAATATCAAATCTATTAAAAACAATAATGGAAGAAACTGGTTCAGATACATTAAGAATGTTAAAGAATAAATCAAATATATCACCAGTTGCTAAAAAGTAGGAAAAAAATAGATTAAATAATAGCCAAAATTCTAGATTAAAAATTTCTAAGAAGAGTTCGGCAGCCTCGATTTTAACATCTATGCAATCTCCAGTACAAGAAATAAATGATAGAATTAAAGTAAACTTCATTTAAGATATGGGATTAGAATCACCAATTTAAAAACATACTGAACATGCAGAATTACATGATTGCAGTAAATATAGATGATTTTATTTTAGGTCCAATTGCTGAGCCAATGGAATTTTAAGATGTATCAGTATTAATAAAATAAAAGAGAGAAATGAAATAGATTGCAGATTCTAATAATGGAAGCAATATAATAAATAATAGTTATAATGATTAAAGACATTGTTAGATTTTGTCTCATCATATTGCAATTTAGAAAGCAAAGATTGCTAAAAGATTTTAGTAAATTCATTATAAGACAGCTGGATAATAGTATTTTAGAAAAGAAAATTATTAAATTTGATTATTAATTATTATTAAATTTTATATATGAGATAAAAATTATAACTTAAGGGAGACATTTCACTATCATAATCAGTAATATAAAGAAGAAATTCAAATTAGAGACAAAAATCTCCAATATAGGGGAGAAGATTATTCTTAAGTCATGTAATATAGACTCCATTAAGTTAATAATATGGATAAACTCAACAATAATAATAATAACAATAATAATAGTAGATTATATAAGGAAGATCACATAGTTAATCAAATGTAGTATTTTAAGAAGAAGTACCTTAGAAATGGCCAATAATACAATTACCATTTTTAAAGAATACAGAGCCAACAATATTTTTTTAGTACCCTCCAGTATGTGAGGATAAGAGACCTATGGTGAATGCAAGACCTATGACAGAAGAAGAAGTTAAAAAATACTAATTAACATGTAAAGTATTGGGATCTGCTCCATATAAATGTGTATTGACATCTTTTGATTGGGCAGGATTTAAAAGAATAGATGAAGATGATGAAGATGAAGAATGGAATGTATAATGGGGAATCGGTAATAAAACAACTTTGAGAAATATGAATAGATATTAAAAAATCAATCATTTCCCAGGATGTTGGAATATGGGTAGAAAAGATCTACTATGGATAAATTTAAGTAAATTTAAAAGAAAATACCCAAAAGAATATAATTTTATTCCTAATACATATCTGTTACAATATGATTATGACAGATTTCTAATGGCATAAGAATCTGCATAAAAGGATACTCTTTGGATTAAAAAACCTTGTGCAGATTCAAGAGGTAGAGGTATAANTTAAAAACATACTGAACATGCAGAATTACATGATTGCAGTAAATATAGATGATTTTATTTTAGGTCCAATTGCTGAGCCAATGGAATTTTAAGATGTATCAGTATTAATAAAATAAAAGAGAGAAATGAAATAGATTGCAGATTCTAATAATGGAAGCAATATAATAAATAATAGTTATAATGATTAAAGACATTGTTAGATTTTGTCTCATCATATTGCAATTTAGAAAGCAAAGATTGCTAAAAGATTTTAGTAAATTCATTATAAGACAGCTGGATAATAGTATTTTAGAAAAGAAAATTATTAAATTTGATTATTAATTATTATTAAATTTTATATATGAGATAAAAATTATAACTTAAGGGAGACATTTCACTATCATAATCAGTAATATAAAGAAGAAATTCAAATTAGAGACAAAAATCTCCAATATAGGGGAGAAGATTATTCTTAAGTCATGTAATATAGACTCCATTAAGTTAATAATATGGATAAACTCAACAATAATAATAATAACAATAATAATAGTAGATTATATAAGGAAGATCACATAGTTAATCAAATGTAGTATTTTAAGAAGAAGTACCTTAGAAATGGCCAATAATACAATTACCATTTTTAAAGAATACAGAGCCAACAATATTTTTTTAGTACCCTCCAGTATGTGAGGATAAGAGACCTATGGTGAATGCAAGACCTATGACAGAAGAAGAAGTTAAAAAATACTAATTAACATGTAAAGTATTGGGATCTGCTCCATATAAATGTGTATTGACATCTTTTGATTGGGCAGGATTTAAAAGAATAGATGAAGATGATGAAGATGAAGAATGGAATGTATAATGGGGAATCGGTAATAAAACAACTTTGAGAAATATGAATAGATATTAAAAAATCAATCATTTCCCAGGATGTTGGAATATGGGTAGAAAAGATCTACTATGGATAAATTTAAGTAAATTTAAAAGAAAATACCCAAAAGAATATAATTTTATTCCTAATACATATCTGTTACAATATGATTATGACAGATTTCTAATGGCATAAGAATCTGCATAAAAGGATACTCTTTGGATTAAAAAACCTTGTGCAGATTCAAGAGGTAGAGGTATAACAATGATTAGTAAGAAATCTAAAGTTAAAAAAGATAAAAACTTTTTAATAATGGATTATATTTACAATCCTCATTTAATTAATGGATATAAATATGATTTACGAGTCTATGTACTAATATCATGTTTCGATCCATTAAGAGTATATATGTATAAGGATGGTTTGGTAAGATTTGCAACCCAAAAATACTCTACAAATTCTAAGGATCTTACTAAAAGATATATACATTTGACAAATTTTGCAGTTAATAAATTGTCACCTAATTTTGTTAAGAATTAAAATTCATAAAAAGATGACGAAGGTTCTAAATGGTCTCATCAAGCTTATAGAAAGAAACTAGATGAATTAGGAATTAATTCAAGAGAACTATTTATGAGAATTAAAGATGTTGTTCTAAAAACATGTATTGCAACAGAACCCTTTATGTTAGATAGTAATGCTAAATCTTAAGAACATAGAAATGGATATTTTGAATTATATGGATTTGATGTACTTATTGATGAAAATCTAAAACCTTGGGTTCTAGAGGTGAATGTTTCACCATCGCTTAATTCTAGTTCTCCTCTTGATAAAAAGATTAAAACTTCTTTAATATCAGATGTCTTACATCTTGTTGGAGTACCTCTCTGGGATAAGAACAATTATAAAATTGGTTCTCCTCCTAAATACAATCAAAGGAACATAAAAGAAATATCAAATATCAACACTTCTAATTGTTTGAATAAACTATCATAGAATGATTTCAACATGCTTATCCATACTGTTGAAGAAGTAAAAAGAAAAGGAAAGAATTTCTCGTGTATATTCCCTAATCCTAAAACTATTCACTTATATATGGATCTATTTGAATTTCCTAGGTATAATAATAAACTTATTGAACGCTTTTATTAAGACAGATGCAATTGGCTCTCTAGATTTAATTGATTATTAACTGAAATTCATTTTGTAATCTATTGAATTTATATTTTTTATCAAGTTAAATACACTCTAACGCAATCATTCATTTTAAATTTCTACTTTGTTACACTTATCTATTCTATTATTAATTCGTCTACTATAATGATTTCTAACTATAAACTTAATTATTTGGTAATATAATTGGTGGATTATTTTCATCCATCAACTCTCCTGATATTCTAAAAATCCAAGTTGATCCTAATTTCTATATTGTTAATAAATCTTTCGAAAGTTCTTGCATATATTTATTACAAATAGGACATCTATTCACCTATTTATAATTACCTTAAACACAATATTAAGTATTTTAATGTTGTGATACCACACTTTAAGTAACTTAATAAAGGGGATTCTTTTGGAAAACAATAAACATTATACAATTCTTATTTAAATTATTTTATTAATCTTTCCCATCGTTTTTCATCATATTAAGGAAGTATATTCTTGTATTTCATAAATAACAAGCATCCCATTGCTTTTTATATACTCTCTTAATTCATAAAAAATTGATAATCTCTTATATAATTTAAAGCCATATCTACATCTTGTTTCAAATATTCAATATATTATTATCAAACTAGATTTTTCTAAAATGTGCTATTCAATTTTTTTAATTTACTAGATATCTATTAGTACCATTTAAAGGCAAGTTTAAATGATTTATATTTTAGATCTTTAATAATTGTATTAGCCTCAATTATGATTTCTCATTCAAAACTTATTACATTCTTTTTATACTACATCTATTTTATATAATTGTATCAATTTTTATGCTGTTTTTAAGTAACCTTCTCTTAATAAATTGTAAATTAGTGATCTTAATAATTTTATTTCATTTCTACATTCTTCACATTTTAATCTTTAAAGATAAGATTCTTAATATTTTTTTTCGTGTTCTTAATTTACTTCAAGAGCATTTTTAATTTCTTTAATTTTCTCTATAACTTAATCAGCCTTATATGTTCTAATTATTTTCTTGTATTCTTAAATTCTACAAAGTTATGGTTATTCTTACATTTAACAATAATTTCATTAGGTAATCTAATAAAAGGGTAATCAATCTATTATTCAATACTAATAGAATTATATATATTTATTAACAGAAAGACTATAAGATAAATTTAGTCATTAAAAATATTTATTTATAATATGTAAAATTATATACAAAAGATCAATCAACTGACTTTTTCTAAGTTTACCATGATTATTAATTCTATCTAAAATGATAATAAAAATGATTATACGCTGTTATTTCTATTAATGGTTTTTTAAGAATGAAATAATAACTGATTCCAAAACAAACAGTCAACAAAGCCACAAAATCATAAGAAAAAAGAGACAAGGATAAAATTGACACAGACTCAACTATCTAAATCTATTATATAAACTATTTACAGCTCCTCCTAAATTATGAATGCTATTGATTAAAGTTAAGGAAGTGGCTCCAACATTAGGATCACTTATTCTATTAAAAAGAGTTCCATGATTAATGAATAAAATATTTGATAAAAAGCTTGATGTAATTCCAAAAAATATCTAGAATAGAATAAATAAATCTTACTAAGTAAAGATATGAATAAATAGATTCATGAGTAAGAAGATCAGGGAATAATTTAAAAGAAGAATATGTTAAAATTGCTTCTGCTATTCTAAATGTTAAATAATAAAAGAATTTCTAGAGTTCATTTCCTCTTTTAGAATATTTTCCAATTAAAGCAATTAAAATAAAGTTTATTGGAATCATGATAGTTTATATATAAGCTATCATCTCTTTTTTCAATCCTTAAGCAATAAGTAAGGATGCTATAAATTAAATAATGAAAATAAATACAAGTAGATGTTAATATTGGTTAAAAACAAAATCTAAATAATAAGAGATGAAGAAATAAGAATTATAAATTTTTTTTGGAAGCTAATTCTTTGAGATTTCTAAATACAGTTTGAATTTCATGTTATTTAATTTCTTCCTAAGATTCTTGTATTTATGATTCTGTAGTAAATAATTGAACATATATAGTAAGGACAATCAAATAGAATGCATTAATCAAACAAAATAGATCTAAGGATAGAATACCTGTTTCTTAAGGTGTAGTGTAAATGTATGAATTACAAAAAGTCTTAGAATTTAAGGTTAAAAATATAGTAGTACTGAATATGCCTCCAGTCATTTAACCAACAGTTTATGCAGTTGCTCCTAAATGATTATGTTCAGAACTAAATGCTGTGAGAACCCATCCATCTACTGCAATATCTTAATGAGCAGACAACAGAATTAATATCAAGCCAATTAGTGTCAGTAATTCAACATTGTAGATCCAAGTAGAGATTTGTGTAAAATATAATAATGAGTAAACAATTGCCATAATATATTAAATTGGTATTACATAAGTTCTTCTTTTTCCAATAGATTTTAAATAATAAACATCTAAAAAAGGAGCTGTTAACATTTTAAATGAAAATGGATATATGGCAAGCGAAAGCATCGCTATAATCTTAATTCATTGATTTATACCTAAGTTAGTATATGGTACACCATGTTCAAGTAATATCATCATAAGTGTCTATGACCATAATCCTAAAGGGATGCCTTAAACAAAATAAAGAAGAGTAAACAAAATGAATGTTTTCTTATCTTTTGATGAAATATTTGTCATTAATTAATTTAATATATTATGGGATAAGAATAATCTGTAACAATTTAATTATAATATTAGAATTTACCATCAAATAATCTGGTTGTATAATTGCATATGCAAAATTATGAAAAGTTGACAAAGTTGATAGAATAGAAATTATCTGATTAAACATTTACAATAGATAAAAGAATTAATCAAGTATAAAAATGGATAACTTAATTAGATGGATGATACTCTTCTCCACTATGCAGCATTTAAAAGAGATAAAAAATTAGTATAATTTCTACTATCAAAAGGAGCTTCAACTAATTGCAAAAATTCGGTATTTTAATATTTTTCATTTTAAAGAGAAATCTTACCCCTTGGGATGTTACTGATGATTAAGAAATTAAATTATTGTTAGAGAGTAAATGAGAATTTAATGAATCAAATAAGAAATATATATATATATATAATTAATAAAATTATACAATAATTAATATTAAAAAATTTAATATGAATGCTAAAAAGAATACAATATTAATTTTAAGAGAATTCAGAGGAGGTGTAAAACAAAAAGAAGATTAAGTAAAATGATGAATAGTTCGAAGTTGATTTAGAATAATTAAATGATGATGGTATTTCATTTAATAATTTTTTAAAAGGAGTTTAATTTCTACTCATTCTAGCATAAGTTTATAGGCTTATTTATAATAAAGAGATTAAATTCCAGATAATGATCATAAAGATGATAATTAACTTAAAAAAAATAAATAAACTTAATAACAAAATAATAATAAAAAATCTCTAACTAATAATAAGAAGATGAAGAAGAGTAAGAGTAAATGGTTATAATTTTATTTAATTAAAATAAACATAAATAATAGTTCAATAATTTAAAAAGCCTATTTAATAAAATAATTTATTTGGACACTTTTTGTATTCTAAGATAATTGAATAGAAAAGAGAGTTCAGTTTTGACTGTAGTGATAATGATTTTGATGATAAAAGACAATCTTAAGTCTAATAAAAATAATAACAATAAAAAATAAGATGAATTTTAATTATTTTTTTTGCTCAATATAATCAATCTTTTGAATTAGTTAAATATTTGTTTGTTAATAATCATTCATATTAATTCAATAACTATTATTAAATAGCATAGTGTTTAATATTCTACTATTCATCTACTTCCCTTAATCTTTGTTAATAATTAGTTCGCAAATGATTAGGTACTATATGTTCTACTCCACCTCTTTGTTCACCAGTTAATATATTAAATCCAGTATTGCCTCTAGCATCTAAATTATGCGCTCTAACAAATTATCTAACTTTAGCTTTGTCATCATATTATCTTAATAAATTGCCTTATTCACTATTATCATATTTTAAAGTAATAGGATTATAAGCAAGTCTAATAAATAAATTATATGTGTTACCCATTTGAATTTCTTTTACCTTAGGTTAATTATTATGTATGACTCATTAATTTTACTTAATCTTTAGTTTCTATCTTTTCTTAATAATCCCATTTTCTAGTTTCTCTATCTAGTCCTTCTATTCTCTTTCTTTCTATAATTTTTTCCCTTTACCAAACTTCGTGTTCTCTTTACTTTTTGTCTGCTACTGCAAAATCCTTATCAAATCTTTCATTTTCTAGAATAAATCTATTGATACCAGGAACATATAAAGTAGATTAAGGAGGAGCTTAATGTATCAATGTACCAACTCCTAATCCTCTCGCTTCAAATCCAACTGTTTTACTAATTTAAATATAAAGTACCTCTAATATCAATTCTGCTCTTCTCTATTCTATCCTTGTCTCTCAAAGCTTCCTTATTATTTATAATATTTTTATACTCTTTCTTGTCTTGTTCTTGGTTATATGTTAATCATTAATATAATAAATTATTAACGAATAACATATGGGAGGATCTTGCTGTAAAAATGATAATATAGAAACTAATAAAGAAAATGTAATTGCCCTTGATAAACCAATATCCTCATGTGCTGAAAACCTACTTCCTTTAAGTACATAAAATCAATCAAATCCTATAATGAGAACCCAACTATTATAACCAACAATCCCAATTCGAGATCCTTAAGTTCAAATACCAATTATACATAATGGTTTAGTCAGAGAAATGCTTATTAAACTAGGAGAATATCAAATTCCTTAATCTATTACAAATGAGGGTTTAGATGTTACACCTCCTATATAATTACCTGATGATTCAATCTATGTTGGAGGCTTAAAAAATAATTAATTTCAAGGTTATGGTGAAAACTATTGGGATGATGGTACTCATTATTGTGGACAATTTAATAAAGGAACCAGATCTGGACATGGTAGATCAATATATTCTGATGGAGATGCATATGTATATAACTAAATTTAATAAGGAAGGTGAGTGGTTGGATGATTAATAGCATGGAAAAGGAAAATATTGGTATTCAAATGGAGGAATTTATGATGGAAGATTCTTGTATGATTTGAAAGTAAGTTTTATTTATTTATTACTTTTAGCATGGATTTGGTAAAGAAATCTTAGCTAACGGAGAAACTTATGAAGGAAATTTCAATAATGGAACTAGACATGGGTAAGGAAAATTAACTATGACTGATGCTGTCTTTGAAGGTTAATTTAATAATGGATAAATGATTGAAGGAGAATATAGATGGAATGATGGAAGAAAATATAAAGGTTAAATTCAAGGAACTAAAATGCATGGTTATGGAGAATTTTGGTTTCCTGATGGTAGATATTACAAAGGTATATAGATTCTTATTAATTATAATAGGAAATTGGGATGAAGATTAAAAGTAAGGATAAGGAGAATTTCACTACTCTGATGGTTCTATTTATGTAGGAGAATGGAAAAATAATAAATAGAATGGATAAGGAAAGTTTATTGATTAAAATGGATAAATAATAAATGGTTTTTGGATTGATGGTATTAAGTCTAATTGATTCAATTATTATGTCTTTATTTTAAATAGTATTTAACAATATTTCCTTATAATTATTATATATAAATAATATTAAATAAATCAATTATAAATAATCAGTTTTATTTGCATTATTTTTTATATTAATTCAATATCTCTTCTTTGGTGTATCATAAATTCTACTTTAAACAAAATTAATTTCTTCTTCTAAAGCTCTTTCTCTTTATTTTCTTTCAATTTCTGCTTCTAATTCTAATCTTTAAATCCTTTCCTAACTTCTTTATCTCTCATATTCTAAATCTCTTTCTATTTTCTCCAATTATCTGCTTCTTTCTATACTTCTATGCTATTTTTCTAACTATTAAATTCTTAGTTCAGCTTCTTTAAATTATTATATTTTTTCTCTGCTTCTTCTCATTTCTTGTATTGCTCTTTCTTATTCTCTACTTCTTCTTAAATTTTCAATTTAATCTATTTTCTCTCTACTCTTTTTCAAATCTTATAATCTTTCTTAATTCTTTAACAAATCTATCTCTTCTTTTTATCTTTTTTATAATTCTAACATCTCCTAATAAATTCTTTATTCCTCAATTTGTTTTCTTTACTTTTTAAGCTCTTCAATTCTTTCTCTAGATTTCTTTAGTTCTTCCATTTTCTCGTTATTTTTTCTTTCAAATTCCTATTATTATAGCTTTTCTCGACTATTTCGAAGATCTTCAAGACGTTCTCTACTTTTTTTTAAATCTTCAATTTAAATTTGTCTTTCTCTACTTTTTTTCAATTCTTCTAATTCTTCTTATTTTTATCTACTTTTTCTTAACTCCTCTAATTAATTTAATCTCTCTCGACTTTTTTTTAAATCTTCTAATCTTTCCCTACTTTTTTTTAAATCCTCTAATCTTTCTGTACTAATTTTTANAAAGAAATCTTAGCTAACGGAGAAACTTATGAAGGAAATTTCAATAATGGAACTAGACATGGGTAAGGAAAATTAACTATGACTGATGCTGTCTTTGAAGGTTAATTTAATAATGGATAAATGATTGAAGGAGAATATAGATGGAATGATGGAAGAAAATATAAAGGTTAAATTCAAGGAACTAAAATGCATGGTTATGGAGAATTTTGGTTTCCTGATGGTAGATATTACAAAGGTATATAGATTCTTATTAATTATAATAGGAAATTGGGATGAAGATTAAAAGTAAGGATAAGGAGAATTTCACTACTCTGATGGTTCTATTTATGTAGGAGAATGGAAAAATAATAAATAGAATGGATAAGGAAAGTTTATTGATTAAAATGGATAAATAATAAATGGTTTTTGGATTGATGGTATTAAGTCTAATTGATTCAATTATTATGTCTTTATTTTAAATAGTATTTAACAATATTTCCTTATAATTATTATATATAAATAATATTAAATAAATCAATTATAAATAATCAGTTTTATTTGCATTATTTTTTATATTAATTCAATATCTCTTCTTTGGTGTATCATAAATTCTACTTTAAACAAAATTAATTTCTTCTTCTAAAGCTCTTTCTCTTTATTTTCTTTCAATTTCTGCTTCTAATTCTAATCTTTAAATCCTTTCCTAACTTCTTTATCTCTCATATTCTAAATCTCTTTCTATTTTCTCCAATTATCTGCTTCTTTCTATACTTCTATGCTATTTTTCTAACTATTAAATTCTTAGTTCAGCTTCTTTAAATTATTATATTTTTTCTCTGCTTCTTCTCATTTCTTGTATTGCTCTTTCTTATTCTCTACTTCTTCTTAAATTTTCAATTTAATCTATTTTCTCTCTACTCTTTTTCAAATCTTATAATCTTTCTTAATTCTTTAACAAATCTATCTCTTCTTTTTATCTTTTTTATAATTCTAACATCTCCTAATAAATTCTTTATTCCTCAATTTGTTTTCTTTACTTTTTAAGCTCTTCAATTCTTTCTCTAGATTTCTTTAGTTCTTCCATTTTCTCGTTATTTTTTCTTTCAAATTCCTATTATTATAGCTTTTCTCGACTATTTCGAAGATCTTCAAGACGTTCTCTACTTTTTTTTAAATCTTCAATTTAAATTTGTCTTTCTCTACTTTTTTTCAATTCTTCTAATTCTTCTTATTTTTATCTACTTTTTCTTAACTCCTCTAATTAATTTAATCTCTCTCGACTTTTTTTTAAATCTTCTAATCTTTCCCTACTTTTTTTTAAATCCTCTAATCTTTCTGTACTAATTTTTAAATCTTATTAATATTCTCTACTATTTTTTAGATTTTCTAATCTTTCTCTACTTTTTTTAAGATCTTCTTGTCCTTCACGACTGTTTCTTAATTTTTCTAATTATTCAACTTTTTCTCTACTTTTTTTAAGTTCTTCTAATTATTCTAAATATTCTCTGCTTTTTTTTAGCTCTTCAACTCTTTCTCTACTTCTTCTAAGATTATCAATTTCTTCTTTTTCTCTTTCTAATTGAATTATTCTATCTCTATTCTTTCTTAGTTCATCTATATATTATCTTTCTTATGAAAAATAATCTGGAGTAAAAGTTATTGCTTAGAGTAATTCTGAATAATTAATTTTTCCATCTGCATCTTAATCTACAACTCTAAAAAATGCAATTAAATCATCAAAAGATAATCTAACTCCATTTTAAATTAAGAATTCTTAAAGGCTAAATAATTTATAAAACATCTTACTTTTCAATAGTTATATATCCTAAAAATTGTACATCAATACATTTAAATGCATCAAGAGAGGTAAAATCTGCACTAGTTGTTAAAATTTCTTAAGCTGTTGAAATTGAGCTAATCTCAATAAGTCTGAATATACTTATAATTTTAAATTTCTTAGTAGAAAATTTTAGAAAGCCCCCACTCTACTTCAGCTGGTAACAACATATTTTTATCTAATGAGTAAGAATCTCTTAGGGATGCAATTTATCTCAATCTTGAGTCTTCTTTTGGTAATATTGACTTAGCAAAACTAGACTCATAGATACATTGTTTACTCTGGATATGTAATTCTACCATCCCTATTCTAATCTAATTTTCTCATTAAATATTCAGCTTATGCTTATGATGCATTTATTTTATTGTCTACTAAAAAATCGAACAAATCTTCAAATGTTAATTCTCCAGTTCTCATTTAATCCAGTCTTTTAAAAGCTGTGTATGGTTGAAACATTCTTTGTTCAGCTAACACTTATCGAAATATTTCTGTTTTCTTCTCTCCTTCTGCAATAATAGATATTAAATTAGCTAATCGTAATTAAGTCTTCAAAGAAAGGTACNTAGTTCTTCCATTTTCTCGTTATTTTTTCTTTCAAATTCCTATTATTATAGCTTTTCTCGACTATTTCGAAGATCTTCAAGACGTTCTCTACTTTTTTTTAAATCTTCAATTTAAATTTGTCTTTCTCTACTTTTTTTCAATTCTTCTAATTCTTCTTATTTTTATCTACTTTTTCTTAACTCCTCTAATTAATTTAATCTCTCTCGACTTTTTTTTAAATCTTCTAATCTTTCCCTACTTTTTTTTAAATCCTCTAATCTTTCTGTACTAATTTTTAAATCTTATTAATATTCTCTACTATTTTTTAGATTTTCTAATCTTTCTCTACTTTTTTTAAGATCTTCTTGTCCTTCACGACTGTTTCTTAATTTTTCTAATTATTCAACTTTTTCTCTACTTTTTTTAAGTTCTTCTAATTATTCTAAATATTCTCTGCTTTTTTTTAGCTCTTCAACTCTTTCTCTACTTCTTCTAAGATTATCAATTTCTTCTTTTTCTCTTTCTAATTGAATTATTCTATCTCTATTCTTTCTTAGTTCATCTATATATTATCTTTCTTATGAAAAATAATCTGGAGTAAAAGTTATTGCTTAGAGTAATTCTGAATAATTAATTTTTCCATCTGCATCTTAATCTACAACTCTAAAAAATGCAATTAAATCATCAAAAGATAATCTAACTCCATTTTAAATTAAGAATTCTTAAAGGCTAAATAATTTATAAAACATCTTACTTTTCAATAGTTATATATCCTAAAAATTGTACATCAATACATTTAAATGCATCAAGAGAGGTAAAATCTGCACTAGTTGTTAAAATTTCTTAAGCTGTTGAAATTGAGCTAATCTCAATAAGTCTGAATATACTTATAATTTTAAATTTCTTAGTAGAAAATTTTAGAAAGCCCCCACTCTACTTCAGCTGGTAACAACATATTTTTATCTAATGAGTAAGAATCTCTTAGGGATGCAATTTATCTCAATCTTGAGTCTTCTTTTGGTAATATTGACTTAGCAAAACTAGACTCATAGATACATTGTTTACTCTGGATATGTAATTCTACCATCCCTATTCTAATCTAATTTTCTCATTAAATATTCAGCTTATGCTTATGATGCATTTATTTTATTGTCTACTAAAAAATCGAACAAATCTTCAAATGTTAATTCTCCAGTTCTCATTTAATCCAGTCTTTTAAAAGCTGTGTATGGTTGAAACATTCTTTGTTCAGCTAACACTTATCGAAATATTTCTGTTTTCTTCTCTCCTTCTGCAATAATAGATATTAAATTAGCTAATCGTAATTAAGTCTTCAAAGAAAGGTACATGATCAAATAAAATTTATTATACTTAAAATAAAAATTAAATGGTTTTAAAGGATCAGAAATCAATTAATTAATTAATTTATGAAATTCATTAAATATTCATTTTCCATAGCTGCTAAATATCGTTCTTTATCATTAACTTATTTGTCTATTTAAGATTTTTGATTATGAAGATTATCCTTTACTATGATATGTATTTTATATGATTTATAACTTTATTAATGAATATAACAATTACTTTAATAATTCTTGAGAAAGCTTAACTCTAATGGAAAGTGCAATTTATAAAGCAAATGAACAATGCTTCACAGTAGGCTTCCAATAGATAGTTATTCTAGAGCCTTCAATATTGATAAATTCTTTTTAAATTACATCCAATTATCCTAATGTCTATGGTATTTCTGGGTCTCTGATATTATAAATAATATAATAGATGTCATCAATTATATTTTGCATAATTTAATTATTTATAATACCGTTAATAATTTGATTATGAAATCTCAACCATTGTAGTAAATAAACTTAAATACGAAGCATCAGAAAAAAAAGAGTATTAATGGAAGAAATATATATGAAATTGGTGGTAAATATAATTTTAATTAAAGGAACCTAATTTGTTGTAGATGAGCGCTATGAATGTCATAAATAAATAGGGCATGGTGCTTATGGAGTTGTTTGTTCAGGAGTTGATTTGACTAAAAACAAAAAGGTTGCAATAAAAAAGGTATAAAATTTTGTATATTTAAGATTTAAAATGCATTTGAAGATCTTATAGATGCCAAAAGAATAGTGAGAGAAATCAAGTTGCTTTAGTTTTTTTAACATGAAAATGTTATTAGTTTAGTTGATATATTAAGACCAGAATCAAGGACAGGATATAATGATATTTACATTATAACTGAATTGATGGAAACTGATTTACATAGAGTAATCTATTCTAGATAAGAATTAACTGATGAACATATTTAATATTTTATGTATTAAACACTTAGAGGATTACTCTATATTCATTCAGCAAATGTAATGCATAGAGATTTGAAACCAAGCAATATTTTAGTCAACAAAAATTGTGATTTGAAAATATGCGATTTAGGGTTAGCTAGAGGTTTTGAAATAGAAGATGAAAATAAAACAGAGTAAATATTCTTAATTAATATTTAGATATGTAGTTACAAGATGGTATCGTGCTCCTGAAGTAATTCTATAAGCATCTGAATATACAAAAGCTATAGATATATGGAGTGTGGGATGTATTTTTGCAGAGCTTCTTGGACGTACTCCTTTATTTCCAGGAAAAGATTATTTAGAATAAATATAGAGAATTATAGCTGTTTTAGGAACACCATCTAATGATGAAATGAAATATATTACTAATGAAGGTGCCATTAAATATATTAAGTAATTTATTTTATTTATTTAAAAAGATCATTACCTAAAAGAACAAAATAGAATTTTAACACTTTATTTTAAAAAGTTAATCCAACATGTTTAGATCTTTTATCTAAAATGTTGACTTTTAGTCCTTTTTAAAGATATACTGTAGAATAATGTTTGAATCATCCATATTTTGATGGATTACATTCTAAAGATGATGAACCTATATGTGATTCTGTTTTTGATTGGTCTTGGGATAAAATGGAATTAAAAAAAGAAATATTATAATCTGCTGTATATGATGAAGCAACTTAATGGTAATAAAAACATAAAGGGAATTCTAAAAAATTTTGAGCTATAAATACTTTTTAAGCATCATAATATAAAATTAATAATCATTTTCTTAATTACTTTATAAGTTGTAAAATAAGTAAAGTACTGCATATAGTTTTTAGATTGATTAGTCATTAAAAATATAGTAAATATTTTTGAAATATATATAAGTAATTAATTTAATTATTAAATAAAGAAAAAATTAATGTAATCCAAAAGTTATGATCGATAAAAAATATTGAAGATTGAAACAAGTGTTGGATTGACAAAAGAGTAGTATGAAAAAAAATATTTATTTCATCGTTTAAAAGAGAGATTTTTACATAGCTCTGATTTATCATTAGAGACAATCACTCCTGAAGGACATGAAAATATTTATATTCCAATGGATATTTAAACTCCAACTTAAGCTGATGGTCTTAGTTATGAAGATGAATAAGCCTTAAGAATGCATGGAGCTTAAATATGTTTTCAAGCATGCTATAATTTAAAATTACCACTAACAACAGCCATAACAAGTTTAGTGATTTATCATAGATTTTTTGCAAAGTATATAGATATAATTAAGTATAGGAATTCTTTTGTAGATTACGATTATCGTGAAATATCAATGGCTTCTTTATATTTAGCAGGCAAAGTAGAAGAAACAGTGTTAAAAACATGGTATATAGCAAGTACATTTAGTTCTGTATTTTAAAAATAGAAATAAACACCATTGTAATAATAATAGAGATATAAAAATAGGGATATTATAATAAAATAGGAAAAGTTAATTTTGAGGGAACTTGGATTTGAATTATTTAGAGTTTCAGATCATCCGCATAAGTTCATAGAATCATTTTATCATTTTATTAAGGTCGATAAGCAGGTAGCTCAAAAGGCATGGTGTTACTTGAACGACTCATATATGACTGATTTATGTGTACATTTTCCACCTTAAGTTATTGCAGCAGGAGCATTGTATTTAGCATTGAGAATCTGTAATCATCCTATGCCTACTTAACCATGGTGGATATTATTAGAAGCTACATTAGATTAAATTGAGTAAGTAGCTGCTACTATTTATAATATTTATGAATTCGAAAAAATTGATTTTCGATAAGCGAGAAGAATATTAGCTAAAGCAAATAGAATTGCTTATGTTATTTAACATAGTGAAATCTATGGTATTCCTGAAAAAATTGAAAAACCTTTAGATAATAATATTAAACAAATATCTTAATCATAATAATCATAATTATTATCATAAGATTTATAATAATAAAATAATAAGTCAGAATAATAATTAAAATCACCTGTTGATAAAAAAAGTATTAAAAAAAAAAGTAGATCTAATGAAAAAAAAAGTAAAGATAAAAAAAATAAATCTGAAAAAAAGAAAAAGAAAGATAAGGATAAAAAGAAAGAAAAAAAAGATAAGAAAAAGAAGTAAATATATAATTACTATATTATTAGAAGTAGATCAAGGAGTAAATCAAATGATAAAAAATAATCAAAAAAAGATAAAAAAAAAGATAAAATTAAAAAAGATCAAGATGTTATAGATAAACAATAAAAAAAAGATACTGAGATAATTATCTAATAAGACAAAAATTAGAATGAATTTAAAATGGAAATTGAAGCAACAATAGATTCCAATAACAATATAAAAAGCATCAATAATAATATCTAGTAATCAAGTACAGGTAACGATTAAAAAATGGATGACAAATCGTGCCAAATTCCTATTGTTGAATAGACAAATAAAGAACCCTATCCTTAAGCATAACATGTTATTAATGACGTATAGTTGCCACAATAATTGCATGATGAAAAAGATTAATTGAAAGTGTAATTGCCTTTATAGAGTAAATAGGATTTGATTGCTTCAATAAAAGCTATTCTAAAAACTTAATAATTATAGAAGGAGAAAGAGAAAGAAAAAGATTAAGAAAAAAATGAGGAAAAAGAAAAAAGAGAACAATAGTCTCCAGATGAATATGATTCAGAAGAAGATGAATAACTTAAAGCACTTAAATTAAAAAGTAACTTAAATTTAATTATTTAGTGTTAGCAAAAAAGCGAAACGATTTATGAGCTCTGTAATATAAATTCATTAAATATATACATATTATGCTATCATATTCTAAATTATTTTATTTAGATTTTAATGCAAATATAGGATTTCCTTTTCATCCAAAGAAACTTGATAAATATATCAATTTGTCTTTTTATTTCAAAAAAACTTAACCATCCATGAAATATTATAAGTATTTATAATAAGGCTGAATATTCTGTTCGTTAAAATGAAAGATCAATAAAAAGATTAAATGTCAGCATTCGATTACCTTTATATAACTGAAGAGATTTCAAAATATCATATTTAATCATTTCGTTAAGTTCCAATCATAAAACCAAAAAAAATATCGGATAATCCTTTTTATGCTTTAACAATGCATAAAAGAAAAACAACTCCAAAATTAGTTTAAACAATGGAATAAAATTAATAAGTTACTAAAGCATTTCCAAAACGAGAATTTAAGCATAAAATGAGATCCAGAACAATAACTGATAACTCAAGTATCGAATTACCAAAAATTATTGAAAGAAAATGGGAACCTAAGAAAGCACACATGTACTATAATTTGAATTTTCTGATTTAATAAACAAAGAGAGGTTTGAAAACAATTCATTATTGATTATTTAACAATATAATTCATGCAAAAATTAAAATTTTATGTCTTCTTAATACCTCATTTTATTTATTTTTCAATTAGATATAAGTATGTTCTATCTATTCATTTAATATAAAAAACAAAAATCTAGAATTTTTCTACAAAAACAAACATCATTTAAATTATTAATTGCAATTTGTAAATAAAACTACATTTATTTGAATTTTCATATTTGATCAAAACTTTATGCTACTTTATGAGATTTAATAGCAAAAAATTTTAAGTTGACTTTAACTGATTTATTTCAAAAATCATTTAAATTCAAAAAAAATGGAATCCCTTCTTTAAAATTACATAAATCAATGTTATTTGAATTAAGTTTTTTTATTATAATTGAGATTAATTAAACTGTATAACTAAGATGTACCAGTAATTTAGATATAAAAACTTATTATTTTTAAACATATAACATTATGAATGTGATCAATGATTTATATAAGTTATAAGCATAATTTTATATGATAAATTTTTTAATAATTGATTTTTTTTGTCAGTATGATCAATATAATATGTATATTTCTTGGAAATATAAATAAAGATCATTGCATTCCAATATAATTTTTTCAACTAAAACTTCTTCAAAAGAGTTATTAAGTATTTATTAATTTCTATTTAATTCTATTGAATACATTTAATAATATTATAATTATATTAATCAATAATGAAATAATTCTGCTATAAATCCTTTAAAAAGAACATCAAAAATAAGTTCATCTGCTTAATTATTTAATTAGATTGCTAGATCTAAGCAGAAAATCATTCTTTGGATTATATTTTAGTAAATTTCTTATTTAAGTTAAAAATCAGAATATTAAATTTCTATTTCCTCTAACTCATTTTATAAATAAACTATTATATGAATTTTATTTTATAAACTACTATTACCAGAAAAACAATGAGCTTTGAGAATCTATTATGTTGGTATTTTCCATAATTTATTAAATATTTTTTACATAAAATGAGTTCGAATAGATTTTAAATGAACATCCCATGTTTCTAATTTAGAGATCATAAATTTATGTTATTTATTTCCTTTAATTCTCATAGAATGATTAATTTTTTTTGAGTTTTTATCATTAATTTTGGGGACTTGAGTAATTTAAACATATTTACTTGACTTAAATTTATTCAATAATAATTTATTAGCATAATCTAATACTTTAGAAAAAAAATCAGATCCTGCAATAACTTTATTCTTGATTGAGCTCTTAAATTCAAATAAAATGTCATATTATTACTACATAGAAATCGGTTTCAATTATTATGGTTATTGCTGTCCTGTACTAAATTAATCCCCCGTGTCAATATTATCAATATAGGAGAATTCTTATCTTAATAATATGGTTTTAAATACCAATTGGTACAAATTTGTTTATCTCAAAATCAATATCAGAAAATGCAAAGTTATTTGTGTCACCGAAATTAAAGTAATCATCTGTAATTGAGTGCTCCTCTGGTATTCGAAATTGATCAGCTTAAAATATACTTGCTTCAGAATATTATGTCATTCCATTTAAATTGTGATTTACCAGAAGTAAAAAAAAACAAAAAATCTATATTAATGTAGTCGAATCAAGCTTTTTCCCTTTTTTCCAATCTGGACTTTCTTTTAAATTTAGCATGTTATTAATTATAAAATATAAAATATTTCTAAAATCCTTTTTACATTAAATCAATAAATAATTATTAAAAGCTTATTCTATTATTTGTAATACTTTCATTTTATTTTAAATTATCGATGAGTCTTTAAAAATATCTAAAAACAAGAATAGGTATCCTTAGAATTGTTACTTGCCTATTTAGTCAAAGCTTAAGTTTAACTATTAATAAGAAATAGAATAATTTTTTTTAAATCCTAAAAAAGAAATATAAAAGCATTCTGATTTATTAATTTTAGAGTAAAATTCAAAGATTTATTTAGTGTTAATGCTTTTAAAATAATTTTTTTTAATCTACATGACATTTACTTAATATTTAAATAAAAAAAATATAAAATGAAGACAACAAATTGCTTTAATCTTATAAAGGAATAAATAGAATTGAACTCTTGAGATGATTAATTAAATTTAATTTCATAATTATAAACTTTGAAAGTGTTCTTCGTCATCAAAATTACTATTTGGACATTTGTTTGCTTTTATAACCAAGAAATAATTCAAACTTATTGAATATAGGATTTTAAGCAAACTGTATAATTTTCTCACCTTTTTTCTTTTCTATTAATTAATTATTTCTCAAGGTCTTAAATAATATAGAAAAAGTTCTCAAAAAAATTTTCATATTTTTATTTTTTTATTTATCAATAATTTGTTTTCTAATTTATTTTCTTCATTTTCATTTGTTTGTTTTAAAGTATAAATCTATCAAATTTTTCAGACTATTAAAATAAATTCCTAAGAAAAATGTATATTCCTCATATTCGTAAATCAAGATTGTGTATTTTTCAAAAAGATTAAAATTGGTTATAATTATGAAATAAAAATGATAATAATAATTTATATTGATTTATTTTTTTCTTTTTAATTATATTATGTTAAATCTATAGATATTCTCACTTTAAGGTAAAAGTAAAAGTTAATAATCCAATATTAAAACTTTGAATTAAGTTCGATAATTTTCGAAATAAATAGAATTTATTACTCTCTTATAAAAATATTGTCTTCTGTTTCACAATTTTCTTAATTAAAATGAAAAATAGAGGGAGAATATTTTCTTATAAAACAGAATAATGATGATTATATTAATAAAAAATTTAAAAATATATTTTTGTTTATTCAGAATTTTAGAAGCTACTATTGTTAATTTTATATATAAAAATATAATTTGAAGATGAACGATGAGTTTTTGATTTGCGCCAAAATAATTGAATTTTTTTGGCTTCTTTTAGCATTCGTTTTCTTCTTTTTTGCTGTTTATGCAAAATTAAGATTGAAAAAGGAGATTCATTTAGATATAGAGAATTTGAATTCGAATCATACATCGGTTAAATATTAAGTTCCTTCTTAATAAGGGGATGCATAAGAGATTCACATGGTTGATTAAAATGTTTCAAATTCTGGATAATTATAATCAACAGTATAATAAAATAGAGAACCTCCTGTATATTTAAAAATAAATATTAGACAAAATTAGAAGAATTTTATAAGAAGTCACTAATTATTACAAGTAAAATATTTCCACAATTAGCTATTGTGATTATTTGCATTTTAAATGGTGCTAGTAAGGCTTTTGCATTGGTTTGTTTTTTTTTATACTTTATTTCAATCATTCTATTTCATATATTTCAGTTATAAAATCGTTTAGAGTCTTAAGGAATGAAAAGTATTTTAAACTAATTATATTTTGAGATATGTTAAAGTTGTCAAATAACATTTGCTTACTAGGTCTATACATAAATTATTTAGCTAGTGAACTATTTTGATTTTTATGATATTATATTAAGTTTTTAGATATAATTAATTAAATAACAAGTATCATTATTTTATATCAATTTTTACATTTTGTATACCATACTTGCTATTTTTTGTCAAAAGAAACTTTTTTAATCGATCTTTAAGAGCCAGCTGAAATTGAAATATTTGAGCTATCTTGTCCGCTTTTGTTTTTAAGTATAGGTTTTTATTTTGAAGCTTCACCTAATGAGTTTTTTTGTTCAAAAGAATTATTTAGATTAACATTGTTTGAATAACTAATATCATCATTTTTAAATCTGGATACATTGATGACTTCAATGACAAAGTTTTTTTTAATCCATGGATTTTATTGTTAGCTATCTATTTCTTCAGATTGTTATGCTGTATATTATAATCTTTATTCAGCCTAACTTTGATTTTATTATTCACTTAATTCTTTTTTAGGAGATTCTTCCTTCTCAACCTATTAATCAGTTATTAAAATACTGATAATAGGAGTTGGTTTAAATAAATGAGGAGGACCATTTAATTTAAGTGAGCGTGTTGAATTTGTTTTAACTTCAGATTAAGTTTATTGAGATCCTTTCACACAAATTGATGTACCCATTTATGTATTTTTTGTAAATTTTAAAATTAGAAAAATAAATTCAATAATATTTATAAAGTTGTCATCCATGTTGATTTTTAATTATGATTATCTGTCTTTATCGTTATTTATTTTATTATTTTTCTTTTGATCTAAAAATAAAGTCTTTATCTTAATTATCCATTTTGAGCCTTTTAATCATTCCATTATTCTAAGGTTTTTTACAAAAAGAAATCCTACTGGGCAAACAAACAAATAATATAAATTATTGTTTTCTTTAAAGTCATTTACTTTTTTTTTTAAATTAAACATTTAATCAAAATTTTCTTATATTTTCTAAAAAAAAAACAAAAAACCTAAAATTAAATTAAAGAATATTCCGTTATTTCAATAACTCTAACAACTCAATAATCAAGTTTTTATAGTCTCTCAAAAGCGATTTATTACAATAAAATAAATATATATGATGTTTAAAATAAATAGAAATAAAATATTATAATTGTAGTTCATGAAATGAGATTAAAAATATAAGTTTCTTTTTTGAAATTTAAAATTATAAAAACAGTTATTGGAATATTTTAACTGTTTTGATGAATGAAAGATTTGATAATGAAAATAATAAAACATTAATTAATAGTTTCAATGTTTTTATTCGTCATCAACTTCATAAATGGCTTATTACCTTTATTAATTAAATTTCGAATAAGTAAATTTTCTTTTTATTAGGTTTTATTATATAAGTCGAGGACTATTACTAAAATTAATTCTTCCAGAATCAGGTGATTAAGTTTCTGGTGATAAAGGATCAAAATCTTGAGTGGAAAACTTTTTAAAAGCACTTTTTTTAGGGAAATCAGTAGGAGAATTTTCTGCAAGTGCTAAATTTTTCTTTTTTGCATGTTATGCTAATCTTGGACTATTTAAAGTTGGAATTCTCATTCTGGGAGTTTCTTCATCAAGATTTTCATCATCTCTTTATCTAGATTTTTATTTGATCTCTGGCAATTACAATCTATCAGATTTTTCGGTTTTAAAAGTTGATGTTTACCAAGGTTTACTATTAGTATTAACTTACTTTTTAGATGATTGAAATTTCATTTTTCTATCAATAAATGTTCCAGTAAAAAATGGATGATCTAGAGCCATTTTAGCTGAAATTCTTTAGTGAGGAATAGGTTAAAGCATTTAAGTAATTAACTCTATAGCTGATTACGGAGTTTAATAAATATTAAGTGTATCTAGATTAATAATACATTTTTTGTTCAACTTAAGAATTTCATGATAGTCATTTCCTGGGAATAAATCTTTTGATGTAATTCTAAGAGTTTAATATAATAGTACAATTTATAAAATATACATCCCACACTGAAAATATCACAAATCTTATCATATTTAAAAGTAAGATCTTTGAGATTGGCTATTTCAGGTGCTACATATCCAGGAGTACCACATTTAGGAAAAGGATAAGTAGCTGCAGATTACCATGTTGCTAATCCAAAATCAACTATCCTTAATCCATTAATGTCATTTAGTTTTTTAAACATTATGTTTTCTGGTTTTAAATCTCTATGCATGATATTTAAAGAATGCATATGTGCTACAGCAGTTAAGATAGCCTAAAGAGTTAATCGAAATTATTACAAACATAATTGATTTTATTTCATCCCAACCTAATTAAATAATACCTTTAGAAATTAGATCATGAAGTGAACTACCTTTCAAATATTCTAAAATAATATAAAATGTAGTTTCTCCTTCATAGACTTCCTCCAATTTTACTATATATTCATGATCAAGTGCTGCCATCAAATTAATTTCATTAAATAATGCTTCCTAATTTTATTATTTTCGTAAATTATACAAAGCCTCCATCTTCTTTTAGATATCTCTTCTCAACATTTTTAGATGCGAATTCTAGTTTATCACATTTATCCATTACTAAGTATACCTTTAAATTATAAATAAGACAATACTCTTGAAGAACCTCCTCTTCCTAATTATTTCATAGGCAAATAAAAATCACTCACATCTTTATACATTACTCTATTTCTTAATAATCTCTTTAGTTATTTGAATTCTTCACAAGATCCATCAAAATACTTCATTTCCTCTTTAGATTCAAATCCCATTTATGTAATTTTTTGTCTATCCTGAATCCAGTAGATTTTTTATTCTAGATTTAGTTGAAGAACATATTTCGGTTATTAAGAATTAAGTTCCTTAGATAATATTATAGTTGAAATACTTAAGTCAAGATCATATAGTCGTCTATTACATACAAAAAGTAAGTAATTTCTTAATGAGTATGCTTGCGTTAACAAACCATCTAGAATGATGCATTTTCATACACAATATCACTGATATTGTTCATATATTACGCAAAATTATATTAATTTAAAAACAATAAATAAACAAATAAAATATTTAAGAATTGCTTATTCATTCCAATTATTCATAACCTAATTTATATTATTTATTATCTTTTTTCATTTTGCCAACTATGTATTTTAGGTAAAGTATATTTATTTGATTTTATAATTATTTAATTAAAATTTGATGATTATTATTCCCCCATTGAAAAAACATAAAATAAAAATCAAACATATTAGATTTAAGTAAAGATGTAAATTACTTTTTTATTTTATAATTTATCAATTTATATAAATGAGAGAGAACTAAATAAAACTAAAATTATCGTTTTAAAGATGGAAACTAAAACAATTAATTTTATTGATCTAGTTTTTCTTATGAATAAATTTACAATATTTATATATAAAATTTTGAAATTTGTTAAATTGTGAAATTAAGAATACCCTTTGAATCATTTTAAATTCTCTTTCTTTAAGCTTTCACGTAAACGAATTCTTTGATAAAAAATAATTAATTACCTTTCTTTAGCTGATCTCTCCATATCTCCAATTTCATCACTTCCTAATCTATACATTACAAATAATATCACTCCAGCAAACCATCCCATATATATACAAAAATAAAAAGCATTTTTTAATCTAATTTCTCTTGATTATGGTTTTAATTCTTCATCCAATTTTTGACTAGAAATTCATAATTATATTACTTTTAAGCTAATTATTCTCTAGTCAATTATGGACCTCTTTAAAAGTCTTTGAAATCTTATTTCTATCCCTTAAAATTGTATTTAGGAGGAGCATCTATTTTCTAACCTCCTTTAACAACATTTTCATAAAAATTCTTATAGATGTTTCTAAATTTTTACATTAAATATAATATATATATATAAATATCTAATAACTAAATGGGGTAATAATGTTGTAACCCAAAAACTGGCTATATGCCTGATTAAATTCCAATAAACATTTATACACCTGAATAGATGGATTATCAAGTTGTTTAAACTAAAAATCATATACTAGAAGAAGTCAGTTAAGGTTGTGATGAAGTAGAAAGTAACAGAAATCAACTTGTGGATGAACATTTACCAAATGAAGCTATGAAATTAAATGAAATTCCTAAATTAGAAAATCAGATAGCAGAATCAATAAGACAATAACTTGAACCTATAAAACTAAATTATGATTCTTAGTATCAAATTTATTAACCTGTATAAATTGTAAATTACAAACCAAATGGAGATATACAATCAATTGTCTTTTATGAAGGTCAATGGTATAAGTAAAAAAGAAATGGAGCAGGAGTATAATATTATCCTGATGGTTCCATTTATGAAGGTCACTGGAGTCAAAATAATCATGAAGGATTTGGTAGAATAATCTATGCAGATGGAGAATATTTTATAGGAGAATGGAAATAAGGATAAATTCATGGTGAAGGTACTTTAGTTAATAAAGAATTAACTTATACAGGAAAATGGGAAAACGGAATCTAAGTAATATAATATTCTAAATAGAATGGATAAGGATATTAAAAAAAGAGTAATGGAACTATCTATGAAGGATTATTCAAAAATGGACGTAAACATGGATCTGGTTTAGTAAAATATCCAGATAATTCTTAATATAAAGGAAACTTTGTTGAAGATCGTTATGATGGTATTGGAGAATATAAATGGAGTGATGGTAGAACATATGGAGGTGAGTGGAAGAATAATCTCATTAATGGAAAAGGAGAAATGAGATATCCTACTGGAGATAAATATATAGGTAATTAAATTATGTATACTAGGACATTTTAAAAATGATAAAAAGCATGGATTAGGAAAACTTATTTAATTTAATGGTATATCGATTGAAGGAGAATGGGATTAAGGTAAATTAAATGGAGAAGCAAAAATAACATAACCTGATGGTGAATCATCATAAGTCTATTTCAAAAACGATCAAATTATTTGATAGATTTTATAAAGTATACTTTTGGTTAATATTTTAATAATATATATTTCAATAACTTTTCAAAATGTAGGAGTTTTTATTATTGTTTTATGTTTATAAATTTTTATCATTTTATATAAATATAAGTTAAGATAATAAATAAAATAAAGTTATGAATTAACAAATATATTTGATACTAATTCTAATTAAGTTATTATAGAATCATAAATTTTTAAAACTAAATTTGATAAATCTGAAAAAAAATAAAATTTTTATTGATAATGAAACTTCTTATTCTGAAATTAGTTGTATTTTTTGATTTTTAATAAGTTAGGATGATTAAATATGACTTCAAAATGATTACTATATTGTAGTTAATGTATTTTTAGTTAAATCTGTAGAGAGTATTAAAAATATCATTAATTTTATTAATTCAAATTTGATGAGTTCCCTCTTTGTCAAATGTTTATAATGTAATCAAAGACCAGCAACAATAAAATGTCAATAGTGTAAAATAGGATAAGTTGTGAGATTATGCTATAGCTGTGATTCATAGGTGCATAATAGATAAGGACCTATCGGTCAGCAACATAAGACAGAAATCATTCCTTATTAAGGTAATAATGCATTTTTGAAATATTGTAGAAATGTATTAAAAAGCTCCTTAATCAGCAGGATAAACCAACATAGGAAATAAATTTGAAAATATACAAAATCCCCAAAAAAAATAATAACCTTAACAGTCACAATAATCTTAAGGATAATTTAAATTTGCAGCAACTACTAAATAAGAACCACCCTAATTTAATTAGAAACCACTTACAAATGTTGGAAAACCACTTCAATAATAAACTAAAGAGATTAATTTCTCTGGCACTAGATCTAATAATAAACCAAGATATGATTAAAAAGAGGAAGAACAATATAATAGTTCATAAAAAAATTCTGTAAGAAGTGTTAAATTATGATTCTTAGGATTAAAAAGCATCATTAAATAATTAGTTGAAAGAAGAGTAAGATACATGTTAATAATTAAAAAAAGAACTAAAATAAGCCTAAGATTAATTAAATTCTTTAAATAAAGAAGTTGAGAAGAAAATGTATTGATTATTATTTTAATTTAATAGAAAAGCATCATAATAAGAACTAGAGAAAAAATTAAATGACTTAAAAAAGGAAGGAGCAGAAGAAAAGAAGAAAACATAATAATTAACTGAGGATGTTAAAAAGTTGAAAGATTAAATAAAGAATGCTGAATCTTAAACTTAGAAGAAATTGGATTAATAAAAAAAATAATATGAAAAATAAATGCAAGAAATGGAATAAACAATAAATGAGAAATAATAATAAATTGATGAAATAGCTTAAGAATTTTAGAATTATAATTTAGAAGATATTTAAGCAAAAATGGAAGAGATGGCAAATGATATAAATATGAAAGATTAGATTATTGAATAATTGCAAACATAATTATAAAAAGGCGAAGGATATTAAAATGGAGATGGATAAGAAGGAGATAAAGAAGAGATTTTAGCATAAATAGAATAGAAGGATTAAGAAATAAAGAAATTAGAAGAGTTGATAGAGAACTTTAAATAATTGTATTAGCATATGTTAGATGAAAAATAAGTAATTATGGAGGAAAATGAAAAACTAGCAAATGAGAACAACCAATTCAGAGAAATATTTAGTGTATCTTTATTTTTTATTATATAGTAAAACTTACACTTGTTTGGAATTGATCCAAATTAATTGGAAGAAGAAGGAGAAGGCGAAGGTGAAGATGGAGAAGGGTATTAACAAGAGGAAGGTATATTTTTTAATTTATTAGGTGAGATAATTGAAGAAGAGGAGACCAATGATACATCTTGATATTAAAAAGTATCATTTTCCAAACATATATATATATATAAATTTTAATGTTTTTTGTTTATTCTAATGTTCTCTTTTTATTAAGATATTACTCAAATAAATCTTAAATTCTAATATAATTTTGCATTTTTGAATTTTTATTATTTATTATTCCATTTTAAATGAAATTTTAAAACATTATGTAAAAATATTTTGATATATTTATATAAATATAAAGTTAATTCAATTGCATCAATAAAATACAATTGGTCCGTCTTAATTCTTTATAGATGCTTTACTTGCAATTAGGGTTACTATTTTATTATAAATCTAAGTTGCTTATTGTTTTAAATCACATAAAAGAGAAAAAACTAAGATAAAACTAAAACTTGCTATATGAAACCATCCTATCAAAATTTAATCATCAACTGATAAATTAAGCTAATTTTTATATGCATAAATTAAAAATAATAATGTGTTAAAAGCTAAAAAGGAATCTGCAACCAAAATTTTATAATATTCATATAAATTGCTTAGTGGTTTAAGATTGCAAACATATATTAAAAATATTGTCTAACTAAATGCAATCGAGATTGCTTACAAAGTTCCATTATATTCCATATAAACAATTAAGAATATAAAAAATTATCTTTTTAAAAGGAAAATTGTATTATATTGTATCACCCAAATATTTTATGATTGAGATATTCCATCAAAAAGGGCAGAATATTATTCTTTTTTTGAGACTGTAGTTTCTTTGGAAAATGAGATTTATTTTGTAAGCATGTATGAGAAAAATACTATTTATAAGCAAAAAACTAATAATGCAGCATAAGAATTAATGCTCAAAATTAATGAACTAGTATTGAAATTTATTAACTATAAAAATACGGAAAAGCTAATATCGTAATAATTAGACATGACCATTCTAAGGATCCCATTATAATAAAATTCTTTTTAGCTTTATCTAAAAAGATTTCTCAAAACATAAATGATTTTTCCAGCATAATAACCAATTTTAGATATATGGTAAGGACCTATTCGATATAGAAATAAGGTCATATTTTTTGCAAAAAAGAACCCCATATATAAACCAAAAAAACAAAAAATTGAGCTCTAAAAATTAGTATAAAAATATCCATTTATCTCATCCATTAAAAATTTTTCAGATGTTTAAACAACCTATTCTTCATTTCCATCTAATAAACTAAAAAGAGCACTAATTCCAGTTGCATCCATTATTGGTTAGATAGATATCAATTTAAAAACTTCGAAATATATATTTAGATTAGTTGGAAATTGAATGTTTACATATTTTATGTATGATAAATATTGTAGCAAATCCATTAAATTCCAAAACATTTCAAAAGAGCCAGTCAAAACACATAAAGCTGACAAAGCAATCATAAAATATATTATTGTATTTGTAAAAGATTTTGCACTCTACGAAGATTATAATATGTTTTAAGATATCACAATAGGAGTTTTTAATTTTAGCTATTATTCATTCTCAAGAACAACAGTTTAGTATTCTGAGACAATGCCTGTTTCATCGAAAATAACAATTAAAACAGGGTCAATAATATTTTCATAAAATGTGACAGTGGCTATTACTTCAATAGTTTTAGCATTTTAATATTCTGGCTGATTTTTAAAATTAAACTTAATCGAATATTATTCAAAAACCAAATTTGTTATATTTCCTTAAAAATAATGATTTGCATCGTAACTTTCATTATATTTAAGAAGCATTGGCTGATTAAAAGTTATTAACACTTCTTCAACATTCTCAGGATTTTTAGTTATTAATTCAAGTTTCATTTAAGGAGAAACGGAATAAAAACATGTACTAATCATATACATAGAGTTAATACAAACCCAATCTTTTTCAACTTTGCAATTATCAGAACATCCATCTCCATTATCAAGATTGCCATCATCACAACCTTCATTGACATATATACCATCTCCACATAAAGACTTACATTAATTATTATCTAAATATCTGCCAATATCACATTAATTACAAACACCAGAAACACATTCAATACAGAAAGAATCGCATACCAATTTACAATTAATGCATGAATTGGTAACTATTGTTCCATCATCACATTATTCATCCCCAACTATCAGCCCATCTCCACAATAAGGAACACAAATAAAATTTTATACTAACCATCCTAATTCAGTGCATTTATTACATTTTCCATCTATACATTCACCACATATTTCCTAGCATTAAAAATTGCAATCATAACAACCATCAAATTATAATTAGTTTCTGTCATCACATTATTCAAAAGGTGATATTACTATTCCATCTCCACAAATTGGATAACAATTATTTTTTACTAAAGTCCATCCCAAATTATCACAAGCTTAGCAAATTCCTTTGTTACAAAATGTACATTCTTCTTCACATTGAAATTAACAATTATAGCATCCATCAAATTGAATATCATTGCCATCTTCACATTATTCATTTCCAACAATTAAGAGATCCCCACATATAGAATAACAATGTTTATCTATTAAATCCCATCCAATATCACATTCTTAACATTCTCCTTCAAAACATTTAGTACAAACATCTTAACATTCGAAATAACATTCATAACATCCATCAAATCTAATATCATTTCCATCATCACACTATTCATAACCTAAAATAACCTTATCACCACAAAATGGTTAACATATAAGATTGATAGGATTGATTTACCATTAATCTTTACATTGAATACAATAGCCTGATTAACAATTTTAACAATTTTCATCACAAGAATATAAACAATTATAACATCCATCAAAAGGATCAAAATTACCATCATCACATTATTCATTTTTAGATATAGCCTCATTACCACATTTTTCAGTACATTAATAATTATCAACTAAATATTATACCTAGCAATCATAGCATTTTCCAAACTAACAATTTAAACATTCTTATTAACATTAAAATTAACATTAATGGCAACCATCATAAGGATTTTAATTGCCATCATCACATTATTCAGAAATAACAATAAATTTATCTCCACAAATGGATTAGCATTAAAAATCTGAAAGAAAATATCCTACTTAACATTATTCACAAATTCCAAGAACACATGTTTGACATCCAATATTACATGTAAGTTTACATTGATAACAAATTTAATCTAGAATATTAATTTGATCATCACATTCTTCTTATTCTACAATAATGCCATCGCCACATATTTCAATACAATGATTATTAATTAATGTATATCCAGGATTGCAAATTAAACAACCAGATTGATTACAAAACTAACAATGTAAATCGCAATAAAATTAGCATTAGTAACATCCATCATAAATTTAGGAATTAGCATCTTCACAGACTTCATTGCCAGTAGTCAATCCATCTCCACATATAGGAAAACATTAGTGAGTATAAATATCTAATTGCCAATATTATTAGCAAACTAAACAAATTCCTAAATAGCATTCACTACATGAATCTTAACATTCATAATATTATTAATAACAACCATCCATTGGTAAAGTATTGCCATCATCACATTATTCATCACCTAAAATATTATCATCAAGAATTGATTCACATCTATATGTAGATAAATTTATTGTCCAACCTTTTTGATTACATTCGTAACATTTCCCATATTAACATTTCGTGCATTAATCTTCACATTAAAATTAGCATTAATAACATCCATCAAAAATAACAAAATTATTATCATCACATTATTCATATCCAACAATTTAAAAATCTTCACAAATAGGGATACATTTTTAAATGATTGAGATAAATTGAAATCCATCTTTACATTTCAAACATTTACCAAAATTACAAGAGTCGCAAAATTCTGAACAACTTAAGACACAAGCATCACATAAATCAAATGGATCAAAATTGCCATCATCACATTCTTCTTGACCATAAACAACTATATGATCTCCACATATTGGTTCACAATTATTTCCAGTTAAATACCATCCATTCTATTAATCACATTCTAAACATATTCCATAGAAACAATTTAAACAATGATCATAACATTAAAATTAACATTGATAACAACCATCATATGGATATTCATTTCCATCCTCACATTATTCAATTCCAACTATAATTTAATCTCCACAATTATTTTTGCATTTATGAATAGATTCTATTAAAATGTAATTATCTTTACACAAATAACAATTACCTTTTTAACAATTCAAACACTCTTCTTAGCATTCAAATTTGCATTAATGACAACCATCAAAAGGATTTTCATTACCATCATCACAATCTTCACCATCTACTATTTATTAATCACCGCATATTGGTAAACATTGCAGATTATATCCATCGTCATAGTATCCATCAATACATTTACATTCAAATTTAAGTACGGATCTATGAAACTCTGTTACACAACTAAAACATTAATTACTATTTGAACCAAAACAACTTTCACAGTATCTATTACATTCTTATTAAAATTTATTTATTTTTACTTATGCATTATGTATTTGACAAAAAGGCTGAAGGATAGCATAAACATTAGCCTTAATCTAAATAAAATTAGTTAGTGTTCGAAAATTCACATCTAGTACAAACTGTTTAGCTTTCACATTCAATGCATCCTTTTTATGAACATGTTTAACATGAATAGATAGAAGTACTTGTATCAAAACTTAAATATTAATTTGAGCCACAATAATTTGTAGAATTATACCCACTATATCCTGAATCACAATCTTATATTGTTGGCCCATGACATACATTACAAAAAGGTGCACACTTATAATTTATTTAAATTATACATAATGGACAATTACAAAATATTCTGATATATACATAAAAGCATCTTCTAAATTTGCTTTATTTGTGTTTGCAGACAATTCTATATCTAATTAATTACTAACATGTGATTATTAAAGTAATTCATGATAAATTGTAGTTTCTTTCTTGTTATCTCCAACTGAATTATAAGATCCTGTATTTGGATTTGTTATTTAACTTGATTAGTATGAATCAAATTTATATTAAAACCATCCGCTATTTTCATCTCCATAAGTAAAATTTAATCTATAACTTATTTTATAATGTGGAAGAAGTGAATAAAAGGATTTTTTATATTTTCCAGATCTCCAAACAAGTACACCTCCTAAAACCCATTTTTTTGGAACAAAAGAAAATATTTGACCAGTAAATGAACTTTATATTGCATTACTTAAATCTGTAAAGTTATCTACAATATCTCCAAGATTATCAAGTGTTGTATTCATATCATAAAATGCTTTTATCAAATATTTACTATCTAAATATATTAAGTTATTTAATGTACTTTCAATTATGTCTTCATAATCTTAGCAAGTTCCATTAGATAATAAAATTGAATATATTGGACAACTATCAACACAAGTACCTCTATATAATTAATATCCAGAATCACATGTTAAACATCTAGAATAGGTTTCACATTCAGTACAATTGCTTTAACATAATCCATAATCTATTGTAATATTTCTAAAGGCCCAAATTTCTGTTTATAATTTTGTGATTGCTTATAATCTTATTACAGGACTACTTGAGTAAGTTTTTAAAACTGCTTCTATTCTAATTAAATCATAATTAACTCCCAAACAACTTAAACTGCTATAATACAATAAACTTGATGAAGAAAATGTATAATTTGTAGCTGTTTTTTTTATAGAAGCCCTAGAAAATGAATCTACTGTTATACTCATTTATGAATCGCTTTCCCAACCATTTAAGTACATAGATATTCTTATTCTTATAAACTTCAATGCTTTATTTTCTGATAATTCTAACTAAATTGCTTCGTAATTCATGAATTATCCAATCAGATCTATTCCCCCACAAGATAATAGCATTTCTTAGTTTCTCCAATAAAATGGATCAGGAATAAATATCCAAGGATAATATGGTAATAAATCTATATTTGTTAGGGAATTTGATGTAAAATAGCTTTCTTTTGATTTAATTCCTAATTTATATAAAATGTATTTACTTGAATCAAATTAACAGTAATTTTTCGAATCTGCTAAATAATAATCTCGATTACATTCTTATACACACCCTGTTAACAGTTATACAAAATGATTTTACTCATCACAAAGGCACAATCCTCCTTGTAGAGTTCCTTAATAACAAGTCAAGCAATCATATTCGGTATTTCCAGAACATGATAAACATGAGAAATGACATGGTTTCACATATATTAAAATATTTCTCAATCCAATTCTCATATCACTATCTTTATACATATAACAATATGATATATTAAAAATAGATTGATGATGAACTATTGAATCTAACGCAATAGTTTTTATTTCAACTCTTTTATCATCTAAACTACTACAACCACCTCCTCCTCCACATGAATAGGAGCAGACTTTTTCATATTATTATAAATCATTCTATTAATATTGTCTTTGAAATATTGAAGAAGAACTAGTACTATCTACAAGGAAAATATTAAATTAGGAATTTGCTCCTGGAAGAGATCTAAAATATATTACGTCAGTCAATATTCTGATAGAGTAGTGAGGGTAGTAAAATATTTTTTCAATTTTTGTTCTATCGTCTTTTAATCTCAAAAATTCGAGAGGATTAGTACCACATTGTTTTTTTGATGATCCTTCTATTTAATTGACTGAGCAATTTTATTTAAAATCCCAATCATTTATCGAATTAAGGCTTTCAGAGTAGTAATTGCTATAAATCAATCTCCATTCACATTAGTATAATTAGAAGAAGATAAATATTGTTAAAAGCATTTCTAAAAATAATATTTAATCAAGTTAGATGAGATCACATACTTTTATAAAAAAATTTTAAATTTATTTCAAACTTTTGTCAAAAATTAATAGTAAATTGTCTTTCATTATGAAGATTTCTATGTTGTTTATTTTAATTTTCTTAAAATATTATTATTATTATGAATATCCAAAAGGAAATTTTTAGCTTAGAATTATTTTATAAATTCATAACTTATTTCATGAAAAGAAGAACTTATACAAAAGTTTTAAATTTAACGATTGCACTTACTGATGATATTCCAAACAATGCATGTTGAAAAATCCTTGCTTCATTATTTAATTATATGATAGAAAATATGATGAATTATTCATTTATAATATACAATAATAAACATTTGCTATTGAAATATGATTTCAGTATTCAATTAATTTTTAATTTTTTTGAAGAAATACCAGAAAATAGAATAGAATGTAGAAACTTTAGGCATTTATAATATTAAAGGAAATTTAGAATTTAAAAATAAATAATAAATAATTAACTAATTAACAAAATATTAACTTTTGATTGTAAATTATGATCTTTATTAAAATTTTTTGATATGATTTATATATTCACATTTCTAGTAGATTTATTTAAAAGTTCTCTTAATCAAAGTTATATTCATCATAAATATGTTAAGAAGTTCGTTTTTTTAGTTTTTGAAGTGGTCTAATAATATAAGCAGTTGAACAATCTAAAATAAATAAAAAAATACATTGTAAGAAACGCTTAAGTCTTTTAAAATATAATTTCTTCCATTATGATTCAATATCTCCATGACCTCCATTTTCTACAAGCCAAACAGAGAATAAATGGTTTGCATTTTAAGCTAATTACTCAGCATGAACAACATTGATCATAGAGTCAGCTCCTCCATGAAGTAAGTAAATTGGAGCAGTGACATCAACTATGTAATCTATATTAGGAAATATATCATAATATGATGTTTGTTAAATTTTAGGATCAATAACTCTTAGACCACTTGATAAACCAGAATGAATAATTAATCCTCCTACATTATGTCTAGAAGCTAGGTTAGTACTTGGTCCAGATCCAATACTATAACCATATACGATTATATTTCTTGGTTCAAACTACAATTAATCAACTAAAAAGATATAAGCTGATTCTATATCATAAAGCAAGTTTATATCAGTAGGATATCCTGTACTTTATCCATATCCTGAATAATCATAAGAGAATAAATTTATTTTACACTCCATGACTATATCAACATATGTATCAAACATCAGACCAATATCTGTAGAATTGCCATGACTATAGAGAATAATCTGTTGGCTTTTTTAATATTCAATATAAATAGATGCAATCAAATTGCCAGATTTTGATTCTAATACATAACTAGAAATAGGCAATCCAGGATTATTATCAATTTCCATTGCTTTCAATTCATTGCTTATAAAATTAAACTCTTGTGAGGGATATTAGCTTATGTATTATATTTTCATACTCTTAATTCTTTGGGTTTCTCATTTGTTATTTATATTCTGCACTCTATAAAGTATTATAGTATTTAATTCTTGGATAAAAAGTAAAAAGATGTTCCTTTGTTAATTAGTGTGATTGTCTTCTTGGCTATTTTGTTTATACTAATGGTGATTATCGTTCATCAAAAGTCTTAGATCTCTCTTCTTACATAGGTGAAAGGGTGAGAGCTTTAATTACTTCATTTCTGTTTCGTATTAAATAACCTACTTCTGGAGGGTTGAATGCAACATACTAAACTATAATTTATCTTAGACATCTGATAATTGACAATAGCTTGAATAATCCAGTCAATATTCTTCGAAATAACAAATACATGTTTATCGAAATTATAAATTTTATATATCAAATTACAGCCTATTTCTTCATCTCAATTGATTATCTGAAGTATTTCAAACCTATTAGATATGCACATATAATTTTTATTTGAATTTATCCATCAAATCTAATAGTCAATTCAAATAAAACTTATAAAATTGCATTAATGAATAGATATTGAATTATTATATAATAATATGAATATTATCTTTCAAAATCAATTATTACTGCATTAATACTCCTAATAATAACTTTTGATAGTTTATTATAATCTTAATTGAATAAAGCAGGAGAATTATTAATTATTTTTATATAATTAAATAATTTTTGAGTAATGTTTGGATTGATTAAGAAGTGATAAAAATGCTTAAAGTATTTAATCAAACTCTTAGAATAAAATTGGATTGAATTATAATTTATTATTAAATAAAAGATAACTATATCTGAAAAGAACATTTTAAATATATATATATATAATTTGTATATTTATCATGAATTTTTGCTATGATAATGATTTACAGTTTACCTTGAACTCTTGGATGTTTATGAAGAATTAGATTTTCTACTTTCACTTGACGATTTCCTGGAAGGTCTTCTATTTTATTTAGTTTTTCTAAAATTTCTGCTTCTTCTTCTAGACTTAGATGATGAAGAAGAAGATTTAGATGAAGAGGTAGATCTTCTTCTTTTTCTATCTCTTCTTTATCTTAATTCTTTCGTAACATATATTACCTTCTGGCATCACTAGGAGTTCTTGACATAGGACATTCTTTTTTAATATGGCCTTTCTTGTAACACCTGTAACATGTTTCTCGCAAATCGCCTTTATTTAATATAATATTTAACCTTCTTTGCATTCATTTGCCCAATGGCCTTTGCGTCCACAATTGAAACACACATCTCTGGCTGTTGGTCCTCTTACACCTGAAGGTCGATCATCTTATCATCACACGATCAAATGTCATCCTACCTCTTTGTTTAACAGTGACACGATCACCACCAACCCTTCGACCATCCATTTATGATATTGCCTACTTAGCCTCATCTGAAGCTTCAAATTCAATGAAGGCATGTGTGCTTCGTAGATCAATATCCTTTATCTTTCCATATTTCTCAAACTCCTGCTATAAATCTTCCCGCCTTATTTTTGATCCCAATCTCCCTACATAAATTTATCGGCTCATTTCTACTTTTGTCAAATATAAATTTTAAATAAATATATTTTAAATAAATTTCTGCTTTCATTCAAAATTTATTAAATCCACTTGGACGACTTTTAAATTTCTATATCTCTATTTATTGTCTTTACACTCCTTATCCTATCCCTCTATCTTAACTTCTACTTGATGGTAATGAAGCATTCTCTCTAATTCCTATTCTATTTTATTTTATTTTATTTAAACAGATACCTTATTTATGAACTACTTTATTGTTTCTTAGCAGATTATGATGACAATTTTAGAGCAAGCCTTTTCTTATTTTTTTAATTGCTATCTATACTCTTTGATGAATCAAATTATTTTATTCCTTTTAAATTATTCAAGTATTCTTATTAAATTTAATCTTCCTTCTCTTACATTCTTTTTTCTTGAACCTCATCTACTTATATTTGATTCTACTCTATTTTTATTATCATTTCATCAACTAATTTTTATATCGTCTTTCCCTTTAAACTTTTCAATTATTTACAATAATCTTAATCAATCAAATAATGCTTGATTTTAGGTAATATTTTAATCAAATAAATTACTACATCTATTATTTTATCCTCAAATAATTAAATAAATAAATTAAACTTAAATCATTATTATTATATTTACATTTAAATAATTAAAATACTTCTTACTTATATATTTTGGTAAATCTTTTACAAAACATAAATATTTTATTTTTTTATTTGAATTTCCTTTGAAAAATTATTAATTCATAGTATCTTTGATATTTTACTGTATATCATAATCCTAACAAACACCAAAAAAATGTGCTAAAATTTCCATGGCTATTTCTTCATTAGAAACACAGGTTTATTTTTTTAATAAATTTGGTAAATAGTATTTCATAAATTATTTTGGTTTAACAAATCTCATAAAATTTTTAATAGATAACAAAAACTTTTAATTAATATAATAATTCTGATCACATTTTTGGAAAAGTTTTGCAATGTCTTAAAAAACAACCTTAAATTATTTTTGCTTATATAAATTAAATTTCTTACAATTTTATCTAAAGTTAAATGGTATTATTCCTCATTTATTAAGGTCTCAATTATTTTACCTAATTGAATTTATAAAATCAATTTTTAATTCCCAGTATTTAAAATGCTTGTGATTATAAATTAAAATTAGGCTGAAATAAAGCTATACTGATATATAAAATTTGTTTACATCAAAAGATTTAATCAATTCATGTAAGATAGAACAAGCAAAAATTCTATTCACTTCTTCATCTTCATCAACTATTACAAAATAAGGTTAGATTAATAAATAATTTAATTGAAGATCTTTAATTAAAATTAAAAAACCTGGTAAATTGTATAAATAAAAGTATCTAATGGTTTGACTCTAATGTTATCCAAATTAAACAAATAAATTGACAAGATTTTATTTGAATTCAAAATTAACTTTGTCTTTTATTGCAAGAAAAGCAACACCACAATATGTCAGAGATGTAGAAAGAACATCTTCATTCTAAGTGGATAAGCAATCAATAAAGATCTAAGTAGCATTAAACTCCTATAAAATTAAAATATTTACAACACAATCAATTGCATTCAGCTTTTAATAATGCAGAAATAAAGTTTTAATCATTTCTTTTTTTACTTATGAACAATTATCATAAATAAGGGGCAAAAATTTATCTTATAAATATTAATGTATAAGAGAAGGACTTAGTTTATCTATTAAACAGTTAAGTACATCTCCAGCTACTAATGCTCTAACATCATTATCATTATCATTGCATAATTATCTAACTCTATCTAATAGAGGCCCTTAAATCTTATCCCCTAATAGATTTGCTACCTAAATGATCATCATTGCTCCTATTAATCTTCCAACTTCAGGTTGACGAGGCATAGACATTTCAATGATTATTTTCTCAATATGATCCTAATAATCCTTATAATTGAATTAATGAATAAGATTCCCAAATGTTGGAATCCAGGCATCTGCATACTTCATATTGTATAATTATATAAAATGAAGGACTAAAGGCATTAGTTCTTTGCAATGATTATTGATGTTCTTAAGCGAAATTCCAGCTGCTATAATAATCTCTTCACTTTATTCCATTAAATCACCTTAAACAAAATTATATAATATATCAAAACCCCCTTTCAATAGTCTACTTAAGTTAGTGTAAATCTAATTTTTTTGAATTTAATACAGCTAATTTCTATCTTTGTTGTCCTTTTGTCAAAATTATTTAAGCTCTTTTAATCTCTGATAAATTTTCTTCAAGGATTAGTTTCTTAATCTCATCCCCTTTCTTAAATAATACTATTTTTGTACATCTAATGAGACTCTAATTTCACTCACTAAAAAATCATAGGATTCTAAGGCCATCTGCTTAATAAATAATAAATATAATTATTCTGTTCTAATAATAAAGCAATTCAGATTGAAAATATAAATTGCTAAAAACTATTTAAATTATTTTTTTTGTGCTTTTTAAGAATAAAAATTGAATATGATTATAAAAAAAAGGAATATACTTTTATTAGTTACTTTTGAATCATGTTTTATTCCAATAAATAAATTGGCTAAAATTTAAGGTATTGTAAATTAATCCAGATAGTTTTGTAATAATATATTAGAGTATTTTGTTAATTCAAAGACAAAAATTTTAAATTAAATAAATATTCTTTAATCGAAATTTAAGAAATATAATTTATACAATATAATTTTTATTTTACTCCTTTTCCAGAAATCAAAAAAGTTTTAAATTTAATTCAATTTTTAAATTATTATGTTCATTTTATAATAACCTAAATAATTCTTGCAGGAATTAATTTCTAAGAATCTTTACTAAAGTTAAAGAATTTCAATAATTTTACAAGAAAGTACAAATAAAAGGTATTTGATGACGATTTAATATGGGTTTAAGGGAATTTTTATTATTTCAAATATTTGCTAAAGAATAAATAATATCATAGTAAATTTAAAGATAGTATTCACCAGAATTTAGAATCTGTTTAATTCTTTTTGTTCTATAAATAAAAAATAATATACGAAATGTAGATTAAATTGGAAAAAAAATGGACTGTCATGGATAAGATACTAATCTAAAATTTAATTGGGAAAAATATCAACGAAAAGAAACAAATAATTGAAAAGAAATAGTATTAAAGAATATAAAAAGAAATTTAAGAAACTTATTCATAATCAAAATTGATCAAAACAAGCTTAGAGGCTGCTATAAAAAAAATTGATAAAATAAAAGCTTTAGCTTTGATTTCATAGATAATGTTAAAAAAAGAATTAAAGTTTAGGAGCAAGCTGTTGTAAAATCCTCAAACTGCAAAGCCACAAAAAACTAATGCAAAAATGTGTTATGTATAATAAATTTAAATCATTTATGAGGCATTCCAACATATACAATAAACGAAGCATTTTGGTAAAAAGGTGCCGACACTTTTTAATACTAAAAATGCTAACAAAAAATTTTTTATAGTTTTATCCAGATTAATGTTGGAAACAGCATATAGCTTTATATAAGATTCTAATTAATAAAGAATATAAACTCAAAAAAAAAATAATTAGCCACTCTAAAATTAATATACAAAATCTAAATCAATATTTAAGGTGGAAATTTACTTGATAAAGGGGAGGGATAGGCTACACATTTTGTATTAGGTGGGTCTTAAAATAATTCTTCGCATCATATATTATATAATGATGCTAAATCAACGAAAACAATTTTTCTAATCATTATGTTATAAATTTTTTTTTATTATTAATAATTTTAATAGCAAAAATATTTTGTTTAAATTTGAAAAAGATTGTTAGAAAAAATGAAATTGATTCTAACAAAAAAGCTAATTAAAATTATAATTAATTATTTTAATCAACATTTTTTAAAGAGATGATAGTTAAATTTTTATATTGAATTTTAAAATGGCATTCTATAAAATAACACTAAAATATGGAATGAAAGCCTTTAAATCGAAAAAATGATGTGATTTACTTTATTAAATGAAAAATATACTTATAATAGCTTTATTAGTAGCAATAGCTTTTGCTAGTCTCAGAGGATCTGATAGAAAAGGACAAAATCATCATGATTTAAAAAAGGAAAGAAAAGGAGAAAGAGATACAGATAGAAGTGATTCACTATCTGGATCAAATGAAAATGAATATTCTCTTTATGATAGTGAGGATAGATCTACTTTTTATAGTAGTGAAGATGTTAGTAGCTTAGATTCCAGTGAAGAAGATTCCACTCTCTATAATAGTGAAGAAAAATATACACTTTATGATAGTGATGACGACAATACGTATGAAAGTACTCTAAATGATAGTGAATCAAGTGAAAGTAGTTCAGAAAGTGAATCTTAGTCTTCAAAATTTAATCATAAAAGAAATGATCAAAATAAAAAATAAAATAGAGATGGAAAAAGAGGACATAGAGGAGGTAGATTCAATAACAAAGATAACTAAACTAGAGATAGAAAACATCCTCATCCTCCAAGACCTCAAGATGAATTCTCAAAAAAGGTTTTCTAAAATTTAAAAAAAACTGGAAAAGTTATTTTAGAAGAATGGAACATCACTTAGGATCCATCTCTTAAAAACGAAATTAGAGCTATCTTGATTACAAATTTAGAAAATTTATTGCCTGTGGCTGAAGTTCTAAATACTTAAGAATCTGGATCAATTCAATAAATTGATACAGTCTAACCAGATAATCACCCACATCCACATCCACATCCACCTCCACCTCCATAACCAGAAGATGAGTTTGCTAAAAAGGTTTTCGATACTCTACATTAAATTGGATTTGAAATTCTTGAGTCATGGAATTTAGAATAAAATGTGGAAGTTAAAAATTAAATTAGAGCTAATTTGATTCAATAACTTAGTGATCTTATTCCAATATAATAAGTGGAAGCACAAACTACTATCATAGATGTTCCTATTATAATTGACACTGTTCAAGAAAGAACTGCTCCAAGATTAGCTGAGGAAAGTGGAAATTGATTTTATAATTATCATAAACAAATTTATTTCTATTTCTATTTCTAAATAAATTTAATACAAAAATATTCAAATTTTACTATAATAAAAATATTTCATTTATTAACTTACAAAATCATCAAAACTTTATATTAAATTAAATAAGTGAGAATTAATATCTTTATTCCAAAATTATAAGTTAAATTCTCAATATTATATGATAACAAATTTCTTAATAAATAATTATTATTAAAATCTATATTTTAGAACTTTTTGATTCCTAAATTAATTAAAGGATATAAATTATTTATATATCATAAATTCATAACTAATATATATTATTTTCCCACTTAAAAGTATTGTATTCGTTTATGTTTTCACCTAATTTAATAGCCAAATCAGTTGATAATATACCAAACTCAAGATCATTAAGACTAACTTTATAATAAAGTAAATTATCCTTTATAAACAATAAATTTGCTTCAAATGCTTCTGAATAACCATTTTAAGCTATCTATTATAATTATTCTTAATACTATTTTCCATGAATTCTCAATAAATTAGATATCATTATATATTATAGGTGTAGATTATGTCTTAACAAAATTAAATTCTCCCCAACATTTCGATACAAATCTATAGTCATTATGTCTTCCAGTTTTATTTTTCGTCAAATTTTTGTAAAAAAATTGCTTCAATTATCTTGTAAAAATACAAAAAATCTAACATCCTTTATGCATGATGTAAAATTTTTAGGCTCTGTTTCTTCTAAGTAAAGAAAACCTTTATGATCAATGTACATGAAATAATCTCTATTAAAAACACTCATCCCATATTTGAGTTTATTCATATTTCTTAATTCTTTTATTGAAAATTTTATGTTAAATTTATTATAAATCAAAAGAGCTTAACTCTTCATTTTTCTTGCTATTTTTATTCTTTTTTCAAGTTATTCTAATATTCGTCAATGACTTTTTACATATATTTAAGCCATTTAATTAATCAATATTTTTTTCCATACTATAATCTTAAATTAGTTATGCCTTATAACAATCTTAAATTAAAAATATTTTGTATCTATACCCTGTTTATTATTTTAATTCTAATTTCTTAGTCTATAGTTTAACTTTAGATTTTTCTACTCTCCAAAATTTTTCGTAATTGCTTATATTTTCTCTTTTTATTTTGTAGGAAAAATTTTATAAAATAATTACGATTAATTTTATCTTATTCTTAAATCTAGAGTTTAAAAAAACTAACTTTTTCTTGTATGTGTTAACATTTAGACAATTTTTTAATATTCATTTTTAGTTTATGAAGACACTAATTTTTTTTAAAGGTTTTTCGTTTAAAGATTTTTAATTTTCTGTTTTTCAAAAGGAGAAAATTTCGACCTTCAAATAATTCTTCTTTTAATTTTTTCTTAAATTATTTTCTCATCTTTCATCTTATTTAGTTAATAATTCTTTAGTCATTCAATTTTATCAATCTTAATTTTAATAGAGATTTATTCTAATTTTGTCATTTCTCTATTCCAGAAAGAAAAAGAAAAGATGAAGAGAATTTTAAACATTTATGAGGTATTCATCTGTATATTGACCTGGAGTATTTTTAGTCTAAAAATCAATTTTTATGTCCTACCTTATTATTTTTATTTTTTCAGATAATTTTTCTGTATCATTATTAACTGATGAAGTTTAAATAACAGAAACACCAACAAAATCTTTAAACATTCTTCAATTAATTAAAATACATCCATCATGACCATCTTCAATTTTCGTAACTCATCAATCTTTATTATTTAAATATAAAGAATCACAACTTAATTATTATCACAAGATATTCCAATAGATATATAAGCCAATTTAATTGAAACATCTATTTTTTTATTATCTATTATTATACTAATGTTATATTTTCAATATCAAGTTCTTAAACATAGTTATTCATCTTTCTCATAATGATTTTCATCCATTTAACGATCATAATCTTATTCCTTCATTTTTCATTTGAGTTAATAATACAATCATTAATTTTAATATATATTGTCAAAATTAATATAAAACCAAGGTTTATAGTTATCAACCTATTGATTCTATTATTCTTATTGAATTTGATAAATTGCTAAATCATTTCTGTCCTAATTTTTGATGAAAAAATTAATTAAATTTTTTCAACTTTTCTTTTAATTCTTCATTGTATCCAAGACTCATTCGATGCTAGTTCATGCTAGTTCATTATTATTATTCAATCATATGATTCTTATTATAAACTTTCACAATTATTAGATAATTTAAATTAAGATTGTAAGTTTTTTAAATACTTTCTGAAAAATTAGACCATATATAATCTTCTCTTTAATTATCTGTTAACAAATTTGCTTAGGCTTAATAAATTATTATTTGAACATTCTAAATTCTTTATAATTTAAAACTTATTATAAAAATATCAGATTTTGAACAAGAAGAATCAGAAATTGTTTTTTTTTTGATCTTCAATTCTATTTTTTTTATTTGAAATTCTGATTAGAGAAAAAATGGATTTTCTGCTAATCTCTCTTAAAAAATCCCTTCAAAATTTTGTTTACAATAAATTGTAATAGATTTCCATAAATTAAAGTTCATTTTATGATATAATAGTGATATAATAAAATAATTAAAGATTACAAAATTGTTTATGATTTAGTTAGATAAGATTCAAATACTAAAATTATACAATTAAATCAAAATAACTACTATTCTGAGAAAGAACTCTAATATTTGGAGATTTACAATGATTGGTTTAGATTGAAAAAGAAATATTTAATACAAAAAAGTTATTATGATGTTAATTTAATTAATTATTATCAAATGATATAACTAGTTTTTATTTTATTTGTTACTTCATCAAGACAAGGCTTTTTAATTTATTATTTTAAAATCCTATTTTGGAAATTTTAGACTAAAGCTGATTTATTATTATTATGAATGCTAGGATTTTGATTGCAATAATTTAAACTACTAAATTAAGAAAAGTTTTCATCATTTCTTTTGGGTATTTATTGACTTAATAATTAAAATGAAAATTTACCTAATTCTTTGTTTGCTATTGATATGATATGTTTCTTCGATTCTTTCAACAGAATTGCTATAAGTTTATTTGATTTCTTTCAATTCTTCTTTTTGTTAATTAATTTAAAAGGCCACAATTAATAAAGTAACATTATCACTACTTTTTTTATAAATAGCTTCTTTCAATACAGAATCGACTGATGTTGATAGAATTGAATGTAAATTGGATTTATTATTATTTTATATATCTTGCCAAATAATATTAATAACTTCTGCTGATGTCATTTTATCAAAAATACCATCACCTAGAATAATGTTAAATATCATTACATCCCATAACTATAAAATCATGATCCTAATTAATTTTAAATATTTTGACATCTGGTTCAGATATAACTACTTTTGAATTTCCACCAAATTATTCAAATTTAGCTTCTATATCACCAAAAGTTCTTGAGACTGATAATCTTCCTGGTATAACTCTAACTGGTCCAGTAACTTATGTTCCTTCTTCATTAATTCCTTATGTTTAATATATTTTTCCTCCTCCTTTTTAAATTCTTTCAACCTCAGTTTCTGGTTTATGATCAATTGATAAATTATTCACTCTTTTACCTTATTAAGAGCTAAGTACAGCTCTACTATCTCCAACATTAGCAACATAACAAACATCTCCTACAATTAAACAAACTATTGCACAAGAACCACTTCTTTCTGGAATACCTTTTGAGTATTAATCTAAAGCATAAGCTAAAAAATGATTTTCTGCTGCTTCAAATCCTTTTTTTATTGCTCCTACAGGATTCCATGGAAATTCAGGCTCTTTTATTACAAATTGGTGTAATGTATCTCTTAAAAAATCAGCACAAGCTGCTCCTCCATGTCCATCATAAACTCCAAAAAATGAACATTTTGGCCAATTTTCTGTTGCTCTATTTTATGGTTTCACAATATTTAATATTATAGAAACTCTATCTTCATTATAATCTCTAACTATTCCTTAATTAGTATTTGCAGCATATCCTCTAATTATTCCATTTCGACCTGATGAACATTTTGTTGGTTCATAGTTAGGTAAGACAGTTTATTTTTTTAATGACTGTTCTTCCAAACTTGAAAAATTCAACTCTAATGTTTTTCTAACAGGTTGCTTTATTAATGGAGATACATCATATTTTTAATAAGATTTATTTTAGCTCTCAAAAGGTCTCTTAGGGTTTACATCTCTTTATAGATATTTATTCAAAAAGGATGGGGCATCCCTTTATTTGTAATTCATTAGTTATATTAATAAATTTGAATTTATATTTACATAAAGATCAACGGATAAATTCTAAATGATATTAACTTTTAATCATATTAATTTATTATCACCTCACATTTTTTTTGAAGCATCTTTTAATTTATGAATAAATTTAAATTTTCTCCTTCAAAAATATATTTTATCAAAAATCACCTATTTATATATTCATACATTCCAAATTATTAGATTTCTTTTTTTTTTATCAAGTTATTAATGTTGTAATTTAATTCAATTTTNCCTGGTATAACTCTAACTGGTCCAGTAACTTATGTTCCTTCTTCATTAATTCCTTATGTTTAATATATTTTTCCTCCTCCTTTTTAAATTCTTTCAACCTCAGTTTCTGGTTTATGATCAATTGATAAATTATTCACTCTTTTACCTTATTAAGAGCTAAGTACAGCTCTACTATCTCCAACATTAGCAACATAACAAACATCTCCTACAATTAAACAAACTATTGCACAAGAACCACTTCTTTCTGGAATACCTTTTGAGTATTAATCTAAAGCATAAGCTAAAAAATGATTTTCTGCTGCTTCAAATCCTTTTTTTATTGCTCCTACAGGATTCCATGGAAATTCAGGCTCTTTTATTACAAATTGGTGTAATGTATCTCTTAAAAAATCAGCACAAGCTGCTCCTCCATGTCCATCATAAACTCCAAAAAATGAACATTTTGGCCAATTTTCTGTTGCTCTATTTTATGGTTTCACAATATTTAATATTATAGAAACTCTATCTTCATTATAATCTCTAACTATTCCTTAATTAGTATTTGCAGCATATCCTCTAATTATTCCATTTCGACCTGATGAACATTTTGTTGGTTCATAGTTAGGTAAGACAGTTTATTTTTTTAATGACTGTTCTTCCAAACTTGAAAAATTCAACTCTAATGTTTTTCTAACAGGTTGCTTTATTAATGGAGATACATCATATTTTTAATAAGATTTATTTTAGCTCTCAAAAGGTCTCTTAGGGTTTACATCTCTTTATAGATATTTATTCAAAAAGGATGGGGCATCCCTTTATTTGTAATTCATTAGTTATATTAATAAATTTGAATTTATATTTACATAAAGATCAACGGATAAATTCTAAATGATATTAACTTTTAATCATATTAATTTATTATCACCTCACATTTTTTTTGAAGCATCTTTTAATTTATGAATAAATTTAAATTTTCTCCTTCAAAAATATATTTTATCAAAAATCACCTATTTATATATTCATAATTCAATTTTCAATTACAAGATATATCTCATAAATTAGAAGAAACTAGAAATTAATAAGACCTCAGCTTTTTCAAAAAGTTCCTAATTTACTTATAGTAAAATTTTATGATAATAATATATCATAAATGCATATCGTCAGAGGCAATAATGGAGATAAATTTGGTATATATTTTTAAATTTAGATTTCATACATAAAGCTAATCAAAATATATACAAGAATCAAATTAAAAAAGGCGAAAGAGACATTAATGATCAACAAAACTAATATATTCAATCTAAATAAATAGGCCATCAATTAATAAGAAAATAAGCCTAAATATAAATGATTATAGGTAAAGTGTTGCATATAAAAAGTTTATTTATTTCCTAATCAAGTGGCCATAAATTTATAATTATGTTTTATTATATTATCTAATAATCTAAGCTTTTAATTGATTATTTCTAATACCACAAATATACTTAATTTCAATAATTTTTCTAGCAGTAATTTAGAATGGATATGGTTAGAGGCTTGAATGGAAATGATTGGGGTATTTTATAATTAAATTAAAAGATAATGAAAATGAGAAGAATAAATAATAACAGAATAGGGAAGATAAAAAAGAGCAATAAGAAAAAATGAAAAAAAATGTTGAGTAAGCAATTTAGGAGGAAAAAAATAACGATTAATTCAATAAAATAAAGTGAATTTATATATGAAATCTTTAAAAAAATTGTATAGAAACTTTTGATAATTATATTTTTAGAATAAAATCTATTTACTTTATTTAAACACATTAAATAATTAATCATAATGGTTTTACTTTAACAACACAGCCAGTTCCTATGATTTATCTTGTTAAATATTTTATTATACTAATCAATGCTTAAAATCAAGAAATATCCTAATTCAAAGAACACGTTAGATTTTTCTAAACAAAATGGTTCAGGAAACTTTAATATTAATTAAGAATCTACCTTAATTTTTACTCCACCTGATTATTTGGATTTTAGGAATTCCTAAATTTATTTTTTACCATCTATATTGATATATTCAACATTTGTGACTTCAAAAGGAGTTTGAATTCCACAAAAATTTAATAATCCTTTGAATCCACTTGTAATAATTGATTATTATTTTAAATTCTCTAGATGAAAATCTGCAAGTATTTCCTTACTAAGATGACAAGGTGGAAGATGAGGAAGAGATAAAATATCACCGATTTTAAGCACTGTATCGTTATTAACTAAAATCTAAAAAGGGTTAGCAAGTTAGTTTTACTTGTATCATGTCATTTTAAGTAATATTAAATTAAAGATTATCAATCAAATCCAAAATTCCAACAATTTAAATTGGTTTTTTCTAAATTATTGAGTTTAAATGAAATGGAATATTGATTTAATTTATTTGTCCACTTAAAACTTTGCATTCATAAGCATAATTTTATCTTTTAGATAGATTTAAAACTCTAATTCTCAAAATTTCTGTAAAGTTTTTTATTTAAATAGAGGAAATTTCATCTATTAAGGAATCTCCTTCATACCATTCACATTATTTATGAAAAATATTTATTGATTATTTAGAGTCAATTGGAATAATAACAAATTGGAAATTGAGATTTAAAGATTGAAAATGATTTTAGATTTACTCAAATCTCTATTTACTCCAATTGCAACTACACATATTAGTTATAGCAAAAATAATTTTTTAATTTTATTGAAGTAGCCTAACTCCTTCTAGATTCCAATAGAAACCATCAAATATCTAATTTTCAAAAATTCCTTCTTAAGCATTGAATAAAAACATTAAAACTTCAAAATTCGGAGATCTATATAATAGATCATTGAAGTTGTTTGATTCTTCAAAATAAATGTTATATTTATCAAAAATGTATAAACAGCGAGTAGTTGGAGTTAAGCTTTCAAATTGATCTAGAGCTTCTTCTTCATCTTCTTCTGAATCTAAATTATCTTAAAATTATTAATTTTGATAATTTTATTTTTGATTTTCTTTTTTTAAGACGTCCAATAATGTAGTTTTGTCAGAGGGACATTAACCAAAAATCAATACATTAATCTTATTGGTAAATAATTATTATGGTTATTAAATCATTAATAAAATTAATAAGTAAATTTTGATTAATTGGGAAAGGAAAGGTTATAATAAAAATACAAATTGTCTATATTTGAATAAATATATATTTCTATTTGATTTTCACACTTTGTGAAGGATATTTTAAAATTTGAATTACTGTTACCCCACAGGAATATGTGTAGGAGATTAACTTCTTTACAAAAGCTCAATAGGCTGAGTGGAATAATTTAAGGGTATTTAAGACTATAAAACCAACTGTTGTTACCTCAGTGGAGATGTAACCTAGTATAGGATTGAATAATAATTTACTTGTTATGTTTATTATATTTGTATAGTTTATTAGGGTTATATTTATAAAATAGGCTATTACATTTAAATAGTTTATGATTACAAAACAGGCTAGGTTTAAACTACCATAGTCTATTATTATTAAGTTGGTTACAAGACTACTTAAGGCTAGGAAGTGATTTAATTTTATAGAGTCATTTAAGGAATCATTAATTATTATTGCATAGCCACTTAAGGAATCATCTCTTATTATACTGCCTACAATTAAATTACAGGTTAAGCAACAGAGGTAACTGTTTAAGGTTATTAAGTCACCAATTAAATTGTTTAAGCACTTGCATAATGATTTTATTAGGCTGTTATTTAAACAGCTTAACCAATTGCATGAGGTTATTAAACTTGAATAAGTTATTATGAATATGTTTCAGCTTTATGAATAGGTTATACCATCACTACTTATTGTAATGGTTGCATTTCTTAGACTTGAACAATTTGTTATTAAATAGTTGGTTAAGCTTGAACTTAAATATAAGTTTATTATTAAACAGTTTGAGGTTATACAGCCACTAACTATTATTAAATAGGTTAGAAAGATTCCCTCTATCTTAAAGGTCTTGGAGTTCCATATTATACTCCTTATAAAATAGTTGGTACAACTTCTTCTTAAATGATAACTGGTTGTATTGGCTGTCTCACACTCAAACATGTAGTTAATATTGGTTATTTTGCAACCTAAAATTTTATTTATCAATTACATGAACTGGTTCACAAGTTACAAGTTATGGCATTATAATATTTCTTACTGAACTAACTGGATAAACCACTTAAGATGGACTTCTAGGTATTAATCTAATATAATCTTCACTTCTTGGTTTAAAATAACTATTAGGAGATAAGGTAGTTGGTTTATTTTTGCTTTTACTTAAATCTTCTGGGTCACATTATTGCTTTTCTAATTCAGGTTTTTTCTTTTTATTGAATTCTTCTGGTTCACAAGGTTATTCTTCTGGTCCATTTGGTTTTTTCTTTTTAGTAAATTCTTCTGCATCTTATGGAACACTATTTAAATCTTCTGGTTTTTTTTTCTTTGGCTTTTCTATACATTCTGCTTCACAAACAGCAAAATTTAATCCTTCTTTTGGTTTCTCTTATTCTACATCATCACATTTATTTTTATTAAGATCTTCATCATCACATTTTTGTTTATTTAAATCTTCATCATCACATTTTTATGGTTTAGCATCTTTGCCTCTAAAACCATAACCATACATTAAAAAAGATCGTTATTTCACAGTTATTTTTGCAGATAATTAATATTGAGCCTTTAATTCTGCCATAGCTTTCATTTATAACTCCCAACTTGCCATAGCTCCTCCTGCAGCTGCTGCCTCTTCTTATTTTCTTAGAGCAGCAGCCATAGCAGCTTCACATGCCATCTAAACTTTTCCTGATGAACTATTAAATTATTTTTCCTAATAACTAATAAATTTTATAATAACCTTTAAAGAAGCATTAGAAAAATTATATTTATTAAGAGACAAGCCTCCTTCAAGACTAGCATGATTAGCTTAAAGATTGTATCCCCCATATATATACTACTTTAATATTGATTAATATATAATTAATACTGCTGATGCACTTCCATAAGCTTCCCCTTCCATACTACCTTAACCATTCATCATTTCATATCCACCAGCCTCCATCTATATATATTTATTTATCTATACTTCTCCTTAATCTCCGGACTATGATATTCTATGTGATGTTGTTATCGTTTTTGTAACTATTGTTTGTGTTTAATAGCTTGCCTAATGAGAGCTCTATCTTTAAAATCAACAAATACAGAAGAAGTTTATGCATTTTAAAATGATTGACCTTGGCTTTACATTACTCCTTCATAACTACCATTTTCTTCCGTCTCTCCATTCTATCTCATTGATGAACTCTGATTATTAACATTATTATAACACTAATTACATTCCCATTCAATCTTCCAAATTAGCTATTTTATGCCTAAGAAGACTCAAATTTCTATGTTTCCAGTTCTATATTTCCATCTTCCTAAAACTTAAAATTTAGACCAATTTTACATTTTTCTAATTCTCTCCTCCAACACTTGAATATTACTATACAAAACTACTCCCTCCACTATTCTTTATTTATCTTTCCATTTACTCAAATTCCTCCTAAAAATTATAATCCTTCAATTTTACTTTGAATCTGCCTCCATTACCTTAGGATTGCAAATTTTATGAAGAACTTTCAATCTAAGAAGATGTTTTTTAGCTTATACTTGTGATTTTACTCATTAGATTTGATAAATAGTTTTAATATTTTATTTTTGTTGCGAATATTAATCACCTATAAATACTTAAGAAAATTTATAAAAGATTATTATGTATTTATTTTTATTACAGCAAATTATATATTTTCTATAAACTAATTATTAAATTTATTGATCTATTATATTGATAAAGAAGGAATTCTCTTCAATAAATTAGATTAATTTTTATAAATACTTAAAAAATTAATCACATTTTTATTGACATTAGAAAACTCAAAATTATACACAATCAAAATTTTAAATAATTCAAACTAGTAATATTAAAATTACTATCTTTATTTGCTATATACTAAAAAAATCTAAATGAGTAATTTTTAATCAACATTTGAAGTTATAATATTTTATTATTGATCCCTTAGAATTTGATTTTATTTCCATTGAATTCAAATCTCTATTAAAATATTCATTGATAATGATATATTCTCTCTATTTTAATATCTTTGTTTATAATTTAAGCAAAAATATATATTTATAGTTTATGGGAAACTAATGTAAATAATGCACTTAAGATTTATAATCTAAAACTTTGAATACCTAACAAAATCTTTAGTCTAATTATAAATTATATAGTTTTGGACTAGAAAATTCATTCCATTTTGAATACAATTAGATAAATGGTGTCCCTTAATTTGGATAATAAACTCGAAAATTAAAAGTGTTTTTAGATCCTCCAAAAGTGGTTAGAAAGTTATCTGAAGAATCATTCATTTCTCCATAAGAACTTGAGGATTCAAAGGAAATATTTTAGACTTGTGAAAACTAAATTAAATAACCATTAAAAAGGGTTCAAAGTGAAGAATAAATTGAATTGGGACCATCACCAATAAGAAAAAGAAATGTCAGTGAGACCAATAATACACGAAAATCTAAAAAAAAGAAATCTCTCTCTAATATTGCTTAAAATTAGAGATTATTATAATGGGACAGTAGAATAATAAATTAGTAACTAAAATAAGCAAAATAAACATTCAAATATAGTCAAACATAATAAAGTCAATAATTTTAAAATTTGGAATCTTAAAATGGAGAAAAGAACAGTAAAAAAAAAAATTTATCTAATTTAAGCAAAAAAGATTAAGTTAGAAATAAAAGTTAAACAAGTAGTAATATCTAATATCAATCACCAAATATCTATCAATAATATAAATGATTAAAGAAAATCATTTCAGTCTCACAAATAATAATCTTAGTTTATTTTTTGAGATAAATATGATATTTTATAATGAATTTTATTATTATATAAATACTTTTAATAAAAATATATAAAATCATTTGTTGAGATTAAATTATATACTAAATTCAATCCTAAAATTCATTGAATTTTTAAATGATTTAAGGACATTTGGTTTCAAATTTAATTTTAAAAAAATAAAGAGATTTTTATTACAGTATTTTTTTGATATCAAATTAGTTTAATAATTGAAATAGAGGAAAAGTAAAAAAATCCCAAAATTTTTGATTCGACTATTTACACATTGAATGATGATTGAATTATAAAATTGAATTATTTTAAATAGGTAATACATATAGGAAATTAAAAAAAATATAATTATATAAATTCCTTATTGGAGTGAATCAAATAATTATATTAAATTTATAGTAATAAAATGTAACAAAAAGAAAAATAAGAATCAAGTGATGAAGAAATAGAAGTCTAGCCAGAATAGCAATAATAATTGGTAGTAAAACAAAATACTTAATATAATTAATAATTAATCGATAAATTAAACAAACCACATCAATTTTGGTAAACTCAACCTATGCCAAATATAAATGAGATGGATAAATTAAAGCCTGGTCCTATTTAATTAGGAGTCTTAGCAGAAGTCAGAAAGGATCCATTTAATTTAATTGACAAATTTGAATGGTTTAATGTTGATTTGAGAAATGAAGAATAAGCACAATAAGTAAATATAAAAACTAATTAGGTTTATACATTATTGAAAGAAAACTATGTAGAAGATGATGATAATATGTTTAGATTTGATTATTCAATAGACTTTTTGAGATGGGCATTATTACCCCCTGGATAATATTCTGATTGGTTAATTGGTGTAAGAGTCAATTAGAAATTAGTTGGATTTATCACAGGTATTCCAGTAACACTTAATATTGAAAATGAACAAACTAAAGTGAAAATGACAGAAATTAATTTTTTATGTGTCCATAAAAAAATTAGGGCAAATAGATTAGCACCTGTGTTAATAAAAGAAATTACTAGAAGAGTACACATTAAGAATATGTGGTAAGCTGTTTATACAGCAGGAATTGTTGTTCCTACACCTATTTCTTAAACTAGGTATTATCATAGAAGTTTGAATGCAAAAAAGTTGATTGAAGTTGGATTCTCATCATTATCAGCTAGATAAACTATATCAAGATAACAAAAATTATATAAATTACCAGAGGAACCTAAGACTCCAGGACTTAGACCTATGAAAAAGAAAGATGTTGCTTAAGTTACTAAATTATTAAATGAGTATTTAAAGTAAAATTAAATCTTTATATTTAGAAATTTCAAATTATATTTTAAATACTCTGAAGAAGAAGTGAAACACTGGTTTTTACCAAGAAAAGATGTTATAAGTACCTATGTTGTTGAAAAAGAATAGGGAGTTGTTACAGACTTTTTGTCATTTTACAATTTACCAAGTTAAGTGATCAAAAATCCTAAATATACTCATTTAAGAGTAATTTATATATTAATTATTAAGGCTGCTTATTCTTATTATAATGTTGCCACTTCAACTCCTATTGTACAACTAATGTATGATGCATTAATATTAGCAAAAAATGAAGGTTATGATGTCTTTAATGCATTAGATATTATGGATAATGATAAATTTTTGAAGGTATAGAATGTATCAAATAAAAAAGGAATTAATGTTTTGTCCAGGAGATGGATAATTAAATTATTATCTTTACAATTGGAAATTAGAAAGTAATATGTTAAAACCAGAAGAGATAGGAATTGTTCTTGTATGAGTTATAAATAAATATAAATATATAAATTAATGATTAAAAATAGTATAATAAATGAATGTATATTCTTAATATTGACGTCAATAATATTTATGTATAATTGAATTGATTGATTTAGATTACATTAATATATTTATTGAATATAATATGTCACATTATAACTGTATTTTTGTTATAGATGTTATTTGTAATACCTCTATGTGGTAAAATAAAACTTTGATTAATGAATACTTCATCTTTTACTTAGACATCTTCACCTAAGACAGAAACTCCTTCAATTCTAACCCATTTACCAACAGTAGATGACCATCCAATAATAGATTCATTTATCCAAGTATTTGCATTAATGATAGCTCCTTTTAAGAGAACACAATTCTTCAATCTGACTCCTTCCTTAACTTAACAATCTGGTCCAATAATAACATTTGGTCCAATAACAGCATTTGGATCAATCTAAGCAGAAGTGTCAATTAAAACATTTCCAACTATATTATTACCTTTAGCTAAAGTATCAGGTGTATGTGTTCTATAACTTTCTAAAATGAGAACTGTTCCTGCTAAATAATCTTTAGGTTATCCAACATCCTTCCAAAATCCCGGAAGTATATATTGATATAATTATCCTTCTTTAGCCATTATAGGAAATATTTCTCTTTCTATAGATGTTGGTTTTAACTAATTTAATATTGATTTTTCTTACAGGAATTCTGTCAATCATGCTAATATTAAATAGATAGAGTCCTGAATTAATTTTGTTACTAATGAATTCTTAAGGCTTTTCTATGAAATCTTTGATTCGACCATTTTCATCAGCTAGGATAACACCATATTTTGATGGATCATCAACTTCATTGACAAATATAGTTCTATTAATATATAAATAATTTAAACCCTTCATGATTATGCTATTTGTGAAATTGTAATAATTTATCAAGTGGGAATTCACAAATAATATCACTATTAAGTACAAAGAATAAACCATCAGGATTATCTTTGATAATGTGATCTTTGGCAAGTCTAATAGGTCCAGCAGTTCCTAAAGGTTCTGTTTCTTATGAACATATGATTTTGACTTTGTAAAGATCCTGTAATTTATTGATTTAATCCTTCATAGTATCAGGTTGATAATTGATGGCTAAAATAATTTCCTACACTCCTACTTTTACCTCAGTATTTAATATATATTTACTAATGCTTCAATCTAATGCATAAGAATTGGCTTATTAGCAAATTCTACAAGTGGTTTGGGACATTTAAATGTAAGAGGTCTCAATCTAGTTCCATATCCTCCCACAAGTATTAATGCTTTCATGATTAATTAATTTATGATTTATTAACTTATCAATATCCTTATTTGAAATGCTAATGACTCTCTCTAAATTTTATATATCCATATAGATCAATAATTGGAATCTTTATAATAAGAGAAAACAATCAGATATTCTTATCATTTTTGAAAAAAAAAGATTTTTATTACATTTTATTACAAGAAAAAAAAACAAGGTATATAATTTACACAACTTTTATTATGAGTAGTCTTTCACTAAAAGATCCTCATCTCCTCAATTATTAAATAGTAGAATGTAAAATATATGCAAATGCATTATTATTAAAAATTCAACTTATATTTAGAAAGAAACATCCTTAATTGTCTAATACTAATAAGGTATTATTTAAAGAAATTTGAAGAAGAAAGTCGTTTGAGATTTAAACAATATTCGTTTACATAGTGAATCATTTTTTTCTTGAAATTAATTATTTATTATAGAATTTGATACTGACTATATCTATTTCAAAATGATAGTTTTATAGAGATAAAATTTAGCTTGAATCTTAAGTGAAGATTAACTTATACATTTCTAATCATTATATACATTATAAACGTACTTATTTCGAAAGTGCTTGATTAACAGAATTAAATGATAATTTTGATCAATTTTAATACTAAAGAATNAATATAGTTCTATTAATATATAAATAATTTAAACCCTTCATGATTATGCTATTTGTGAAATTGTAATAATTTATCAAGTGGGAATTCACAAATAATATCACTATTAAGTACAAAGAATAAACCATCAGGATTATCTTTGATAATGTGATCTTTGGCAAGTCTAATAGGTCCAGCAGTTCCTAAAGGTTCTGTTTCTTATGAACATATGATTTTGACTTTGTAAAGATCCTGTAATTTATTGATTTAATCCTTCATAGTATCAGGTTGATAATTGATGGCTAAAATAATTTCCTACACTCCTACTTTTACCTCAGTATTTAATATATATTTACTAATGCTTCAATCTAATGCATAAGAATTGGCTTATTAGCAAATTCTACAAGTGGTTTGGGACATTTAAATGTAAGAGGTCTCAATCTAGTTCCATATCCTCCCACAAGTATTAATGCTTTCATGATTAATTAATTTATGATTTATTAACTTATCAATATCCTTATTTGAAATGCTAATGACTCTCTCTAAATTTTATATATCCATATAGATCAATAATTGGAATCTTTATAATAAGAGAAAACAATCAGATATTCTTATCATTTTTGAAAAAAAAAGATTTTTATTACATTTTATTACAAGAAAAAAAAACAAGGTATATAATTTACACAACTTTTATTATGAGTAGTCTTTCACTAAAAGATCCTCATCTCCTCAATTATTAAATAGTAGAATGTAAAATATATGCAAATGCATTATTATTAAAAATTCAACTTATATTTAGAAAGAAACATCCTTAATTGTCTAATACTAATAAGGTATTATTTAAAGAAATTTGAAGAAGAAAGTCGTTTGAGATTTAAACAATATTCGTTTACATAGTGAATCATTTTTTTCTTGAAATTAATTATTTATTATAGAATTTGATACTGACTATATCTATTTCAAAATGATAGTTTTATAGAGATAAAATTTAGCTTGAATCTTAAGTGAAGATTAACTTATACATTTCTAATCATTATATACATTATAAACGTACTTATTTCGAAAGTGCTTGATTAACAGAATTAAATGATAATTTTGATCAATTTTAATACTAAAGAATCAGTTATTTAGGGAAGTTTTCCAAAAAAATAATATATCTTTCACAAAAATTATTGATGAAATTTAAGAAAAATCATAATTTATTTTGCAAAAACTATATAGTAAGGATGACGATAAATTGAATTCAATGAACTCAAATCTCATAAAATTAAAAATTTATTTTATTTATTAGCAATTTATATTTGTTGTTCAAAGTTAAAATTTATCAATTAATACGATCTTAAAACTATTAATAATCTATTGACAATATTTTGTTAATTATTTACTACTTCAAATTTTTTTCATCATTTATTTTTCTCTATTATAATTATTATTTTATTTTTTCTTATTAATTTTGTTGAATCTAATATTAATCAAACAACAAACTTATTTTAAGTTAACTTAGCTCATATTTTCTCATATTTGACTAATAATCGAAATCATTTAAAATTTTCATAATTTCATTATTATATTGATATATTTGAAAGATTACATCATTTTCATCTTTTTTTTTATTTATATCCTTTTTTGTACCTATTGATTCTACAATCGGATTTAAATTTTAAGTAATATCTAAGTATATTTCTTCTTCTAAGTTATTCAAATTTTCTAAACTATTTATCTCTTAAATATTTTCTTTATCTATATTAATAAAATAATAATATTTGTACATTTTTATATCATTTCTCTCAAATATTTAATTTTGCTTTTATTTTCTTTATATGTTTCATATTCATATCTATTTTCCATAGTCCTTTCATTTAGCATAGGCATTTCTAATGTGTCATATTTAAATAAGATATATTGATATGATTTATTTGTTGTACTATAATCTTCACTATTGATTTTCAGTATGAGAAAATGATAGTAACAAAAATCTAAAGGTATAGCTTAATCAATAGATAAAAACTCTGTGTCTTAAGTGAGATCCATGTTATCACCACTATCAAAAGATAATGTCCTTACATTAATCTCTTAGTTAATTTGAATTTAAATTAAAATTTACTTACAATAAAAGTATAAATAATCAATCTCGTTTTAATTCTGTAGATATTTTTATATTGGAAAAATCTATTCTCTTTGCTTCTTTAGAATATTTTTTTCATTTAATTCTTCTAAATCGGCTTTTTAAGATTATTCTATTAATTTTTATAATTTATCTTTTTATTCCTATATTGCTGTTATTTCTTTACTCAATAAAATAATGCTCTTGCTTTAATTTAATTTTATTAAAACTAATTCTATTACTTCGTTTGTTTAAAAAAAAAATAAAAAATAATTGTCGTTTTTTGGTAATTTTTAAAAATAAATGCAATTTCCAATCTATTTTTCATTTATTGGTTAGGTGTAAACTTAAAATGATTAAGATTTAAAATGGAAAATGTGAAGTTTTTTATATAAATATTATTAATTTGTATTTGTAGTATCCACCTTAGATATTGATTTTATTAATTCTGAAAAATTTATTTAAAAGAGATGGGCAAATATATTTGTAAAATATATAACTTCATGGTTAAAATAATCAATATAAAAATTGATTATTTCACAAAGAAGCATATTTTGAGATTTCTGAGTGAAAAGTTTTATAATTTAGCTCGTTTCAGAATAAATTTGTAAGCAATAAATAGAAAAATATTATACACCAGTTTCAACTGATAATGTAATTATCATATTTGGAATTGTTGGATGCACTTCAATTTGTTAATATTCAACGCTTGTTAGGTTATTAGCAAAAGAAATTTTACTTGAATCTTAAGCTTCTGTAATCTTATGTAAATTAATTTCAGGAAATGTAAATTTGCCAAAGAATATGTCATATATTATTTTATTTTCCATTATTCCTATAACTAAAGTTTGATTTTTAAATTTGAACTTAAAATCCTTTTGTTCGAATTAGTTCTATTGAATATATTTTTTGTTGCATTATAAACTTATTTCCCCTATTTCACATTTATTATAGTTTTCCTCAAACTCATACTTACATATATTAAATTTTTTTTGTGAATATTCAATTCCAAAAATATCATTTTAATATTGAAAAAGTGTAGCATTTGAATCTATTTCATTTGGAGTCTAATGCTCAATATCGTTCAGTTTATAAAGTAAATTCTCTGATAAATTTTCTTCTAGTACTTAATATTGGTAATTATAATTATTTATATAATTTTGCATTTAAATATATAAATTATTGCTTTTTTCAATGTAAATATATATTTATGTTCATAAAAATAAAAATTGAAAGTGAATAAATCATGAATTTATTATTTATTTTATTTTGCCTATCAAAATAATATATTATATTGATTTAAGATAATTAGGAGGAATTATTTTTTAAAATTTGTGGTACATTCTTATTCATTAAGGAGAAATTGAATAGTTATACAATATCAATTTGAAAAATGTTGCTACCATCTTTATTAAATAGGTAATTGGAAAAGGTACATATGGAAGTGTAGTAAAATCTTGATTGAAGGGAATAAAAATTAAAGAGCAGTAAAAGTAATCCCAATGAGCAAAGTAAAGAATCCAGATAGATTCAAAATAAAGGAAGTTTAAGTGAACATGAGGCATATGAGATATTTTTATAAATTATACAAGTAAAATAATGAGTAAAATTAGGCTTTGAATTATGGTCATTCAAATGGAACATGTCATAAATATTTAAAACCTGAAAATTTGTTATTTTTAATAATGGCAGATAATTTCCCAATAAAAGTTATAGATTTTGGATTAAATACTTTATTTGAGGATTCTATTACTCTATTACTTCTAAAACGAATTAGCTAGAAAGTAACAATGAAAACAAAAGTTAGAACACCTTATTACATTTCTCCTGAAGTTTTCAAGAGAAATTGTGATGAATTATGTATTTGATCTATTGAGTATTGGTATTATCCTTTATATTACTGTCTACAGTGCCACTATTCTTTAGAGATTCTGATTCTGAAATTTTTGGTGCTGTTTAAAAAGGAGATTATACAACAGAAATACTAGAGCTGTAAGTTCTTAGTGTTTCAGCTTAAGGTCTTACAACATATGATTATTTCATCTGGTATTCAAATTTAAGAATAAGGAATTATAAAAATTATTTATATTATCTTTTAAAATATTTCAGGCATCTTAAGTTCTTTTACATAAATGGATGAGAGAATCTAATAAGCAAACAAAATGTTTACTAAATAATATTATCATTTAGAATTGAAACTAAATTGATTTAATCAACAAATTTTAATTGAAGTAAGAGATTAAAAAAATTGGATTAACTTTTATTGAATCTCAATTAAATGAATAGGAAATTACAGATTTATGCTAGTAAATTCTATAATTATACTACAACTAGATTATTTAAATTATTGGATAAAAATGGTGAGAGAGTCTAGATTATTGTAGAATTAAGGTAGGGTTTAACTGGAGTAAGTGATTCATAATAAAAGTGATTAGCAAATATAATTAAATGTATGGTTACTGATGGAAACAGAACAATCAACTATACTGGTATCAAATTTATAAAAAAAGGTTTTGGTTGCAATTATGGAAAAATCATTATATATGAAAGAATTAAGCTTTTGAAATGTTAGATAGTAGATGGAAGTGGTAGAATAAATAAAAAGGAACTTTAACTGTTTTAGGATGTAAATTATTTAATTAATTATTTTAGAAAGTGAAAAAATTGTTGATGAAAAATATTGGGATGAATTGATTAGGGAAGCAGATAAAAATGGAGATTGAGAAGTAAATATATATTATTATTTATAGATTGATTATAATGTGTTTATTGAAATGATGGATAAATTTAGTTTGATTAATTCATTATAATAAACTATTAAATTTTCACTGATATAAATATATATATTTATCTTTTAATAAAAGTTCATATTTTAATGATGATAATTGGATATAAAATTTTATAATAATAAAAATTATCAATTTGAATTTGTATATTACATTTCCAAGGGTTTTTAGAACAAAGTTTCTTAACTTGATACACCATATTAAATAATCGGAGTAGCCAAAAAATATTATGGAATATATGGCAATCCAATTTAAGGTATATAATAATAAATATTATTAAAAAGTAAAGTAGGATTTTGAACAAAAGAATTTGTAGAAAAATTAGCTTACGAATTTTCATCTTTTTTATTTTGAAGTAAAGCTTAATAATTATTTTCTTTTGGCTCTTCTTTTATTGATTATAATAAGTTACAATCTTGAAAGTTTTCATTTTATTTCTAAATATCTGAGGATTAGGAAATCATAGTTTCAACCTTAATTTAAATTTATTCAATATCTTATTATTTCTAAATGTCTTTCGGAACAAATTCATTTTTTGATTATATTGTATTTATCATTTTGTCTTAGCCTTCCTCAGTTGGTTCTTAAGTAATCTTTATTTTTTTTTCTTTTTTGTGTTTATTCATTTTTTATAACGATTTTTCTATTTTTTGTTTATTTTTTTTTTGGTACTATTCAGAGGATTCTAAATTTTGTTGAGGAATTATATAATAAGGATTATCAATTTATAGATAATGCTTACGAAGATAGGAATAAAATCTATTTTTAATGATATTCTCCTTTTATATAATAATATGATAATACCGGTCTACCTTTGAGCATTTTTGAAATTTTACACCATTTTGACCCAAAAGTTTTAAATCCTTCAACAATAAGCTTGTCTTCAGCTTCTGTGAAAGGCTATTGATTGATTTCTGGATTTAACTTGTTAACAAATCTTTCTCTCACTTATTTACTTGTTCTGTTTGGAATTTTCTTGGCAATTTAGACCCAGTTGTTTTTATGTGTCTAAACTAATGTCAACAACTATTAATCCTCATTATTTGTCCATGGTTATCTCTTACTAAACAACTAAATTCACATACAATTTTACATTGTAAGGTTTTATTCTTTTCCATCGTTAAGCACATTAAGAAGGATTTCTATTTTACATGGCTGACGCAACGTTTATCCAGTTTGTACCATTCTATTTTATAGCATACTTTAATTTATTGTCTTCCTTTAATGACCAAGCTCTTCTAGAACAATTACTTATTTTTTAAACTTCTGATTAAATTTATTTATCAGATGCTCTAGAATTCTACTCATGTTATATATTGATTTCGAAAGATTAAAATTGATCCATTAAATTTTATATTTAATATTAATTCAAAAATAACACTTAACTTTTACACAGGACATAATCTATTACATTTGAAATACCTTTTTTTCTCATCTTAAACAATTTAAATTGCTTCTTCACAATCAATAAAATTTTTTTTCATAATATGTGTTAATTTTTATGTATTAATTCTAACTGATCGACCAAACCATATATTTTATGATTCAAACATTTTCATCAGATTATCATTCTTCATTAATAAAAATTCGAAATTTATCAGATTGAATACTTTACTTTCTTGTAAATAAAACATTTGAATATACTTAAAATTTATCTCACTACTGCGGTTTAAATTTATTAAATATTTTTTTATTATTAGTTAGAGAATTTTGTGAAAAGAAAATGTAATTTATAATATTTTTTATAGCAAATGGTCTCTAATATTAATCTCTAAATTGATTTACTCAAATATCAGGATCATATTATGAAAATATTTCAAGAATTTGGAGATAAATTTTTTGAAAAACAAATACTTGAATTCAGAAAATGAATATCAGAAATGAAGTAATTAAGTCTATATGTTTAATTTATAATAGTAAAAATAGAAAAAGGCTTAAAAATTTCTAGAAGTTAGCTTTTTATATCAATAGTTCGTATTATAAAAATTATTATAATTGCTTATTATTATTTTGATAGAATATGAATAATAATATATGTTATAAAATAAAAACCTTGATATGAAAAAAACTTGCGAAATATGTTATGAGCAATAAAATGTATTAATAATAGAATGTGGACATAATTATTGTAAAGATTGTTTAAAGAATATGTTTTTTCATAATGGATAGGTAGATTTAGAAACTTTTGAATGCCCATAAGAGAAATGTAAGTAAAAACTGACTGAGAAAACTTTAAAATTAATAATTGAAGATTTTCAAACAAAATATGAGTAATTCCTAAAATAAGGGATTTTATTTGGAATAAATAACAATGAAAAACTAATTACTTGTCTTAATATAAAGTGTAATTCATAATTCTTAATATGGAAAAATGCAGGTATTTCGAAAAATATATTAAGATTATTTTAAATGTTAAAATTGCAAAATGGAGTTTTGTTTAAAATGTAAATTAACTAAACATAATGGTTAAACCTGTATTCAAGCATTAAGGCTTAAATAAATAACAAAAACCAGATTGAAATTTTTAAAATAAGTGGAGAATTCATCAACTCAAAAAATTTGTCCACATTGCTTCATAGTTATAGAAAAGTATTCAGGTTGTAATTTTATGACATGTTAATCTAAATCTTGTAATTCAAAAAAATACTTTTGTTTTTAATGTGGAGAACCATTATAACATTCTGAATCAAAAGATCATTTTGAGGATAGTGATCCATTTTATGGAAGATGTAACATAAAAATAAATGGAAAATGGGTTGAATAAGATAAACTTCCAGCAAATAATGTCCCTTGTCCAAAATGTAAAAGTTAAGATCCTTTAAAAAGTAAAATAGAAGGAAATTTATTAATATGTACTAGTAAATAATGTGTTGATAAAATATTTTGTTGTATCTGTTAAATTTAATTAGATGATAAAAGCATTCTGAATCATTTGGATAAACATGAAAAAATTAAAATATAATAGAAATCGTGGTTTGAAAAGTTTAATATTTTTAAGAAATGAAATATAAATAATTTCTTTTTTTTATAATTGTAAGTTATTATAAATTTAATAAAAAAATGTGGAATTACACTCCTGCAAGTAAACTTTGTTAAATGAGAACATAGATGGAAGTAAAATAATAATCCTTAATATAAGGCATATGATAAACATTTATATAGTGTTAGAAATGCAAAATCAATAGTTAAGACAACAAATCCATATAAACCATATTTTTTGTCAGTTTGTAGTAGATATTAAAACAAATATGAGTAAAAAATAATAATGATTCTTTATGATATAGAGAAATAATGAAATAAATAAATGTAATTCAATATTGTTTGATAAAATACTTGATATTGATCTTCGATAAGGTGATTTAAGTTAATCAAAAATGAAATAAAAATTTAAGTTGAGTACAAGTCGTTAATCAACTAATCGAAACAAAGGTGTTTCAATTGATTTGGAGAATAATGTATAATAATACCTAACATTAACAATAGAAAATAAGTGATAGGATATAGTCAGCAAAAAGTTAATATACAAAGTAGAGATAATTAAGACACAGCTCTTAATTTGAAAGATATAGCAAGAACATATCTCAAAATGCAAGTAAAATTCTTTAGTTACAATAGGAAGATCATCTCATTATGATTTTAAATAGTTATTATTGTCATAATCATTTGAGCATAAATTAAAGAAGCCTTTATTAAGATCTTCATATGTTTCAAGTTAAAATCAATACTCAGAACCAAGTCCATATCATTAAGAAAACCCATAGATTTATTTTTGATAATTTATTAACTGCTATTTCTTTAACAGATTATTTTTTTAATTATCAGATTCAAAAATGGCAAGTTATAGAGAATAGCCACTCTAAAAAAGTGATTATCAGAATCGAATTCCAAATCATAATTATCAAAAAACTATTAAGCAAAGCTATAATGATGAGCAAAAAGACCTTGAAAATTATGTAAATATTCCTAAAAAATAATCATCTTATGTGGAGATGGAACTTCAAGATAGAAATAATAAATAATATTAATAAGGTAACAGTAATGAGGATGATTCATTTTCAAATAATCCATATTATAATAAAGCTGCATTAGAATAACAATGTAGCAAATCAATTATAACATATTTAGAATAACCAAATAGACATCAAGAAAATCATTAGAAGGATGAATTATTAAAAGATAATTTTAATTTAAATTAGCAAAAGTAAAATCAACCTATTTCATAATATTATAATAATGAATTTAGAGATAGATATCAAGAAGTCAAAAATTATTATTATAATCAAAATAATTAATATAAATCTATTTTAACATCAAAATAATATTCTAGAGATAATCAAGATCAATAAGAATAATAATAAACAATAGAATACAAATAATAATAAAATTATTAAGAAAAATATAATTTTAAAAATGAAGCTCTTTAAGAAAATCCTTCATTTGGATAAATTTAGAACTATTAATAAAAATAATAATAAAAAGAACAATAATATTAATAATAATAATATTAATAATAATAATAATAACAATAACAATAATAATAATAATATTATCAATAATAACAATAATATCAATAATAAAATTAGCCAATCTAAAAATAGTTTCCTTATTCAAACCAAGAACAATAAGAACTAGTAGGAACATAATAATATATATAAAATTCAACTAGAATATAATAAAATAATTAAAATGAATAAAGATAAATTACAAACTATTAAATGTAATCTCCTTAAAGATTTCATTAAGATATTCCAGTTTAAAAACAATAATAATATCATTAAAGATTATAATATTTAGAAGAATTAAAAAGTCGATTACCTAAAGATGATATTTTCTATTAATAAGTTGATACAAGAATGCCAGAAAAAGAACAATATTACCGTTAAGAATAAAATTAGAGGATGAATAAAATAAATCCAACTGCTGCTATAAGTAGAATGTAGAAATATAATGAAAATAAACAATATTCTGCATCTGGTTAATATGACTATTCTTAGAGTACTAGAAATCAATATTAATAAAGAAATGATCATTATAATGCTTAATAATAGAATAGACAGAATACTAGTCAATATCTTAATCTTTATAGTTCTAATAATTATAATAAAGATCACGATAGTGGCAATCATTAATATTAATAAAGAAATAATTAACATCAAAAGACTAGAACTCCAAATCGATATAGAGAAGATAGTTATGAAAGAGAAAGATAATATTTTATACAGTAAACTTCTCATATTAAAACAAATTCTTACGCTATCAATAAAAGAAAATGAGTATATCATATAAAATTAATATTAATCATTTTGTAGAAATTAATATATAACTTATAATATATTAATATCTTTTTGATTTAAATTCAGATGATTAAAATTAAAGAAACAAAGAATATATAATAAAATATTTAAAATCATTTGGAAGATCTTAGATTAATTAATATTAATATCATATTATTTATTATCTTTTAATATATTTGAAAATAGTTTTGCCAAAATGTTATTCTTAAATTGTTTTTTCTTGAGGAATTTAAGGCAATGACTATGATCTAGCTCTTACTTTTAATGTTTTAATACTAACATCAGTATCATTTCTAGTATCCTAGTTTAAAATAGTCCAAGTTTTTACAAACTTAACTTTAACAGCTTCAATTAACATTGTAATAAATAAATAAGCCAACATAAAAAATGCAGGTATACATATACATACTCCAAATATATAAGAATATTAATCTTAGTTTGGTTTTGTGCTCTAAATAATGAAATATATTCCCAAAATCAATAATATTAAGGTAAGCATAGGAAAAATTAAAAAAAATAATTTTTAACTTATGCTCATTTAACATAATCTTTAGAATACAAATTTAGTCGAGAAAGTTAATTAACACTATAAATAGCTATTACATAATTCACATTAAGCCTAAAACTAAATTTGTTATAACTTTACTATCAATCAGATTATCAATTGAAAATTTACTCAAAAGCCAAGTTTTTAAACAATCCATATGAATATATTTAATAGTACCATCACAATTACATGGACTTATTAATTTATCTAAAGAATCTTGTTCAAGACAAATTCTACAAGAGGGGTTCTTATTATAATAAAAATATTTATACATCAGTTTATTTATTTTTTAATTGTTCTAATAAAATTTAAGGAGTTTCTATATATCTTTTAACTTTTTTAATAGTATTTTTATTTAAATTTATAATAATTTAGTTCTTTCGAGAGTTCTTAATTATGATAATATGAAATATACTTCAACTACAATCATTTATTCATTTAACTAAATTTATTAATTTGTAATATAATTTGGTTAATTGTAGGTATTTAACCCTAAAGCGTGAAAATCTTATATATTATCATCAGGTTAGGGATATATTTGTTATTAACTTATATTTTATGAAGTCTGAAATGTTTAGTTAGTAATATTTTTATATTTAGGTCTGATTTGAATCAGCATTATAATATATAAATATTATATAATTATTAATAAAAATATATTCCATTTTAGAAATATTTTTACGATTGCTATTTTAAGTTTTCCATAAATATTGAACAAAATTCATTATATCATCTTAATCTTCTAGCTTCTCTTTCACATTCCATGAGTTCTAGAGTATCTCCTTTACGTACTGGTCCCATAACATTTCTTATTAATGTTCTTTATTGTCCCACTAATTGTACCTTTACTTAAGTTATACCTCCTCTTGAGCCTAAATAATTGTATTCATTTTTACCTGTTCTTCCTATTATTTCAATTACTGTAGCTCTAGTTCCTTCTACTCTTTCTTTTGTTGAGTCCATTTACTATCTTTTTTATTTTTTATAAAATTGATTTAAAATAAATGAAGAAGGAAACTAAAAATAAATGATTTTAATTCACAAAAAATAATAATGCTTTTAAGTCGAATTTTTTAAATCTATCTCAAATTATACTTTTCTATATTATTTTTAATTCATTTTGTCATTATATCAATTTTATTGAGTAAATTCATATAATAATGAATTAATGAGAATAATATATTTTTAAAAAACATATCATCAATATTTGAAAAATATTTTGAATATTGATTCTTGATAAGTATATATTATATTATTTAAAGTTTATATGAATGTTTAATATTTGTCTGTATAAAACAATATTGATTAAATTACTCAAAAAAGAGTCAATAATTTCTCATATCCTCTCCAAATAATGTTAAGAATTTTACGTAAACCTTCAGGTAATTTTTTATTTTCACTTAATTTATCAGCATACCATACTCTAATATATCCTTAAGCATTTCTCATATTTTTATTAAATTTAGTTTTGAGTAACACATTTTAGAATATTATTACAGCTTATAGAATAGATGTTTTCTTTAGGAATATTCCAATAATAGAATATAAGAATAAATATATCTCTATTTTCTATTTGGTAAGAATTATTTCATTTCTGTTTGCTTTAATATATTTAGCTGCCTTAAAAGAAAATCCTTATTCTTAATTAATCATAGTCCAAAATTCTGCTGCTCCTACCATAAAATGTAAAGCAATTGGCAATTAAAATGAAAAACTATCAATAGTAAATAATGAAATAATAAAGAATATATTTGTTGTGAATTCAAGTTAAATAATTCTTAAAAAGTATTCTTAAACATAATTTTTCTTAGGCAATCCCTATAAACGATAAATTGCTAGAAAACAAATTAATACACTTCCAAAATTTAAATATTTATTTAAATGAGGTGAAAATAAGAATAATAAAGCTGGAAAATATAATACTTTTAGCATTCCTTCAATGACAGTAAGTATAGGAATGGAAGGTAATTATTATTGATTTTAATTTGATTATTATTATTATTAAGATTATTAAGATTACTATGATTACTATGATTATTAATAATTGTCTTATGATTATGATTATTGTTTTTGATTTTATTATTATTATTATGATTAGGTATTTGAATTAGGATTTTAAAATTCTGCATTGATATCAAATTATGGATCAATATTATTTTTATACCATTTACGTTTAATTTTATCTAAATTTGGAGGTAAAGGATAGATGTTTAATAGGTGTTGTTAAAATTACTCATTTGCTTCAAAATTGAATTTATTATATGCTTCCATAATTAAAATAAATAATATGACAAATTAAGATCAAATTGGATTTATATTATCAATAGATAAAGAATGGTAAAAATTAGTGGAGAAGTGTTAAAGTATAGATAGCAATATAAAAAATATGCAAACAAGACTTACATTTACAATAGGATAGATGAATAAGGAAATAGGGAATCGGCATATAATTCCAGCATATTAAGTAGAGGAAGAATAAACAAAGGATGAAAATCATTTACCTTAATAAGGTGAGTCTCCTATGAAGAAACCTGTAAATTTAACTAAATAAGCACAAATATTAGCTCCAGTGTATTCAACTATAAGTGAAAGATTTTAGATATGTAAATTTTTAGGGAAAGGAAAATTTAGTGATGTTTATTAAGCTTAAGATAAATAATCAAAAATAATTGTTGCATTAAAAGTAATTCCAAAAGCAACAATATAAAAATATGGGATGGAAAAACAATTAGCAAATGAAATAAAAATATAAGGTTATTTAGATCATCCAAATATTCTAAAACTTTATGGATATTTTTAAGAATGGTCAAAAGTCGTTTTAATTTTAGAGTATGCAACAGATGGTGAACTATTTAAGTTATTAAAAAAACAAACAAAAAAAAGATTTCCAGAACAAATAGCTTCTGGATAGATTAGATAAATAATAGAAGGAATAGGACATATGCATAGTAAAAATATAATTCATAGAGATATTAAACCTGAAAATATATTAATTACTCATTCTTTATTAAAAATTGCTGATATGGGTTTATCTACTTATAATCCTACTAATCAAGTAAGATAATCATTTTGTGGAACTGTTGATTATATGTCTCCAGAAATTGCTGCAGGAAGAGATTATGATCATACAGTAGATTTATGGGCTATTGGAATTTTAACATTTGAATTATGTACTGGAGAAACACCTTTTTATGAAAAAAAAAAAGAAGATACTATGAATAAAATTATTTATAGTGGATTTGAATTTCCAAATTTCATAAGTGAAGAATGTAAAAGCTTTGTTAGGGCTTTAGTATAAAAAGATCCAAAAAAAAGATTAAGCATTTTCTAAATTATGTAACATTCTTGGATTCAAAAATATGAAAAAGAAAGTACAATTTTTAATAGAGAATTACTAAATTCTATGGTTAAACTTTTAAAATGATAATAAAGATCAATTTTGTAATCATTCATCAAAATTTAACTCAATTATCACATCTAAGTCTTACTATATATTTATGATGTTTTATGATTAAACTAATACTTCTTATTCATTATATCCTAATTCAATTTAATCTTGGATTTGAGTTTTTAAAACTAACAATGGGAACTAGAAGATCTATTCTTAAGCATTTATATCTAAATTCTAATTTCTTAAAACTAATTAATCCAATTTGGCTTATCTTTTGGTAAGATGAGAAAAAAGTTTTCTCTTTTCTTATAAGTTTTACTCAATTAGAAATTTTACCATTGATAAATTATCTATTTATCTTCTTATTTCTTAAGAATTAAAATTATTTGATAATTCAACTAACTCATAAGATTTATCAGATTTCTTTATTATTCTTAAAGCCATCAAAACATTTAAACAATCATAAACTCTTCTAGATTGATTTACAGTATTTGTCTATTAAAAATAATAAAAATATTACACTTTATGGATGTAATTTCTTAATTTCTGATAAAATTAATTATAAATTTGTTTTTTTTTAGTCTTTTATGATTTCATAAACAATTTTACTTAGTTCTTTAAGTCCTAAACAGCTAAAATGTTCTGATATTGTTGAAAAATTTCTAGTTTTTGAATTTGAATGTTCTGGATAACCTTATGAAATATTAGTATCAAATGTTGGTATTTGTAGTTCACAACCTATAGAGGAACAATCACTTGTAAATAAAAACATCAAAAATAATATTATATATAATAAAATATAATAATTATAGAACATATTTAAAACTGGTCATGTATGCATAGATTTGGTATTAAATTTTACTTTATTTGCTTATCTTTAATCATTTTTTCTTTAAGATTTACAAGAAGGTGAAGTGGCACCCTTTAATAAAGGACTTTTACAGACAGAACTTTTAGATTTGATTGAGTTAGTACAATTATGTTATCCAAAAGGCTGCTTTTATTTTGTTTTAGATTTAGATTACATTTTATATTTTTAAATTCCCTATTCTATCAATTCAATATCTTTTTTTATATTATTAGTTATGTTAGATTTAGAATCTTTTATAGTTGAAAGTGATAAAGATCGATCAAATATTGATTTTGTATCATTTGTTTAAGTTGCTATTCTTTTATTTGAATTGTAAAGTTTTTTACCATTAATTCCGTAATACTGTTAACACTCTAAATTCAAATGCTTTTCTAATGATTCTAATTTTATATATTAATTTTATCTCTCAATTCCCAATTCAAATAGTTGTTATAAATTTTATAATATGTCTTTTTTATTTTATTCAGAAGCCATTATCTCTTTACTGATTCCAGTAAACATAATTTAATTTTTGTTTTCCTCAGACATATAAATTTTTAAACAAAGCCTATCTGATTCAAGTTTTTCAATCATCTTAAATTTTTATTTTTAAAGAATTTCCATTTAAGGTGGTTGAATTTAAGGTTATGGAGTTTCAACTATGCTATCATTTCTTTTTAAATTTCTTAAGTTTTCAGTAGATATCATATTAATTAATTTAGGACTCTCACTCAGTTTTCGATCTGTAATTAATCCAATTTCTAATTTCTTTTTATCTCCTCTAAAACTACTTCTTAATGAAGAATTTGGAAGTCCAGGAGAATTAACTCTTTGAAAAGAACCTAGTTCATTTTTATTTGAAGGAATAGATCTATGAGTTGAATGAATCATATATTATTGGCAAACTGAGCTCATTTTACAAAATAAAATTCGTTAATAATTAATTATAAAAATAAAAAAATTTATTATAAAAAATGAAGAAATAATTACTAAAATGCAAATCAAATATTTATTTAAATACTATGATGATTAAATTTAATCATACTACTAATATTAGTCTAAACTACATAGAAATAAAAAAATTGTTAAAGATTTTGAATTTATATTTAAATATATATCATTTTTAATAATTCATATTAAGTCTAATAATGAAAATAATCACTAATAAAATTAATGACCCTTAACAATATAATATTATATCAAATGAAAAGTATTTCAATAATATAAATTAACTAACAGGACCTATTACTATGGATAATAATGAACTGATATATGTAATAGGAAATAATTGATGTCCAATGTCATCTCCAAAAATCTTAATTAAGGCAGGTCCTGTTACAACTAATGCTCCTTTATCAAACATCATTGTAATAACATATACTATTAAAAATGAAATTTTATCTGTAGCTGAAAATGGCAGAGCAATAGCTCCTATTCCACTAACAAAATATATTATAGCAAATAGTATTTTAAAATTAATTTTATCTATTAAAAAACCCCACAGTATATTAGCAAATGATGATGCCATTAAAGCTACTAAATCTACAAATGTAACATAAAAATCTTCATTAATTTTTGAGAGGAAATAACTCTTATAATTTAACCCAAGAGTCAACAAGAATAAAGTTAATACAGTCAAACAAATAATAATGGTAATAAATTATATTGATTTAATTGCGGCAGATAAAGATTATTTAATTTTAATTTAAGGTCTACTAATTATAAAAAATATACAATCCATGATCTGAAGCAATTTCTAGAGGTAAATCATTTATAGCAATTGATGTTGGATCTATTTCAACAGATAAATCTTATTATGCCACTTTATCATTTTGTTTAGGTGTTTCTTCTTCAAACTATTATATTTTCTATTCACTAACTCCTACTTATTTATATTAAATAGTCTAATCATATGGCTAAATTAAGAATCCTCCAATTAAACAACAAAAACTTGCAACATAACTAACTATTTTAGCAGCATTTTATGCGTTTTAAGCTACACTTTCTGAAAAATATTTATAAATTTATGTCTTATGTTCAGTCGTAAGGTCTGCTTATTAATTATTTGGATTGCTGATATATGTAATTATTATAACAAATATTACTGATGCAAATCCATAAGCTCCCAATAATAGACCAGATATACGCCCTTCTGATTTCTTATAATGGCTCCAAGCACATGAAAAAACAGGAAATGCTACACTTGAATATCCAATTCCATAAAAAAATATATAAAAGATTATGAATGTTAAATATGTTGTCATATAAGGAGCAATTAATAATGATGCACATTGTATTGTTGTTGCTATTCTTATATGTAATTTAAATCCTATTCTCTTAGCTATTTTTACTGAGAATATTGTTATAACAGCAATAGGAAGAGCCATTATTGCTATTGGTAAAGTGTTGTACTAAAAATAAACTAATAGCTTACTGCTATTGATAGATCTGGTTCTGTTTGCTTGTAAAAAGAATAAAAGTAAACATTTGTTTTTCCCCAAGTTAACAATAAAGCTGATCCTATTTTTATTAAAATTGCACCAATTAGACATTTTTTTGAATCGGATAGCAGCATTTTTTAAAAAAATTTTGATTTATTTTATAGAAACTAAAACCACATAATTTATAAAAAATAAAGAATTTAAATCATTTTTTCTTTTAAAGTTATTTTTAGATATCTAAGGCTTATTATTGAATTAATTTATTGTTTTTAAACATTTCTAATACTTCTTTTAAATTTTAAAAACATTGCAATCTTTATAAAGAAGTTCTATAAGTTTATAAATCCTCTCTTAATTCATAAACTAAAATAATTAATTAACTAAGTAAAGCAAGATGAATTAAGAATATTTCTACATTACCTTGCTTTACTATTACTTTATTTATAACATTTTTATGAAATGCCTAACTGATTCCTTCTAATAGATTTGCTTTAAATAAAATAGCTTAAACTTATTTTTCTTAAGCATATAAACATAACTATTTCATAATAGAATAAAATATTTATTAATAAAAAGGATTAAGTAATTAATGAAATTATTCATTTAAATTAAATGTAGAAGTATCATTTATCTTTAAAAAAATTCTATGATTCCTTTATTTAAAGTTTTATAAAATTAAATCAATTATTTTTGTGCTAAATATTCTTACACTTCCAATTTAATTTTAAAGCGAAAATAATTCTAATTTCTTAATATTTTCATTTTATATTTTATGCAAGTTGGTTAAATTTCTACAAATTCTAGGTAAATAAGTTAAATAAATTTTGGTTAATTTTTCATTCATAGGTTTTTTATTAATTCTGTATAACAAATCATTAAGAATAATCATACAATTATTAGAACTGTTATCTTCTTATGAAATTTAAAACAAGGCTGTTTAAGTAAGAGAATAATGATTTAATAATTTTTCAAGCAAAAAATATTAATCATCTATGAGTTCATCAAAGGCATAATGAAATTGAAAGTTTTGCATTGATTAAATAATTGTTTTTAATAGATTACTATTTCTTAATGATGTTGTTTCATCATTAAATGTTTCATATTTCTAATATTCTTCTTTCATTATTGTATCAATAACACTATTATCTTAATTAGGATAATAAAGAAATAATTTAGCCTAAGAAATAGGTGTTTACATAAGATTAATTTATCTGAGTGTTTAACTATTATCTAAATTCGATTATAATAATAATAATTACCATTGACTCCAATTAGACTCATATATTAAGGTTAATCAGATCTCTTACCAATGATTTAAGCAAGATTGTATTCAGAGAATGTCATAGATTTTTGTTTTCTTTTTGATGTTGTTAAATCTGTTATAATAGTTGTAGGTTAAATGTTTAAAGACGGAAGTTTAATAGAATTTTGTAATTAGATAATATTTAAAGGAGGTTCTGTGACTTAGGATCTTTATGATCTCTATTCAAATTCAATATGTTTCACTCCCTATTATACTTATTTATAAGTATTTAATAATGTAGGAGTATCAGCAGGAGTACTAATTTCCTTATAAAATTGAACCACATCTTATAATCTATCAATATCTTTGCCTTACTAATTCAACTCAGATAAATCAATATTTTCTTGAATTATAACTTTATTTATTTATCTTTATAAATTTAATAAGTCAGAGCCTTTTCTTAAATGTTAACTTAATAGCATTTTTCTCTCTAAAAGTTATTTATTTTAAATTAAAGTTTTGCCTGGAATTAAAGGACCCAAATATTAATCAATATTACTGCTAATAGAATAAGTTATAGCAGCTTAATCATCATCTTGTATTATTTGTAATTTATAATCATTAATATTTTTTAAAAATTAATATGCTTCTTTTGTTATATCTTTTCTATTATGATAGATACCTTCTTTCTCTTTATTAGATATTTTACTAACTAAAAGTGTCATAAAACCTTAACGATTTAAGAATTACCAAATATAATTCCTTAATTCTTATGGAATTTTGGAATAATTTGGATCCAAAAATCTCATCAGGAAATCTACATAATGAGGATTATCTAATTAAATAAATAATTAATCATACAAAGATAATCTAAAAAATGATGATGAAATTAAAAGTAGAGAAAATTATAAATAGTTTCCTTCAATTCAAATTTTAAGTAAAATTGTAGTAAGCAAATAATATGATTCAAATTACCACTTGATTAAGAATTTTAAAAGAATCCAGAAATACTTCGAACTAAAATAGATTAAATTAATTACAAGCAATTTGCATAGTATGTTGATTAATTTGCATAATCAATTAATGATTATGATAATCAGTTAAAAATAGCATAGCTTTATATGATCTTAATGTTGTTAATTTATCTGGTTTAATAACATGTAATTTATAATGATAATCTTCACAGTATTATTGGATGTCATTAGCTAAAGCATCTGTTGCAAATATCAATCCAGGTTCTGTTGCTACTGGATTAGTAATATATGCAAATAGATTTTATAATGTATCAATATCAGCTAAATATTCACTTTAATCAGAATCTATTCTAGGTTTATTTTAAATTAAAATATCATCCAAATTTACTTCATTACCTTAGATTGAATCTTAAGAATTGCTATTATTTAAATAATCATTATTAATCTTTTACTTTGAAGCAACCTTTGAAGGTTAAGATTAAGTTTATAAGATATTCATAGCCATTAATGACATTTTTGGTTTTGAACCTTTTCTTGCTTTATTTTCTTTCTCTTATAATTCAATAGCAACATTTTAATAATGATATTCATCTGTATTCTTTTAAACCTCTTCTTGATATAACTTTAATACAGCTATTCTTTAATCAAATTTATTTTTTACTTTCTTCTATTAATTAATTAAGTTAATTTGCAGATTTTAATTTACTACCTAACTATTACTAGATTTATCCTACTTTTTTCATTATAGCTCTTACTAATTTCTCATCTTCTGCATGTTGAAGCAATATAATAAAAGCATAACATTTATCATCAATGTCAAAACTAATATTAAATATTTAATTGATTACTCTAATTCTGAGATTTCAGTTAAAACAGTTTCTAAAAATTCTAAAACGAAATATTTTCCATTTCCCTAATTAGGAAGTTAGGCATATTCTTCTATTGATTTAAAACAACCATCAATCCATTCTTTAGAATGTTTAAATATATTTAGTAATGAAATTAATATCATATCTATTGTATCTGGTAAATGAGAATGTAATTAGAGTAAAAATTTAATTATTTTAGGTTCATTTATTAAACAATGCTTTTTTGGAAAAGGGATAGTTTGATTGATAAATTTCAATATAGGTAACACTTTAGATAGAATATCATTTTGTTTAAGAGCTAATTCAAATGATTTCACCAAATCCATTCTAATAATAAATATGTGATTTAAAAGTATTATTTCTAAGAATATATATAAATTATAATTGCTGAATAAATATACATAAAAATATAGAAATCATTTTTTCCTCTAAGTTGATGGTTTTTTTATTTAAATGGATTCTTATGGAATCTAAGCATATGGCATTTTTTCATTAATTAAATCTACACTTTTAGCTGTAGTAAAATCAGCAAGCTCTAAAACTTAGTTTTTATTTTTACAATCATTAATAGCATCTTTTCCTTTCATAAGTATACCTCTTGGCAATCTTTTATCAGGACAAGCACCTTTTAATTAAATTATACTTTCTCTCTCTTCTCTTAGAGTCCTTTACATTTTCATCATTGTAGATACAAACTTAATTTTATTCTTTAATTTTTCAGTATCTAAAATAAATTATCTTATCTAATATACTTTTTTATGCACCTTATGAACTACCAGTAGTAGATTATTTTTATAAGCCTGCCTACTTAGTCAATTATTTAAATTATTAAATATCTGATTCACTAATTTATTCATCATCATCTTAAATGTCAGTTTATAATATATGATATAACATTTCAGTTACTTAAAATAAGTAAATAATATTACTTTTTTCTGCTACAAATGGAATAGACCATGTAAAAATATCCATAAAATTCGGTAATAAATATGGATGAGGAGTATATTAATATTATTGAATGTTAAGAGTGTTATTTTCAAATTTAATAACAGCTCCTCTGTTATTATAAACATCACAATAATTTGGAGCACTAAAAATAGTAATTACAACTGGGAAATCTTAACCACCATTCCATCTATGCATTTTATATCCATCTAATTAAGCCTTAATATATATTTATATATTATTACTTCATGGGCTCTAATAATTGATATTAAATTATTTCTTTGTAAAAACTTATTTGCAGATTCTCCTCCAAAAAACCAACTACATCCTCTTACTTCATTAGATTTCCATGCAGAATCTAAATGACCTTATTCTTAATCTACAGGATCACTCCATAATAAATCACAAAATAATCCTTATCTTGGAGGTTCATGATATCTTTCTATCTTTTTTATATCTTCTATCGATTTTAAATCAGGTGAGATTCCACCATGAATTGCTATAAATTTAGAATTTATTATGCATGCTAAAGGAAATAAATCAAATGAATCCATTAACATTTCATAAGTTTCTTAATCATATTTATATAAGCATTCTTCTTTAAAATTAAAGAATGCTGTTAATTATCTACATTCATGATTTCCTCTTAAAAAATATACTGAATTTTAGAAATTCAATTTTATTGCATACATTAATATTATTACTTCTATTGAATATGAACCTCTATCAACAAAATCTCCTAAAAAGAGATATCTATTATTATTAATATTTTCAAAATATACTTTGTATTTTCAGGATTACCACCTACTTTAGGTTCCAATAACTTCAATAAATCATAATATTGACTAATCATAATTATAATTATATTACCCATGAATATCACCTACCACTGTTAATGGATCTTATAAATATAGCACATTTCCTTCATTTTCTAGTCATTTAATTATTATTTACTCAATAATTTATTACAATCAGCTACTAATTTAAATAGATCCTCTTTAGCTATTCTTCCCTCTTTTTATAAATGATCTCTTAACAATTTCCAATCAGGTTTGTCTATACTTTATTTCTTGAATACTTTTCAATTTATCTGGAAACATTAGATTCCTTGACAATGGACGATGAGGTGGAGGCTTTAAAGTTTTCACTTATCGATCATTGACAGGATCTTTCAGAAGGTCCATATATTAATTAATTTATAAACAAAAGCTAACTTAATATATATTCAATAAATTTATAAATTATATAATCATTTCTTACATCTAATTATTCTATGTCTAACTTTTAAAGAATCTATCAATTTTAAAAGATCTTTATTAAATATTTTATATTGATTATTTGCAATTTACTCTTAATGTAAACTTGGGTATTTCTACGCATTCAATTATACATTTGAATAATTATTATGAGAAAAAGATGCTTATGTTATTGATTTTACATTATTTTATTTTAACTACTTCTAATTAAAATGACTTAAAGGTTTTAAATGAACTTCACTCTTTGGAATAACGTCTTTTAACATTTTATTCATATAAATTGAAACTTAACTTTTTCTAGGTTCTCTAGCACTATTTATTAAATGATGAAAAAATGTTTCATCATCAGGAGTTGTTTTTATTCTTTCTTTTTATTAAAAATAATACCTCTGTGATTATCTTGACTGAGGAATACTAATCATTGGTTATTACTAAAAATGAGTAGAAGCAGTAATTTATTATTTTCTTACTGTTGTTAAATTTCGGACTGCTTTCAAAATATGCATTCTTTTTCTGAATTTTTTAATCGCTTCCACTTTATATGATAAAATAAAAATTATAGCATTAATTGCTGCTTTAAATCTTTTTAAAACTCTTTTTCTTTTCTACCATCTTTAAATTTATTAACTTTTTACCTTGTTTCATTGAATGGATATTGTTTTTTTATAGTCCCAATAAATAAACTACATTTTCCACATTCTGTACAATCACAACTCAAATCTGTTTTAATATATTCTTTTTCTAACATTACTTTGTTTACATAAAATTATGTTCGCTTCTTCTTTTATTATTATTTCGAGGGCTTCTCTTTTAATGTTCTAACATGCTTCAATTCAAAAAAATCATTTTAAGATAGAGAACTTTCAGACATTTATTTATAAATAAATATCCTTTAATAAAGAACTGAGACTTAAATTTATTAAATTTCAATAAGAATAGATACATAATGAATTGATAAACTATTAGTAAATAGCTTTATTTTAGATAAAATTTATTTCAATAAATTGAGTTTATCTTAAAAAATTAAAATGTGAGTGCTTTTCATTCAAAAAAATGTAGAATAAATAAAAATAGAATTAAAAAGTTAAAAATAAATTACTAATAGTTCATTAAAGATAATCCAGCTCTTCGTCTTCAAAGTTTCTGCCAATTATTTTACTATAATATTATAATAAAAATTACTCGAATATTTCAGATTCTAAGTATTATTATTGTTATGATTACTAAATTGTATTGTTATTTCCAAGTGTAAATTATAAAACACTTCGACCTACTTGCATTTCTATGCCATTTAATTCTGTAATTAAGGGAATAACAGTTTATTAGATAAGAATTAAGGTTCCAAATTTGGATTTATTATCTGTAAGATAAATTTATTCTTCAATTAATTTAAGTGTTCCATGATTTCTACTTACTGATATATCGTTTACTCTAATTTCAGTTTCATTTGCTCTTCCTATTTTTAATTCATTAGTTCTAGGCATTTTGATTTCACTACAATTATTATCAAAAGTTATAATGTAAACTCCATTACATTAATTCCACTATGTGTCTTCACTAATATTATTTTCTTAAACTTCCTATTTTATTATGAAACATAAAGAATACTTCATATCGTTTTTGAGTAATCTCTAATAAAACATATGGATATTCTGAAGGTTTACTTAATTCAATTAAATCAAATACTCCTTCATCACTTTTGAAAATTGGAGGATAATTAAATTTACATAATTCACATTCCAGATTCTTCCACATATAAATAATACAATGATCACTTTATTTAGTTTAGAATTTGGACTTTAACCATTTTTTTAAACAATTAAGATGTATATATTTAATAGAGCCAGTACATTTACATGGATTTACAAGTGGATTTGATCTACTAAATGCACTACTGCAACAAACTCTACATGTAATTGCATCAGATTAACTAGATTTTGCAGAATCTGAATCTTATCTTTTAATAACAATATTAAGATTACATAAGTTATCTTTAATTTAACTGAATTTCTCTTATTTTGAATTTAACTCTTCCCATTTTTATTATATCTCCTTCTTTTAATTTGATACCATTATTACTCATCATTTATTACATTGATCTTACAACTAACCATAATTTGCTTCCTTTTTCCATTAATTTTGTATTTGTTCTTTAACTCATACTTATTTTTTAATGATGGCTATATTTCTTAATTAAATCATTTGGTTAATGAAATTCATCTCCCTCTAATTAATCTAAATTTTCTGACTATTAAAAGTCTTTATTATCACCATGATATTTTGTTGTTTATTCTTACTTGTCTTCTTCATAATTTTATTTACATTCTCCTCTTTTATTTATTATACTGAATATTCCATTATTCTTCTCAATTCTAAATAGAATCTATTCTTATTTTATTACACTTTTATTCCAATCCACATCATCATCAATCCATTATAGCTCATTATTATTTTTAATTAAATATCCTCCTTTACTTATCTTTTATAATTAATCCAATTACTTAAAAGTTCTATTCTTTTAAATGACTCTAATTTTCATAATCAAAAAGTGAAAATGATTCTTTCTGCCAAGTTTTTATTTTAATAAATAAATCTTTAGCAGTTCCTTCTTAATTATTAACTCTATAATCATCATTTGTAGCAATTTCTTATAAATGTATATTGGAATTAATTTGATCAGATTCACAAAATTTGCGACATTGACAACTTCCCATTATAAAATAATATATATAAATTAATATATAATATCGTATTCAAACAATCAAAGCAAACCAACTTAAGAACAAATAAAATAAAATCACTGGGTAAAGTGCTAATATTCTTTTTTATTCTGGTATTAATAATTTCATAAATCCAACAGCAGCTATAGAATAAATAATAATAATACAATATGTTGACCATAAAAAACAACCAATCACTAAAAACATCTTCAAATAAAAAAAGGAGAAAAAGAGTGTAAATAATGCTCCTAAATTAATTGGAAATACACAATATCCTAATACGCAAACCGATTAGAAAAATGATCTTCATTATTAAATTCTATATTTACACTTTCCCCCCTAATAATTATGCATTAAGAGTAACTACAAAGGATCCAATCCAAATCAAAACAAATATAGTAGCAAATATCCCTGTACCATCATTGTTATTTCCACTCACACTTAAAGTACTTCAAATATAATAATAATATACAATGCCAACATTAAACAAAATACTAATGGTCCCCACAAATCCCCTAAATATCAAATTTAATTCAATTACAGTTTCTCAGTTCCTTAGCATTATTGGATGACATTGTAGGTACTAAAACACATCTCAATTTTACTCCTATCTATCTTAAATCTCGTAACTAAATTTAAATTTTATTTATACAAATGTGACTGCTACACTTTCTTCTAATGTACTAGACACATGTAAATCTGCTTATTTTATTGTGATTTCTTATTGTTATGCCTAAACTTAATTCACTTAAGGCTATAGATTTATAACTCCTTAGATAGAGTTATTGCCTTAATTTTCTTAAGCTTCAAATTCCATTTTATTTTTTAGATATAAATTTTATTATAATAAATATCATACACAGAATCCTATCTTTTTTTTAATTAAATTCTAATTTTAGATATAATTAGTTACTTTTAATCTTAAGCTACGTTCTTCTATTTCTTTCACTTATTTCTTTTATTCTTCTTCTAGTTTTATTTTTCAGCTAAATTAGTTTGATTCAATCCTTACTATTTCTTATCACTTCAAAGCTATTCTATTGTTACCAATATTATATTTATCCTAATTCTTCTTTTAATTTCTTCCTAATTAAAACTAATAATTATTTTTCAGCTTTTCATTTTTTTAATAATAAGGTATCTTATTATAAAATATTCTATTCTGACAATTTATATCGAGAATCATAATCATGAATTTATTATGCTAATTCTTAGCTAATTTCAGTTTATATTAACCCTATTAGTCTATTTTATCTCATTGATTTTTCTAAATTTTTTATAAATTTGGATAGTTTATTTTAAATTTCAAAAGGTGTATTTGTTTTATTTGCATCAGATCTTTATTTATCATAATTTAATAAAAAATAAACTGAATTTTACCTAACTAAATCATCTGAAATTTAAATCCTTTTTCAACAGCTTCTTGTATTTTTTTAATTTCTTATTCAATTATTTCTTGATTTTTTTTTTTATGTAAATATATTATAATGAATCATGGTACTGATGATTTGCATATAAAATTTCATTTTTAGCTTTATTTAACACTTATGTAAGCTTTTCTTTATAATTTTCATAATGATAATTCATTTCTCTTCATCCATATATAAGATGAAAAGCATCAAAATATCACAACAAATTTATGAAAATTATTTAACTGTTTTCTCTGTAACCTTTTAATTTTTATTTAAAGTAAAAAAACTTTTTCAAACGATTAAAATAAAATTTCTTACACACTCATTTTTATTATACAATACCATACTGTATCTATTTAAGGAACTCTGCCTTTATTTGTTAGTTCAATTTACTTATCTAAAAATTTCAAAAAATTGTTTTTATTTATAATTGAGAACAGTTGTTAATTAGAAATTCTTTTAATTTAATCGACCTTATATCAATAAATTGAATGAAAGTTAATTTACTTTGATAATTTTATATCATCAAAAAAAGTAGTAAAAAGGAAAAAATTTTCACTCTCAAAAAATTAAGTAAATTTTTTTTAATTTTTAGATTTATTCAATTGATTTAGTAAACTAAGTTTCATCAGCGAGACAATTTTCCATATATTTGTTAAAATATTACAAATTTTCATGGGCATAGTTAATTAATTTAGTTTTCCCTTACCCACATGATTTAGAATTTAGAATGAGAGATAACTAAATAGATCATTTAAATATCATATATGTTAATAAATATAAGAATAGTTTATGGTTAAGATAAATGGATTGAAAATATAGTAGGAAGATTTATGAAGTTTATAAAATTTTTAATATTGATAAAAATGATTATCAAAAGAGCAATAAATAAATAATATCAATTAGAATTCTTCAATAATGAATACATTAAATAGTATGACAAATCCATATAATATGCCATCTATGCCATATGGAGGTATATTGGATCCAGATGGTTGTAGAATGCTTGCTAGAAAAATCTTTTCAACTTATGATAGTATAAATAGGAAAATTATTTATTAAAGTCTCAAATAAGGGATATATAGATGTAGTTGATATTGGTTCTATGTTTACAGATGCTTATAGGGCATAAAATATAATAATAAAACCTAAAGTTAGTGAGACTAATGGATTTATGAAAGCAATTAATAGTATAAATGAAATATATAGAATTAGAGAATGCTTTGAATAGAATTACATTATAAGATGTAGAATAGTATTGTTTAAAGAAATTTTGTGGAACTTCCTATTAGTATAAATAATAATAATCAGTCAATAAGTTGATTTATAAAATAAATTAGATAACCTAATTATATTGAAGAAAGGCTTGAGGTTGCAAGAAGTCTTTTCAAAAAACTTGATGCAGATGGTTCTGGATACATAACTGAAGATGAAGTTTATGAAATAATACGTGAAACTTATAGATAGATGGGTAATTTTATTTATTTTAGATAGGAATGAAATATGAACCTACAGTTGAGGATGTCAGAAGTTGGATTCATATGACAGATTCTGATGGAGATGGAAAAGTTACTTTAGAAGATTATGAAAATTTAGTTTTGAAATCACTGCAATAACAAGCTATTTCATATAATTTAAGTTGATTTATTTTTTTATTAATAATATGGATAATTATGAATAGGTTTTAATAGTTAATGCTATTTAATTATAATCTGTTCAATCCTAATTCGAATCTATTAATTAAGAACTTGCTAAACTCATTACAAAAGTATCAAAAATTTATAAACTAGAAAAAATATAAAAAGCAATATGTCTTATTGTCTAAATTTTTTGATCGCTATGATCATTCTAATCAGATTCATTTAAATGATAGAATTCACTTTTAAAATATTCTTCTTAATGCTTTAAATAAAATATTTAAAAAATGCATCCTTAGAGACATGTCGAGAAAAAATATTATCGATATTAAAATTTAGAAATAGAAAATAGTTAAATATTTAGAAATATATCCAATACTTATATCTAAATTAACTTCTAATTTAGACATGATTTAAATCGAAACTAAACATAGTTTAAGAGACCAAATTAGAAATTCCTTACTAAAAGATTAATTATCATACTAAATTCATATCTAAAATAATAATAAGCTTAAATTAAATTAAATTATCAATAATTTTTCTTTATAATAAGAATATGATATTTATCTCCATAATATTATGATGGCTTTTAGACTTCTAAGTTATTAGGATATTAAATAAGAAGAGAAAATTAAATTTGCTAAATTATCCTTTGATATCAGTAAAATTTTACTTTCCGGAAAAGGAAAAAGAGCGTCTAAATTATCACAATATATATTATGTTCGACTAATTTATTTGTTAAATATTTTGAAAATGATAATTGTTTGACAATTGATATCTTAGAAGAAATTAATTCCTCAATTATAAATAATTATTTAGTATATTTAGTCTAGTAAATTGAAGCAAATAATGATTTTAAAAAGAAATTAAAATGTAAATGGAAATTTATGAAATTATTAAAACCATTAACTTGGTTTTGGATGTAATCTATATATTATTATTAATCTATTTTTAAATTTGAAAAGTGTTAAGCTATAATGACCTTACTTAAATGGATAAGTTTTTATTATATTATTCAAAATGATGAATTAGCTAATTATTATTAAAATGTATCAGCATTAACATTTTCTAAATACAAAGAATATATAATATTTAATTATGTAATAGAATCTGTTTGTTTAGATGATGAAGTTGGAATGCCAAGATTAAAAAAACTAATGAAAGAATATTAAGAATAAAATCAAGAGAAATAAAAATATAAGCAATCAGTGAATTATTATTATAACGTGAATGATAAGAACACATCTTTCTAGCCATTATTTTATTATCGTAGTCCTTAACATAAAACTGAAATTATTAAAAATCCTGAAATGCCAATTGTAGAATTCCCTTTTGAAAATATAAGTTCGATGGACACACGTTAATCTAGTAAAACTTTGAAGTGTCCTAAACGATTAAGTACATCATTTAATGTGTAAAAATCATTTCGTAAATCAATTTCCTAATTTTCCACAAGTTTTTCTGAAAAAAAAAATTAATTTTAAGATTAAAATGTAAAATAAACATAATCAAACTAATATAATAATGTTCCTATGCTTGATAAAATGATTAAAAAATTGATAGAAGATAAAATAGTTTTAGATAATCTAGAGTAAAATATTATATTATAAAATTAGAGATAAGAAATCTTAGTCTTAGTAATTATTAAGTAAAGAGAAATTGTAATAAAAAGAAAATGATTTCTATAAAAAGCTACTTAAATACAAAACATAATTTTCTAAATTTTAATCACCTGTAAAAATGAAATCAAATTAAGAAGTTTTTACAAAATAAGATTTATAAATGAGAGTTATTGAAAGATAAACATTAGTTGATTCAAAGAAATCTAAAAGTTTTTCTATTTAAACAAAATAAAATGATTAAGATACATCATTATTATCTTTCGAAAAGCCAGGCGTTAAATTAGATCCTCTTAAAAAATTGAAAAAAATAATTTTTAATCATCCTGAAGTATTTTAACTCTAAAAATTAAGAAGCAAACTTAAATCAATAAAAAAATGGTATTATAAAGCAAATTAAACTCGAATTTCAAATGTAAGTATGTATTAGAAAATGACATCAGGAAGATTAGTAATGGTTCAAAAATCAAAAGATTAGAAAATAGTAGATCTAAATTAATTAAGAGATAGATCATAAAATTAATTGAAAAAGAAGTTGAGTGAGACATAATTTGAATTAGAAGCTGTAGAAAAAGAAATGAGAAGCAATAGTGTTAATATCAAGTATTCTAAATAGAATGTGGATTAACCCTTATTCTTAGATTACAAATATCAAGATTTAAGTCGATCAATAATAAAATATGAGATGAGTAAAAAATAAATTTGATATATTTTATTGATATTTTTCCTTTTTTTTGGAATTTGAATTTGAATATAATAATTAGCGGAAAAATATTATCTAAAAAGATGGAAGAAGATCAAAGTATATAAATATTTTAATCATCATTAGACTTAGTCTCGTTATCATTGCTCAATGATGAGTAGGATTAGAAATTGCTAGAAAAAATTTCTAACAAGAGTAAAAAAATTTTCAAAATTGTCTTTCCAAATAAGTATTTATTATTATTAGTATTCTTTTAGTAAATAATTAATAAAATACAAAATCTATAATAGGAAGGAAAAAAGTTTAGAGGAATTAAGTAAAAAATTTGTTCGATGTCTTATTGATTATGATGAGAAAATTATTTGTTTGGATTAAATTACAGAAGAATTGGGTATTATATTTTATAAACATAGGTGTTGAAAGAAGAAGAATATATGATATAATAAATATATTAGAAAGCTTATAAGTAGTGAAAAGAAAATGTAAAAATAAATATAGTTGGAGTGGATTCAAAACTATTTATTAAACAATTGAATAAGTATTATAATATATATTAATTTTAGTATGCAAACAAATAAGCTAATTTTGATATGATATCACATAAGAGAGAAAAATCATTGGAAGTACTCTCAGCTGGATTTATTAAGCTATTTATGCAACAAAAATCTATTTGGACTTTGGAAGAAGCTGCTAAATATTTAGGAAATGAAGTTGATTAAAATAAACTTAAAACAAAAGTAAGAAGGTTATATGATATTGCAAATGTCTTAAAATCTATTGGTTTAATTAAGAAAACGCATTTGGTATCCTCAAAAAAACCTGCATTTTAATGGGTTGGTAAGGAAGGTTTAAAGTAATTTTAACATAATTTAAAATAACAAGAATAAAAAAATAAAGCTCAAGAAACAAAAGAAAATGTAATCATTCAACCTACTCCTTAAAATTAAAATGTTAATAAACCTGATAGTTTTAATACATACAATTCATATTTTGGTAAATGTATAGATTTGCTTATCTAATAATAATTAAATGATAGAAAATAATAGACAGAATAAAAAATTAAAGAACAAAATTAGAATCAAGTCACAGTTATTACTCCAAAATTAAGAAAAACATACACAATTATTGTAATTTAATAAAATTTATATATTAGCCTCCTAGAGTAACAACCCCAAAAAAGGCTTTGTCAATAACCCCCAAAAAAAATTAATCTAATAGTCATACTCCTAATAATAATAAAACTGTAGTTGGTTCTCTTATTGGAAAGTTTAATTAAAACATATGATTCTTTATAGAGATCTATATTTTTCATTAAATTATTTATTAAAATACTCTTCTTCCTTTTTTTCTTATGAGTAGAGATAGAAGTACATAATAAAGTTAATAAACTGTTGAAAACATTTAATAGTTAGGAATTACGTAATATTATTTTGTCATATTTAGATTTCGGCATGAATAAGCAAATTAAGTTTTGAGTTCAATATTGCTGTCTAATTCTATTTATGCTATAGCAGTGTTGCTATTTAGCTTTTAATTGAATTTTGATGGAAATCTTTTATCTGTTATATATTGTATTGATTCAAAATTGCTGTTGTAATTGATACATTAGTTGTATTTTTATCGAATATTTCTTCATTTTAACATGTATGAAAGTTTTTATTAATTTTTTAGAACAGATAAACATACTTTACTAAGACTAATATCAACTTTAGTGGAAGGTTCTTATTTACTTGTACTTAATTTATATTAGATATCTGGGACAAGAGATTTGCTGTTACTTTCAAATATTTTTCCTTTGTTAAATATGTTTCTTTCTATGATTTTAAAAATAAATGAAGGAAATTAATACTTCAGACAATCAATCTCAATAATTAATAAGTTTCATGTTTTTAGAAATATTGCTTTATTTATTATATCAATATTCTTAAGCTTAAAACTTGAAGGATACTTTGAGATATAATGGTTATATGCTTTATGGATGTTTTGGATACTTTTTGGGGTTTCTGCATCAATTGTTATTTATTATATTTTTGTGGTATTGGCTTTAGGAATCCAAAGAATTTTAGAATAAAATAGTAGGCTAAAAAATTTAGGTTAAAAATTTATATTTATTATTAGTAATAGTTAATTTCTGGATATTGTTTTTTATGATATCTAATACTGCAATTTTACTTTTAATTCCAATTTCAATACTAAATTTTAATCAAGTTGGAAACTATGGAAACTTAATAGATACAGCAAGGATTATATTAATTGTTAATCAAGTTCTATTTTCTTATTTTACCGTTAGATTTAAGATAGAATTAGTATTGAGTTTATAAAGTTATCTATCTTTAAATGATTCAGTAAATCCTCTAAACACATTACCTACTTAATAAGGAGAACCATAAATATAAATGTTTAATAAATAGGACTTTGCTGAGAGTTAACTAAGTGAACCTTAAATTTAAATACCAAAAATTGTCAAAAGAATATCTAAAACTTATTTTGGATTTGATGATCTTCCCACTGATAAAAAATCTGAAACATAACTTTCTAGTAAGAAACCTTCACACCATAAAGCATTATCTTCTTAAATCTAAAAATCTTAAGATGATTAAAATGATAAAATAAAAATGTCTTCCTTAATTAATATCAAGAATAGTGAAAAATAAAATACTATTGGAAATATTCAAAATAGTTCAAAAGAAAATTAATAAGTATTCATTATAATTCATTTCTTACTTTAGCTTAGTAGTCTACCTAAATCAGTCTCTTTATCCTCTATTGGTGCTTGTTGTATCTGTTTTGACAATGAGCCTAACGCATTATTTATGTAATGTGGTCATGGAGGAGTTTGTTATAATTGTGCTATTGATTTATGGAAAAACAAAGAGGAATGTTATTTATGTCGAAACGTAATTTTAAACTCTTATATCTAGAAAATTGACAGAGTCTTATAAATCAAAATGATTGAATAATAAAAGAACATTTATTAAGTTATTGGCGCTATTGAATTAAATTAAAAACTTAAACTAGAACAACACAACTTAAATTAGATTTAATAATGATGAGTTACTGACTTTAAAATATATACAAAATGAAATAAAATTTTTTGTCTTATATTTTCCTTATCATATGATCCTCTTTCAATTATAAATTATTCATATATATTTACAATTTGGTTAATCTAAAATTAAATTACTCTGGGATGGAAAAAATCTTATATTTAAAATCATCATTTTAGCATAGTTAGTTTAATTTTAAAGTATTATTGTCACAATATTTTTAATACTTTAATTGTTCATAAATATATTTCATTATATTTAAGATTATTTATTAAGTTCATCTCTTTAGGGTATTAATTTAAATTAAACCCTTTTTTTTAATATTTATTTTTTGCTAAGTTTAAGATTTATAATTTATAACCTTTCTAATTTAAATATACTTAAAGAGGGATTTACTTTATTAATTCACATTATTATCTGGTAGTATTAGTTATACTAAAATAGACAACTTCAATTATATTTATAAATTTTAGTGTTTAATACATTAAATTAAAAGGGAAAAAAATATTATTGTGAAATAAAAACTTTGTTATTTTATATATTACAAAAGAGTGTCAAAATTTAATAGTTTCTACATTTTTCGATATTGCGTATAATTCTTCTGGAAAAACAGCATATCTATGATAATTTGATAATCTAAAGTTTTAGGTTTGTTTCTTTGTAGACTTTGGTTCTATTATTGGAAAAAAAATAGAAGTATCTTAATAATCTTCCCTTCTGGTCACAGATTAACTTTTCACACTTTAATGTATGCTTGATACTTTTTAAGATTTTTCCACTGTTTATATTTTTGGGGTTTTCAGTTATCGATTTAGAATCTATTGTTCTTATCTTTGTAATAAATTTGTGAAATGTTAAAATTCTCTAATAAAACTTGTTTCATTTAGATTTTTTTATTTAATTTTTGCAATTTTTTCTTTATTTTCTTATAGAGCTATTTTTTAGGATTATTGTTTAATTTACAAATATTCACTTTGTTCATAAATATCTTCAAGGGGATATTACCTTTTCTTTGGTTAAATTTTTTGAACACTTGTATTTTGAGTCTCACTTAGATCTTTGATTTTAGAATTATTTAAACTATTATTTTAGGTTCTAAATCTACTAGTCATAACAAATTCTTATTAAGATTATTCAGTTCTTCTTTTAAATTTTGGTGGCTAATATTAAATTTCTGAATTTTCTAGACACATTATAGAAAATTTAAGAGGTAATTAAGTTGATTTACTACTTCCATCAACAATAACTGATTACGGAGATAAATCATGAGATCTTTGATGGATATAATTTTAAGTAATTGAAACTTAATCCTATTAAATATCTTCAGAGGATGAATTAGCAAGTTAAATATGACTATTTTTTTTTAAGCTATTTCGATTTAATTTTATGGAAATCTAAGGTTTATAAATTTTTTATTGATTTGATTTTTCTGAACACATCCAAATGAAATTTTCAATTATACGAGAATTTTGATTAAAAAATGAAAGTTATATTACTTATTTTTGATATTTAAATTGTTCTGCTTGCTAGTTATTAAAACATAAGATTATTTTATTTATTTTTCCAAAATAGAGTTAAGAAGTTTCTAAAGTAGGTATGTCTACTTTAAAAACACATTAGATTTTTTAATAATATTTATTTAAAAATGGAATTATTTTCGTATTTGTACTTTCCCAAATATTATCACTAAACATTAGTATACTTGTTCCATTCAGTTTGAATCTATAAGTTATCAAAGCTAAAGCAATCACTCTATATTTTGCTTCACTTGTAGATATATATGAAAATTTAATGTAATCTCTATTGTTAATACAATCAAAATTAATAGATGCTCCCAAATGTAATAATCCATAGATATCAACCTATTATTAATATTTAAGTTCTTTCAAGGGTTCTTTTTATTTTGTTTAGTATTCTCTATTTCTACAATTCCACTTTGTTGAGATTTATTCTTATTTTATAACATTATAATCAATAAACTTTTCTTCTTTGATATGCACCATTTGAATTGCTTGAATAAGCCATTTTGGAACTATTTCAATATTTAAATGATCAAATTAAGCTATAGATTAGGCAAATGTAGATTACACCGAATTTTCAAATTATTAAGATTTAAACTTTAGTCTTACTATATCATTATCTGCAATAATCTTAAAATTATAATAATTTTACCATATTGTATTATTCTAAAAATTTTAAAGAATGCTTTTAATTTTTAACAATTTCTTGAATTTATTAATAGATTTACATATCCAGATATAGATTTGGTGTTGAAATTTGAGAAACATAAAAAGAAATTTCTTTAAAAAAATTATTTCTGTGATTTGATCTGATCCTTCTAAACCATCTTTAAATAACATAAATAGCTCTAGTTTGATCTATCAATTTCATGATAACTGAATATTTCATACCATTAGTAACAATATCTCTTTTTGCTCTAAAATACTTTTAAATTCGACACACAGCTGCAATCTCCCTCAATTAAAAATCAAAAAAGAGATGTAGTTATTAATTTCTATTTTAACAATTATATTGATAAATCTTTCTTAATATATTTATATTATCTAATTCAATATATTTCAATAGATTGTATTCTTTAGATTAAAAATTATCAATTCTTTAGATTAATTGTTGATGTCTCATTAATTCTTAATTAGAGAATTTAAATTATTTTTTTGACAGTTTTACTTTGACATATTTAATAAAGTTATAAAGAAATTCATATTTAATTATGTCTCTATTTAGATTAGTTTCTCCAAATTCTTTTTTTAATTAGTGAAAATTGAATAAAATAACATCAGATTTAATATTATGAAATAGCATAGGTATTAAATTTTTATGTTAGCAGTTATTTTAGAGATGTAATCTTATTGTTTTGATATTTACTTGTTTGCCATGTAAATTAAAATAGTTTTTAAATATTTACTCTTAAGATTTTAAAATATAGAATCGCTTAACTTAATTCTAAATTAAAAATTGCCTAAGATGTTTAACTTTCCATAAATTGATTTTCAAAGCTTTATAGATTAAATTAGATGCATTGTTGATAATATATTATTAAAACCTTCTCTTTTTTAATTCCTTATATGAATTAAGAACTCTTATATAACTTTGTTTGTATTATGTAATAAGAATGTCTCTGACTTCCTTTCTCTTTTGTACAAAGCTTTTCCATTAGTTAATAACTTTTTATTCCAATTAATTATTCATAAAAAATTACAAAATTATCAATCAATCATTCATAGTTTAATTTTATTTATTGTTTATGATAATAATTACTCCATGTTTCTCCCTTATTAGAATAATAAATTCATAGGATATTTCTTTTTAAAATCAGCATCCCCAAAGAAACATTTTTAATAAGGAGATTATAAGGGTTATTTAAATTATACTCCCAGTCAATTCAGAATCTTGGAAAAAGAATTTATATAAATACATTCACTTCATTTAATAAGTATAATTATTCAATATTAACTTTGTTTATTAAAAGAGTGAAATATTGAATTTGATTTTTCTTCAATTAATTTTAATATTTATAAATGTCAAAAATTCTTCATTTTTGGATTATCATCCTCTCAATTGTAAATCTATGTATATGGATCATATTAAAAAAACTTAAATTATGGATATTAAATCATTTTTGATTCTAATGAAATTTTTCCACGACATACGAAGATGACTATATTTTTACTATCTTAAGATATTATGAACGAAAAAGATGCAAAATTCTATTTTTCATTTAGAATTTCATTTTTTCAAAGAAAAAAAAATGAATATTATTGATTTATGCTATTAACAAAACCAAATCGCTGATAACATAATTCAATTCTTTTTTTTTAA